CTATTAGAAATGCGAAATATAAGGTATGTCTCCTCCATCCCCCTATTACTCTTTTTATCACTGTATTTCTGATGGTTTCCTTTGTCCTGTGGGGTCATTTGAGTGTTATTCAGGTCAATAAACACAATAGACAAAACTCCGAAGTGGTCCGAAGCCCAGAAATAGGATTTATTACATGTGCTCCTCCTAAACTGTAATATCATTATTTCTGTCGTTTTTGAGACCCTATAAATGAAGGCTGGAGTCTTTTTGGGGTTTTTAATATCAGGGAATCCATTGGTGATGCTCCCCAGGCCATCCGAAGTGCGAAAAACAAAATAAGCGATGTATGCCCCCTAATACCCCCTTTTATACTGTATTATACTGGACCTATATTACAAAGAAGGATGTATTCTAGGGTTTTTATAGCATAGGAATCGACTGGTAATGTTTTCAAAGCGATCTGGAGCATGCTGCACCCTAAAAAGCGAATATTTTCGTTTATCTCCAGGAATAAAGTGTGCCAAAAGTACTGTGGAGGGGTCGTTTGGGTGTTTTCAAGGTCAGGGAATCGATTGGTGAAGTCCTCCAGCCGATCCAATGCATGCAGCAGCCCCCAAAAGCGAATATTTATGCGATTTTCATTATATTACCATTTTATCCCACTATCCAGGGCTCCTATGCATCATTAGAGGGCTCTATTTTATGTTGTTTATGTCTATACAGATTATAGTGCCATCCCCTGGCCCAGCCAGTAGCCTGAGAATAGCCCAATAGCTATTTTGACCGGAAAATAGCCCCTATTTTGGGTATTAAAAATGCGGCACTGCCACTGGATCCAGCCAAAATTGATGGGCTGATTTGGGGAGCCTAAAAAGGCAAAAGAGCGCACCAGAGCGGAGCAAAGGGAGGGCATCAATATGAGGTCATAAATGTTAAGGGAGGGAGGGTATATATAGAGATGAAAAAGATATATATAATGCCAGTATGGTGTAGTGGTTAGCATGTCTGCTCGAGAAAGTCATGTGAAATTATTGGATTTATTTTTGAGGTCCCGGGTTCAATTCCCGGAATTGCCCTCTTTTCTAATGATGCCATAATTGACACAGATTGGGAAGCTTACTAAGTCACTTTGTCATCCTGATGGAATTACTGTATATGGGCTGGATGTAAACTGACACTCCTGATGTATCACAATTAACTGTCAACTAACACCTTTCAAACAGAAATCTAGCAGACCAGGCTGTCTGCTTCCCTCCACGGGCGATGTGAAGACTGCATCCTCGCATGCCAGACCTGTCGTCCATTTGATGAACCCATGGACCCTGATGTAGGGGGACTTGACCTTGTTGCTACAGACTTGTGGGGGCCGTCGAGGACTGCGTCGGTGAGCAGGAAGACGTATATGATGGTCATTGTGGATAGTGGTACATCGTTCAAGGTGGGGGAATTCCTGGCTGATAAGTCAGACGAGACGACCGTGGCAGCCTTTGATAGGTTCCGGAAGATGGCTGAAACTCAGACAGGGCGGAAGGTTAAACGCATGAGAGCTGATAGGGCGTTCGCGGGGTCTAAGTGGGCCGAGTACTGTGCGGAGCATGGGATTATTTTGGAGCTGACTGCCCCACACTCCTCGGCGCAGAATGGTCTTGTGGAGAGGGCAATCCGCACGATCATGGAGGATACTCGTGCTTTATTAAGTGACTCAGGTTTGCCGGATCGTTTCTGGGCGGAGGCTGCATCGATGTCAATCTTTACACGGAATCTCGCACCTTCCAGTCGTCACCCTGGCAAGGTGCCGGTGGAAGCGTTCACAGGCCGTCGCCAGGACGTCTCGTTTCTACGTGTTTTTGGGGCTACTTGCTGGGCGAAGAAACCCACTTCGGGCGGTATTCTGGTGGATGGCGGAAGCAAATTGGATGATCGATCGAAGAAGTGCATATTTTTGGGCTATGCAGGGTCAAACTACTGCGTGCTTGATGAATCGGGCCGTGTCTTCATCTCTCATGACGTTGTTTTTGACGAGGGGCATGCGCATCGCACTGTGAGTGTGGGGGAGACTGAGACAGAAGTCCCACTCACTGTGCAGGAGTCTAATACGCCCTCTACCACACCTGCTTCTGTTCCCCCTACTTCCTCTGTTCCATCAACGACTCCATCAGTTCCTGCGGAACCAGTTTTACGCCGGTCGTCACGTTTAACTCGCCCTAGTGACAACGCTACTGAGTCTCTATTATCCGAACAACGTGAAGCCGATGCTCGAGACCGCGGAGATGAATGGGCAACTAACAGCAGAAGACCACGAGCATCAATGGCTGCAGCTGAGAACGCGCCCGACTCGTATATCCCAAAGAATTATCGAGACGCCATGCGGGTTGATGAAGAATGCTGGAAGGCTGCGATGGATGTTGAATACCAGATGCACATGACGAAGCACACTTGGGACCTTGTCGACGTGCCAGAGGGAGCTAATATAATGGATTGCAAATGGGTCTATGGGATGAAGTGGGATGGCGATGGAAAGTGGTTGCGGGATAAGGCAAGACTTGTAGGGAAGGGTTATACGCAGCAACGGGGCCTGGATTATAACGAGACTTGGGCTGCCGTCACTCGCCTTGACTCCGTTCGCATGTCTGCTGCCATCGCCACCAAACTCGACTTACACCTATGGCAAGTGGACTTCGTATCAGCCTACCTGAACAGCGAGACAAAGGAGGACATCTACATGCGCCAACCACCAGGATACGTCATCGAAGGACAAGAGGAGAAGGTGTGCAAGCTGGTTCATACGATTTATGGGACGATGCAAGGCGGTCATGACTGGTTCGAGACACTCGGGAAGACATACGACGACCTGGGATACAAGACTTCTCAGGCCGACCCATGTGTACGAACGATTGGCGAGCCAGGTAGCAATTATACCCTCACAGATACATATACCGACGATGTGTGGGGGGTGTCTTCAAGCGTAGATGAGGCTAGCCGAAGGAAAGGGGAGTTGAGGGAGAAATGGGAGCTTAAGGATGTGGGGGAGAACCACTACTTCTTGGGGATGAAAATCGACCAGGACCTCGATGCCGGGACTATATCTTTCTCTCAGCGACCGTACTGGGAGAACGTCGTTGAGGATTTTGGCCTTGAATACATCACGGTACGCTCGACCCCACTGCCTGTTGGAATTGTACTCGATAGCTCTCAATGCCCTTCAACCCAAGCCAAGAAGGACGACATGGCTCAGTACCCGTATCGACGTCTCTTGGGCCAAGTTATGTGGGGGCAGCTTGCAACTCGACCCGATCTCTGTTACCCAGTGAGCCTTCTGGCTCGTTTTCAGACTAACCCAGGGATGGCCCATTGGCGTGCACTATTGCATGTCGTCGCCTATATCAAAGGGACTATGGACTATGGGATCATTTTCTCCCGAGACGAACCACTGATGCCAGTTGGGTTCGTTGACGCTGACTACGGAGGTTGCCGGGATACCGCTCGCTCGACCTCGGGCTATGTTTTCACCATGGCTGGGGGGCCTGTCTCTTGGAGTTCGAAACACCAGGCTGCTGTAGCACTCTCAACCGTTGAGGCCGAGTATATTTCTCTCACTCGTGCCACCCAACAAATGATGTGGATGATGTCATGGATGGATGAGGTGAAGCTACCACACCCACGCCCAGGAGTTCTGTATGGTGATAACCAGGGGGCAGTTGCGCTTACAACGAACACGAGGGCCCACCATAAAGTGAAGCATATCCGCATCCGCGAGCATTATATTCGGGAGCGAGTCAAAGACGGCGAGTTACGTGTCGATTTTATTCGTGGAAATTCAAACCCGGCCGATATGTTCACCAAGGCTCTCCCTCGGGATGCTCATCATGGCTATCTTGACGATCTCAACATTGCACCTGTGGCATAGTACGGATATGGGGGAGTGTTGGAGGATATCCGTACAGTATACCAAGTTTCCTTATCTTTCTCCCGTCATTCGTTTTACTTACTATATATATCTTACCTCCTGTCCTTGACTCGATCACTATATAGCTTAACCGTCGATACCCGAGTACCTCAGTCGTTCCACCTTCGCTGTGCCCGACTGAGGTACGTATACCTTACTGTCTCTAGCTTATAACTTACTCACACTCGTTCATACTAGATCATTACTTATATCCTTTGTCTTTAGGTACAGTACCTTTCAATACAGTCGTTCCACCTTCGCTGTGCCCGACTGAGATCATTACTTATATCCTTTGTCTTTAAATAGATTACAGGCTTCGGAGTTTGACCACGGGAACCCTGGACGGTCATCTGTTGAAGGGAATTGGCTAATTGGTGGTGTTGAACTGAGGGATATCAACACTACCTTCGTGATGGTGGATCTTTCGTTGCTCAACATTTCTCATCGTTAAACAATCCGACAAAGACATAATTGACGGAGGGAGAAAGTCAACGAAATTGTCGTTTTCTCCGCAAAAGACTGTGACAGAGCAACTGACTCACCTAGCTGTTGTACATATGTGATTTTTATCAAGAGGTCGTGTGTTCGTGTCCATGCATCGGTACTAAATTAATTTATTCAGGTGGTGGGACCGACGTTATCCACCGGACGGAGGCGTCCAGATTCCTCGAGATGGAAGTATTGATAGGACTCAAGTAACACTAACAAGTTAACTCAAGCTCTGAGTAGTGGTATGCCACCGAGAACACGATTTCGCGTGCAGAACAAGGCGATTCAGACATCTAAGGAAAAACCTGTCTGCATAAGAAAGCCAATTTAAACTCTGGAAGGAAAAACTTAACCATCTGTCGACGCGAACTGGTCGCAGAACATATCAGGCGTTCCAGATCTAAAAAGGTACACTGAAAATAATAATCAGCATTCGATATTTGAGATGAGTCTGGTTGAATGCAGGTCTTAAGTGTCTCTATTAAACTGGTCACAGTGAGGAGCGGGCAGATTGCACAAGTTGCACTCAGCCACGCTGAAGAAGCTTCCTTCAGATTTGTCTATAAGAGAAATTGTATTCATGTTTTGGCACATTGCACAGACGTTCGAATGCGATGGTTATAATAATGTTGTGCCATCAAAATATCAGTACGATTCCCCCAATATCCCAAGAAAAAAAAGTACTCAAGCCCAACTACTGAGGCGCAAGCGCCCTCGTCTCCTCTCCATGCGAATGCATCGACGTAGTGACCATCGCAGTCCTCCGTAAATTATCCACGGACGGTTCGTCTACCTCAGATATCAGGCGCTGCAAGTCGGGCCTTGTGCGCATCAACCATAGGATCTGCAAAACGCCGATGGTATCGACGCCGGAGTCTCCAGCAATGGGTTTACCAACTAGCTGGTAAGCTAGGATTAAGAGTCCGATGGAAGCGCCAAGACCGACGGCTACTGGTATGAGATTGATCTGGAGAGGCATAAGAAGAGTGACTCCAATGCAGGGAATTGAAACTAACATTGAGCCTCATTGCAGTATACGGATAGGTGATGGTTGCATTTCCCGCCATTGCTGCCACTTGGTAGTTGTTGACATTCTCCACATTGTAAGGATCATCGTTCTTCAATCCACCGGCTTTCGCGTACAGGGCTGTAGATACATGTCAATGTAGAATGCGAATGAGATGTATCATGACTAACCAGACCAGTATGAAGCAGCCGTCGCGCTCGCGAGCGAATTCTCCAGGCCGTGTAGGGTGACGACGGGTGCTGGCCGTACAGGACTATCTAATAGTATCGGATGAAGGCCCAGGTCTTCCATGACAAATCTATGGGAAGCGATTCAGAATTGGAAGCTTACGGAATGGTCAAGCTATACATACTGCTCGACCACCGTTAGGGGATTGCAAATGTCGGGGTTCGACCACGGGAACCCAGGACAATCGTCAGTCGATGGAAAACGGCTCGTGGCAGCCTGGTCGAAGAGATTCCACCACTGAATCGTGCGTGAGTTTATTGAACACACAAAGAAAGAGCTTAACGTACGACATCAAGGAAGACATTCGACATGTCGTACCATGAAACAGACCCGAATTGATCACCAGTAACAGTATCCCCACTAGCGGTTGTTGGAGAGTTCAGAGCAACGTTATCACCACTAGTTGGTTGAGAATTGGGACCGCCAGCCTGTCCTTGTTGACCGTCTCCGCTTGATTGCGAGCTCCCAATAGTTGTCGACGGATTATCAGTTCCCGGCTGCTGAGGAGCAGGATTCGGATTCGGGTTGGGGGCAGGCTGTGGTTCTGACGCAGGCTGTGGGTTTGCATTCTGCGGCTGTGGTTCTGACTGAGGTGGTGGATTCGCTTGCTGGTTTTGTGGAGGAGCCACTTGAGACGGAGGGGCAGGCTGAGGATTGGGATTTTGCGGCGGTGGCGGCGGTCGTGGAGGAGCAACGGGTTGTGGATCAGGATTCTGAGGGCTTGGCCCAGCTTGAGGATTAGATGGTTGCTGAGTGGGTCCTGCAGGCTCTGATGGTTGGGTGGATGGGTTTTGTGGTGCGGGATGTGGCTGCGCAGGAGCAGCGGGTTGTCGATTAGGATTCTGAGGATTTGGTTCACCTGCTTTCATGTCGGGATTCGCGGGCTGAGAATTTGGATTTTGAGGTTGAGGCGCTTGCGTCGGCTGTGTTCCAGCAGGCGGGTCTTGCCTTTTGTTGTGCGACGCGATAGGATTGGGTGTAGCGGTCGGGGCATCGCGACCAAAGATGGTAGTAACACCATCTGGTGAGGAGGATACAGTGGCGTTTGCAGGGACAGTTTCAGGATTCCACTGTGACCAGGTGGATGATATTTTGCGACCGGAAGGATAGATACGTTGAAGGAGATGAGACTGCGCGTCGACGGTGGCAGTTTGGTTGATCAAAGTGACAGTACAACCTATGACTTGCATTGTATAAACGATTGCCTCGTCGAAGTAGCTCACGTTTTCTACTCAAGTATTAGGCTACAGAAGGGATAGATAGCTATAGGACTCACTCCGTGACGAGTCCATATACGTTCCTGGCTGCATAGGCGGTTTCAGGCCCACAAGATTGCCTTTGGAGCCATGAGAGTCAGTGATGTTTGCTGAGGTGTAGAAAACCGCATGACGCCACTGCGTACAGACAATCAATAATCAAAATTGTTACCGACACCAGATAAGACATTGACTAACGGGATCCCTGAAATTGTAGCTGTAGTACGGCAGCCACTTGAAAGTGTTGGGAGCTATGGAAACGACGGTGAGAAACGATATTTCCATTGCTTGAACTTCAAACTCACCGAGCACAGGAATAGGCTGGACGTGATCATCGTAAACGGTATCGACAGACCAGTTTCCAGTATTAGTGATTGGTTTTATTGACGCGCCATCAACGAATCCACAGGTGACATTGAATGTCAGGGCGTTAACAAAAACTTCACCCTCCCCCTTGTTATTTGAGAGCACATCATATAGCGTTCCATTTTCCAGACCGATCTTCGATATGCGATCACTATGAGACAGATACGGAATTACTGGCGTGGAGTCCAGCCAGAAGCTTGAGGGATTGGAAGACCCACTAACGTACGAAGGCATACATCAGCTATCATAGCAACGAAAAGATGCAGAGTTAGATACGTACAGGTTGTTTATGGAGATGTTAGGTGGTCCAAGAGTAGTAGATATCACAGAATGGCGTGATGTGTTGAACGGCTGAAGGCTAAAAAGGGCTGGAGCAGTGACGTGCAACACCCCGACGCACACAAAATATGCAGAGACAAGGAATACCCCTACGACGGTCGCCGCGATTGTCGTTTGGCGCCAAAGAGCCATCAGCGCTGCTCCGAGACCAGTCCACGCGGACATATTGTCATGCGTCGCGGTTAGTGTCTGTCTCGCATGCAGATTTCGACGCGTCGCTAGTTGCTGGCTGATGAAAATGAGGACGGATAGATATATCTACAAAGTAAGAGTCAAGATATCGATCCAATTTGGGAAAGAGAAGTCCTACAGTTGCGAATATTTGAGAAACTTGAACTATGGCGGTAGATATTATGTTGCTTTTTTGTCTGATTGGAACGACGATCTTGTGTTCGAAGCGTGTGAACCATACAAACAAGAGAAGAGTATGAAGGATGATAAGGACTGCGTGAAGAGCAAAACAAAGTCCATGAAGTAACCAGGATTTCTTCGGTCGTTCGACGTGATCATCATATGATAATGGATCGACATGCTAAAGTTAAACGTCAATACGGCATGTTAAAAGTTAAATTGCTACCAACCTCGGTCTTGTATTCTGGGGGTGTCGTCGGAGGGTGCTGAGGGTCTTCAAAAGGACTGTAGAACACTGTCGCCATCGTTCCTGAAGCTTACTTCCATACGACCAAGATCTTATATGCGTGTAGATGACTACAAGCACAGCCCGATTCGAACAGACATTGTCTTGCAGTTCAGGAATCGGGCAGAAGTTTCAGACGAGATAAATTCATTCGTCCAATTGAAAGATAGGGTGCCAAAGGAAGAAAGAAATGGTCTTGAGGATAGCGAGACTTGAGAATTCGATTGAGTCACATAGCACTGGATTCAGATTCTAGGGGTCGTCACTGATAACTTCGTTTGTTCTGATCGAAAAATCGTATTTTCTAGTAGGTTTTTATCACAAGGTAAGGCCAATCTTTCAGGGAGATGAACCGAGGCAGGCCCAGGAAAGAAAAGAAAACCCCTAATCTTTCAGTCTATCTGGACTTCAGTAAACGTCGATCAGACAAGAAAAAGGACTAATTCCCATCGATGCTCTCCGGCGCCAGAATCAAACTTGGCGGGCCAATCCTACATGCAGTTTGTCCAACGGGTGCAGAGTGTCTGAAAGAAGCCAAGGGCAGCCACTAGATACAAACAGACACAAATCTTGTGCCACAGGCGCGTCTTCCCGCATCGCGTGCTTGCCACGCTTTGCCCATCCTCTTTCACGTCCTCCTGGCTCCCTCGTTCCGCCTTCACTTTCAGTATTTTATATGATCTCAGCATACTCTCTGCGACGACAACGTGTCTGTCAAGAAGCCCAGACCGAATCACCCTTTCATCAATGATCTCGCGAAGCCTGACCTGCTGGAAGGGAATATTCAAAACATTCATCGCCCGTATGATCTTAAGATCTCTCTTCTCATGGTGCCTTCACCTTTCCTTCTTTGCTTTTCGCAATTGCGGTTGCTAAGTACTTCTTATATGACGCAGGCCTTGAAACGATCACATACAATGCCATATGAAGAGACGCTCCGGACGTATCAAGCGGATCTCATTTGTCACTATTCGCCAGCCGCGATCGAATACTTCTCTCGGTGGACGGATGTTCTGTGTGCATCACATGTATGTTTTTCTTTTAGTATTTGTGATCTTTTTGAGCAATTATCTCTGTAGGTAATTATAACCGCACTGGTGTCGGAATACGCAGGAAGACTATCGTTGGTTTTTGTTTCTCAACTACTACAACTAAAAGTAGTTTCGCTTCATTGAACGACGTGCGACGGACTCAGGCATTTGGCACACGCAAGGAACGACAGGATCCTTTGCTTCCGATTCTCCGGGTCTGGGCCCTCAGTTCCTCGGGCCGGGAGACAAAAACCAGCCTGATAAGATTCCAGCTCCGATTACAGAGAGATCTGTCATTGGCTCTGAGGAGAACAATAGAAGACAATAGGGACGTGGATTGGCCTACAGCTATAACTGTGGACAATAGAGGGATTGGCGTATCTCTTTTTACCTCCACCATCCCCTCGAAAATCCCTTCTCGACTGCAGCGTCACCGATTGCTCGACCCTCGCTCAGGAAGTTCAATGGATCCGACATCGCTTCATACACTACTTATGGATAGTAGCTTGTCTTCCCCGTGACAACCTTGTTCCGCCACGAAAAGTCTTTGTTTTCAGTATCAATCTAGTGCGTCTTTCTTTTCAAAATGCAAGTCCGAGTGCCTTAACAACTTGTTCCTTAGCCTTGTATTATGCCCAAGCTCCCAGCCTAGGTGCAACTGACTGCGCAGAATATCTTAGGAACAAGATTCTACTTTGTATCGGAGGCCATCGGCAAGCAAGGATGCATGGTCCCTGTTATCACCCTGGGACCTACTCATATCGTCATTTTCCATCGAAGCCGTACGATGATGACTCTGCCATAATAGGTCGTATCAACAAAGTAAGTTCCTAATCGGTAACCATCCCCATGACGGAACTCATGATTGCAAAAAGTATCATGAAAGGGACTTCCATATTGGGACTGAAGGAAATGCCCGGATTCGGCCTGGTCCTTGAGCGTCTCCAGACTTTGATGGCACAAGGGATACACCAAATCGCGTACAAGGAGAGAGACCGGGTTTTCGTTCTTAAAAAGCAGGCGGTGAGTGATTTTTTTTTCTCACCTCCCCATCACCGATTTTTATTGTCGCGCAGGAGCTCCTCCCGACCAACCCTCGCCATGGCCTACCCAAACTATGTCTTCTCCATCTTCGCCTTTGTCGGCTTCATCATCAGTATGGTTCCGCTACCCTGGCATTTGGAAGGTGCGCCAAAAAAAGCCTATTCTTATTCAGAAGTTGACTAACAAACATCGCTAGCATGGAATATTGGGACATGCTCGTATATGCTATGGGTCGGAGTCGGGTGTTTGATGTACTTTATCAATTCCATCGTCTGGAACGGGAATGCTATAAATTGGGCACCTGTTTGGTGTGATATCTGTAAGTCCTGTCGGACTACCTAGAAATTTCCGATAGCTAACCTTCTATAGCGACTCGGTATATCATCGCCTTGACTGTCGCTATTCCTGTCTGTTCCCTGTGTATCAACCGCCGACTATACTATATCGCAACATCGGATACGGTCATGCACTCTAAGAAAGAGGTGGGTTGATCCTGCGGTTTGATGTTGATCGAGCGCTAAAGGCGTTTTGCAGAAACGCCGTGCGATCATCATTGATTTAGCGATGTGTATTGGTGTGCCAGTGTTTGAGATGATTATCGGTGTGTTACATCGACCCCTTTTTTCTCAGGACATGTGGATCTGACCACGCTACTAGCCTACATCCCTCAAGGGAACCGTTTCAACATCTATGGTGATTTCGGCTGTGCCCCTGCCATCTATCAGACCTGGGTCGCAGTAGTCCTGTACCTATTACCTCCCATTCTTATCGGTTGTGTCTCGGCGGTGTATTGTGGTATGTTGCTATCATTCCTAATCGTTTGATTGTATCTCATCATATGATCTCTCTAGTTCTGACCATCATTGCATTTAACCGACGCCGCTTGCAGTTCAAGGAAGTCCTGTCTGCTCATTCGAACTTGAGCTCGAGTCGCTACTACCGGCTTATGTTCATGGCATCCGTGGACCTCATATTGACGGTTCCCCTCGCAACTTACGTTCTCGTAATGAACACGCACAATTTGCAGCCCTGGATCAGCTGGGAGAATGTACATTACGATTTCTCTCGTGTGGACCAGATACCGTCAATTCTCTGGAGGTCAGTGTCAACAGGAACGCTGATCGACCTGCAGCGGTGGTTCGTTGTCATGGGCGCCTTCGTGTTCTTCTTGCTCTTTGGCTTCGCGGACGAAGCTAAGAAGCACTATCGCGCCGCCTTTAGTTCGGTTGTCAAGCGTGTCACCAGCACTTCTCTCGGCTCTACGACTATTGGGTACGTAGGGTACACTCTACTAATAGGATATTTGCTGACATCTGTGCTACAGTTCGAAATGGTCGTCCAGTGCCAATGGCAGTCTACCTGTCTTCATCGAGAAGAAGGTCGTCAAGAAGCACGACTCTTTGGAGTCCTTCACCGACATGTCGTTGTCACATTCCAACGACTCCAAGGAAAAGTCGTTCTCTGGCGATGTCTCCTTTGGCGCGTACTCTTTTGCTGATGTGGGCGGTGCCCTCAACAGTCCTGCAAAGGACCCCTTCGCACCCAAGTCTGTTGTCGCCTCTTCCTCCTCTTCCGTGATCTCAGATTCATCTTCCTCGACACCGCCGAAATACACTTCCCAGGAGGACCTCACCATTGAGATCTCCTCTGTTCGTCGTCTTTCTATCATCGAACCTGCCGCCCCACCGCGCACCTTGGACCTTTCCAATATTCCAAGGCACTCGGTTGACCTACCAAAGCCAGTTGGAGCGAATACACCCGATGTTGTATGATGGTGACCAAAACGGCGATACCCTTTTCCCACCACGACCACATGCGCAACCACCACTCTCAAACTGTATTTTTAGGGCCAGTCTTCCTCACGTTCTCTCATTTTTACGGCTCTACAGAGAGCACAGTAGCTTACAGTCTTTGCAATATCCCTATTACTATGTATTTGGTAGATTTATCATTTATCCGCCTTCATTGTGTCTACTATATCACATTGTCACCTCGGTTTTCGTGTTGTTGGATAGGATTCCGTGGAATGCAAATACAGAAAAAATTGAATATCCACCCCCCCCCGGTCCCTTGCCCTTGTATTTGAATGCGAGTTTCTATGCAGCGGTGGCGGCCGACATTGCTTGATTGGAAACCATCATGACCGAGTCGCTTCCGCAATTAGAGCGGGAATATATTGCGAAATTAGTTGCGACCCTCAATGATATTCTGACCAACTGCCTTGTCGCTGTCTACCTTTTCGGGTCTGCGTCGTATGGCGCATACGAGCCGGGAATCAGCGACCTTGACGTGCAGGCCATTATTTCCTCCCCTCTACCCCGGGCTACCTATTGGAAACTCGCCACACAGCTAGGCCACAGTGCTATCCCATGTCCCGCTCATAAACTTGAATTTGTCCTATACACCAAAGACGCCGTCAGAGCCGCTCATCCCCAGTTCGAACTAAATTTCAATACCGGTGATGGGATGACAGATTATGTCTGTCTCGACCCCTCTCAAGAAGCGGCGCGCTGGTTTCTTCTTGACATCGCGTCTGGTCGAGAGAAGGGGGTGGCACTTCTGGGGCCGCCTCCAGCCACAGTGTTCGCTGAGCCCCGACGTGATAGGGTCGTTGCTGCTATCGTTGACTGCATTCATTGGCACCTCCAGCATGAACCTACAAGCGCCAATACTATAATGAATGCTTGCAGGGCCTGGCGGTTTGTGGAAACAGCAAACTGGGGGTCAAAGCTGAGGGCGTGGAATGGGCCACGGAAAATCTCGAGCCAGAGGTACCACGCGTCAGTCTTGCACGCCGAGGTCACGTAACGTTGTTGTCAGGAGAATGCGACCAGTTCCTTGACCTTGTTCTGACGCGTATCCGGATTCGGGGATCCTAAAACGGTACCCGAGAGCGATGGCATGAATATATAACATCAAAAGAAATTAATCTATCATTTGCAGTGGGGACGCTATCGTATGCTTAAATACTCAAAGCAGTAAAATATTGAGCAGGCGGACATCCGACCATCTATTGGAATGGTAGTGTTTCACAGTCTATATCTGGATGTCTGCAAGCGAATACCCATATCAGCGAATACGGTCATCCAAATATGTGCTATTGGTCGTACCTTTCCCATTGTAGGACACGTCCAACCCCTCCCCTTTGAACGCTCTCAAACGATCGAGAAGATCACTTTCAACATTCTCAAGACCCGTTGTTATCGCGACGCGACGCAACAAAGTACCAGGATGCCATCGAGCCTCGATGAAGGCAACAGCGGAGAAGAGGAAGGATCGTGGGGGTATTTGGAAAGGTCTGTGAGGTACTACGACCAGAGTGAAAGAGTGCAATTGTGGAAACAGAATGGTAGAAAGTTCGCCCATAATGGAGTAGTAGTTCGGTCCGATGAAAGGTACGAAAAGTGTAAGATGCTGAAGGTTGCATGACTGACTAGAAAACTGACGGAAGACATTCAATAGATTCGGTTCCGATCTCTTCACCTCGAAGATAGTCACCGAAAGTATCTGCAACGCTGGACATACAAGATACTGAAGCAAATCAATATCTTTGATGTTCAGCGAGCGCAGCGTTTCATGAGTGATGTGGGTCGATGACAGACTACTTGATCCACGTGTTGTGATGCACCAAGGCGTCGCATAGCTTTCGAGTCCTTTCAATTGGGATAAGAAGGTGAGATGGTCACCGACGGTAGTAGGATAATCATCTCGAAAATGAATGAGACGTCGCCATGGAGGTGGGTGCGAGAACAAGGAATGAGCAACAAGATGAAGGGTAACATCGCGGATACTTGGAGCCAGGAGGAATGGTTCCAGCGTTTCTTCGGGTAACGTACCCAATCCGCATGGTGCGAGATGAAGGCGAACGAGTTTGGATAGAAGGCGGCCGTCGATTTTTCTTATATCAGGAACGAGGTCAGGAGAAATGGAAAAATGTACGTCCTTCCAACGGTATGACTGAGAAATCAAGATGCGGATGAGCTGGGAGTCAGTGTCCAGAGGAACACTACTCAGAGAATATCTGATGGACAGATCCTTCCGCCTCGATAGGTTCAGAGCATCTTCAAGAATATTGAGAAGAACATGTTCTTCATTCTCTGGCATTCCAAGCTGAGGGCTGCCTTCCAATGATAAGGACGCCCAAAGTTCAGCACTAGAGCGTGAAACAGCTCGCCAACGTCGACAGACGCGACCCAGAAGCCATGGACTCTGTGACATGTCAAATACAGGGAAGAAATCTTCCACCGTGTGTTTGAAAACCTCTACCAAAAGTTCTGTAGGGAAAGTTCGAAGAGGAGAGAGAATTGACCGGTAGGTATCAATAAGCCGTTTTAGATGAGCTTTATCAACTTCAGCAGGCTCCCCAGACGCGTTTAGTTGTTCGAGACGATAGGAATCAGTGTTTAGCGCCTCTAATAGGCCAGTGCGATCCGATTGTGAAGGGGGGTCATTGCTGTGGAAGAGATGTCCATACGACCTGGCGCGATCGACAAGGACTGGACCGATATTGTAGCGCTGAGTATATCCGGAATTTTCACTATACATTTTCAGGATAATACTGAATAAAATTAGAGCGACATACCTAGGCATTGTGGGAGAACCCTCGATTGTGGTGTCCACGTAGTAACCTGCAGGTAAAGACGGAGGGTCGGAGGTACGTCCCGAAGGTCCGAAATGGTTTTCATTTTAGTGGCACGGCCACCACCGCTCAACTTAAAACACGGCCAGATCCCATCTAGGTTTGAGAGTCTAGGTCAGCTCTAAGAATTAATTCTTCAGTCAAGAGTCTGAACCAATTTTACAGAATCACCTTCTTACGATGGATTTCCTTCATCCTGACCACCCTCTTTCTCCATTCGCTTCCCTCCTTTCTACCAACGATCCTCCATCTGGTACTGAAACCAAAGCAGTAGCAGAGTTTTTGCCAGACCATCTCAAGAAACTTTCCAAATACGATGAAGAGATCGCCAGTGTCACTGCTTTTAAATCGACGCACTAATGAGCGTCGACACCTGCAGCAATATGACACTACTCACCAAGGCATCTTGTCCTGCATCCGAACATTTCCCACTGAAATTCTGGAAAAGATATTTATGCAAACGGTCGATAATCACTATGATGTTTTTGACACGAAACGAGGCCCTTGGGCCCTGGGACACGTCTGTCGCCGTTGGAAGGATATCTCACGATCATATCCTGCTCTTTGGACTGCATTGGCAATCGAATCCCTTCATCTACAGCCCGAAAGCCGTCGGTCCTACCTCCCTGAAATCCTCGAGGAAGTATTGGTCTTGACCGGCAATCAGGAACTGGACGTCAGGTATTCCTTGCAGTCGCTGATCGTGAATGACGGCAACACCCACCGCGGTCGTTCGAAAGTACTTTGGGGTGATCGAAAGTCCAGTTTTTGGAATGTCTTGCAGGGACTGTTCGACATGTTGGTCGGTCATTCCATGCGGTGGAGGAGTGCCAGTTTCGTCGTCCCATGCAAATTAGGCGGCCGTAGACTACGGCAGGCGAAGGGGAGGCTCTCATCACTGGTCAGCTTTGACCTCTCGCTTTGTGAAGGACTAGGGGAAGGCGTCCATTTCGATAGCAAAACGCTTGATGCATTGTCTATCCCGCCAAAGCTCCAGGTCTTGACCGTCACCGACGTGCCCATCGACGTATTGCCGTCTCTTCCGTGGTCACAGATGCGCTACTTAAGCCACGATTTCCTGACTTCCATTGAAGGTCATTTATATCTTCTTGCCAAATCCCCGTTGCTCGAAACTTACATAGCAAGTTTCTACGATCCTTCCCCTTGGGAGGAGCTTGAACTACATTGTACACACAATCACTTACGCCGACTGGAACTGTCTTGCTAGAGTTCATCCCCGACACTCCTACTGTACCTGACATGCCCCGTCCTCGAAGAACTTTCTTTGTATGTCCGCGATCCAGATCATCTCTCGCAGACGCTGTACGAGTTTAGCGATCGTTCTGGTTGTTCCCTGCGCCAGCTCTCTGTCAAAGTCAGATACCCCGGAAACCTACGTTTTCAACGTTCATTTACGTCTAAAATGAACGGATGGAGTCATGTGTTATTTCCTGGATTGGCGGTACTCAACATGATTATTGAGGACGGTGGAGAGGATACCCCAGCCTTACTCGAAAGGCTCACAGATATCATAAATGTGCGTTGGAACGCGGGTACTTGTGTCGGGTTACGGTCGTTGTCGTTAGTCATCGATCAAGATAACTGGACAGAATCAGAAGTCGAAGGCCAGATCGGAATCCTTCAGAAGTTCAAAGAAGATGGTTTAGATGTTACTCTGAAGAGGAATGGTTTGTGTTCTATCTACGTGCATTACAGTTGAAGGCATTGCAATCTCATTAACCAACGCAGACAAGCAAGAAGTGTAAGGATCGCACCAGTGCGGAGGGCAAAACCGAAGGGGTGTCCTTTTTGTCTATGATTGTACTCAATGCTCGCCCGTAATTCTTCACGACGGTGGTGCTCGTTCGACGCCAGAGGCCGACTTACAGTAGCTAGGCCCCCTTCAACCAGAATTCGAAATCATGCAAGATCACCACTTTCAATTCGAATCGCGTTGGTAACCAAATTCCGTGCCATTAAGCAGGAATCCTCGAAAAATGATAACAATACAGTGCAGGTGTAAGAGTAATATTTACAACGTGCAATTCCCCACTCTTCCCAATAATGATAAAAAGAAGACGTTAATCGTCGCGAAAGTCGAATGGTTTGCGGGTATCGCCATGGAGTCAAAAAAAGCCGGACATCCGGATCTCCCCTTCCCACCACCACCACCACCGTCGACAAAGTCGACATTCCAATCCAAAACTGTTGTACGAATATAGACGTGAGTTATTCACGTATTAGAAAGCCGAATAATAATTCTGTGGATGGAAGAATAAGTAAGGCGTCGTCGACATCGGTAGGAAAACGTACTTCGAAAAATGAAGGATGAGAGCGAAGCGAACGCTCAGGTGCGCAATCATGAGATGACGCAGCCGCTTGTTGAAGAAGTAGATGAAGCCTCGTTGTGAGGTAGCATGTCTCTGTCGACGTCGACAACCTCTGCCTGGTTGATGATGATGATAGCTGGGCACTCTTCGAAGCAATCCATGATAGTGAGGATGAGGGATGCAGAAAGCACGGGTTGCAAAAATGGGCAATGGAGTGAAGCTGGAGTAACGGCAGTTGACTCGACCAACTTTTATATCGGTCTTGACAGCTACCTTATTGTACTCGCTGTCTCAGACCAGACGGCCAAAGCTTATTGTGACATCTTAATCAGCACACATTAACCCCAACGCGTCTCGGGTTAAGTCTAGAAACCAAGCGTTAACAATAAAAGCGTGATTTGACCGTTACCTGCCGCCTGACAAATTCCGCTTTGACAAAAAGATGAGAATCGGTGCCTAGTCGGTAACCTTGCCTAAGAAGGCAAGTCATTCTGGTCCCGCGGATGCGCAATGTTAAATGAACGGCAGATCATCAATCCTGGTATTCAAAGACAATAAAGACGGTAATGCTAGTCCGACAACCGTCCGCGAGGCCTCGAGGAACTGCCAACGTTTCACTCATCATCCGCCTCCCCTTCGACGGTATTGCCCATGTCGAGCTTCCTTTTACGTCCAGGTATCGCTTTACCATCACCAAAACCCACGCCCGCTTTCTTTCGTAGCACCTCAAGGTCCTGTTCAGCTTCCTCAGCCCACTCAAGGACCAGGTGCCGGCCCAAAAGATGAGTGTGACGCAACGCGGCATAGGCATTTTCCGCTTCTGCTCTGGAAACAAAATCAAGGAAGGCAAAACCACGCGTACGGGAGTCAAACTTCTTTGGAAGACGGACAGATTTCAGCTGTCCATGTGAACTGCGCGAAAAAAAAAAACAATAAGTGATATAATTCCTGATGAATAAGGGAGGTACTAACCCGAAAAGCTCCCGGATGTCCTTCCGAGTTGCTTCAAACGGCACATTTTTCACGATCATCTTAGTCGTCCGACTCTTCGAGGTGGTATTGTCTTTACCGCGCCCCTCGTCCTCTGCGCCCCGGCCGGCGAACTTAATGTGCAATGCATGTCCATCCAAAACAAAACCTTGCATACTCTTCATCGCCTTCCGAGCCCCTTCAACGTCTTTAAAGCCTACAAACCCATAACCCATACTCAACCGCCCATCAGGCCGCTTAGGGTCCGGCTTGGTCTGCACACGGGCAAAAGAAAAGGAAGGTAGGTTACGGAACATCTGGTTGAGGCGTTCTGTTGACGTAGAAAACGCCAGATTCTTGACAAATAGCGTCGAGCCTTCGGAGAGAGAGGGCTCTCCTGCAGCGGCATCTTCAGCTTGTTCGGGGATAGTGATAGCGTGAGAGGAAGAAACATGAGTTTTCGACGCAGTGGCAACAGGAGGGGCATCTGAAAATATGCCGAGGGGGCCCTTTTCCAGATAAACGATGGAATTACCAAGCCGACGATATGCAACAGCACGAAATGCCTGGCTCGCTTCATCGGGTCTGTCAAAATCAACTACTGCCATCGTACCCGCAGGAGGTACAAGGACGCGCGTGAGTGTCCCGTGAGGCTCGAATAGTTGTCGTATCTGATCCTCATTTGTTCCATAAGGAATATTTTTGACGAGGATGGTTGTTTCCGAACGAGCCCGCGATGAAAAAGATGATAGAACGACGCCCTGAGATTCCAGATATGACTTTGTTTCCTGAATGATGTGCGTTTCTGCAAGGGCAAGTTTGACGGCGGCATTATCCGACGACTCTGGGTTCAATATATCGGATTTGGCGATGTTCATGCGGTCGGCAATAGATGAAGCCACTGCATCACTCTAAACAATAGATATCAGCCTGAGATAAGGAGGGACCAAGGAACAGGCATACATTCATGTAAAGCATACTCCAATTAAAGTCTTTGCTGGCGGCAGCCTTGCGCTTCGCATTCTTCTCATCCTTCAGAGTTCGTTTCTTTCCGTCCGCCTCTTCCACTTGATAGGCGCTCTTACGATCGACCGCAGCAAGGATATGCAGCAGACGACCTTGGAAGGACTTGCGGTCCAAAGCCTTGTATGCAGAGACAGCGTCGGCGGCCCGTGCAAATGTAATATATGCTAGTCCCTTTGATTGTTTTGTCTGCGCATCAAGAGGTATGTGAACCTGTCGAAATAAAGTAAATGAGCACACAGTACAGATATCGCAGACATAGCGAGGAGAAATTCAGAAAATTATTTCTACTATCGGTTATCCCAAAGGAATCAGCATTCTCGCGAGTCTGATGTCCCTATAATGGTTGTCATCCTGGTATAAAATAGAATTGACCGTACCTACGACGAAAATAACGTTAGCATGAGTTTTTCACAAAGTCACAATAAGAAAATAGAATCAGAAAAATTTCTACTATCGGTTTCCCATAAGGATCAACATGCTCGTGAGAGTCTGATGTCCCTATTTATATTGTCATCTCGAACTACGCAACCCCGAAAGCACTGCAAGGATAGCGAGTAAAATCTCACCTGAGATATCTCCCCATATCTACTAAATAGTTCCTGAAGCTCGGTGTCTGTACATGAGAAAGCAAGATTCCGGACAAAAAGACGCGACGTTTGTAGTATGGTCTCTTCTGTCGGATCCTTCGGGGCCTCAGGTACGGCAGGCGTGGTGGAGGCCTATTCAACAATGAGCACAATACGCGCAACACACAGAACTGAACAATTACCTCTCCAGTGTAGAACAGGTTCCTCGTCATCAGGTTGTTCGAAGACCCTCTCAACTTCGTCCACTTTCTTCGACAGGTGCCGTTTCATCCAATCCAAGTCTGACAAACCTTCCTGATTCACTGGCTCCGTATCCGGCGCGTTCACCTCAGGATCCTGCATATCCATGTCCAGAGTACGTGAACTTGTCGATGCCTCTTGCTGTGCTTCATTAGCCCACGAGGGTCCTTTCTTCGTCCGCGGCTGCATAACTTCCATGAACTCGTCCAAACGCGACTCCTTCGCTGACTTGGCTTTATCCTCTCTGACAGCCGTCTTCGTAGTTGGCCTCGTTGACTGCTTAGAGGGCATATCAGCAGGAGGATCTAGTCGTGGCCGTTTATTCGGTCGAGGAGCTGGTGCATCCTTGGCACCCTAGAAACTCCAGTCAAATGTTATTTTTCTGGAGTAAAAAAAAGAGGAAAAATTGGAGACTCACCTCGATAACATTGACGAATATTCGTGCAGAGTCAATGAAGGTTTTGTCAAACCATTCCTTCGCTGCTGAGGCCTCCTCCTCCGTTTTGTAGCCGACGAAACCGAATCTACGTGAAGTCCCATCTTGCTTGTGAGCAACTTTGAGGTCAGTAAGGGTACCCTGAGGGCAGCCTTTCTGTTCAAAATGCTTCCGAAGGCGCTCTGGTGTGATGTACGGTGGTAGATTCTTTACAATGAGACGGGACATGAAAACCTATGAAAATTCGATGAAAAAACTGGGTTAAAATAATTCAAGCTCCGCCCGGAACTAACGGTCCGAAGGCAATGTACGTCATCTCCAGTCACCAGCAGACTTCAGAAATTAACTCCAGGTTGCTCCCGAACGTTCTCCTACGTTCTTTGTGTTTTCTCTGCTGCGCTCGCAGAAATCCACTCCACAAGACGAGGGCGGTCCTTTTCTCTTTTTCTCTATAGCTCTGGCTGCATTCAACCCCTCCTTCAAGTATTTCGACATGTTCGCTTCACTGAACCGTGTCGCGGTAGGCCAAGATATAATTTCCAACTATACCCAGCTAATTGCACTCATCAGCGCTCCGTATCCATTTTGTGAGCTTCTTAAGCTTCTTTACAATCAGGATCTCACAAAGTCTCTCAGTCACAATCCTGCTTCACCCCCATCTCTAAAGGCTCTTGAACTTCTTCAGAAGGCAGTATCTGGACCTTATCCTCCTGACACAGCTTCGAATCCCCCTCTTTACTTCAATTTGGATGTCGTGGAAGGACCACCAACTAAGGATCAGCTAGAAACTATCTCGTCATATGTCAAGACATCTGGGCAACAACCTGCCTCCTCTATATTCCTTTCAGCCCATCCTTCATCTCCTTATGATGGTAATCAGCCTCTCACATTTGGCGGTGTCGCTCAGGCCATTTCGCACAACCCAAACGCGCTCAAATGGCCCATCGTAGTTGATTGGTTTGGTGGAAAGGCCAGTGTAGGCGATGTTGAAGGAGTCAAGAAGATTCTAGAGGATTTAAGGAGGGAGCGAGATGAAGTACGTCCAGAGGAGAAGGTCGAGACATCCGGTAAGAGCTGGTTCAAGATATGGTAAACAAAGGGAAAGGGAAATCAAGCATTTATCATACTGTACAAGTACATAATTCGGCTTCGCACACATCTCACTCTACTTACACGTCTGTACATCATGTTTGTATAACAGCGCTCTCAGATATATCATCACGAGAAGTGAAGACCGGTTCAGGAATGGTGAGCGGCAGCCCAGCCTCCTTCCAAGCCCGGAAACCTCCAATGATATCCGTAGCGTTCAACAAGCCCAACTCCTGCAGTGACACCGCCGCAAGACTACTGGTGTATCCTTCTTGGCATATGACAATCGTCCTCAAATCGTAACGATCAACGATGGGTAACCGATATTCAGATCGTGGGTCGAAGCGCCATTCCAGTACATTGCGCTCGACGATGATGGAACCCTCAATAAACCCCTCTGCCTCCCTCTGTGCAACTGGCCTGATATCAACCAAAACAGTTGGTACATGATCCTCAAGAATGCGAAGCTCTTCGTACGCATTCTGCGGTGTGAGTCGCTGTAGCTTTGCCCGGGCGTTGATAAGCCTCTCTTCTATTCCCTGCGAACCTGGTGGAGAATGCAACGGATCGATGGGTGTGCGAGCGGATTTACGCAGAATATCCCAGATGGCAGCGGTGTCGTAGGCGAACATGCCTAGGTCTTTGATGCCTGCTATCCACATGGTTACATCTATGGTTTTGAAGGACGCGAAGCGGTTCATGAATTTGGCTCGAGCAAGGATTGAGGCTCTGCTGCTAAAGTCCATCGAAGAGGCACAGACGAGGAGGTACCCAACCGGATCTGTTCCTCGATACGGCCCTGTGGTTGCGACGGCGCATATATGATTGTGTGTGGCGAGATTGAGCTGGATATTCTGGCCAATCTCGGTTAGGAATTCTATGTCGTCCGATTTACTAGATGTCGACAACACAGAGATTCTAGCCTCTGGTCAGTTTAGGCGGCCGTCTATTATAGTTTCGGGGTGTAATTACCGTCGAGGATTTCAAATCTCTGCATCACACGTACCGCGATTTCACTGGCAACAATAGCGCGAACATCAGAGAGTGTGTATCGTTGCTTAGCATTCGAAGGCCCGATAATTATTTCTCCAAGGGAGCTATATGAAGAAGTTGACATATTGTCCTTTCCCTAGACGCCTCACGGCCTGCAAAGAGCTAAAACGTGACTTTTGTTATACTCTAAGATGCAACAGAATAACCAAAGGGAGACATACCTCCAATCTACCACACTTAACCAGAAAAAATAAGTGGAGGTGGTGGTTGGTGGTCAAGGAGCCGGCCCGGTGCCTTCGCGATTTGAATTATTTATTTATTTAAATAATACTACTAACAGATGAATAACACCGAATTGATGATAAGCACTTGGATACTTCCACGACAAAATACCTATATTCATTATCCTGCTTCTTGAAATGCATGGAATACAACATCTTGGACATATTTAAAGCAACCTGTCCCTTCGGCCGATAACTTTTGGTTATTTCGGACTCAAGAAGACGTGATTTGCGGAACAGATGACCATTTGTCTGAAATACGCCGGCCTCTGACTCATACTCATTTCTGCACCATGATTTCGACAAGATTGACCAGCCTTTTGGGTGCGCTTTGATTGACTGATAGGTTGTTCAGACATCCTGATGGCACGGCAGACATCAAGACCCCAATCGTCGGGGCGCCTATGGCGTACGTTTCGCCTCCAGGATTCGTCTCTGCAGTATCTTCCGCGGGATCTTTCGGATTCCTCGGGGCAGGTGAGCAGGAAATGCTCAGAACTGTTACTAGAAAGTAATTGTTTGCCAGGCAATAGCAGCTCCGAGGAGCTCGCCAAAATTCTACAAACGATCCGAGCGAATTTGGGATTGCAACAGGACGCAGCGCTGCCCGTTGGTGTGGGATTCATCACCTGGATCCTCGAGAAGAACGAAGTGTCTACGGATCCGCGTCTAGCGAGCGTGCTTGAAGCGCGTGTTCAAGCGGTCTGGTTCGCTTTTGGAAAGGACATTGGAAAGTATATTCAGCAGGTCAGGGAGCATGACTCGAAGCGCGACCACAAAACGAAAGTGTTCGTCCTCGTAAATTCTGTGGAAGAGGCTTTACAGGCAGCCAACGAATGGGGAGCTGATGCATTAGTAGTGCAAGGTGCGTAGACGTCAGGAGCCCTTGCAATCTAGCCCTAGCAATCTAGCCCTAATGCTGTAATAGGCAATGAAGCCGGTGGCCATGGAGGCGCTAAGGCCCCTCCTGTAACATTGCTCTTGACGGCCGTCCTTACATCTGTACCCAAAGATGGCCCTGTCATATTGGCGGCTGGCGGCATCGCAACCGGCGCTCAAATCGCCTCCATGCTCACGTTAGGCGCGGATGGAGCCGTCATAGGGACACGGCTTTTGTTTACACACGAGTCTGGCTATCCGTCTGTGAAGAAAGAGGCGCTTGTCAAGGCTGGACTAGGCTCCACAGCAAGGAGCACAGCGTTTGATGAAATCAACAAGACGGTCGGTTGGCCTACGGGTATTGATGGAAGAGGTATCGCGAATGAGATTATCAGCGACGTGAATGAAGGGTTGAGTTTGGAGGAGAGGTTGAAGCGAGCTGACGAAGGGAAGGATAAAGGGTCTACTTCGCGCATCCCCGTTTGGGCCGGGGCAGGTGTCGGTCTGACGAATAAAATTCAGAGTGTTGAGGTGAGCCCGAAGCAAATCGTCTGAGGCCACTGATAATGATCTTTCAACAGGAAGTTATCCGTGAATTACAGGAAGAGACGGCTCGCGCACTGCAGAGAGTATCGCGGCTGCTTGTACATTAATGAAATTATACAAATGTGCGTTCACATATTGCTGATGCAATAGAGAACGAGCGCTGTCCGCGGAGGAGCTTTTCAAGTTTGAAACCCGATTTTGTTTTCAACGCCGCTCTATTGATAGTGGGCACAATTTTGTTTGCGTCACGGGTCCCTTCTGATTTCCCATCGGGGAGAGAAAAACAGTGTCTTCCAGATTTTCTCATAAAACGTATAGACCATGATAGGCTCATCCACCATTCCATAATGCTGACCATTTCCACCAAACTGACAAAATGCATGAGTGCGCCGGGTTTCATGCTAGTGACAACGCGAATGCTCAGTCACCTTGCCAGTGCTCACCATTTTCTATCCTTTTAGCTTAGCACCTCTTTTTTCTCAGCTTCCCTAGACCTGATTCGCACCATGCCAGCATGTCGTCCTCCGAAACTCTGGCTATGTTATGTTGTCCCTTAGCCGCATATAAATATGAAGGGATGAATAGTAACAAAAGACGGGACGAAAATGGTCGTGCAGTACTACAATCCGTACGACCCCCAACCATCTCCCACTATCGAGGTTTGTCGACTTTCTTTTACCCGTGCTCGGTTAATCCCCGGCTTACAGAGTAATACCCTCCATAACAAGAATGGGCCGGTGAGCCAGAAGCCTCCGAAGAAATCGTGGTTTTTTCATGGCTTGTGTTTCGTGCTCCATGGAGTCCTTGTCTGCGTCCACTTCTTCATCTTGCTTATATGGATTACTCGCATTGAGCACAAGGTCGTGTTTCCCATAGGTAAACGAAGTAACATTTTGTCTACGGCTCTCGTTCAAGTCTCCCCGATCATTTCCACCGTAAGCTGCAGCCTTTACTGAGGAAATGGAGAGTTGTATTGACAGTGTGTCCTACAGATATACATTTCTGGCCTTATCCTTGTCAGCCAACAGCTAGCCACCCGTCGTAATATTCATGCCAGACAAAGGTTAACTGCTACGCATGATAACATGTCTGCATGGTCTGGTTTGAGAGCCGCTTTGATTTCCGTTTGGCGCCAGACATCCATCGCGGCCAGCGTAGCAGGATCAGTCCTCGTGGCTGGTTGCTTCATTTGCGTCACGATTTTACATATCACTGCCCCTGCTATATTCAGCATCCAGCCATTCAACACAACGCAATACACTCGGTCCACCGAATATCTCAATCAATAATCAGTACGTATCCCGTTTTGTATTATGAAGGCCGCTTCATGTTTCGTTCATTAGCGGATCGTCAAACCCTTCGACGGCATCACTGGAAACTGGACCGTCGATACAGCTTATGATGACCATGTTCAACCCATCCCTGCTCTCGGTGAGTGTATTTAGATGCTGTGTCCTACACCAAGTTTTTATTTGTTCGGTAGCTCCGAACATATTCAAATGGTTGAGATACTATAGCTACAATTTTCAAGATCCTGTGAGTTCGCACCATTTTCGCTTTGTCGGTATTTCTGACAATCTATATCCAGTGGTGTCATTCCCTCTTCTATACATCCGCCAATATCACCGACTCGCAAGGCTCTACTGGAAAACTTGTAATCCTGAATCCACCCATGCGTCCTGGGGCACGTATGGATGCATCGCGACGTAAGTTCTCCTACATCCTTGTTGAATGTCTTCTAAGTCTATGAAAGGCAAATGTCAGCTACTTCGATGAGGCAACCGTTTACACAACGCAAGTTTTCCGGTTGCACTGTCACTCTGATCAACCAAACTGCCGTCGTCGATGCACAGTCTCATCTTCTTCAACGCGTCTATCCTCCTGGTCGGAAGACATCATCTACATGGTCACAATGGAATCCTCAAACCATCCCTGCCAACGCGACTGTATCCTCCTCACCGCAGGGTACCACGACTATATATTCCCGGTCGGAACCAACACCTTACCACATTAAGCGGCAAAGCACAAACACCACTGAGCCTAATCCAGGCTCAACGGGAGGTCCACAGCCGTAGAATCCCGACCCAAAGCCACCGCTTCCTCCACAAGCACCTCGAAACCCAGATCCAGAACCCGCACCTCCCCAATCGGATCCTTCTATCAGCAGTGAATCGCCTCCCAGTTCAGCAGCAGTCGAACTCAGATCCCGCACCTCCGTCGTCGGGCGATACGTCTTCAAGTTCCCAGTCCGGGGGGAATACGTCTCAACAGGGATCCAATAACACACCCGCTTCTGGTACTGGCAATTCGAATAGCGGCCAACAAGACAGTGGCCAGCAGAACAGTGGCGGACAGAAGAACAGCGGTACTAGTCAGCAGAGCGGCGGCGAACAAGGTGGTAGTCAATCCGCATCCGTCAGCACCACCTCTAAAGCACCATCGAACGACGGGAATACGTCGTCCAGCAAAAAGTAATAACCAACAATCGTCATCCGCTACGAACCCAACCAGTACCTCAAATCTTTCCGTGTCATCAGGCAGTACCGCCCGGCATTCCAGAGGCTACTTCGACCACATCGAGCGCCGCTCAAGCTAACAGTAGCGGACAGTTCGGAAGTGTTACATACTACGATATGTCTAACGTTTTCCTCGACGTTGTACGTTAATCCAATGTAACCCATATGCCTATCGAACTAACACCTGTTGCAGTGGTGGGAGATGTTCAGCCAGGCTGCCATTAGCCGATTCTCGTCAACAAATGACTGTCCCGGATTCCCATGGTCAAACTCCGAGGCCTGTGATCCATTGACCGTCGTTGAGCAGTACGTGTTTCGTTCCTTCACTCCCTTTATCCAATCTTAATTCTCCAAAGGTTCATTATTGAAGACCTCGGACTTCACTGTATTCTTTTGGACAGCCCCGTCCGTCCCGCACCCAAAATTACGCTTCACGATTTAGAAAACTCGCTAGCAAGTGCAACGGCAGCCTCCTACTGGACAGGTTAGTCTTATTCCCTGCCTTTATCACCTTTTATACTAACATATGTCCATGTGGCCTTATATGCCAAAGCTAGCAGACTGAAGAATGACGATCCGTATAACATAGAGAATGTTAACAACTACAAAGTGGAAGCCATGACAGACAACGCGACCATATCATATCCCTTCACTGTTACGCGTCTGAATGTAAGTCGTCCACTTTCCCACCGTTACCCTTATTTAACATTCTTCCCCAGATCAACCTCACTCCACTCCTCCTAGGTCTCGCTGCCTCTATCGGCCTTCTTCTCCTCGTATCTTAGCTAGTCGGAAAACCCATAGAGGGAGACTCTGGCATCGATACCATTGGCGTACTGCAGACCGCATGGCTAACGCGTACACGTCCAGACCTGCAGAGGATCGTTTCGGACGTCCATGAGCCTACTGTGGAGAATATGCGGGAGTCTGGAATGGTATACACGTCGATGCATTCGCATGGCAATGGCGAAACGTGCTCGTTGACGAGCGAGTGATAGTTTTGTGTCCTGTTGTTTCTTTTCTCTGGGTCTTACCAAAATATGGAATGGTGAGTATTGACTAAAGTTTCTATTGGCTACATGCCTGACGATTTTGGGTTCATCCAGTGCACAGGTCAATCATTGTAAATTATTTGTTTTATATCATTGGACCCAATATACATAAGAGCGCAAAATCGTAGCCCAAGGCTAAGATATGAGAATAATAAGGGAAGCAGTCAAGAAGTCAGTCAAACCAGGGACAGCTCCGTAATAAAACGCAAATCTCATGTAAGAAATGAGTGCGTTATAATTAGCTCATTTGGATTGTGCTGAGGAAGGGGAACTTAGTGTAAGTGGTGCACGTGCCAACATTGCAATCAAAACCCAATTTCCCAAACTCTTTCGTCTTCCCACCATCATCGATGAATCGCTGGATGAATCTGTGTAGAATTCCCCGTCTCAATGAACGACGACTGGGTCCTGGTTCGTGGACAACAACTTGACGATCTTGGATGGTGAGAGAGCGATGGACATGACCTGGGAGGTAGATACGGTTCGACACCGTAGGAGGAACTTGCTCATGGCTTATGTCGGAGAAGGGGAAAAAAATTCGCAGAGTGGGAAGGTCAATGAAGGGCGCTGGTTGCCAATCAGTGAGCGCCAGCCACCATCGCGAGGGCTATGTAACTGACTTGCAGCCATGGAAGAACGTCCAGCGTGACTTTTCAAATCTCAAAACTGCACAAGTAGAGCCGATACTAGCACTATTGTGTTTGTCAAGCAGATTTCGTAGCTGCGATAAGAGTCTGGTATGTCTGCTCTCCTCGCACTGAAATTGTGTTGACGTTCATTTCATCGACAGCCTTTACCATGGTTTTCCAATACTGGTTGCGTATCTTCATCGAGAGAGTCGCCAAGGAGCAAGGGTTCTTCCAGAATGTGTCGCCATCACGTTCGAGGATCGGTATCTACATATTTGACACGGAATTCGATGGATACCGTTGCGCGACACCGTGATGTAGTGGCCGCATGCAAAATTACTCGTTCCGGCTGATCCGCGGGGTGGCCGTGCTAAAAGGCGGAAAGATCCAAGACTCTTTGCAACTTGAGACTCAAACGGCAAACACCATGGTAGAAATCGCGTCCATTACCGCCCTTATCCAAAAGTGTCGTACAGTCATCAAATATCTCAAGGATGTACAAAAGGCACCTAACGAATGCAACGAGCTCAGGAGGGAGCTACGGCATATGGAGATTCATCTGTCTACCGTTAAAATAATCACATCGCTGTCGGCTGAAGGCGACCCGTGGCTGATGATTTTACAGCAGTTGAACGATCCTTTCCAAGAGCTTACCGGGCTACGGGTTGGAATCGAGAAGGGTCTGAAGGCTATAACGTCGTGGTGGAAAAAGGCAGGGCCGAGGTCTCAGTGGACCATTTCGGAACAGAGTGCGAAGAAGGATTTGATGAAGATTGAAGATATCGGGTCGTTGATCATGCATGTTGTCGAACAGCACGAGTGTCTGTAAGTGGCTTCTATGCATAACTTGTCCGAGACTAAGTTTGGTACACAGCGCGTTATCTCTCAATATCCAGCAGAGGCTAAGTGGTGTCGAGCGCAAAATTGATGCTATTCTCAATGGACAAAAGAGTATGCTCGTTCCAAATTCGGCCGTTGGATTGTATACTCATGCATAGATACGAAAAAGCTAAGGAAGTAGTGGATTGGCTCACTCCTGTGGATCATAGTGCCATTCAACGGGATAAGCTGGAACAACGTGTTGGCGACACTGGTCGGTGGTTCCTTGAGTCGTCGATGTTTCAGAGTTGGGTGGATGGTTCCGGGAAGTCCCTAACTTTGTGGTGTCCTGGCGGTCGTGAGTCTGAGATCATCCCCGCGTGTCTTTGCAGGAGCTCATGAATTCTCAAGCTGGCACCGGAAAGACAATCCTGGCTTCTATTGCTGTCAATCATTTGCGCCGACGATTCCCCAAAGAAAACACTCCCGTTCTTTGCGCTTTTGGTGACTGGCAAAACGCGGGTGCTAGGACTGCGCTCAGCATAATACGCAGCCTGTTGAAGCAGCTTTTAAATGCCGAAAATGGGCTGTCTTCCTCACTGGAGAATCGAATTCAATATCAAACGCTCGAGGAATTCACAGAGCTTCTTAGGACCCATTTGAAACGATACCATCACGCGTATATTGTCTTCGATGCGTTGGATGAATTTCCGGGTGATAGGAAGGAGTTGGTTTCTGTCTTGAAGTCGTTAGGGGACAATGTTCATCTCATGGTCACCTCAAGAAGCAATGCACGCATGGAACGGTTGTTTCAGGATGATGAAGAACTGCGTATTCGAGCCGACGACGACGATATTCGGAAATTAATCACGAATAAGCTCAATCATGAGGAGTCTCTTTGTGTCTTCCTTACAGATCGCGATGATCTGCGCCAGAGCATACTGACTAGAGTCATGGAGGGGGCCAACGGCATGTAGGGTTTCCATTCTATTGCTCTTCTTCTAGTCACTAACCAGTTGTTTCTATAGGTTTTTCCTGGCGGATATGCACATGACTCTACTAGCTCAGACCAAAGATCGGGGTGAACTTATTGAGGCGCTTAACAAGCTGCCAGACACTATTGAAGGCACATACGAGCATTTCCTGGAAAGGGCCGATTGTAAGCCCGAGCGAAAGAGGGACTTCGCCTATCGAATATTCAGCTGGATAGCTTTTGCCGAACGACCTCTGACGATCTTGGAATTACAATACGCACTAGCCATGCGATCAGGAACCACGGAGCTCAACCTCGATAAAATCATTGATTTTGACCTCATATCAAGCGCTTGCATTGGGCTTGTCATCGTTGATGGCCGAGGGTTGGTAAGATTCGCGCGTGAGTAGTCCTCGGATCTCGATTTCTCTCTTTTCATTGAATGATTTACTAGACTCCACCACTCGAGAATACTTTATTTCTCAAAAAGACAGACTCTTTCCCGGTGTCCAAGAACACATAACGCGTACCTGCCTAACCTACATGTCATTCGACATATTTCGCTCTCCCAATGTCCTTCCCGTATCAAAACCCGAAATCTCCGCAAAGTACCCATTCCTCAATTATGCGTTGAGTAACTGGCCAATTCACGCCAGGAAGTGTGCACGGGACTCTGTGGAAGAGGATATCCTTGCTTTTTTGCCAACCCAAGCAGGAATCGCTCTGTCTTTTGGCCGAACGCCAGACTCGGAACCGGAAGTACCACGCACTCCTGCTTGGTTTGCTGCCAAATACGGTTTACTGAATGTTCTGGAGGCTCTTGTGGAGCGAAGGGTTGATTTGCAGCATGAAAACGTGTTGTGTATCGCGGCCCATGCAGGGCAGCTCGACACAGTGAAATTGTTGTTGTCACGCGATGATGTGAACGTGAATCAAGCCGACAAGATCACGTACCTGTATGATTACTCTATTGATCACAACATCGGCGCCAATCGACTCGGACTCGAGGACAGAAGAGCGTCGCCATCTCGTCCTACTTTCTGCACGCCTCTCATCGCCGCTGCCTCGAATGGTTACGAAGAAATTGTCAGGGTATTACTAGAATCCAAGGACATGAGTTCGTTGAACCTCTTGCCTCCCGGTGGACCCACCGCACTATCAGCAGCCGTATTTGGTAACCATGTTGGGGTGGTCAAGCTCTTGTTGTCCCAGCCTGACATCGACACCTCGATCCGGTTTCTGGACGAAACCCCGCTTATGCTTGCCGGAAGGTTGTGGAGACCTAACATTGTGAGGATGCTTTCTTAACGGCTGGGAGGCGATTTTGGGCGTTGACAATTCATCTAACGGTGTCTTGGATCGTGTGGCACTACATAGGTTGTATCTTCCCTGTTCTTGAGAAGAACGTTTATACTCGTGCTGACTCTGCCGTATTCAGACGGCGAGGTTGTAGTGTCAATGTAGATGTCACCGAATGGCTATAAATGACTTCAGTTTCGATTATGACTCGGCGCCTGTGTCTACCCGCGCACAATGTTGTTCTTTATCGGGTCGTGGTGGTCCCCATGGCCAGTTTGATATCTACAGTCACGTCAGCCGGTGCTTTTGCATTAGGAAAATGCCAGATGCTACATAGCCCCGTGCTAAGCCTACGTACCGGCGGTACACTCAGTACCCTCGGTACCACTCTGCGAAGTGTACGTAGGTCCGCGTACCATTAGGTACCGCATTCTTCGGTGCAGGTAAGTGCCTGGCTTGTCATTTTGCATCGTCAGCTTAACATATACCAGGTTTCGATACCTCTGAACAACTCGTGAATACTGTACGCATAATCAGGCGTGACCTCAAGATCCCTCCCGGCGCACCGCTGCCTGTCGGTGTTGGCTTCATCAGCTGGGTTTTGAAACTGACGGAGGGTACAGACGATCCGCGTCTTGTTCATGTCTTGGAGGAGCTTCCCTAAGCGATCTGGTTCGCTTTTGGTGATGATCTGGGTGATTATATTGCCCAGGTCAGAGCGAACGACGGGAAGAGGGACTTCAAGACACTCATCTATGTCATCGTGAACTCCGTGGAAGAGGCATCGAGAGCGACAAATGAATGGAAAGTTGACGCCCTAGTCGTTCAAGGCAAGTCGTCAATACTCGAGGCTGGCTGGTGCTAAACTCTGTGTTACAGGAATCGAAGCAGGAGGACATGGAGGAGCCAAAGCGCCACCGTTTTTCCAGTTGTTGCCTGCTGTGTTGGCAGCTGTTCCCGAAGATGGCCCGCTCGTCCTTGCTGCGGGTGGTGTTGCAACTGGTGCTCAGATTGCGTCACTCTTGACACTCGGGGCGTCCGGTGTCGTACTTGGAACGCGCTTTCTCTTCACACACGAGTCAGCCTACTCGTCTGCAAGAAAGGACGTCCTCGTCAAGGCAGGGTTGAATGCAATAGCGAGAGGTTTGATGTTTGATGAAGTCGGTCGCACTATGGGCTGGCCTGATGGTATCGATGGGCGGGCTATTGCGAATGGTATCTGGAGAGATCATGATGAGGGATTGGGCCTTGATGAGAGGCTACGGAGGTTTGATGAGAGTAGCGCGTGGGGAGAGTCGGAGCGGCTCGTCATCTGGGCCGGTGTGGGTGAGGGACTCACGGACAAGATACAGGGTGCAGGAGTGTTTTGCTTGACGGCATTTGAGGGCCACGCATTTGATAAAGTGTATCCTGCAAAGAGGACTTGAAGAGAATCTGCCTCGCTAAACTTACTTTTCATGGGCATCCGTGGAAGAGCTATGACTGGAGATTCAAGGATACATTCGGGCGATTCCCAGAAGTGGAAATTGACATTGAAGAGAATTCATAGAAAGGAGAGAAAAGAGGACGACCAAGTCGGAAGAGAAGCTGTCGGTCCATCGTCTTATTATGTCACTAACTTGGTGACGAAGACGGTCGCGAGAGGCCTCGCAATGAGCACAGTGATGCTCGCCAGTTACGGATTACCAAAGCGTCGAACACAGAAAAACCACTATTGGACAGTAGTATAATCCGAACATACGCTAGCGTGTAGGATATTAGTACATAGTACGAAACGGAATAAATAAATAAAAATAATAAAAAACTTACTTTTCATTCAAACTCAGTTTGCGCATCAAGGTTCTCTCTGGATCCCGAATCTTTCGCAAAAACGATATACTTATGTCGTCGTTTTTCGATGGTACTTGTATAAGTCTGCTCCTGGACTTTGGTATCTACCGTATAAGGTCAATTGCGCGATGGACCACTTGTGCCCTTACTCATTCGTGAACGTATCGCGCGTCGTAAGTGCCGCAAAGGAAAAGAAGCCACAACATTTTCAGAAAAACTTTTTTCGTTCTACATAAAAGAAACAGGTCTGGGCAGTGAGGCAGAGTTGAGCATGATCATCGCAAGAGGTTTGATGTTTGATGCGAAGTCGGTTGCACTATGAGCTGGCCCGATGGTATCAATGAACGGGTAGATAGGTAGGTAGGTACCAACGATATCTGGGGAGGTCATGATGAGGAACTGGGAGGGTTGATGAGAGCAGGGGAGGGAGGTACCGTCATCTGGGCCGGGACCGCCGTGGTATCCTAAGAACTTATTCGAAAGCTGCCTAAGCACGGCAGTATGAGACCTAGGCATCAACGTAAAGTGACAAATATTTGTCTTACGAGGAATGCAAACTCGAGCTTGGTATGAAGACGATCATCGATTACAAGATTTTCGGGACTGGGAGAGTTGTTCTTGTTTGGTTCGCCGTGGTGGACCGGTACCTAAAGGCACCTAGGCTGGAACGTGCGAAATAGACTTTTCGACAGTTTTCAAAATGCTTGATACTCCACAGCTGGTCGTCATACACTTATCGTTAACACTCCTGATTCGTTCGATGGCTGGAATCACAACCCCGGGGTCTAGATTTATGGGAGTAAAGCACGACGTACGATACTGAATCGTTGAATGGCCACAGAGAGGGCGTGTTTCCAGAGTAAAGAAGTCAATGGATTTTGTTGAATTGTTGAACACCGAGTGGGCTCTGGTCCAGTTGTAGGAACTCGGCCGAGCATTTTACCGTCAGATTTTACGTGGCATGAAATAGGCTCAATTAGGAAGTCCAGGCTTTCCATGACGTCGAGTGCTGACCTTCGATTTTGTATAAGTACTCTGAGTAGTAGCCTGGGTTGCTCTCCTACCATCAACTTCACTACTGAGTACTGATGACTTCTACCATCGATCCAAAAACCATCGGCAGGCCTGTGCGTCCTCGCAGACATGTCAGGACCTTGACCGGTACGCTCCAGTCGCGGCGCGATAATCCAATTCGATGCTGATTATATGCTCAGGCTACTTCCCGGAGATAGACGAAACTGGAAAAGAGAAGTGGCCGAAAGGCGATGAGAAGATATGGAAGGCTGGTATGCGTGGTGTCGACACCGGTACGCTGTACTGTGAACCTTCGACTCAGTCGGTGTTCATTGGCTCTCGGGCAGATGTTGCTTCTATCACCAAGTCCTTCGTTAACCATGTTCAGACATCGCTAGCGCGCCAGGCACATAATTTGGGTTCGCTATATTCCTTGCTGAGTATTCGAGAATCGTTGCATCAACTAGGTTATCTTCAGATGACCTTGGTGCCTATCAGGCGGCGGCGCTTTCAGTCCGGGATAACCTGATTGTACGTCCATCTCTCTTGGCCCTTTCGCCGTTACAATAACCTCGGTTTCGATAGCTGAATTGGAACGAGACCCAACTCACTTATACGCGGAAAGCCCCCAAGAGGGCATACTACCTTTCTCTCGAATTCTTGATGGGTCGCACTCTCGATAATGCGGTATGATATTCTGTCCTCGCAAATGCCATGAGAATATACGATGTTCACGATCATACTTCTCACAGCTTCTGAATCTGGGTTTAAAAGATCAATACAGCGACGGAGTCAAGAAGCTGGGCTTCTCTATCGAAGATCTTTTGGATAAGGAACGTGACGCTGCCCTTGGGAACGGCGGATTGGGTCGTCTTGCTGCTTGTTATCTTGATTCGTCTGCTTCTCAGGTGCGTCACTAAAGCGTTACGGATCGACGTCCAATCATGTTCCTTCTAACATAGGAACTACCGGTTTGGGGCTATGGACTGAGGTACAAGTATGGAATCTTCCAACAGGTTTGCTTCTGCGATTCTACTCCTGTTTAACGCCCTATTCATTCAAACCTACAGCTTATCTCCCCTGAAGGAAACCAGTTGGAGGTCAGCTGTTTGTTCGAATATATTTTGCCTTCCAATAACACTCTTCTAGGCTCCGGACCCATGGCTGGACAACCAGAATCCTTGGGAGGTGAGCCATCCCTTTATATCATGGCCGAATATACTCATGATGCAATGTGTATAGCTTCCTCGTCTGGATGTAGCCTACGAAGTCCGATTTTACGGGCAAGCGGAGCGTTTGAACGATGGCACTCCTCGTGCCTCATGGACAGGAGGTCAAGAAGTCCTCGCTGTTGCGTACGACGTCATGATTCCTGGATGTTATACCAAGACTACGAATAACTTGAGACTTTGGGAAAGCAAGCCCAAACGAGGATTCGATTTGAACTCCTTCAATGGTTGGCTGAACTAAGTTCCATGCTTGATATGTGCTAATCTCGGCTTCAAATTTAGCGGGTAACTATGAGGGTGCGGTTGAGTCGTCCAACAGTGCCGCCGCCATTACCTCTGTTTTGTATCCTAATGACCATACGTGAGCTACGTCTTCTTCATCCACCGGTTATCGTTCTGATTCATCTCTTCTTGATGGAAAGCACTTGTAAGTGCCTCTCCGCGTCCTGACAATAATTCCTGATGGCCACATTCAGTCGGAAAGGAGCTGCGCTTGAAGCAGCAATAGTGAGTAATGATTTGTGTCTGCATATTCGACGTCTCACGTCGATGTTGTTAGCTTTTGGACCGCTGCTAGTTTGGCTGATATATTAAGGCGATTCAAAAACCTCGGTAAACCGATCACGGACATCCCTGACTGTACGCAACTGCCAAGTTATGAACAGAGTGATGCTGATATGTTTTTCAGACATCGCAATCCAACTCAATGATGTATACCTTTCATCTTGCTGGATTGAAGGAAGCTAATTTTCCAATGATAGACGCACCCGACTCTTGCGATACCCGAACTCATGCGTATCCTGATTGACGACGAGGACTTGGATTGGGACAAGGCCTGGAATATCGTGAATAACACTGTTTTCTATACCAATCACACTGTATTACCCGTATGACTTCCCTCTTCCTTCTACCTAGCGTGTTTACTGATCAAAGGTTAGGAAGCACTAGAGAAATGGCCGGTTCCATTAATGGAGCATGTGTTACCAAGGTATGGATATTGATTATAGCGCTCTTCAGTCACTGAAATACGATATCGCTTGCAGGCACATGCAAATCATCTATGACATTGTAAGTCAATAGGTAACACCAATGTAAAGCACTCTTCTGATTATTTATGTTAGAACCTGTGGGACGGCTTCTTTCTCCGCTAGCAAGACCTAACGCGCTTCTTTAGATTCTTCTTGCAAGCTGTTGAGAGGAAATTCCCTGGCGACCGAGACAGACTGAGCCGAATGTCTCTGATTGAAGGTAAATAAACGCGTGTGTTCAAAATTGCCTCAATGCTGAAAGTCGACCCATGACAGAGGGGTTCCCTAAGCAAGTCCGAATGGCGCATCTGGCCTGCATCGGTAATGTCTATGTCAACTTGAACTTCTAACATATGCTTATCGTGAGCAGGAAGCAAGAAAGTCAACGGTGTTGCCGAGGTTAGTCGTCGCTTTGACCTCGATTTGTCGCTCGGCTTATACTTTCACCCCTACAGTTACATAGCGACCTTGTCAAAACTACTATCTTGAAGGATTTCGTTGAGTTCGAAGGCATCAGCAAGTTCGGCAACGTAACAAACGGAAGTACGTACCGATCATTGCATTTTGTCTGCCTCCGTTCCCTTGCTGACCTGGCTCTTGCAGTTACTCCGCGACGATGGCTTGATCAGGTAAGTACGTCTCCCATTTTAGCAATCACGAGCCCACATCTATGTGACAGTGTAACCCCGAGCTCAGTGACCTCATCTCCAAGACGTTAAAGGTTGAGAAGAGCGTATGGTTGAAGAATCTCGACAAGCTCGAGGGTCTTCTGCCTTTCGCTGAGGATGCTCGGTTCCGAAAGGAATGGGCTGCAGTGAAGCAGCGCAACAAAGAGCGGCTGGCGAATTATGTCCAGACGACTCTTGGGCTCACTATCAACACCCATGCTATGTTTGACGTCCAAATTAAGGTGAGAACCTTATTCTTGATAACTATCGATAACATGGAACCTGATTTACCGTTTTCAGCGTTTACATGAGTACAAGGTATGTACTGACCTTTGATTATAGACTTCTGAGATGAAACAAGTTTATAGCGCCAAACTTTGAACATCCTTGGTGTCATCCACGTAAGTTATTTCATGTATGGTTTATCTAATGCTGACGTATTTCATTCCAGCGATACCTGACCTTGAAAGCCATGACTCCGGAAGCACGCAAGAAGGTCAATCATCGTGTCGTGTTCTTCGCTGGCAAGGCGGCCCCAGCTTGTAAGCACTTTCTTTTATGCACATCCACGCTCTGAACTAAAGCTTACAAGATTACATTGCCAAACTTGTGCGTCTGCAATTCCCGTATCTACAGTCAGGCTAATGACGATATTTTGGACAGACCATTCGATTGATCGTTAACGTTGCTCGCATCATCAACGCTGACCCGGACACTAAGGAATATCTCACTGTTTATTTCATCCCAGATTACTCTGTGTCGGTCGCAGAGGTGCTAATCCCGGCTTCGGACATTAGTCAACATATCTCAACAGCTGGAACTGAGGCTTCGGGTACTTCCAACATGAAATTCTGCCTGAACGGAGGCCTACTTGTGGGTACCGTTGGTAAGTGCAATTCGATCGATGCGCGGGACGGAAATTAAATATCACACACAGATGGTGCTAACATTGAAATCGCTGAATCTGTACGTCTTTTTCAAGCAAACGATTCTTCGTGTTTGCTGATGTTGAGTACTATAGGTTGGCGAGAGCAACGTTTGTGAGTGTATTTACATGCTTTGAAACCGGGTATTCAAATTAACTTTCTGTAGTCTTCTTTGGTCACTTGACGCCGTAGGCACCTTCTATTTTGTTCGCTGGTCCGTCTTCTCATTATCTTGAAGGGACGTCGAGGATCTACGATACCAACACATGTACCATCCCGTCCCGATTGAAGAGAAATGCCCGGCACTGGCCAATGTTCTCAACAAGATCACCGAGGGCATGTTTGGAGATGGAAGCGTTTATGAACCGTAATTCCTCCGTCTCTAATGATACTAATATCCCCTGATTGTCAATTTGTTAGTCTCCTCAACACCATTAGACAAATTGATTACTATCTGATAACCGACGACTTTGATTCATGTGAGCCTCGTTTCCGTTTTGAACCTGTTTCTTTCTTGCTGAAGTACGATAATCTAGACATTGCGGCGTTGGCGATGGTTGACGAGGCCTATCTCGACAAGACGGAATGGATCAAGAAATCGATCAGGACCGTGGCCAAGGTTAGTTTCGTTTTCTTTACCCATTTCCTGTGCTAACTATCTTGTTTCATAGATGGGAAAATTCAGCTCCGATCGGGCGATTCTCGAGTATGCTGAGAGCTATTGGAACTTGGAAGCCGTTTCTGTTGCCAAGTAGGTAGTATTGATTGCAAAGATTAGACGAAACGCCATAAAACGAATGGACGGTATACACGGTCGGAACGACGATAAAGAATGTAGTGTAGGAAAAATATTTATACAACAGGACTTTTAGCTTTATGTAAAACAAAGGGGGCAGGCTTGCGGCATATGCATGATACTGCGAGCAACGCGCATTGACTCTGCACAGAATGATAAACATTATCATGGAGACCACTCGAGTATGGAACAATTATAAGTTCTTACATACCGTTCTTTCCTTCCGAGTAAAATTTATTGCACGTTGCATTGTTTAGGAGACTCCTCGCAGGCTTAGGTGACGCTGCAGGCATGCTCCTCGGTTCTGCCTTCGAGCTGCCTTCCAATGCTGGTGGACCCAGGCTTACACTTGTCGCTTGCATATGTGAAAGAAATGTTAATGGTATCACCACAATCCACGTAGATGAAGCACAAACCATTCCTCTTCAAAGGAACATCTAAACTTGCTTTGAACTGCTGTAGAATGCGGAATTCATCCTCGACATCTGAGTCTGCCCAGTCATCTCCGTTGATGTCTAACGACAAGGATCGTAATCTGCAGGAGGTACCAACTTTCCAGCGCGTCTTCACGATATTTATGAGGCTGTTGAGTATATAAGGCTTGTTCTCTTCAGCGTAATTGATAGTCGTATTGAATGTTGCCAGTCCGGGGAATAAGTCATGACTCCATCCGTCCAATTTAGACGCGAATGAATCTAGGAACTCTAGGGACCCGGGGTTTCCACAGAAAGTTGGCGCAGAAGCAGCCAGAACGATCGCCGAAATCATAGAGCTTCTGCGATAAACTGTCCAAAGTCATGTCAAGGTCCAAGAAAAGCTCTTCGAGGGCGGGACGTGCTATGTATTTTAGGAGCGTCGGGGATGCTTTCTGGCTAGTCAACTCACGATTGGCGCAGAGAATCGTGTGTACAATGTAGTTCGTGTTCCACCAAGGGAAAGGATCATGGAGACATGCTATGTAAGTTTCAAGCAGCTGGGCTTGTGCAAGAAGGCATAAATGATCTTCAGCGGAAGTCACGAGATCGTACCGTATCTGTGACCAAGGAAGAGATGGCAACGCATTGATGGGCACGTCGGTGACGGTCTAGACCTGGAGCTTTGGCACAATGGCACGACGGACAACGCGTCAATCGTTTCGCTATCGAAATACGTGTTACCCCTCCATCTCTTACAAGCCGAGAGGTCCGGTCTACGAGCCCTCCTTGACGCGCTCAACAGCATCTTGGCCCTCTCACGCACCCCATCCCCGCTCCCTAGTACACCTACCGCCACCACCACCAACTCGTCACGCACCCTCCATGATGTCCCAACATAAACGGTATCATCATGGGCGCGCCCAAGGCTACCATCGACACCTACAGCCATTGACTTCACCCTCTTCATACACGCGGATTCCCCGTTTGCGTGGTGCACGTTGCCGCTGCTGTACCGTTAGTGCCTTCCTGTGGTCACCCATATTTTTCAAAGTATGAATTCTAACATGTTTGGGATAATGGTACGTAACCTTTTTTTCATTCGTCGTTGTTGACTTTTTTTTTCCTCCCGCATTTTAGAGACATATTTCGATTCAACAACCCAAGTCCTCTATGAATCCACACCAAAATCTCTAGAGGATGCAGGGATGGGCCATGATGAGGTTGTCCAGTGTGCTGAACCTTAGGTAAGTCGTGCTTGGTTTTTTTTCTTTCCGAACTGCTTATATTACATCTTCCTACCCTGATAGATATCTAGCTCGTTTCCTGTAAGGACCGTTGACTCAAAGTCCTTGTTTGGCTCATAAACATTCAGTAGCATTGTGAGCTACTCATAGACCTGAACCGGTCCCTCTTCTTATGAGCCAAGCCTCACTAGAGGGACCTGTAAAACTCGCGCCGATCATGGCACAGACATTTACGGGCATTGCCGGTGTCCAAATTAGGGAGGCTTTTCCGGATTTAGGTTTTGGTGTAGCTACATTGCTTTCATGTTGCGTCACGTCTATGTCCCTCGTCTATCTGTCGACAGCTTCATTTCTCACATAGAACCTCATTAAATGTCCCAAGATGTATTTAGACCAGAAAACTTCGCTTCAAACACGAATTCCTTGCCCATTCCCATTCAAATGACCCCTGATTTGTTCTCCTAGTAGCAATCAGTCTTTTCTACTGATAATACTCATCATATGCCTTCTCAGTCATATTTCTAGGCAATCAACTATCATGGCAGTACATTTATAAGGTGTTTTCACTGCTGTATTCGCCGCTTCGACGCTCAAGTTGTTTTAGTGATGATTCAGCGAGTCCCAAATCCGGAAACGCCTCCCTAATTTGGGCACCGGCAATGCCCGTAAATGTCTGTGCCATGATCGGCGTGAGTTTTACCAAGCCCTCTAACGAGGTTCTCCTTGTTAGAGGGCTTGGTTACCAGGCTAAGCTACTCAGGTTCTGTGTAATCGGCGAGTTGCCGTGCTCGTTCGAGTTGTCCAGGAATTTATACCGAGCCATACAGATGAGGCGGTTTTCTTTGTGCGAGCGAACATCGACCACAACATAGTAACCCATTGCTTGGATTCAGCTGTCGACTAGTAACTACAATCATCTTCTATACAGATCCAGCGAACTTTTCGGTTCTCGCCTTCGATCCGTACACCGTTTTCTGCTAGCTTTGTTAGGCTGTAACTCTCTTGCAGCGTCATGACGACAGTGGTCAACACGGCCAGTGAAGGATCACTGCAAGATCTCTGAAAGTCACCTTCTTCTCCATCTGCGCACCCATTGCTTTCCAGGAAGGAATCCATTGGATGCCATCAATGGAGCTGCTAAAATATCGATGGTCAGTATCAGTTGGGCTTTAAACGATCGTGTCACCACTAATATTATCTATACTGTTTCTTTCCGCTGTCCCACATCGAATGCCTGTAGGATAACGCGAGGGCGACAGCATCATCGAGATAGTTCTCAAGGTCGGGCACACCAGAAGATGTAGAAGCCGGCGTGGCGGCTCCTCTCTGATGTACCGAAGGTATGTCTATTTCTATGCACGCTATCTACACGCAAAGCTGACAAGGGTGCTCAGAGAAGCTGCGCCAGCGCATCGAATTGCATACCCTGTTATGGATACAACGCAGCATGAGATACAGGATGAACAAAATTTCAAGACAGGAAATATCTGAAAAACACAGGAATACAATCCGGAATTCTCCTTCTCCCTGTATTCCCTTTGGACCGCGTTCAACATCGCTCTCATTCATCACGGTAGACGCTCTTTAAGGCGGTGGTATTGTGGTCAGGCATATTCACGCCTAAAAAAGGACCCCAGGAATGGGCTGTGGATATTCAGGAATCTATGGATTATGATGCGGCGAAGCTCAAGGAGCACACGGGTATCTATATGAAAGACAGAGGAGCCAAACTGTAAGCGAGTTTTGTTCCTTTTGAATGGGAAAAGGTCTTGAGCACGAACACAGATGACAAAAAATTCTCGTTGAATTTCGTTGGCATCGTGAGTACCTGCTTTGAAGGGTTTCCTTGTACTGTCCTAAGCTCGTACATTAGGTTTAACACCAAGGTCCATTCACCGCCAAGATGCGCGAATTCGGATGGAGCGAACCGAACGTTTTCGCCACACCGAGAGACGAGGTCGTGCTGAAGCACTGCCTCACGAGATACAATACGTGCGTTCCCCATGCATCCACCTTTTTGTCGTTCATATGCGAATTACAGATTCCTCGACCTTATGTCAAGCAACCCAAAGGGGTTTTCGTGCCAAATTACAATGCCGACTGTATCAACTACCTATGACACTCTATTGACCATGATGGCGTCATCGAGGAGAACCTACTCTCGAACGCGAAGCTCTCATTCTTTCATTTGTGTTGAGAGTCTATTTCCGCTGTCTGAGGTCCAGGTTCTTCTGCCTTCTTGGCTCAGGCCCGGTTCGCCGGGTGTTCAATGTGAATCGTTATTCCTTTTATCCCATCCTACACGGTACACCTACGCTACTAGCTTCATCTCCGACTCATTTGATTTTCGTTCTATTCTCGTCATATACTTTCCTTGTTCTACTTAATCGTGGTCGTAATTTTTGGGTACCATTGATTACAGGTCCTCCGCACAGCGAGGTTGCCAGGTGGTGTCTCTGTTTCTACCTGTAAAACTTTGCGATCCACCTAGGTTCTGGCCGAAACCTTCTTTTCACATCGAGGTGTATGCTGAATACTGTGTTGCTGCCAAGGATGCTGGTCACCGTTGGCGTACTAAGTGTGATCCTTAACATTCGCTAGCTTATGGGTCTTCCTGACGTTCTTCTTGTTTCAGTTCAACTTTTAGGAAGATGACAGCGTCACTGTTTTGCGTTGCTGTATTACATTTGTCACCCTCCTAATCTATCTGAAACACAACTCTTTTCTTCCAGCCGTTTCTTCCTTCGCGTTCATGTCATCCTCTATCATTTATGATATTTGTCGTTTGAACCCCTTCGATATCTGTCCACCTTCTAAGGACCTGCTTCATGCGGCTTGAGGCCTAAGTGTCCACACACATTGAGTATCTCTGTTGCATTCAACATCATAACCTATCATAACACACAAGCCCAAACTCTAGGGAAAACAGCTAAAATTGGACTCGTATTTGTCACACACATGTGGTGGCCTTCAAATTCTAATCTTCCTCTTCCTCCGTTTCCTCCCTCTCCTACATCTACATCACCAAAATGCACTTTTCAAAAGACGGCCTTGGTCTTATCAGGTTTAGTGTTTCCGCGGTCCGGTTCGTGAACCCTGCGAACCCGGTGCGAATCTGCACTGAACCTGCTAGAGGGTAAGTGAACCCATCTTTTAAATTTGACTTTTACTGACCGGAAATGAAGAAATATGCACTTTGGAACAAGTGCACCCCTGACCTGAATGCCACTCGCACCACAACTTGAACGTTTGCATGTTTGAACCTGGAGATTCAGGCAAAACTGCCTGAACCCAAACCTAACCGAATCGTGGAAACACTGATGTCAATGACAGGTTACCACCTCAAGCCGACATCGGCACACACGATGTCGTATGATGAAAATGGTCGGCGAGAAACCGGCGATGGCTTATTTTCCCCAAGGACCACCACTCTCCAGCTGTGACTTTTAGGGTCAAATCTCTCCGTTCGCTCTCTGTTCAGTGAAACCGAACATCAGCAACAATTTCTCAGAGAATTGGGCTTCCATGGTTTCTTACTCTGGGAGCTGTATTGAACCGTAATGCCATCCTTCAAATTATCGACTTATCCAGCCAAACACAGCTTCATTCGCCTGGTATCAATAGAAATGTCATCTTCTGATGTCACATGTGATGTTCTGATGCTCCGGCCGCTATGTCCATTCAAGTTGCTGCAGTATACAAGAGAGCCTCAAAATCTATATCTGGATTTTGGCCTGATGCCAAATTACCTCCCACCCCCCAGTTTACAGACCAGATTCGATGTTGACGTTTCTTGCAATATCCACGGATGATGACGAGAGATGCAATCGTTGCCTATCAATTGGTCTACGTGCCCTGCCGACGTTAGCCGAATCCTCTACTACCTTTTAGTTGTCTACTCACTCTTCCAGACCGACACAACTTAGTCATATCCCTGTCTCGGGATCGTCGTGCACCAGCTAGTCGGTGAATCCATCCAGACTCACAATATCTGTACTCTGCACATCGCACAGTGGATGCTACCAGACTTAGAGCACCTACTATCGGAGGTAGACGACCGGCCTGTGTCCGCAAATCTGCGAAGGTTATTTTTCCCATGCACATGCAGGAGGCACAGGCACTTCTGCCAGGGTAGAACTTGGGCGCTCAGCAGTATAATGTTCTCTCTGGCATTCGACGGATACAATATACCGGCACTGTACCATTATCTTACGCCACCACCTTGAACATGGCTCTGGAGAACACGCGCCAGTTTGCAATCATGGTAATTCTCAGTAATCTGCCAAGAATATGACACAAATGATCTGTTTCCCGTCATGCCTATCATCCATGTACACTCCTAGCAAGTGACTAATTCGCGCCATAGAAAGGAAACTGTGATTGAGCTTTTGCCAACTGTAGCGAGGTTCCCCTTGAAGCCGACACAATTTGTTGTTCAAGATGTCCCAGCATTCTATTTGCTATCTACACAGACACAAAACTGCTGCTTACCAGGAGTGGGAGGACTACGGTGCGACACCATAGACCCGTTGCTGGATGACGGTGCTTTTGATTTCGACCACGAGGTCAAAGCAACTTGTGACGTGAGCCTGCCGGGCTGGTTAGCCTCCACCTCCATCAACCATGGCAGAAGTCCTAGGAATCGCTTCATCCATCACCACCCTCATCGAAAACTCTCTTACCGTCATCAAGTATTTAAAGGACGTAAAAGACGCGCCCAGAGAACGTGATGAGCTCTTACGAGAGCTTAAAAACCTCAATTCATTCCTCCTTTCCACGCGCGACGTCACTCGGATACAGGTGGCAGGCGACCCATGGGATCCGTGGCTTGTGGTAATACAGGACATGAAGGAGCTCTTCGACCAACTTGATGGGCTGATTCTTGAAATCAAGAAGAAGCTGAAGGCTTCATCGCCTGTGTGGAAAAGGACAGCTGGAAGGTTCCGATGGACGCTGACGAAAACGAGCGTTGAAAACATTTTGAATAAGATTGAGCGCATGAAAACCTTGATCATAATCGCCAGACAACATGACCAATTGTATGTGATTCTGGTTCTTGTACTCTCTCGTTGGAGGCTAACTGTGGTATGTAGTGCACTATCTTGTGCGATTGAAGCTCAACAAAAGCGCAAAGCTGCGGAAGCCATAGCGGCAGAGCAACAAAGACAGATGGGTACGTGCATACTCAGAAGCCAACGCTGGATCGTATACTGAATTATAGAAACATCGCAGACAGAAAGGCCGCGGAGGTAGCAGCGTCGCTCGTATCTTTGGATTACGAGGCCATTCAAAGCCATAATCTGGCACGACGTTTTGGCAATGTTGGACAAGCGTTCCTGGAGTCACCAAAGTTTCTGGCTTGGGTAAATGGTCGCGCAAAGTCCTCTACTTTGTGGTGTCCTGGTGCTCGTGAGTCTGAGGCCATGCACCGTGTGTCTCTGCTGAAGCGCATGCATTTCACAGCCGGTGTTGGAAAGACAATTCTTGCCTCAATGATTGTTCACTATTTGCGTGCCCGGGTCACTGACGAAGATATTCCAGTACTATGCATTTACGGAGATTATCGTAACGCGGAAGCTTGGACCTCGACAAGCATAATTCGTGCCCTACTGAAGCAGACGATACAAGCTCAAGGAAGGCTCTCTTCCTCGATTGAATCCCAACTATACAGGGAATGTCATAGAAGCCGAGGGTACCTTTCCCTTGACGACTCCATCCTGTTTCTAACTTCCCAGATGAGAGAATCACCCTACGTCTACATTGTGCTGGATGCGCTGGATGAGTTTGAGGGGGATTACGAGGGTTGGCGAGGACTGATTGCTATTTTGAAGTCGTTAGGTGATAATATTCGCCTTCTGGTAACTTCTAGGGTCTATACCGACATCCGGAAGCTGTTTGAGGAAGACGACCATGCGAAGGTTCTAGTAGATGATGGGGATATCCAAAACTTCGTAAGGAGAAAGTTCAATGTCCAGGGACATCTCCACGAGCTTCTCAGGAATCATGATGACCTGCGCAACAAGGCGCTTGCTGACATTGTGGAAAAAGCCGGTAGCATGTAGGTTTCCATACCAGCTCTTCTTTCAGTAGCTAAAGGAGTTCCCATAGGTACGTTTTAGCAGATCTACAACTGGGTATACTCGCCCATTGCAGAAATTGTGCTGACCTTGCCGCGCAACTGGAAAAACTGCCACGAACCATGACAAACGCATATAAGTCTTTCCTGGAAAGGCTCGAAACGGTCGAACCTAATGTCGAGCACAAAGACTTTCTTTACCGAATATTCGGCTGGCTGGCGTTGTCTGAGCGTCCTTTGACCGTGTTGGAGTTGGAACATGCATTGGCTGTTGAACCAGGATCCAAAAAACTCAACACCGATAACATTACAAGCTGTGATTTTATCACAAGTGCCTGCATTGGTCTTGTCATTGTTGACAACCAAGAGTGTCTGCGATTTGGGCGTGAGTAGTCCTCCCAATAGCTCTCTCTTCACTGGCTGAATAATCTGCTAGACCGATCTGCTCAAGAGTATTTCAGGTTGAACCAGACCAGCTTGTTTCCTCACATCCAGGAAGACATTGTGCGAACATGCATAACATACCTGTCATTTGATGATTTTCATTCTTCTGATTTCGCCAATAGTACCGTCGCACTGGAAAGGTATCCTTTCCTCAGATACTCCCTGAATCACTGGGAACACCACGTCAAGAAATGTACGCATGGCTTCATGGAAGAGGAGATCACCAGATTACCCAAGTCTTTCCCCTCGTTCTCTGGGTTATCTGTTGCGTCATTTTCTCAGGCAGGTGTAGAGCCTGACTCATAGCTCAGTCATCCCTCCGCCGGGAGCATGTGCGATGGTAGAATGGTGAGAATTTGGCTACTGCAGAGTGACGGAATAGCTATTATTGCTTATTGGACATTGTGAACTGACGGTGCTTGCGGAGGCAGAGCGAGAGACGATTTCTATAATGCATGACGGTGACAGCATCACCATCTTTAGAATTACAATACCAATGTTCCATATTATAGACTTTACAAACTGTTATGATACCTATCTACTCGCAGAATACATTGTACACTTCAGCATGTCCCAATCATCGCTACTCTGGAGAATCAGGATTTAGGACCATCTTTCCGCTCCAACATTTTCACAATCTCGTCTCTGCGTTTCCTTTTTGCAAGCATAAGCGGGGTCTCGCCTTTGAATGGAATGGAAATGTCGATGTCATGTTCCAAAAGCAAGAGCCGTACCACTCCAATGTGGTTACCGAATACGGCTGCGGAGAGTGCTGTGGGTCCAGAGGGAGGCAGTGTGTTCAACGATCGCATGTTTTTAGACTCTAGAATCATCCTGACGATTTCTTCATGGCCATTTGACGCTGCAGCAACAAGGGGTGTAGTAGGGTGAGAAGCTTTTCCACCTCTGAGAAGAATCCTCGACATCCAGGTGAACACAGTAGAGTCATGATCCTTAGCATAATCAATAAGGAATGCAATATTGTCAGCTTGATTGACGTCAATATTCTCTTGCGACAGCAGCCATTTTACCATGTCAACTTGCCCTGTGTATGCTGCAATACACAGAACATTTTCGTTTTCCAGGTTCGTTCCTTGATCGACTAGGCCCTTCATGGCGTGTAAAAGGCCATGATACGCCGTAAACCGTGCAGGAGTACCAAGTTCAGTGTCCGGGGATTGCTCTAAAGACAAAGCGATTGCTCCCCAGGTTGGTAGGAAATTAAGGATTTCCTTTTCCACGGAACCCGGCGCACATTTCTTGGCATGAAGTACCCAGTTACGCAATGAGTATCCGAAGAAAGGATAATTTTGGTAGATTTTGTGAGGCTTTGACAGGCGAAGGACATCAGGAGAATGAAAAACATCGAATGACAGATATGTCATGCATGTGCGCATGATATCTTCTTGGACGCGGGGAAACAATTTGTCCTGGTGAGTGGCAATAAACTCCTGAGCGGATTTATCTAGCTGATTATTCAACTGATGAAGGAAAAGAGAGAGACCTGAGGGCTACTCACGCACAAATCTGGGGTACCCTCGGTAGTCACTGACAACAAGCCCAGCGCAGCTATCTGCGATGACGCCATAGCCGGTGATGTTATAAGGGTTGAGTTCCCTGGTCCCTGACTCCACAGCTAATGCATGCTGTAGCTCCAATATGGTCAAAGGACGCTCGGAAAACGCCAACCAACCAAATGCACGATATGCCAAGTTCTTTTCAAGCTCAGCTTTATGGTCAATCCTTTCCAGCAAATACGTGTAAGCGATTTCCATGGTTTGTGGCAGTTCGTTCAGCCGTGCAACAACACCTGCGCGATTCCTGCTCCGGGCAAGCAGATCCAGTTGTATACCTGCTAAGGGGAACCTATAGGAACTCCTTTAGTGATAGAAAGAAGAGCAATGACATGGAAACCCTACAAGCCATGTGCATTCTTCACGATCCCAACTAATACCTTGTTGCGCAGGTCGTCGTAGCCCTCGAGGTGCCGGGAGAGTTGTCCCTCAACTTCGAGCTTGCTCGCTATGAATTTTCGGATGTCGTCATCTTCCCCTCGGATACACAACTCAACATCCTCCTTAAATAGCTCTCGTATCACACCTAAGTTCGTTGAAGTCACTAGAAGACGGACATTACTGCCTAACGACTTGAGGGCATCAATGAGTTGCCGCCAATCCTCGTAATCAGGGGAAAGCTCATCCAACGCATCCAGCACGATATAGACACAGGAGAATTCTGTCAGCTGAGCAGAAAGAAGTTCCATAAATTCGCCAGATGAAGGGTACATTTGCTTTTTGAGATCCCGTTTGTATAGGGATTCAATGGAGGAAGAGAGCCGTCCCCGAGCTTGTATTAGCTGTTTCAACAGCGCACGGATTATGTTGGTCAAGGTCTGGGCTCCCATGTTTCGGTAGTCGCAAAATACAGATAGAATGGTCGAGTTTTCTTCGGCGACTTGCGTACGCAAGTACTCAACGACGATTGATGCGATAATCGTCTTTCCGGCACAGGCTTTGGGATACGTTAGATTCAGCAAAGACACACGAGTATGGCCTCAGACTCACGATCGCCAGGACACCACAGGGTACGGGACTTCCCAGAACCATCTGCCCAACACAGAAACTTCGACGACTCGAGGAACCACTGTCCAGTATTCATAAAACGCTGTGCTAGCTTTTCGCGTTGAACAGCATTGTAGTTCAGAGAGGTGAGCCACGCTGCTACCTTCGCGGCCTTTTTATCTGCGATGTTTGTGTGTATCGATATAAAATCCAACGGTGAAAGTTGACGTACCCATCTGTATCTGCTTGTCGATACCTAGGATTTTCCCAGCCTTGTCATCACGTAGTGTCCTCTCAATCGCACAAGATAACTTCCTGCATAAAAAACTTAGTCCTGACGATTCAGACATAAGAATCAGAGTCGCTTACGAATCGTTGTGCTCTCCGGCTACCATGATCAGATATTTCATCTGTTCAATGATCCTAAGATCCTCTGCCACCTCTTCGGACAATGTCCATGGGAGATTCCGCACAATCATTTTCCACGCAGGCGATGTAGCCTTCAGCCTCTTCTCCATGCCGCTCAATAACTCAGCAGTCTCGTTGAAAGAATAGTTCAACTGCTGTAATGTCGCAAACCATGGATCATTTTCGGTCAATAGCTGAGTCTGCGTTTCTACTGTGGTCAAATAGATCGACAGATACTGTAGCTCCCTCAAGAGTTTGTCACATTCTTTAGGCGCATCTTTGATGTCCTTGAGACAATGGGTCAGAGTACGACAACTCTGGATGAGGGCGGTGATAGACGTATGGATTCCTTGGACCTCTGCCATGGTTCATGGAGGAGCGGCGGTCAGGGTCAATGTCACAATAGCAGCTAATACCGCTACGAAAGTCAGTGCAGTCAGTGGAACGAGAGTGCAGCTTCGGAAATCTTCCGAGCTTAGTCAGCACCTTCGCGGCCTCGGAAGTCCGGCCCGACCCTATCAATTCAAGCGCTGCGGCTATTCCGAAAATAACTCTCATTTCAATGGGATTTGACCTTATCAAACGGAATTGTGTTCATTAGATTCTCGGACAGACATAATATCAGACACGCTCCCGCCGCAGCCTGAGCGTTGACGTAACATTGGGCGCTCGCTGATCCTCTATTCGACCCCCTTAGTCTTATTGATGGAAAAATGTACCTCTATATATCATGACTCGAAGCATTGTTGGGGGTCGGCGACTTTTTTGGACCTAAGAACATACCCTAAAAATGTTGTGGCTTTTAATCGTCTTCTAAAACAGGATTTAGAAAACATAATAGAAAGGCCTTGTTTTTTATACTGTTTTTACGCACCAAAAAGAGCATATTGTTAATCTGTGTTTGTTTCATATTCTAAAAGAAAAAAGTGTTCTTTTTTATCTTGTTTTTAGGACGTCCTTTTTCCTATCAAAAAAATGCACAGAAAGTCACAACATTTTCAGGACTACATTTTCTAACTTAAAAAACATACCAGCCCCAGCAGTGAAGGCATAAAAACATGTATTGTTCCATCTAAGTATATCCTCGAATTATCTCAGCCTGGTCTATTCAGGAAGAATTAGTACTTGACCCCTTCTTCATTCAATTGGCCCAAAATTTAACGCGAAATGTCCCTCGGTTTTCGAACATTGCGTGAGCAGCCGTCGCGGTGAACATAAACTACATTAAAAAATCAATCACCCAAATTTGATCGTCATCAATCCAAAAACTAACGATCGACCTGCTTCAAGTTCTCAGCATTGGGCTGCCTTCTCCCGTAACAATGCCAATCAGAGATTCTTCAGGTCTCCAGCGCGATGAGTTGCAGTTCCGGCGGAGTTTTATGTTCCTATCCATTGCATTGCGAGATCCATTGAAGACGAAGAAAAAGTTATGTATGCTACGAGACGCCCTTGATAATGATGAGATGATAACTATGCACAAAAAACGAATAATAAAATGCCAAATGAAAGTTCGGGAAAAATGAAGTTATAACCTAAGAATGCGCCCCATCCCAACTCGACCGCTTGCGCTTGTTGGTTTCGCTCTTCAGCACCAAATCCTGCGGACACACCACGGCGCTCTGTCCGCGGTGATGAGCAGAGATCTTGTTCTTTCGGAGTCCTTCAGGAACCTGGGGAACACTCTCAGTTGCTCAGCACCTTCTTTGCTGTCAACGGAGTAGCTGGGTGCTGGGATATGATTCTTTGCCGTCGATGAAGCCACTGACTGTGCCAGATCCAGCGCTTGATTCTGGTTCTGTGACTCCATATTGTCAGATGCGTCTAATCCCTGAGTGTTGTAATGGTAATGCAAATCAAGGAACGGCAGGTCATAGATGTCGTTCGCCGTTCGGGAGATGTCCTGAGTCACAGAGGACGAGCTGGAGGAGAGGAACAGGGAAGAAAACGACTGGGGAACAGGAGGAGGGGCGGGTGGCGCAGGGCCTGTGAATTGATGGTCCGTGGCGAAGAGAGAGAACGGACGTAGTTCGGGCTGCGAGATTAGTGTGGACCTGGGCGGGACGCGTTGGGACGTGATTATGACCTGTCATGCGCTCGGACGGTGGTACGGATATCGATCGTCCGTGGACCCCGAACTGGTTGACCGCCGACCGGTGTCGCGGGCGAGTCTGAGGAGTGCCAGGTGGGGTTGTATGCAGCTCCCGGGAGAGATCGACGAGGTCATCCAGGCTGAATCGCTGTTCCATGAGGAACGAAGAGGCGTCTTCGTCCTTTGGTTCGGGAGACATGGCAATGTCAGGTGGAAGGAGTGAATCTTCCATCGGAAGACTATCGGGTTGGTCAGTTAGTGATATACCCGTTAGCTCGATCTCATCAATCCCCGGTAGGGCTGGGGTATGGAGTTGCATAGGGTGTATACCAGTCGACTGGGTGATACCCGAGAGCCCAAGCCCAAAGGTGAACGAAGAAGAATCGTACGAGGACTGCGACTGCGTTCGCGTACTGAAAATGAGATCTCCAGCATAGTCCGAATGATACTCTCTTCGGGGTGGGTACACCTCATCAGAAAATGATGATGATCCGACCTCGGAGTTGAAATCCTGGGAAAATGAAGTGGGCACAAGATCATATCGATCTACTACCCCATAGTTGAGATGATTGAAAGAGAATGGCGATGAGGGCGAGAAACTGTTCTCAAGATAAGATGAGGATGATGTTCCACTCGCGCTCGAGTCCATACGAGGATTCGCCGAAAACCAATCTTGTGTTCCCCAAGCACTTTTGCCAATCATGCCAATGCCACCCACTACTGCTTCGTTCCTCCGGTGTTGGAAGGGTGAAGAATGAGAGGAGCTCAAAAGATAATCAGACATCTGGGACGACGTCGGCGACCCTGTCCAGGCATGATGTGAAGAGTGAACGGGAGTATCGAGCCCTGAAGACCAGGCCTGGGACTGGGAATCAATCTCCGACTGCGACGAGTTCGCGAGAGCGGTGAGTGAATCAGGGAGAGGGTCAAAGGGAATCAACTCCATGTCGTCATCGTCGGGAAGAATGTTTGCGGAAGGAACGGTCGGAGCAGCTTTCTTGATAGGCATAACAGAGCTTCCGATGGGCTTGAACGGTTTTACAACGGGTTCAATCTTCTTCCCCACCGGAACTAGCCTCGTCTTCAGAAGGAGCCGTACTCTGTGGAACACTCTTCGTCCCTCCCCGAAGTAGCCCTTGACTGGTGTTCCTCCTCTTTCGCCGGTGCGTACTAGGACCCGATGTCGACATGGAGAGTTGGTCATCCGTCGCAGCTCGAATGAGAACCTTTGTGCCATCCGCGCCCTTCTTCTTTGCCGCATTGCGCGGTTTGTAGCCAGCTGCCATGTACAGCTCAGGGAACGCATTACGAAAGCGGTCCCTCAAGTCTGTCGACCGCCGACCCTGTTCCTGAAAGACGGGGTCCTTCACAATGGTCGCCCAGACCGTACCGTGTTTCTCGTAGCCAGCCTTGAGAGCACGGTCCTCCTCCTCCGTGAAAGGCCGCCGCTTTTTACTGCGCGTCTTCTCAAAGAGAGAGGAGCCATCAGGGAGAGTAGAGCGAACTTTGCTGGAGAGATGCGTGCGTGCGTTGGGATAGTGCTGCTTGTAAGCATCGGGGAAGTAGGTACGAAATCTAGACGCGAAATAAGCTACACAGATATAAAAGATGTTCCTCCGGGGAATGGTGGACTTTCATAGACGAACGACGAGACCTTTGCTTCCAGCAGCAAACACGGCGGTGAAAACGCAACGACAACGCGTCCTATGGTAATACAGAAGGACCCGTCGTTCATCTTGTTTTCGAAGTACCCGATTATCGCGGCAGGAATGAAAGGTCAAATCATTCGCTCACAAAGGACATCCAGGCCCCGGAGGTCGTAGGAACAAATTCTCACCGGTCCTTAAGGTCAACTGGAGAGCGGTTATCAAATTTGAGGTCAGGATCACTCAGAATTGCCTTCCAGTTCCCAACACCGTGCTAGAAGCTGTATAAGCGCCCACCATCAATGAGTCACAGGCGGAATACTCACCTTGTTGCACCCGTCAACAAGCATCTGCGTTTCCTCGGCCGACCACTTCTTCCTCAGCTTCTTCTCCGTCGCCTGCGGCCAGTCGTCATTCTCCGGACTCGCTGATATCTTGCGGAGCTTGCCACGTTTCTCTGGAACGAGACAGGTCTCAGCGACATGGGATTCGAGGCCCGTATCGTCGCGGAAGCTAAATGCTGGCACGAGTTTCGGAGATGAGGGAAGCGCCAATGAGGTTCTGCGATGCTTCAGCGGAGAAGCGTGAAAGGTCGAAGTAGATGAAGCTGGAAATGGTGCTTTGAAATGAAAATTCGGCTGTCAAAGGTAGTGAAGAAGTCGTGGCAGCAGTTCGTGCTGTTGCCGTCGTCGTGTCCGTATCCATCGTCGTTGCCGTGGTTGTGTCTGTCGTCGAGAACGAGGCTGAGTGATCAAGTCGTCCCTCCAGGCCTCGCCATAGCAGACGAAAGAAAGATGAAAAAAACTGTGATGAAGTGTGCCGGCTTTCGATGAAATATAAGATAATCTCGCTTCTTCAGGTCGTGATTCTTCCTGCAGGTCGGAATCTGACCTGATACACGTTGCTGTTGCTGCACCTCTGCGCGGCAGATATTGATGAGATAGAGTATGGTCAAGATGGTAAGAGGGGAAGTTGCCGCACGGCGCATGGGCGGCTTGCCCAGAAAGCTGCCACCGAAATAGGAAATAAAGTCCCAAGTATCAGTATTCATCTTCTCCTACCTACCAACAATCGTTCCCATGCTTTTCTCGCGTTGGCCTCTAGAATATCTTATTTGATTGAATTCTGCTTGCTCACAAAGATCCTACAAGATTTCGCTTCCGAGGAATGCACAATTTTCCACGTGGTATACACTCTACATACCTGTCGATGTCGTGAACTGTCATGAAGCGCAGCACGGCCCCAGGCGTTCATCTAGTAAACTCAGGATCTTCTAAAGAACGAGCACAGTACATTCATTGTATGAATTCATGAGGCAATCATCACCTCGGGAGCAATACGTTGTTCGACGGCACCCAACTTGTTCACCCATTCCTCTAACCGTTTCGCCACACCACCAATCTGTTCCCTGGAGAGAACACGAGGCTGCACCCAGGTGATACGCGCCTTCTGATCTACTTGGTCGAGGGACCCACGGATGAGCTTCAGGCTGGACCCAGCATGTTAGCGGGAGAGAAATCACCGAAGGCCAAGGATAGACTCGCCTTAACGCCTTCATAACGAGATGCTCGACTTCATCTAGGGGCAATCGTGTCTCTTCTGAGATAGTTTGGAAGCTCATCGTTCGGTTATCAGCATGCCTCTTGAACACAGATTCGATCAGGGCCATGAGGCAGATTTTTTGACGGAGGAAGGGGAAATTCTCTTGCAAGATGGGCTGGAAAACGAGATCGATAGGTGATAATCGGAGATCCAAAGCTGAAAAATCGTACCTCTTGCGGGAAGAGGGGAGCTAGGGCTTCAAATTTACCTATACTTCCCTCGTTGAATGTGAAAAGTAATTTCTTGATCCATTCATGAGGTGTGCCATTTAGCGCGTCCAGTATAGGATGCATCAACTGTTTCAGTTGTACGTGAGTAAGAGAACACAAGAAAAAATGACGAAATAGCATCAAACTCACGAGTTCGCCGAAGTTGTAGATGCTGTCACCCAGGAACGCAGAGATGCCCAAATCGTGAGCCCTCACCAGCCTTTCTTCTGGTGTCATGTCCGTTGCAGGGTCTACACATGCGAGGTACAGCAACGAATTCCGGTAATACGGCGCATATTCTGCCTTGGCCTTTACACACAAAATCAAAACCCTGTAAGGCCAGACCACAATATCTTAAACTCACTTTATAATAGTCAGCAGCCAGCAAGTAATACGCCGCGTTGACACCATTATCTACGCCTTCAAGGTTGTCAAGAACTTTCCACGCTGAATCCATGTCCGTCTTCGTCCCCTCGAGGTCACCATACAGCAGTTTCGCATGGGCAATCGTTGCGAGAAGTAAAACATGAGCCTCTTTCGCCTTCTCCGTGTCGATTCGAGAAAGCAGCGAGGTCAGGAACGTCAAGTGGGCCTGGGGATCTGACAGTAAAGAGTAAGGTGCCCTTAAGGCCCGGACATGATCTGGGGAAATGAGAACCTACTATCGATCTCCTTCGACACTTTCACACCCATCTCAACGAGCTTCAATTGGTTGATTTTACTCTCAAAGTCTCGTACGAACTGCTCGAACACATGAACTCGAAACGGTTTCGATGCAGGGTGGTCGAAGAACTGAAAAAGCTTCACCGTTAGTTGATGCCATAGCCTGTGTAAGGAGTTGTAAGGTTAACTGATCCGGTCCCAAGGGCGTAAAACGCACTTTCGTGTATGCAGCGTTCGAAACGATTCGAAGAATGGGTGCAGCTCGGAAGGGGTGCCAGACAGCGCAGCAGCAATAAAATCATCCAGGACAAGCTTAGGAGGCTTAGGAGCATCAACGGCCATTTCAGCCATGGTGGTCGTAGTTACTGTTATGGCCATCGTCGAACGTGACGCGTCGAAGTTGTCCTTGTTTGGCACAGGCCCGCCGGCCAAATTAGGCACTCAACGCCGCCACGTGGATGCTCCCTTTCTCAACCTTTATTTATATTAATTAACCCTGTCTTCTTAGCGTATCCTCCGACTTATTTTTCATTATTGCATGCGTTCAGCACGACAGGTAGGGGTGGAAGAGTATTTGTTCAAGCTGGCCAGCAGGCCATCTCTACCGTAATGTTTTAGCTCCATATGCAATTGTATCTTCTACCTGAATGGAACTGAACAGGAATGTAAAGATCCTTAACTTCCGCCCCGTTCCACTTCTAGCTAATCAGATCCCAAACTTGAACGTGGACCCTACATATCACATACAAGTCCGATCTCAAGAGCAATCAATGATTATTTGGTATTTGGTTACCACGCCAGTCTGTCAAATGGTTTTTTTGTACCCTCTTTCACAATTTGTATAGCAAAAAAAAATTATCAGTGTATGCCTTTGCGCGACTCAAGAATCGCTGTTACGTCAATGGTTGTCACTGTCAACTGATTGGACGGCTTTACTTAAGTATCCAACTCACGCCCGGACCTTAGAAAAATACTGTAACGTGCATATCATTTGGCACCTATCATATGTGCATTGGTAATCGTATATGGTAGTTTCAGTCAGTCACCGGCGTTGTCCTGGTATTTTCCCGCGGCGTGCTGACCATCAACGAATAGGATATCAGAAATGCCAGGTGCAAATGATTTGTTGTAGTACTACCCATGCCATAAACTACTGTTTACTTGAGACTACTAAGGAATAGAAAAGGCCTTTTCACGCCCTAGAAACGCGACACGCAACTCGTTCTTGTCAATCAACCTGCTTGCCTCGATAGTCCTCTTCTCTCCCGGCATCAAATCAATAGCATTATCGCTCCATGTAACCTTCGATTTCGTAGTCAGAAACACGCACTTTGCAGGCTTTTCGACCTGCAACTCGACCTTGTTTTCCACTACTATTACCTTCAATCTGGGGTCTGGAAGAGTCAGATATTTATATGGCTGGGGCCAATCGACGTGGCGTGCCAGGACCTTCCCAGACCTGTCATCTAGGAGCCGTGCTCCAATGACAACGGTCGCATGGGATCCAGGGCAAGTAATAGACATTAGTTCGCTTGTCTGATTAGGAAGGAGAACAACTTTATGCTCCTCGGTTGCCGCCCAGTTGCTTTTGAGATCCACGAACTGTAATTTGAGCGTGGCAGGGCGCCTCTTCAGGGTAGAGTTTGACGCCCAAATATCCAGCTTTGCGCCGACAGCTCTGAATGCTCCAAATTCATAGAATTGGCGTGGGCGGTCGTTGGGCCGGTTCTTCGTTACATTGCGCAGGAGGCCAATCGCGAATGTGTCCAGATGTCGCTTGATAGAGTAATAGACGGGCTTGGGCCGTAACTGCATGGATGTCAACTGGGAGATGAGACGAAACGAAAAGGGAACGCACAAAGTAATCAACGATAGCCCACGAAGTGACGGGCCAGCAGTCGTTCAATTGCCAGACGAGGACGCCGGACGTGTATTGCTTCCCTCGTCCACCCCATCCTCTTCTCCACGACTGATACGCAAATCCGACGCTTTCCGATTGCATAACTTGGGTCCTAAACGCATACGTTTCCAAATCTTCAGTCACTCTGAAGTTTTCGTTCATCGCAATGGCGAATCGTCTCTCGTAGCTTCCCGCACGACAATGCTGCGCCATCAACGCACTTTGCGCGTGCCATTCTTGGGCTGGTGCACTATCCATCCAATATTCGATTGTACGCATTGACGGTAGGGATGGCATGCCGAATTCGCTGACGAATCGCCCACCCATCCGGTCGTACTCTTGGTACGGCAATTCCTTGCCCCCCCAAATGTTCCACTGATGAACGTCCCCGACCGTCGGATCTGCTGTGTCCCAACCTTGCCCACCATACGGAGATCCGCGGTGGTATGGGATAGGTGGATCACATAAAGCCTCGACTATAGTTGGTAGTACGTCTTCGTAAATTTTGATCGCCGGGAATAATTTTACATCTACAAGATATAGGTGAGTTTAGCGCGGTAAGAGAGAGGCAGATCAACCAGTAGACTAACCGCCCCACTGAAGAATCATCTGATAGTCCTCGTTGTTTCCACAAAATAGCGCAATTGACGGATGATGCCTGAGTCGCTTGACGTTGTCCGTGGCCTCTTTGCGAACCGATGCGACGAATTCCTCGTATGCCGGGTACACACCGCATGCGAATTGAAAGTCTTGCCAGACGAGTATTCCCAATTCTGACATAATGATGAGCAAGAGCAAATACGACAGAAAAAATACAACAGGCCATCGCAGATATCGTAGAAACAGTCCGGCTCATAGACACCTCCGCCCCATAGGCGAACCATGTTCTGGTTGCCGTCGCGCATCAGCGTAAGCCATGCCCGGTAACGTTCCGGAGTCAGCGTGGTTAAAAAGTTATCGGCCGGGATCCAATTCGAGCCTGGGAAGAACATGAGAATGTTACTCAAGGCTGTGAACTGAATGGACAGACCCCCCATGAACATCCTAATACCGTTAATCTCAAACAAGAAGGTCGTCCCGGTGCCATATTGATCAGGTTCCTCGAGTTCTTCTTGTATAAGCTTGACGCTGCGAAATCCAACCCGAATTGTCTTCGAATCGATGACATCTCTGTTCTAACCAATCGATAAGGTCGCGGAAAATAGAAAGTGGAGCTGAATTTACCGGACCCAGCAATTCTACAACCACACGGTAGAGAACCTGGTCTCCATAGCCGACCGGCCACCACAATTGCACTTGCCCGGGCGTAAAACGCCAGTCCACGGACCTAGACGTTGAGGAGAGCTCCTCCAATTCGACCTTGGTGCCCTTAGCATCCCGTAATGCCACTTTGATAAATGTCGGTAACGCGGCGACCCCGAGAATGTCCACATCTACTTTCAATCTTGTAGCTGCGTTATTCGTGTCGGTGACTGATGCGTGCGTCCACACGCTCCCAATTCTGGCTGTATACCTTCTCAGAATGATAGGTCGGAATGGTCCACATGTCATCAATTCGGGTCCCCAGTCCCACCTACAATATATCAGATGTGGAGGGGATGCGACGAAATCCGGGGTGCACCTACCGCCAATCGTACTGAGCCTTACGGACATAGACCCTGCTCGGATCTCCGAGGTTTGTCGACCCTGCGCGTACCTTGCCGTGTTGCTCTTCTAGGGATTTAGCAAGCCTTTTGGCCGATTTGAAGTGGAGAAGAAGCGTGTTTATAGAGGCCGTCGGTAAGATGGGGACGACATGGGTCTGGAACATGTTGCTGGTTTCCAGAATGATTTCATTGTTCTTTTGTGGGTACGTGAGTTGTGATGCCAGCACGTAATTGGTGATTCAGCACTGACCAGATAGACGTCGCACACCGTATCCAAGCCCAGAAATTCCAGTTCAGCCTGAGAGTGTCGTCCATCCCCCGGCTTGAAATCGAAAGTGCACTTGTACAGCCACTCGACTTCTCCCACCCATTGGACTTCTCTTTCGGCAAATCCGCGGTACGGATCGGGAATCAGACCGTTTTTCAATAACTCGACGTGTATCTCAGACGGATACACCTGTGTGGAGCGCCAGCCTGTTGTCGCAACTTCCCCAAGGATAGGAACCTTGGGGTCTCGCTGCTTCCAGGACCAGTTGGATTTGAGCTCGGTATGGATGGCGTTTAGCATGGGGACTAGATGGGTAATCCAAAGCGACTGTAGACCTATATACAAAGCATATAGAAGAACATCTGTTCGGACCGCTGATAGCATCTCTCCGGACCGAAATGGTCTAACTTGACATTCTTATCGGATATTGTTCATTATATTGTTGTTCAGATGTTACTTTGAGATTGGCCCCTGATAACGCGGGAAGATGTTATTGAAAAGAAAGGTAAATAACGACATAGGGTACGCACCCCATATCTTGGATCTGGGCATGTCCTGAAGGAAGAGCTCGTCGTTTTCCAGTTCCAGGATCAGTCTAGGACTCTTTGCTAGGTCATAGCGGGGTCAGCACTTTTGCTATAGTATTCCGGCTAAACTTGCTCCTGTGATGACGTAGAAAGAAAGCTTCTCGCCGGTAATACTAAATGTTATTGAAGTAGCGTGCAATTCGCTGCAATTCGCTGCAATTCGAAATAGGATAGTCAACGTATGACGTCGTCCAACCTGACTTCCTCCATATGTCCTGTTTGTATATTTGCCTAAAGCTACCGTTCAGTCTAGACAGTCTTTATATTAAGTCATGAACGGTGCGTACCATTCCCTCACGAAGTGACATCAAGCCCTCTTCTGTGAAAGGATGTCAGTCTTCATGTTGCCCTCTTTTATTAGACCTTCTTCACTCGGCACAGCATAAACTCCTTTAAATATTTCGCGTATAAATACCAGACGATGCATCATGAGCAGAAGATGCGATATCATAATGGGAAACCAATGATATCGTTGGACGCAAACTTCTCGTTGAAGTGACCCTAAGGAGATATCAGCTCTGAGATATATGGGAGAACGTACATCATTTAAATTCGGTAGAAGCTTCCGTCATGATTGATGATGAGCATTTTGTTAGAAATGTTTCCACTTCAATAGCAAACAGTTTGGTGTTGAAGTTGAATGAACTATTGATGATCTGGAAAGTGGCTGTGCTAGTGTTTCAAACAGAGGCAGCAGGTAAATATACCTTGTCTTTCTGCCATTTGTGGTCGTGTTTGAGCTTCGTTCCTCTCGTATAACATCGGTAATATCACTGATATTCTCCGATATTCTCCCATTTTTACCGTTTGATAGCCTGTGGACATCTAGGGACACACATTGATTGGACACAATGGCCTCCGACCTCTCTGCGTTGTTAACGGCATCCAAGGGACTCACGTCTCATTTATCGAGGCCAGAACTTCCCTCAGTCAACCTTTCGCTTGACCAGATTGAAGCCCAGTCTCGAAGGCTCGTTTCACGACAACCAGGGACCTCGAATGATGTTGATCGCGCGTTGGTAAATTTCTTGTCTCACGTAGCAAAGGCTCAAAATTTAGTAGAAACTATCTCCTTGCCCAAGCACGCGTAGATGCATCGGCATTGTCAAGCTCCATTGCGCACCTCAACACCTCGACCACTTTTTCGCCCTTGCAGCCACTTCAGGACACAGATGTGGCCGGTTATCTTCGCCACGCACATGAACAGACGTTGATTTCCACCATTGAGGAAGGGCGGCGGGAGACACAGGAGGATTTCTATCGTATGCTTGAGGAACGGACAAGGAGGGACTGGGAAGCCAAAAAGAAACGCGTCTTCGAGGAATTGGGGGGACGCGTCAATGTTGAAAACAAGGCTGTCACTGAGCTAAAAAAGAGCTTCCATGGCAAGAGCAGTCTTATTGTGTGTGTTCATTTTGCCAGATATCTTGTTGTCTGACGTAGCGTTTAGTCAAGCTCGACACCAAGCCTCACACTGCAAATGCAAAACAGGATGATGGCCTATGACCGTGTGGTCACCGAGCTCAACGCTGCACGCTTACGTGGTGTTTCATTCCCAATTATTCACTCCTTCATGGATGTAGCAAATTCTCTTAATGACGTATGCCATATTTTCATCTCGCTGTTGTCGTTCTTAACGTCGGTTACAGCCCCGTTCCGCACAAATGGCCCAAACCTTCCAAACTCTGGCGAAGATAACTGCTGAGCCACCTGCGTTGCCACCGGTCGAACATGCAAGTGCACACATACTTAATTCTCCCTTGTTTGAACGGAAACACGCAAGGGCGTACCTGGGAGATCCAGAGTCTCGGGATGCCATTGCTCTTCGACGACAAATCACGAAAGGAGCGCGAGAATCCCTGGAATTGCAGTACTGGGATGTCATGGATCGGACAGTGCAGTCACGGCCTACAGAAGCACTCTTGGGCGGGGACCCTAGCATATCGAATAAAGTGCGCGCTTTCTTATTTGTGCGGTACTACAAAAACGGAGAATGGGAAGAACGCATTGAAGTATGTTAATTTGATATACGTCTTGTCTTTTGTGAACACTCATATTCATTGTAGCTCGTGGCCGGGCAACCACTATGGGCGCGACTATTTTACCTCGTTCGGACAGGCCATTTGGACGAGGCGCTGGACGAGGCTGTTCAGTACCAACAAGCCATTGAAAGACGTGAAGTGAGCTTCATCAGTCATTTCAGGACATGGGTTGAGTCACCAGAACGAAGGTAGTGATTTTCCTAACTGTATGACGATCTTGTGTTTAACAGTCTATCACCAGACTTCCTAAAGCTCACCGAGATCATTTGCAATCCGTGTTCAACGCTCACATGTTGCACTCAGCTGCGACAGATCCGTTCAAACTCGCGCTGTACAAGCTCATGGGCAAACTAGAACCGACGCGGCGCAGTGTTCCTCATGTTACCACAACGACAGAGGACTGGTTGTGGTTCCAGCTTGCCATGGTACGTCTCCCTTGGGGCGTGTTGCCTACACTCACAATCTGAAACAATCTGATAGATCGACGAGGAAGAAGATGGTGGACTGCGTGGCTTCGCTGAAGTGATACTTGGATATGGTGAGAGGCAATTTGATAGTGGTTCGAGGAAGGGAGTCTGGGCGAGTGTCCTCCTCATGTGTGGACAGTTTGAACGGGTTGGTCACTTCTCTCTTGACATCATACGCTACTGACAGTATTTCAACTAAGGCTGTCGCGGCTCTTTGGGAAGACCAGGAAACAGAAATTGAAGCAGTTCACCTTGCTATTGCCTTGGCCTATCATGGTCTTCTTCGGGTGCCCCCACGAGCAGAAACGTCTGAAATGACTCCGTGTATGTTCATATTTTTCTCACTACACTATTGAGAGCTAAAAGCCGCAACATTTAGTATCACTACCTCCTTCGTCGCCTCCTGCTTTGAGCATCTCCACAATAATATGGCGCTATATGAGACAGTTTGTCAAGATGGACGCCAAGGAGGCACTGCAGTATGTTTATTGTGTCTGCTTGACCGCAGACCAGGGCGAAATCGGAAAGGAGCAGGTGGAGAATGCCTGGGAACTTGTACGGCGTATAATCGTCCTTAGCAACAGTGGTCCTGGCTGGGAGGAGCTTGTCGGAGGCTTCAGACCCGACGGTTCAAGATTCGTACGTGTTAATTACCTTCAAGATCTTTCTTTGCTAACTTGGTCAATAGAACGGTGTCATTGAACAAGGAGCGAGCTTATTGAAACTAGACGATCTTCGGCAGTACAACGAGCAGATCCTAATTCGTGCCGCCAAAAATTCGGAAGAAAACGATCGGATATCCGAAGCTATAAAGCTTTATAATTTGGCAGGGGATTACTCCACAGTTATGTCGTGCCTTGCTCAAGCTCTGGGTAGCACGATCGCGCGCCCAAGTCCTGATGAGAAGGCGCGCACAATTGAGAGAACCGCAGCTGACATTGTACGGCATTATGAGCGGACAAACAGAGCTGCTGGGAAGGATAAAGATGCAGTAATACGGCTGCTGAAGATCCGGGAGGCTGTTGATGCTAAGCATGCTGGTCGACCCGAGACCGCTCTTCAGGTATGTTTTCATTGACTTCTGCTGGACAGCCGCTGATGGCATCCCCCCTCCCCCTCTTAGTGCATGGAGACAACGGACCTCATTCCGTTAGATGGAGACGTGGCGAAAATTACACGTAGGGCCGAAGAATTCAAGGAATTGCATGACTCGCTACAACGAAATCTGCCGACGTACATTACACTTACAATGGATGCTCTCGCTGGTATCCATCAAAAAGTCAAGGGTTCCCTTGTTCCCGATGCTACCAGACATATGGTATGTTTTTTGTTGTTAATAATGGTATGTACACTGACTTTATGTACCAAGACTCTGACTGCTGTGAGGAAGAAATCCAGATCGTTGATGGTCTTCGCTGGCATGCTCAAATATCGCATGTCGCCAGACGTGTACTCCTATTTAGCAAGACTAGACGTCGAGATTGCACTGTGATCTATTGCTGTAATACATACACCTTCCGTGTTCCTTCCACTGAAATGACGATGTGCGAAATAAACTATGGAGAATGTATAACCGTCACCGCCCTATCTCCAAACTGATCCCTACATACCGAGCAACTGAAGGTGAAATATGCAAAGTAATTATAACCGAAAAGCGAAGTGTGTAGCATGTGCATAACGTTAACTGGAGATATGAATAGCGAAAAATGTAAACTAAGCAGCAGACAAAAGTGATATTCTTCCGCTTAAAAAGTTGCCATGAAGATGAGAATAAATGAATGAGATAGGGGTATCATCGTCCAATGAGCGTACAGAAGTGTAGCAATTATGAGTCCGCTGAATGACCGTTTCCTTGAGCTATCGGTGCGTTAGGTAGTATAAGATCAAAAGGCTTTTCATGCTTACGATGATCATCGCTATCATTGCTCTCCTTTTCGGGAGTAAGAGTGCTGTACAAGCCGGGAGGAGTCACCGGATCCGACGACTCAACCTTATCGCTGCCAGTGTGTGCTTTCTCGTGGGCAGAATTTTCTACGTCTAGATTGCGAGTCAGGAAAATTGATTAATAAGTATCGGTGACGAACCATTAGAAAGACCACCATTCGGCGATAGGAGGGTATCATGTTCCGTTGAAGAGGTCTGTACTATTGCCTGTGCTTCGCTTGAGTCCAAGGCGAGCTGAGGACCCGGAGTCTCTCCCGCAAGGATGACGTTGGCCGAAGCAGAAGGGATTTCTGTTTTCACATCAGGGGAAGCAGATTCATTGGGCTCTTCGACTTGTTTATGGATCTCCTCGACAACGTGAACGGCTGGTGAAGGAAGCTCTACGTCGACAACGGGAACAGGTAACAACGATACCGTGTCCTCTTCTTGGTTTTCTGACGTCGATTCACCAAGGGATTCAGTATGAACAAGGCTAGGCTCCGTAGCAGCAGGCTCATCGGCAATAGAAGATACATCAATTGCTGGCGTCCCGGTGAGCGAAAGAGTGTCGGACAGACTCTTCCTCCGGAGCTGACGCGGCGGGTGCGGGTGCTTGCTGGGGGCTAAAAGATTCTGCTGCTAATGATTCATCATTCGATAAAGGCTTGTCTTCGGGATCCGAAACTGGAGCGACGTTTTCTGGTTCGACGACAGAGGAAACTTCGGGTGATTGTTGCGTGGCGGACGCCACCTCAGGCTCGGGTGTCGTCTCTATGACTAAAGAGGTGGGCGCCGACAGTGGCTCACTAGAAATTGCCTCAGGGTGGTACTCGTCACCGACCGTGGCGACTTTCTCCTCGACTATTGGGGCTGCAATGTTCCCCACAACTTCGGAATTCGTCGAAGTTTCCGCTGTCTCTTCTGCTGGCGCAGTAGCTCCGATGTCGACAGATTTTTCTCCAACAGCGGCGGCATCCTCTTCAACTGTAGGTAGGGCATCCTTTTCTTTAATCGGTGAAGAGACGAGATCTTCAGCCTGAATAGGAGCGACACTTTGTTCCTCGGGAGCAGGCGCAGACGATTCTTCAGCAGGAGCCACTGCGACATCCGCTACGACGGGCGTGGGGAGCGAAGGTGGCGCTTGTTCTTTCGCTGGGGCCGTCACATTCTCCGCTTGTACAACAAGTGAAGGTTCTTCGGTTACATCTGCAACGTGTTCGACAGGAGCAGCATTTTTTTCCGATTCTACCTCAACGGGTGCGGGTGCCGTGAGCTCTGCCACAGATGGTGCTGCAGACTGCTCGGCGGGTCCTGGTACTGGTTCTTCAACGGGAACGGCAGCTGATTCTGCGGGCGCGACTTCTTCAGTGGGACCAACAACTTTCACCGACTCCTCTTCAACAGGTATCGTCTGCTCTGCCTGTGCTATAACCGGCTCTTCTACAGGTACGGAAGCTAGTCCTTCCTCAGGAATGGCAGTGGATTCCTCAGTAGGTGCGGTAGCTGGCTCTTCAACCGCGAGGGGAGCGGATTTATCAATTGTGCTTGTGACTGGAGCTCCTTCCGGTTCACTCGTAGGTGCAGCCGCTTCCTCTAGAACCGGAGCGGCATCGACAGGCGAGATAACTTCGGGTACAGGTTCTGGTGCAGGGGGCTCTTCCACCTTAAGTGTCCCGCCCTCCAAAATTGGAAGAGGGACCTCAGCTAGTACAGCGACTGCAGGGGTGGATTCCGTCACGGGAGCCTCCTGGACTTTCAATTCCGAGGCGAGGGGTGTTTCGTCAACAGGTGCCATCGCAGGAATAGGGTCAGCGACAGGTGGGGGTGCAGGAGGTTCAGAGGCAGTTTCCAAGGTGGCAGTTTTGTTTGGTGTGGATTCAGGTATGGCGACCCCTTCTGTCGTAGGAGCTACTTTAGATTCATCAGATGGGACTTCGGCAGCCGCTTGAGCCAACACGGCAGTAGCTCCAACAGCGGAGACGACTGCGGCAGTTGCACCAACCCCCGCCCCAGAAACACCACTCTCGGGTTCTCGTTCTTCAGGAATATCCTTCGGTACGTCTACTGACTTCCTTGTAGTCTTCGTCTTAATCTTGTCGCCGTCCTCTTCCTTCAAAATTTCGCCCATCTCGCCAATCTTGGGGGACTTGGGACTGTTGGTGTTCTTCCGCTTAGTAGGTGATTTATTATCACCACTGGTCCAAAAGCTGAACCGCTTCTTCGTTGAAGAGAATGTGCCGGATATATCTGATTTGAATGAAGGTTTAGGAGAGGATGCTCGAGGCCGTTTGCCGGGTGATTCAACAGAAGGTGAAGCATGACTATCTGATGCTGGCGGCAGAGGTGGTGGTGGTGGTTTGCTGAAGGTTTGCTCGAGAACCAGCCATTCAACTCGTTTGCCCTCGATTTCAATGTCGGATAACGACCCCTTCAACTTGCAGATTACAAAGGACGGCCAATCTGACGATATAGGGTCCACCAGTGCGTCGTTCCAAAAGTCTATGAAAGCTTCATCGAGCTGCACAGATGACACGCTGGTCACCTTGGAAGTAGAACTGGTTTCTTCCACCGGCGCCGCTTTATTTATATCGATATTCAGTTCGGGTACATTGCGTCGGGTCGGCGACTTGGATTTCTTGGGTTCCGGCGGAACAGTGACCTCGAGGTCCGAATCCATCAGGGTGGAAGCAAGCGCGGTACCGAGTGGCAGTGATTCTAGGAAACCGGAGGTCGAGAACTGGGCCCAGTCCATGCCGATATGACTTGCGGGGGCTGGCGTTGACGTCGAGGCGGAAACTGATGGCGTGTCAAATGACAGCTTCCCGTTACTGACACCATTTGTGGCTTTAACTTCGTTCAGGGAGATTGATTGCTTTGTCGTCGGTTGAATGAGATTGATTGTTGGTGACTCGGAGGTGGTCCTCTCCATGGGTAGCATGGAGAGAAACCGAATGGTCTCATCAGCGAAAACGTGGCTGGTGGCTGAGTAACCTCCGGGTGAGGAATCATGGCCTTCAGTTGCGACTTGCTTAATCCTATTCCAAAGTTCTACATGGCCCGTTGAGCCGGGCTGTGCTTTAAAAGCATCGGATATCAGTCGAAGGGGATGGTATGAGTTTTGTAGACCGGATGTGGGTAATTCTGTATCTATATGGACATAAAGGGCATCATGTTGTCGTGTTGAGAACCATGGTCGGGGAAGGAGGCCCTCTTCGGTTGAAGGCTTGCCGTAGGGGTACTGTTTCACAAGCTCGGTGAGACGCTTAGGGATCTTATTCTTCACCATTTCTTGCCTGTTATGACTTCGGTAAGAATAAGACACACCGTAGGGGTATTCAACCTACCTGATATTTGACAAGAAAATGTGCTCCATCATTCGTCCAGCGCGCTCCCATCTTGCATAAAAAGAAGACCAGGTATCATTATGCTCTGCGCGCGCGACATCTAGGAGCCACAAACCAAGTAACTTGGATACTTTACTACCGGAAGTGCTATTGGCTTCTGCGTGGGCGGCAAGCGATGAGAAAAGGTCCAATGTAGCAGCTAATAGCTCAAAGTGAGCCGGCGGAAGCTGCGGAACAAGGCTATCCTCAAAGGCCGTGAGAGGATATTGGGAAGAACTCTCGGCATCGAAGAAGTTCTTATACCAAGCTTCCTCTTTGCCGAAAGAGCTACCCTCTAGCTGCAAGTGCCTGAGGCCCCATCTCAAGACCGCCGCGACATCATGAGGCGAGCGTGTAGAGATAATCTCAGATTCAAAGGCTGATGCAGGGGAGGAAAGAGTAGGAGAGAGCGTAGTTATAGGACTTTTGGGAGCCAACGAGTGTATAAAAAGCGAAATGAGTCCTGGTGTAATGTGAGATTAACTAGTGATTATATGACGGGTGTAATATTACAAACTTTTCTGAACTTGAGGGTCGGCCGAATACCAATGAGGGTGCATGAGACCAGGCGTTTCCAAGCCTAACGGATAAATATGAGCAGCTAAATAGATAAAGATGGGAAAATAACTCGCCTCGCGCAATAATGGCCTGAGAACAGGCGCGAACCAATATTAGGGTCTCCAATGGATTTAGTCGACGCCCTCCAATGTCAGACTGTGACAAGAGTATTTGAGAGTTGGGATCTGCCTCGAATACGACACCCAAGGAGCGGTTACTTGCACCATTCTTTGGCCCAGGCAAGTTTAATGAAAGATGGGGAACTTCAGAGGGGGCATATGTCGAGAGTGCCGGGGTAGCAGACTTGGTTCGTAACAGCCCAAAGCCAATTTCCTTCCCCTTTTCCTTGTCCTTCGCCTCGGGTAGCTTGTCCGCTGGTAGTGATACAGTTGGCGAGACAGCCTCGAATTTTCCTTCGAGAAGAGAGGCAGTCGAAGTGCGACGGCCCGCAGATGGCTCCTTGTCGTCCTTCTTACGTCCAAATACCTTGGACAAGAACGAGGGCATGGCTTGTCGATGGGTCGTTAATGGGGATCCCCTGCCGGTTAATTAATAAAAGGAATTTGTACAGTTGTCGCCGTCAAATCCGAAAACGTAAAGAGACAACGAAGACCTTCAACAGTGTCAATGTCGTCGGTCAAGGAAGAAATAGGAAATTCATATTTAATTATGTCCAGAAACCTCATGGCAGGCACGTGCCGAGACCAATCAATTTAAATAAATAAATAACTAGTTTCAACAGTACTACCTATAACCCTCGCTAATTATAATAAGGCCACAGAAGGCCACGGATGTGAGCATACGTTAATATTCGCCAACTTTCCTCAAAGACTTGTTAGTTTTTACTCCATTTTTAAATAGAGCGCTCTCCACCGTTCTGGTATTAGGAGTACGTACCGTATGTATTGCAGTCTCAACCACGTACGGCCATCGCATCAATGTTTAACTTCGTGTGATCCCGCTCTTAGTCCCTTGTCGCAGCGAAGGTGGCGAAACACCCTCCTGGCTGCTTATCTACTGTTCCCTAAGATATCGAAGAATCATTTTTGGTGGATATGCTCCGTGCTACAAGAAGAACCATCCAAGCTGTCTTCGCATTTGGCATGGATACAGCCCGTAGAATGTAGGTTTGGTCTCGGGCGAAAGTCGCAAAACTTTAGTGCAAATATACGAACCTCTCTGCACCCCAAATGGGACGAAGTTGAGGTCTCCAAGGCTTTTGGACAGATTTTCATGGTGGAAACGTTAACCCCTCAACCTGTCTATCATTCCAGGTTACGTTACATCTCTTTGACAATCATCGTCCATCATAGATCTGATATCACCTCTCGACTTCATCTCAGCCTGGAAGGACCTGCAACAGCATTCGTCTGCTCAGTACCATCCTTCATATGCACGTCCTCATCAGGAGGCACTAAATACTCAACATCTTCATACATATGTGGGAAAAGAATCGCCAACATATCATCGATCCTGGAACTTGTAAGCACAAATAGATCGTTTCAGGATGAGCCGTACTTCGATATAAAATCTCCTTTCAGGGCATGATTCTTCTTTGAAGGAGAATCAATGTCTTTATCGCCGCTGGCGACGTCAAAGGAAGAGGCGTTCAGGGTTCCAGCTGAATTCCCTTTGGTATAAAGCGAAAGCCCTCGACGAGCAGCTAAATCAAGGATGTTTCTCTCGACAGTATCTGGAAGACGACAGATGTTAGAAAAGAAAACAAATGCCTTGGAATTTTACCTTCAGCGTAGTAGCAGTAGACTACCAGAGTCATAAACACGTGCCCATAACTAATAGCGGCATAAACGTACCTTCCGTGGGTCGGGTCTGTCCCAAACGATCAATTCGGGCGATTGCTGTGAAAATATCATTACCAATTAGCAGCATTATCTTCTCTGTCACTGAACGTGCCTTGAACTTCGAAGCCGTGGTGTACAACACTCTCCAACAAGAAGACTCTTGATGCACAAGTAATGTTCAATCCTGCGTTTTCTCGCTCACTACATACCAATATGAATCAAGTTGTGACGCCGTGGAGAATAGAAACTTACCCGTGTAAGAGCAAGACACGAATATCAGGATCAGACTTGAACCTCTTTGAGGCGTTGTTACCCTTCGTTCGCCCCTGGTCGATTCGCAGACATTGGATGGCTAACGGTGAAATATGTGAGCTTTTGTGGAAACAAATAGAAGCTTGGTGCTGACCGTTGTCTGTAAGAGCACGTTGCAATACTGAAAAGACAGAAAATCGTCAGCATTGCATTAAGCAATATGAACAACCAAACGAACTGTGTAATGAATCTTCCCACGCGGAAAAGACGATAGACTTGCAGCCAGGGTCATTCTCTTGCAAGTACAGAAGATGTCGGACAAGAGTTTGGATCTTCCTCCCATAGTCGCCATAGCATTCCATGTGTTCGATAGAGTCAAACAGCTCCGGATCTACGCGCCATCGTTAAGACGGTATGAGAAAAGTGCGAAATCACAGGTCAGATACGTACCAATCATGTTGTATTCTATTTTTCGACGAGATTGTGGAACCATCTCGCCATTAACAATTCGGCCTGGTGGAGGATTCTCAGGCCCGTTTACAGCAAACCTTTGCAAGTTCTTCGGGTCGACATGCACTCGGCATACGGGACATGCTTTTCCTTCTCTCCGCTGTAACCAGGCTTTCATGCAGCCTTCGCAAAATACGTGTGCACTGATAGTGAATGTTGGCGTTAACTTGGAGACGAACGTTGTGTCAACATACCAAGCAGTGATAAAGCCACGCTCAAATTCACATCCACACAGAACACACTCATCTTCTATGTCCTTAGCTTCATCTCTGTCCTTGGCAAGGTTGTCGAGGTACCGTTGACGTGCTCGGCTCGTCTTCAGTCTGTCTTCCAGCCGCGCCTTTTCTGCTTCACACTCTTGAACAGCTTCACCAAGGGTCTTCTCCCATGTAACCTGGGTGACAGAATCAGAGATTTCCTGTAGCTGACGGAAATACAGGATTCTCTGATTGAAAGCCTTTCGGAATAAAGCGAGATCAGCATCAAGCTTGTCAAGATTAGCGCCTTTAATGAAGATTGAGAACACGCATGAAGACCCTCGACAGCATAACAAATACCTTGATCTGTGATGAGTCGGCGAACCTCAGCTATGGCATCTTTCAACAGTGCTTTCTCCGGATCTGAATCACGGTTGATCCTAGACATAGCCGCCGTAAGATCCACCAAAATCTGTTCGTCGGAACTAAGAGCCTTCTGTTATATATTGATACCGATTCAAACTTACCGATTTTACCGACCGAGCGTCAAGTTCCTTCAGCAACTTTTTACGCTGTTCAGCTAATTCCTGGTGGAGCACTTCGTGCTCAGGCTGCAATTGAATATCACTTGGCAGTACCGAAGTGTTGTCAGCTGCTGCAGCCACTGCTTTTCCAGCAGTTCTTGTCTGGCGGTGCTTTGCCTCTCTGTCGGAAAAGGTTAGAACAGGGGACAGAAAAATCAGCTAATAACGCTGACCTTGCATCATGTACCGCTAGTAGAGTTCGTTCATTTACAAGGGCTTCCCGGCGATCCGCAAGAAGTGCAGTGTATGCTTGGAGATAAGTCTCTGCCTCTCCTTGATCATCGAGACTACGCTGATATTCTTCACCGTCGGCCTCATTCTCAGAAGCCGACAACCTCTGTGTAAGTAACTTGTGGAGGTGAGTCCTCCATTCCCATAGTAAGACCGATTGAACATTGAGAACATCTTCGATGATTTCATGAAGTTGATCAACCTGTTTTGCTTGTTCAGCTGTCAACGCTGAACAATTACGGATGTACGCACAATGTCACTGGAACGTATCCCCCCTTGCTCCAGGAATGGAAGAGGAATAGTCAGAGTATTTTCGTTTATCCCATGTTTAGTGGCATCCACGTCCAACTGAGCCATTCCGCGATTAGCCTCGTCTTCCGTACCTAGGCAAAGAGAAGATGATTTTCTTTCCAATTATGGCAGACGCCGGGAAGGTGACCTACTTTTCAAAAGGTCGCGTCGCATTTCCTCACAAATTGTATACGCAGCTGACTCTTCTGCAGAGAATGAATCTCCCAAAACGTGGTAGGTGTCACCTTGCAAGAACTTGACGCGATGCAGAACCATACGCGTCTCGCGAAGACGCTGTTGAAGTGCACGGCGCTTTATACCATGTTCTTCTCCAGCAGGTGTATGGGGAAGACCGTCGTCATCTGTGTCCTCGGATGGGGTCCATGATAGCTCTCGTTCTTTCCCTTTTTGACTTGGCAGTTCTGGCTGAGACGCTCTACGGGCAGCTGCTTCCTTTCTTAAGACATCACCTTTAGCATCGTGGTCTGTGATGGCCGATTCTATTTCGTCAATCAACTTGTTGGCCTCTTTTTCGGCGGCTAGAAGGAGCTCCAGTGAGCGATGATAACGGTTGTGATCACCCTCGTCGTGCTGTTTCAGCTGAGCAAGCGTGATAATAGCTTGCACCTGCATTCTGTAATTAATACGGGACATATCGAGGTTGAAACATGAAAAGACCTTCGACTTGAAGTCGTCCATGACGTTTCTCCAATTTTGATCTTGCATGGTCTATCAAGAATTGCGTTAGGAGAGAGTAAAACTTGAAAGTGAACAGCTAACATGTAAAACCTCCTCGATGGTCTTCAAGGCACCTGGTTTAAATAGTTTGTCGTTCTGGCGCTGAAGCTGTCCGACCTGGGCACAATATTAAATCTTATCTCCCATTGCTGCTGTAGACATACTTGGGGATGGGTACATATTCCTCGAAGTCGGCGAAGTGAGGACCGTAGAACAGTCCCGTCTGTTTCCCAGCCGGCTGATGCCGCCACGCCACGAGCATCAAGACCGAGCTCCTGTAGAACAGCTTCAAGAGTTTGATCATAAACCTATCTCAACGTGAGACTGAGATGGTTCGAGGAAAGATCGACCGGGCTCACATGGCGTTCAATACGACCCATCTCAATGCTAACAAGATAGCGGGTTTGTTGTGGTATAGTCAACTCAGCTTCTAATGTTGACTTCATGGTTCTTAAAATGATGGTGAGGGAAAGGAACCTGGGGGCGGAGCAGGCGTACCTGATCGTGTAATGACGGAAAAAGTCAGCTAGTTCTCCGGCATAGGGAGGCTGTATAAGACGATTCCATAAACGCGGAGATCCAACAGCATTGTCGACACGAAGGAATCTGATAGTCAGTTAGCTCCTGTTTATACAAGTGGAGTATAAGGGTACCTAAGAACATGTATCAAATCTTGGACCTGAGTACGAGCAGGAGTACCCGATACAGCAAATGAGGATAGCCGGGGAATAAGTGAAACCATGTCTCTGTGAAACAACGATGAGTGAACAGAGAGAAATCTAAAGGCACAAAATCGTACTCCGTTTTTCCCCCTCCAACCATCTGTACTTCGTCCATGACGACTCGTTGCCACTCACACATTACCAAGGGGCTACGTGGTCGCTCAACGTTGGAGTAAACCACGTCCGTACGCCTAGGTCTAAGAGGTGCCGCCCGAGCGACGTTGAAATCAGTCTTCAAGACGTTATACGTAGTGACCACAATGTCGAAAGTGTTGACCCATGTGCACCAATCCATGATGTCGTCCGTGGGTTCTAGTGCTTGTCCTTTTTTGCTGCGTTTCTGATTGATTTTGTTTCTCCTAGCGCGTTCCTCTTCAACTTGAGTAGTGGTGATAGGGACAGGGACCTTGGACCATCCGTCGTACACAAGTACTTTCAGGGTAGGTGCATGAGTAGCAAGCTCGTCGATCCACTGGGATGCAAGTGCTGGAGGGGTAACTATAAGGGTCGTCTGTATTTGGCGTCAAAATCGAAAATAAACGGGATTAGAAAGTACGCCTCGCCTTGATCGCCCTCACTTCGAGCCTTGCTATAGGGTCCCATCTAATTTGTTGAGCCGGGTTTCGGTCCGGCGGAGCAGGATTCAAAAGAATCAATGAGATAATTTCCAAAGTTTTCCCTAGACCTTAAAGATGACGTTGTAAGACAGTGTGACGAGTACAGGTTTGGAACCCATACCTGGTTCTTCTGCTAGAATGCCGCCGAATACAGGTTCGGACTCTTCTGCTGTTTCAGAAGTGGGAAGGACTTGCCCAGTCAAGCGATTAAACTGAAAAGATACGTCGCCTGCTTGAATAGTCTCCCAAGAGGAATATTCGGATGTATTGGCTGAAATTATCTCTCCAGAAGAAGTGACCGTCTTGCCTTCTCGCTCTAAAAGCCAGGCGACGCTTCGCCGCTGAAAGGGCAGTAGGGTTGGAAGCAGCTCAGCAGGCTGCATAGCCTCTATTGCGCGCTTATACGGAAGAGTAGGGGCAGGTCCAAGGATTGAATAAAAAAAGGGAATAGACACTACACCCTGGAATGTCGACGGTGGAGGCTTGGGATACGCAAAACGCAAGAGCTGTCTTTGAGCCGACTCCAGAAGTTCGATTGTTTTCCTGGTCAGGCCCTTAGAACCCCCAAATGGATCAAATATGCGTGGGGTAAGTATAGAAACAGTCGCATCCACATGCAGCCGAAAAGGAAGGTCCTTCGAGTCGCAAACGTCGGAGGGTAAGACGGTGAGTCTAAGAGAGGCATTTATAGAAACCCGCCCAAATGTCTTCAAGGTATCCGCCAACTCGAGGATGTCAGTCTTGAACGAATGGGGATCAGCATCTTGAGTGGCTTGGACTGTGGGCAACATAAATAGCCATCCTTCGCCATCTTCTTGATATTCTTCAGAGACGCCTATAAACTTGTCGTGATATTTAGTGATGAACACACGTCCCAGATCTAACGCCCGAGGCTCCTGCTCTCCAAGGCCTTGCAGGACGTCACGCAGTTCGTCTTCTTCACTAATCCATTCAGCATCATCACTGAAATGATCCTTCAAAGGGTGAGCTGGATAATCGGTCGTATATTGCATATCAAAGGTGTGGCGAAAGATAGGAGTATGCGTGTTTCCTTCTAAAGGTGGCATGTAGGAGCGAATAGTGGGGTAAACAAGGACTTGTTCGTCATTCTCCCTGTCAGAACCTGGTACCAGCTTTCGTCGCTTAGGATTCGGAGACTTGAAGAGGGTATCCTGAGCGGTCCGTTTCTTGCCCTTACCGGGGATTGGGGGAGGCGCGTCTGACAGCTCTGCAAGGAGCCTCAGGAGATGACTAACATTCAAGGCAGGTCTAAACGAGCCATGACCAAGATAGTGTCGACTAGTAGCCCGCAGGAAGAGGGAATGGGAGGAAGTCCCTGTATCCCGCATTATGAGAAGGAAAAAGGTAACAACACATGAGTCATTTCGGGAGCGCGACGCGCACGCGCAGAGTCGCGTGGCATTATTCTCACGCCACGGTTCAATAGGGGCCACTGTTTCTGGCATTTATTGTGCTCGTACTGTACTACAAAGTTGCGCTACACAAGTACCAAGGCATTCTTACCTACTTCTAGATAGACGCTTTACCCCTCGGCTCATAGGGGAGAAGCATCGCCAGGGCTCCCGCGAAAAGGATGAGCGCGCCTGCAATGTACACAGGAACTGAGGTTGCAATGTCTGCATACAAAGCAATGATCGGGGCCTGGCGAGAACTATTAGCATGACAAAAGAAAAGGGAATGAACGAAAACGCACGATGACACCAAAGACGCGAGTAGCTGTAGACACCAAGCCATTTCCCGTACCGCGGTGTTTAGCAGGGAATATCTCAGCGGAAACTGCGTACAGGACACCATACATGATCTACTGGCCTCAGCTCCTAATCAGATACTGGCGTTCGATTGCAACTCACGTTACTATTGAACACATATCCGCAGTTCCATCCGAGCAGAGCATTAGAGTTCCGCGCGGTGGTACTCGCGAAAAGAAAGGCGCCGGTGAGCCCTGTCTTTCGCGAGGGGTCGTTGAATAATGAAAGAAGCGTCAAAAAAACAGACCACTCGCCCGATGAGATCGCCAAAGTGCCTCGACGCCCAATGTGTGGCAGCTCTACAGCCCACCCAGCAAGGAAAGCTCCGGGAATGCCAATAACGCTAAGTATGAATTGCTATAAGACAGTTAGTATTGTTGGTGGCGAGATAAAACCGGAAATGAATTTACGTTTCTGTAAGTAATGAAAAGCGACCCATCTCCGAAGTCTGCTCCGCGGCTTGTCAACCTAGAAGCGAATGTGTTAAGAAAGCCTGCTGTAGAAAGAAAGATATCGTACAGGTATGGAAGAAAACTGTTGTAGAGGGTTGAAGCGAGTCCAATGATTCCTGTCAACCGTAAGCCTGTCGCCTGGAAGTTGCTATGGATAGTATATACCCCAGAGTGCGATCAGAAGCGTCGTTGATATCGCCACCTTTCGCGTACTAAACAAAGCCTTCACGTGCTCAAGCCCATAGACGGAAGTACGACTGAGCATGGGCCTCTTTGCACTCCCCGGCTTCAGTTCTGCTGCCTGATTTAGCTGTTCTACGCTGAGACCGGTCGAAGTAGAGTTGTACTTGGCGACTTTGTGAATAACGGAAACCGCTTCAGCATCTCTTCCAATGCCTACAAGGAAGCGCGGACTTTCAACGAGAGTGAACAAAAAGAAGCGAAGGCACCACAGTAACAACGTAATCCCTCCTAGTGTGAACAGGAGATAGCGCCACCCCATATTTTGGGAACGCTCACACACAGAAGCATCTTCTGGGCAAGAATAATTCGCGATAAGCGGCCATGCAAGCTGTCGAAAAGAAGTCAGGTGCAAATAAAGCCGAAGCGAAGGCACAAACGCACAAGGCTGCAAAGCAATTGTCCCAAAGACCACCAGACAGACATCACGGTAAGCAGGTATTGATGAGTGCCAGGAACGAGATCTGCCGCAGGCGGATAAGTCTAATCGCCCATTCAAAGAACTTTGCACGGTTTACCGAGGAACACAGCCGAATCTACAGGCATATTACCTTAAAGAAAACATTTGAGAGATTTGTGATACGCTGATGGACGCTTTCACTTACCCCCTACGCCCACACCGACAACTGCTAGTAGAGAGGCAAGAGTGATAAAATTGGGAGACCCCCCAGCTGAGAGCCCGAAAACTCCAGCTATGAGCAAAGTCAGATTGAATGACCACCTAGCTCTTCAGGTTAACAGTGTTGACGACGGAGACGAAATCATCGGATGCCGTACCTTCTTCCCCATATATCACAACCTACACTCCAAACAATCGCACCCACTAATAGACCGATGTTTGCAGCTAAAGTAAGGAGGGGGCCGTTGAACTTGAACTCCGCGGTGACCTGCGTCAAAATGAGACCAGTGATAAGCTACGGTATCCATTTTGCATCAGTCGATTTTGGACAGCTGAATGATGATATAGCAACTGACCGGCCAGACACTATCACTGCATGGGTATGTTAATATCTGCAACCATATAGCATCCAAGAAACTCACGCAAACCAGCCAAAACCAGCGCAGATGAAGAGATGAATCTGATACTTGCCCATACCTGTGACAATCAGTTAGACTTCCACGAACACTAGAATTCTGGTATATACTAACCGATCTCTTGAATCGCATTGTTCAGCACGCGAGCTTTCGCCTGATAGACGGGGTCTACAGTTCCATCCTCATACATGTCGTCCAGAGCGATCTTCGCCACATTGCCAGACGCAGACTCTGAGACATCAACGATTTCCGACTGGGCATCCATTCTCGAGTGCATGAGAGCGTAGCTTCCGGTGGACTATCTAACATGGAATTTTGATGTCCCTTCCCTTTATACCAGTCGCCGAACCGGGGTTCGGGTGAAGTTCGGACGAAGTTGGGATTGCACGATGAGCAAAGAAGTGTTAAAATTACGTTCAAATCAGAAGGACGGAAATAATGCAGCACACCGATCATGATGTCGGCCGACTGGGTAAATGTGTAAGTCATATCCCTCCCTCTGCCAATCACACTTTTGCGCTTTGTAGACACCAAGACCAAAATGGACGGAAATCCCCCGACCATTTGTATGTGGTGATCAACGGGAAGTCTGATTCAAGCTGCTCTCCACTGGGAGAGAAAATCCGCACGACTTGAAGTCCGGGTCGTACCGCTTCTTCAGAAACATGGAGACGAGCATGGGCATACACTGAAAGCGAATATGATGAGCATTGAAAACGGCTAAACCGACGCAAATTACTGACCTTTCTTCCCAGGCTCAGCCAATTTTAAATCTTCTACCCATGAGTGATCGTCCAGCGTTAATGTCACCTGCGCTACTTTGCCGGAAGATATCATTTTGATAGGAATTGTTTTCCGAGGGAGATATAAAGGGAACGCATCGTGAAAGGACTCGAGTAACACAGATTTGGTAGAAAGGTGGAGCTCCCTATATATACGGAAATACTCAGAACGGATCAAGTCCTCGCTCATCAGTCCATCCTCCAATAGCTTCTGCAGGAAGCCTTCAGCTTTGGGTAGACCGAGGAGTCTACACATCGGTACGACCCAAGGCATACCGTTAGGTTTCAAGAGGTCTGATCCCGATGCGAATAGTGAAGGATCATTTGTAGGAGTGACACGGAATCGAAGTTGGCCTGCCGTTGCGGGTAGGTCTGAGTGGGTCCAATAATAATAATATCCAGCAGTTTGGTTGGGGAAAGCTAAGGAAGTCCTGCGGCCCCCGGGCCAATAATACCGAAAACGATATCCCAAGGGCCCGTCTGACACCCTGCCGGAGAGGTCACGGAAGTCGGACTCCGTCAGGGCTTTGGGGTTGAGTGTTTGGATAGGTGGAAGTGGAAGGCTGTGGTATTGAATACATAGTGGAGAGGTCGGTATACGGTAGTGACCAATGGGTCGGCGGAGAAGACGAAAGGACATTGGAGACCAAATTCTACAGCGGAGATTGTTCTCAACCAGTTCCATTAAACGAAGGGCACACTTACTAGAAATTCGGCGAGGGAAAAAGACTGGTGATATGCCAATGTTTATTGCAAGGTTGACGTTGGCGCCTCGTAATGTATTGCCAATGTAGAATTTATGAAAGAATTCACCACCACCACAATGATAGGAAAAAAGTAATGACGCCCTTTTGATGACATAATGCTGTGCTGAAGGATTACTTACACAATTCCTCCCTTTACCTTTACTCATTATCGACTTGCTGAAAAGCTTCATCCCTTGGTTTACTTTCAGTGAAAACCAGTTACTTGTGCTTTTATGGAATCAGGGAAGTTGCAAGCTGTGGTGTCAGAGGAAAGGAACCCTCGGGGAATACCGAAAGCACCATTCATCGTTCGTACCAAGTCTGTTTGCACTTCTAGCGCTGTCTCAATTATCTTCAGGCAGATGTAGAGGAATATGTTGGAGGATCGGACGGGGATATTGAAGGCCCACTCAAAGCGTTCCAAGATGCTATGGCGTGCGCTTGCAATTCCTCCTCTTGGTTGGGAGTTGGTCATTGATGAGATGCGTTACAGGAAGTACCGGTACATGGACGATAACCTAGCACAACGGCGGAGAGGATTAGAGGAGAAGATTCCTGATTACAAGAAGACGTTGGATATGGTGGAATATCTGCAGGAGAGACGCGTACGAGCCCCGTTTATCAAGATTATACCTATACTAACCAATTGTTGGACACAGGAGGGAAAGGGAAAGGCATCGGAAAGTGATGATCTGGATGATGACTTGGACGATGAGGCTGATGATTCGTCTTCAAAACCGATACGGACCACCTTCGAACTGAACGAGACGCTGTATGCCGAAGCAGAACTTGAGGAGACGGATACAGTCTATCTATGGCTCGGAGTGCGTTGTGTTATCACCTCATAGAAAAAATTTTCCTGAAATGTCTTCCAGGCTAATGTTATGCTGTCATACAAAATACCAGAAGCCATCGCTCTACTAAAATCTAAACTCGAAGCTGCCGAGACGAGTCTTCAAAATACGATTGAAGACCTGGAATTTATTAGAGAACAGCTGACGATAATGGAAGTGAATACCGCACGTGTATATAACTGGGATGTGAAGCGACGACGGGAGCGAAGAGAGAAGGAGGCGTTAGTGGGATCGAGCGGTACAACTAAAGGCGACAGTGGCTAGATGACTTCTGAATGCGATTTCTTTGCTGATTATTCCCTATAATTTTGCAATTAGCTTTCCGAACGGTCAATCAAGCCAGAGGTGCCAAAATTGCTGCCTAATTGAACAAGACAACGAAAATTCGCCAGTCGAGAGTTGTATTCAGACTGCAGAACAAATCGATTAGAATGCTGGCTGCTATAGTCAGCTAGACGACGACGAGAGAATTTTCTGTGGAAGCGCCGTCGATTGCATTTCTCCAGACGTGCCATGCTCAAGCACAGACAGTCGCTGTCCTGATGGCTCTGTTAATAAGTCTATCAAATCTAGGGTGTAGCACTAGGTATATCGTATCGCGATCGTCCAAACTTCTTTCTTTCCTCAACACTAGTATCGTAGATGGATGCCCCCTGGAAAGCTTATATCAAGTCTTCCACCATCAAGGAAATGACAGTCTGCTTCAACATTTCGACCAAATCCGACCGCATCCGTTTCAGCACCTTCAGGCTGACACCATACGCCGGGGGAATCCACGGAAGAACATGACCATGACAATAGTGTGGGTCGGTACTTTCTTTCGTCTTCTTCTGGGCCTTCAAACTCCATAGTTGATTACAGCACCAGCACATCTTGCGGCTCAACCCGATGCAGTTATCGAGCTGCGAAAGCAGCTACACGAACTAATGATTAGGGATATGATATTCAAAATGAACACAATACGCACCTGAGCAGCATCGTCGTCGAAATGGTGTCGCGCCTGTAATCGATCCACCTGTCTCTGAGTCGTAGTCGCGAGTTGGAGGCACATGAGCGCAGCCTCAGGGTGTATGGACCCAGTGACGTTTTGGGCCTTCAACCATCCTCTCCGGCGCTTGTACCATCCTTCTTTGGTATCCACGGCAATGAACGACCGTAGTACGAGGTCCAGAGACACATCGTGCATCTCCAAAATCGAGTCGTCCGTCGTGAGGTAGTATACTTCCAACTTGGGTTTCACCTGGGCAGGAAGCCGGCTAGCATACCACTGGTGAATCACGTAGAGCACGGAGGCAGACGCTCGGTAGCCGCAGATGTGGTTCAGATAGTTGATAACGAGGGTATGTAAGCACATGGGGATGGGGTATGACTGGTGCGCGGCGGTGTCATTAGGATCTGTAATGGAAGCGTAAGCTGGAAAAGTGAATTCAGAATAAGTTGAATGACTCACCAATGCGTTGTGCGTGGGTGTAACAGGACGCTAAGGGGGGAGCCAATGACGACGCGACGAAAACAGGTAGAAATTCATCCGCGGAAAATACCTCTCTGATAATAGATATCGTGGATATGCATGACATCCCCATGCTGGTCTGCGTCTCGCCGGATTGGTTCTCGTCTTTGAGCACTTTCACAGTCTCGCATAACAATTTGCCCATCTCATTAATCCACTTGGCCAAGTTTGCATTCGACACAATGACGCGACCGGTCTTCCCCACACGGACCCCAGGTATGCTTTTCTCTATTCTTTCGGCTTCGGCTTTGCCTATAACTTTTGTTATACCTCCCTCTGGGAGTAGGAACTGATCTATCGCATGGTCTGCCTTCCATCTTTTGAAAATCCCGCGGAAGCCTTTATATCGCCGAGAGAATATCGCGTCCGAGGCAACAATTCTCTGCAAGAGTTCGCTTGGGTGGTGATCTAAGGTGCGTTCGAGGAGGGGCCAGGCGGATTCAAACTTCGATTCGAGGAGTGGTGATAAGAAATGATCTAGAGAGAGTGGCTTGGGATGAGGTGCTGGATTTCTGAGGAAATTTGAGAGGGGGATGAGAATGGAGGTTCTAGACGACATACAGTTGAGGTGCCTCCTCTTCCTTGTCGACGTCCATCGCTTCAACAAGAGTACTTTCTATGGCGAACGTGTTAAATAAGCACTAGTTGCCATATGAGAAGATACTCACCACTCGCACTGGACGAATCTGATTGGGTAGCCGCCGATTCATCGATGACTGTACCCACAACGCATTAACGTCGTAGTGAGATGTGTGGAGCCGATGAACAAATACCTGATTTCGAGGCTGACACCACCAACCGAATCCTCCGATCCGCGGTGAGGGAGCCAGTGACTGCAACCGACCGATCCACAGTACTAGAAACATCTGCCATAGCAGTGTAGAACATTCTGCGCTGGTCTGCTTCTGTCACCTTGGGTCGTAGTCTGTAGTCGAGTTCGCGACCAGCAAATCTCCAGTGCTCGAGAGCTGCGAGGAGTGAGGTTAGGCAAGTGATGTCGCGCCTAGTGAAGAAGTACGATTCGATCTCAATCTCGGACATGATGGGTGGCGGATGCAGAGAAGCCCAGAATGACAGGGTGGTAGTTGAAAAGGGATGTTCAAGCTTGTGCCACTGACGCGACGGTCATGTGCCGACCTGGGACGGGCACCCATTGTTGTGTCATGCTGGTCTGTGCATACGAAAACAAAGAAAGAAAATACCTAAATCAGAAGGCCGAATAGATAAAGCGAATTGTGAGCGGGCTGAACGTACCGATGAATAGGAGGGTCTGCTGATGGTCGTGGAAATGAATAAGAAGAGAGCTTGGAAAATAAAACCTGAAACAAGGCGTGAGACTGTTGGATATCATGATCACAGACTGATCTGGGGTGATGACACCGTATTGAGAGAATCCACCTACTTCTGCAGAAGGTCAACGCATATCACTCGAAGCCTTGAAGAACAAATGAGGGCGGGTACAGTTTACGAACCACAGGTCAGACTAATACGGAGTGCGGGCCATTCAAGTCTCGACGAAGCCATCAAAACCTGGATTTTGTGTTCAAGTCTATTCAACTCGAGTTTTGTAAGAGCAAAACCACGCGAGATAGTTGTGGCTGACTATCTGTGTATGAAAACCATGGATTCCAAAGGTAGAGATGTCAAATATCCAAGGGTAGAACATATGGTGCTGGACAACCATTAACGCAAAGAAGGAAGAGATGGAAAGTAACTCGCCAATAATATACATAAAAACAAGAACTATGATACGCCTCCCCCACCTTGCACCGAGCCGCCGCCAGTTGGTGTCGTCGCCGCCGTCGCCGTCGTTGTCGTTGTCGTCTGGCGATTTGCTGAAGACGTAGTCGGTCCGCCCTGCTCAATGCCCTGCCCACTCCCACTACTAGACGAAGCTGACGGCGCCGGTATTCCTGTCTGAGTGATTCCCCCTTCTACGGCATTATTGTTGTTGTTGTTGTTGCTCTTCCCTACAGTTCCCCCCACCGCTCCTCCTACCACCGCCCCAATCACCACAATGACCGCAATGACGATGATAATAATCCCCTTCCGCGTGCGCCAGAAGGGTATCCGGCGCAAAGGCGCGCTAGATTCGGCGCTAAGCGGCAAGTGCTCTTTTGAAGTCGGGGGCCCGCTCTGGCTTTCAGGATCCGGATCAGAGTCGCTGCGTACAGGGGGCGTACGGTTAGGTCGTAAAATATCTGGATTGTAGCCTTCCTGTATACCAGACATTAGAAACGTGTTCCGCTAATGAGGAACCGAATGCATACCTGCAGCTGGGCCTTTGTCGCTGCCGGGGCCTCAGCGAGGAGAGCCTGGTCGTACCCACTCATTCGTGATTAATTCAGGCAGGCGCTTCAGCTGATTTTATCGTTGTCGACCGTGAGGAATCAAGTTTAGGGCAAACAAATTTCATGGATAGCTGTACTCCTTAAGCGCCAATTGATCTCAGGGTCCATTCAGTCCGTTGACTGGTTTCATTTTTGATCTGAACTGGTTCGTTCCGCATTGGGCCTGCCTTTTTCCCATTCTCCTTCATGAAGGAAATTTTGCATCTCTTCAACGCTTATAGTAGACCATATTACCAGCATATTCATCCCCGACTTTTGCTATCCGTTCACCATTCATTCTTTTTCTCGTACGTTCGCGTTTCATCTTGTCATAATTAAACGAATTCATTTTCACCGCTTTCGTACAAAAACGGTTAGAAAGCAGTCGCAAGACGTCGTACTAGGGGCCCGGAGAGTTATCACCGAACCTCTTGGCCACTATCACAAAAAAGCATCGCATATTACCTCTTCAAATCGAGCTCCGAAGTTTTCTTCCCAGCTCTTGGTAACGTCTCTCTTTTCAGAGTCTTTACCATTCCAGCTTCTATATAACTCTCTACACGCACATTCCTCAGGTATTGATAATGATCGACAATCTGTCCAGTCATTTGTCAGTTCGAAACGCCTTGCCTGATTGATTTACGTTGTGATCCTTGATGCTAATCAGACCAGCTGCAGCACTGCAGCACTGAGGAATTCTAGCTGCATATTGACCCATGGTAACAGAAAATGCTTCGACTCGTGGTACGATGGCAGTCAGATCTCTCAATCGGAGACAACTCCTGACGTATACAAAACGCATGGGAGGAATGTGCGGCACAGCCTAAACAAATCTAGGCACGAGCCCTCATGAGCTACTTACAGCATGCTTCCGTCAAACAGATCTGATTTACTTTATATGCGACATAGGGACAGTGGCGATCTTTCGCTCTCCCCCCACATCCAAGTAACATGTTGCGCGACTTGGCAGTGTTTCTATCTGTTCTAGCCTTGCAGAACTTGAGGGGGGCAAGGGCGCAGAGCGAGGCGACCTGTACTGACTCTGCGTACTCATGGGTGAGTGGGCCGTTATCCTTGATGGTACCACGAATGACGACTGATCTTTGATGTAGTCGTTCAATTCGCTAAAACAAAGTCCTTGCGATATAGGAAGAGCATTGGGTGGTGTATGTACCACTGGTACGGTTTGCTATCCACGACATCGTCGAGAACTTTTTTCTCAAAAAAATCCTTTTTTGACAGATTTCACAATCCAGGCCCTTCCGTCGGGGTACCACTATTCGGGTGTAGGCGCCATATACACGTCCGACTGTGTCTGCAATACCGTGTACTATTCCCTCCTGGACGTATGTGCTGCTTGCCAAGGTGGTTCCGTCTCAGTGTGAGTTCTCTTCGTGATTCCTTCAGGATCAAGAATTAACTGTGGCGCATATAGTTGGAATGAATGGGACGCTAATTGCACAACAACGTACCAGACGTACGCTTGCCTATTCTAATCCGAGAACAAGAATAACCTCTTTGCTCACTTACAGGTTCCCAGAAAATATACCCGACGGTACTGCAGTACCACACTATGCTTATCAAGCCCTTTTACCAAATGGCACGTTCGACTTTGCTAGTGCTGTAACCGACACGGGCTCTGAGGCAACACACATCGCGTCTAGTAGCGCTTCCTCGACTAGCGGTTCTACCTCGCGTTCCGCATCTGCTTCTGGCACCTCCGCCCCTGCAGCAACCTCTGGATCAAGCTCCAGTGGAAGTAGCAACACTGGCGCGATCGTCGGTGGGGTTGTGGGAGGTGTTGTAGGCCTCGCGTTAATCGCTGGTCTCATCTTCTTCTTAGTCCGCCGTCGTCGTCGTCGTCGGCCTGCCGTCGCTGCGACTACTGGTCCCATTGGGGGTGATATTCCCCCTCCCGCGCCTTCTTTAGTGGGCCAGAACCTTTCTGGATCGGCATATGCGCCTACTACTACAACATATGATAAAATTTATGTGAGTCCGGTATTGTTGAAGGTTTGCCATCGAGCTCAGATTGCGTAGGACCCTAATGACCCTTCCACTTTTCCTACCGTCCAAAATGGCTTACCGTATGGCCAGCAACAAGCTCCGGGAGGATATCCTCAACCTTATGCCCCACATTCGCCATCATCTCCCGACTCGAATATGACTCCTAATAGGTTCTCACCGGCACAGACTACCAGTCCACCACCGTCGTCGGCATACCGTGGTGCACCAGAGGTTTGATTTGGTGCAGTATCACTGGCAGGTAGATGAGGTGTTGGATGACTCTTTCGCTGATTAAATAATTGTCGTACCTACGCGTATATTTTTTTATTCTTTTCAAGTTGGCGAGTTTAGTCATTCAACATTCCATTGACTCTGAAATTCGACCTCATTCTGTGTTTAACTGAGGTAACCTTCCAGTTGCAATGTATGAATCTTTCGAAGGAATATTTAGCTGCTGGACCATTTTTGTGGCCTACTGTTCGGTGTGTGTTGAGTCCGAGAAACCCATTTCGAAGCACGTGAATGACATGGTGGTGGACGCGATGTTGACGCGCTTCTTCATTTGGTACTATCACTTTCTACCGATATGTTTCAGCTAAGATAAAGTTACCTGCCCCTTTCGACCTACATCAGCAACGCACATGGCATATTAGGACTTAGACGCTTCATTGGCACTCAGGGATAGCAGGTACCATCGGCGTCTTCAAACTTTTGGGTGGTCGCGCTGCTTCTTTCTTCTTCTGAGGGAATAAGTCAGTCTTTTCGCTTCTTGTGTATAGCTGAATTTATTGTGCAGTTTGAATCAATAAATATGACTCTTTGTGGCCGAATGTGAATCTGCCTTACAAGATGTCCGATATCCTGAAGTCGATTTCTTATCGAACATCAACGGCTATCTGGTCGGTATGATGCCCCTCCTTTGCATAGGACAGGTATTTCATGCTATGGCTATCTTTCTGACCTATCATCACTTGATGCAACCTTTTTCGTAGGCCCCATTTAGGATCCTGCCACCACGAGAGGCTGGACTGCTTCGCCTTGCGGACCTAGCGTGACTGCGATAGCATTCAAGTGGTAGTTTGGTTCCTGTGTCCACTCTTCGAAATATGATCCGTGTGACATGGGTGCAGTTTACTTGTCTTATGAGTATTCTTACATCTGAAGAACCATCCTGAGTCTTCACTGAGTATGTAGATATTGCGGCACGAGAGATTCATCCCGGAAAGATAAACGTTGTCTGGGTATACGCTTTAGTGCGGTGACTGTCATCAACCCACCCCCGCAACTTTTATCTGAAATGTGTTGGTCTAGATCATTTATGCTAAGTTAAGTACAGTTTGCTTGTGAGCGCAGCCAATGTTCGGATGCCTACACAATCAACTGAATGGATTTCATAATGTGACTATTTCCGGGGTGAATTGTGCCCGTGCTTACGTTCTTTTAAGTTAGCTAATAAACCCCGATAGCTATGTATAAAGAGAAGCCACAAAGCCTCACATCGATAACTAACCTGCAATCAGAGGATGGATTCGAAGTCGATTATCGTCGATGTCTCTGAATCCCCGTCCAATCATGTCACCCAAATTACTCTGGATGACATGTATAAGGACGAGTCCGTGGATGTGGTGTACCAGGCGAAGTCTCGTGTGCTGAACAAGGCAATTCAAGAGATCGGTAGGTCAACTTGCCATGATTCCTTGATTTTTATTTTGACAATCGTTGTAGGTATGGGCAAGTACCAGAAACAGCTGTTCATCTGCGCGGGTTTCGGTTGGTTTGCGTACGTCTCTAAAGTATCATGAGACGGCAGATCCTGACTCCAGCGTGTAGTGACAGTGTCTGGCCAGTTCGTTGCGGGATTAGCTCGTATATTCCGGAACTGACTGATGGGGGAACTATAGCTTGCCATCGCCCTCATTCTGACGCAGACTAGCGCAGAGTTCAACTTTAACGGCCCATACCTTACTTTGGCTGCCAACGTTGGACTACTGGTGGGTCCCGCCATATGGAGCGTGGGGTGTGATACGTGGGGAAGAAAGTGCGGTGCTCGAACGTCTTTGTCTTCGCCATCACTCTGACGTGCAGCAATAGATGGCCGTTCAACCTCACTCTTCTCATAGCCGGAGTATTCGGAACTGCCGCTGGTGGTTCGCCTGATTTCGTTACTCTTGCGTGCTTATTGGCCATCGTTTGCGTCGGCGTTGGCGGTAAGGGCTAAACTTCGCACTGAGCGTGGACTCATTGACAAAATCTCTAGGTAACCTTCCCGTGGACTCTGCGGTATTCCTAGGTATGACTATGCCTAATTGTCCACCTTCATACTTATCAAGACGATGGTAGATCTCGTTCCCGGTACTCACCAATATCTTCTCACCCTCATAAACGTCTGGTGGTCTGTGGGTTCCTTGCTTGGCAGCCTTGTGCGTTATGCATCTTTCCATCTGTCAGTATTACCAACTGCCCACATTTTCAGCTTGCATGGCCTCTCATAGCCGACTATTCCTGTCCCGAGGATGCCTCAGTTTGTGATCGTGCGGATAATATGGGGTGGCGCTACCTTCTATTCACCCTAGGAGGAGTAACTCTTCTGTTTTGGTTTCTGCGTCTCTTTTACTTCGATCTTCTCGAAAGTCCCCGCTTTCTTATAAGCGTCGGAAAGGACGCTGAGGCTGTTTCCATCATTCATAAAATTGCTAAATATAACGGAACGACGACCGATTTGACTGTCGAGCATCTCAATGAGGCAGCAGAAAAGGCGGCAAACTTAGGCATACCTATAATTCCCCGGACCGCTACCTTTGGACTGCAGCATGTAAAGGGTCTCTTCAGCACAACAAAAATGGCAGTTTCTACCACCCTTTTGATCGCGCTCTGGGGTAGGTGGTCTTTCTTACTTGGAGACGAAGGCTCACCGTTTATAGCAATCATCGGACTCGCATATAATCTCTATAATTGTTTCTTGCCATATCTGTATGATTTTCTCCTTCATGCGGTACATACTCTTATGTCTGGTCGGCTTCAGTCTAACGACCCGCGGAATTGACTTCGGAGACGGATCGCTTTACATCACATATAGAAATGTGATTTTCTTTTCACCGCGTATCTTCTCCAATACCGGCGCTGATCATGTTTTATGTAAAGCAATTCATTCTCAGTGTTATCGGCATCGTTGGAGCCCTGGTTGCAGGATGGACTGTCGAGGTATCCGGCATCGGTCGTAAAGGCACTTTGGCAATCTCAATGGGCGAGTAGATGTCTTCTTGATATTGTTTCTGTTTTTTCATGCCCTCATCGTGCAAAATAGGGCTCACTGGTATCTTTTTATTGGCAAGTACCACTTCTCGTAGTTCTAATGCATTGCTGGGATGGAATTGCGGATATAATTTCAGTATCAATGTAAGGTTATTTAATTCTTGTATGGACATTCGAAACTGAGAAGAATTTCAGATGATGTGGGGAGTTATGTACGCCTTTTCGGCCGAGATATTCCCTGCTCCACACCGTGGCACTGGCAATGGTTTGGTTAATGTGGCTACTGCTGCATTTGGTGTTCTTGTAAGGCTTTCCTGTCTTTCAGTTCTCTTCGACTTGTTCTGAATTCTAATGTAGGCACCTATCGTTGCTCTATACGCGAACCTTTCCACATCTGTCCCTGTGTACATATCAGGCACGCTCTTTGTTTTCTCGGGATTTTTGGCGTTGTTCCTTCCCTACGAGCCCTATGGTAAAGCATCAATATAGGGATTGGTTACACTGGAAAACTATACTACCTAGGCATACATCGAACTTTATTAAAGGCAAATCCAATTTATTCTTTTCCTTGGATGAGGCGTGACCGATATACCTTTTGACTTCTGACCGCGTGACTCGACTGTTATATGGTCGCGCCGACGTGTGATCCTGGTTCTCCGATACCTTGGGTGCCTGCGAGACATCATGATAAAATGCGCTTCATCTATCGGTAATCGGTGACTAAACTTCTAGGTTACCGGTACTTCGGCAAGCACGAATCTCGCGTCGGCTCAACCGGCAGGCAAATTCTCCTTGCATTTCACTACGACGTCAACTCCAACCGTTAGATATAGTACGTATCGGTGAATCTGACTATAACTTATTGTAACCCGAATTTCTAGATTTTGAAATGGTTTATCCATGTACGACAGGAATCGAGCTTGATCTCTGTGTCTAATCTCTGGATACAGCCCGTCAACATGTCTTGAAGACTTTTGAACATCTCATCAAGGTGTTACCAGCGGCCGAGCAAACCAAGGTAGTCCAAAATTATTCAGTGCTTGTCAGGTATACGATATGACAGTCAGAATATAGCCACAGATATTACTGCTAGCTGGAGAAGTTACACCCTATCGCAATGATACAGATCGCGAGATGGTCTTTCGCCAGGTGAAGTTGTATCAATTGCGTAATATAATGCTCAACATTTTTCAGGAATCTAATTTCTTCTATCTTTCTGGCTGTACAGTACCGTCATCGTACCTTCTCATATCATACCAAGCTGGAACATCGTTGGCCCAAACTCCTTCCATAGATTTGTTCATTCCCAAGATAGAGCTCGCAGACCTTATGTGGTCGGTCCCTCCACCGACTCTGGATGCCGCAAAAATGATTCATGATGTCACCAAAGTGGACCATCCAGACGCTCTGCCAGCCGCCATCGACACATTGACGAAAGCATTCCCGGACGCCCTCTTCCACACCCTTCCTCGGTCCTCCCCCTTGTTCCCAGCCATTCCCGATCAATATACGCAAGCTGTCCTGACTACTGAAGGTGGAGCCGTGACAGATGCATTCTTGCTCTCTGCCCTTCACCGAGCAAGATTGATCAAAGACGAGGACGAGATCGCCATGATTCGGCACGCGAACCATATAAGCTCAAGGGCGCATGAGACCGTCATGCGGGTTCTTGGCTCTGCCGTGAAGGGAGGTATTCAGCGCGGAGCTGGGGCTGGCATTAATAGACCGCTTCTCCCGGGGGAATGGTTAATTGAAAAGGAAGCCGAAGCTGAAGCGATATTTGTGGCGTCATGCAGAAGGGAAGGGTAAGTGCAGACAACTTATCTGGGTCATTTGCGTTGAATTAAGCGTCCTGCGTAGGGCTGTTCATCAAGCGTATCTCCCTATCGTAGCTGCGGCAACGCGCGCATCCACACTCCACTATTGCTGCAATGACCGGGAATTCGCTTGGGGTCCGGTTCAGCCGCATGATCATCGTAACCACTCTGAGTTCGCACATGCTGGCGGTAAAGAATTCGTCCCTCAGGTCCTGCTCATTGACGCAGGGTGTGAATGGAGTTGCTATGCTTCGGACATCACACGAACGATGCCTGTGGGAAACGGCGGGAAGTTTAGCCCCGAGGCGCGAGATATTTATGAACTCGTCCTCGAGATGCAAAAGGTAAATGCTACGGGCTGTTCTTGAAAAGATGCTCATATAATCTACAGTCTGCCATGAACATCATAAAGCCTGGTGTACATTGGGATGCCGTTCAACTACTTTGTCACCGTATTCTCGTCAAAGGTTTCCAAAAGCTCGGGATCTTCAAGAGTCCCGATTCTCCTGCATCTGGTTCTTGGAACGCGGAGGAGGCCATATTGGCTTCTGGTGTGAGTAGCGCATTCTTCCCCCATGGCCTTGGTCATAGCTTGGGAATGGAGTACGTATCGTCGCCGTTTATTTTTTTCAGGCACTCACCCCGTTACAGCGTGCATGATGTTCCCAGTGCCAGCAAGCCTGCCGTCAATGATACCATCGGAAAAGGTATCGAATTAGGACACTCAAGCTTCTACGACTACTTGAGGTTGCGATTACCATTGGAAGCTGGGATGGTCGTGGTAAGTTTTCATGTCGAAGTCAGTGATATTATAGACAACAAACGTACCTCATACAGACTGTTGAACCCGGATGCTACTTCTCTCCGCATCTTCTCGCTCCCATCCGAGAATCGAAGCACATCAATCATGATGTCCTTAAGAGGTACGAACCTGTAGGAGGGGTACGGATCGAGGACGTTGTTCTGATTACAGAGGGCGGATTTGAGAATCTCACGACTGTTAAAAGCGATACAAAGTGGATAGAAGCAGTATGTTCAGGAGAGATTTGATAGTCGGAGGTGAACATTTACACGACGCAAGCAATTTGTACCTTGTACCATGTAACTTTTTTCCAAGTTCTTGCCTAAATTAAGGGCAAATCACTGTCCTAGTATTCCCGAGGCTAGGCCTGTGGCGGTAAACGATTACACACACTCTTCCGAGTTAGGCACTGGCCAACGTGATGCTTTGCTTCTTGGACCTTCTTGGACTATACAGCGGTTCCATCTCGGATGCTATACTTTCCCACCAATCTTCATATGTTCCCAGGGATCACGACATTCATGCACTTCCATCCCTTCTACCGTCACCGTAACGCGTGGGACCCTGTCGACCAAGCAAACTTAATATTACTCGTGCTCATTCAGCGTGCCGACCTACCCTCAGCAAGCGCGGAAAAACGTGTATTTCATGTAAACCCTTGCGACTGTAAATCAATATCCATCTGTTCGCTACCATGTCCATCGCTCAGCGCGATTCCACTGGAAATGCCCTCCGGACATCAGTATACGATACTATTCTTCAGCTCGGACTCCTCGAGAAGAATAGTATGATATCGGACTGGATGTTTGAGGGTACTGCTGGGCCATCCACCCGAAATTCCGAGCGCAAGGAGGAAGAATTCTCGACGGATACAGAGTCGGTATATTCGAGTCCCAGTCTCAGGGAGGACGTCCCCACTAGTGTCAGTGAGCCAGTATCTCCTTCCAAATCCCCACCTTCGAAGTTTTTCAAAGCGGTGAGGTCGAAGTTCTCACCCATCAAAAAAGCGTCATCCTCGCAGGATGCTCTACACGGCAGCCACACATCCATCCATACCACGGTACCGCCATTAAAACGTCGACCGAAGATCAATACCCTTTCCTTACAGCAGCTTCCCGGTTCGCTCGGCTCGCATGATAAGAGTATACGCCATGGCGCAAATGCTCCCGGACACGAGGCAAATGTGGCGGCATCCAGCTGGAATCCTGCGAAAGAGAAGCCAGCTACAGGAATCAACGGAAACGGCGCGCCACGCAGAGATAGAGATGATAGTTCGTCGTCAACAGAGGATTTGGGTTTGGAGTGGGAAGTGATTCCAGAGATGGCGAGAGCGGCGCCGACGGAGTTGAAGCCAAAAGGTGATGGATCTCCATCTGTTGAACACAGCCTTCATCATGTAGGGCGCAAGCCTGTGGAACTGCAAGCGAAGCGGATCGATGCAAATGGTGGCGGGAAGGGATTCTACCGCTCGTTTTCATTTGTTGGACCTCGTCGAAATGCCAGCAGTCCCAAGAAACCCAAATCGCTGCGTAGGCCAAAGTCGCTACGTCCTGATCCCAAACAACCGCATTCGAATCCATTTAGATCTCCTCGGTTCTCTCCTACTGTGGAGGTTCCTGATGGTGATAATAGCGACGGTGACACGTCTTGCATTCCGTTATCCGCTTCAAGCGCCGAGGACCCTCCTACACCGGATGCACTGCTTCGTGAATACGCTGCAGGAAGACGTCCGATGTCATTTTCCCCTCAAATCCAAAGAGGAAGTCATCATTCAGATGAAGATCCTTTCTCAGCTGCCCCCTCTGCCTCGTCGACAGTGCCAGTAACGCGGCCCGTTTCTTTTAATGGTTCATACCTGGCGGTGCCAGGGACAGGCGCGACCGCCACCGTGCAGAGATCAGTTTCAGCCATCCACCAGAGAGGGCGCCAGGTTCCTTTCCCCACAAACCCAATTTCCCCTATCCCCCTCTCCCTCAGTGGTTCAGGTAGTGACCGGAAACTTGGGGGATTGAGAGATATCTATAGGCAGGATTTGGATGCTGCCATAAGTGAGAGCGTCGTTCTAGGTGAAGCTAACATAAGTCGTCGTAAATATGGGATACGCCAGTAGGACACGAGGTGGTAGGCAGGTAGTTCGATGAATTGACTATCGACTTTTACACATATGAATTCTATATCATGTTTAGATGGTACTAAAATGAAAAGGGAATGTCTGCTCACGTATCATAATGTAGCCATTAACGGGTAGCCATTAACGGGCAATGATTACCGATGGCACCAGTCACAGACATCAAGGTGTTGCGCTGATAAGTTATTATAAGTTCCTGTCTTTTGACAGCGCTGCAACAAACATACAACGAACCTGACGTGGAAAGGTTCACTAGTGATGTTGTCAGGGGAACTACGTTCACACAGCAAAATATAAGACCAATACCTGTATTGCATATGTCGGAGAATCTGATCATCGCCCATTACAAGGTCGTTAAATGGCCAGTCTGACATCTTCGTCGACCGCGACCTCCAGAGGAATTGCGAGACCAAATACCGAACATTTCATGCTGGAACTAGAGGGATATGATGAGTGGGATTTCATCGACGGATATGCTCGAGGTTCTGAGGTACGCTAGGCCCCAGTTTCAGGAAATATAGCATGTTAAATGCCCTCGTTTAGGTGTTGGAAAGTGGGTCGTCAGGGTGGACTTTGACACAGGCGACTGACCAAGGTCAATATCCTTTCTCGAGGGTCATCGAGTGCCGACTCGGTTGGTAATAGACTTGACGGCACTGAACTGAACATCAATCACCGACGCTTCGGGAAGAGTCGCCCAAGTCGCACGTCAGTGCCGAGAGAGAGGCATCCAAATCTCAACCGACACTGTTGCTGAAGCCACGGCGAAAGAATATCTTGAAGAGTAGGACTCCGAGTCCTTCAGGGGAGGAGCACGGGCAAAAGAACAATCGCCGTTGGTCAAAAATCTGGTTACGGCTATCTCGGCAGCCCACCGAGCGTACCAAGCAGTCAGGGGAAGTCAGGAGAGGTAACGGAGAGTCGTTCAACGGGAGAAAGGATGTCAACAGTAGGGTTCAATCCGAGCAGGTGGAAGTCGATATTGCGGACGAGGCATCGACCCAGTCCCAGCCTTCCAGAATTTGGGTCGCTTTACAAGGCCGAACCTTTCTGGACGCAGAGAATGGGACATAATAGGTCCAATTCAGAACGACCACCCATCCCAAAACGGCTGGGGGAAGAAAAGACTTGGGATTTCCTAGACACGATACCGCCATCACCATCATCCTATCGACGGCCAATTTACAGCGTCCCCGGGCTATCATCCGTCCCGAGTCTGCCGTTGTCAACATCTACGTCCTCGTATCCAGGCTCGTCAGTTCCACATCTGCCACTTCCATCAAAACCTAGGGAAGAGTCGAGCTCACAGCTGCTGCATGGACGGCAAGCACCCCTTCAGGCTGTGCCTACTGGACGAGGCGTAACGACGAAAGAACCGAGCAAAAAGTCATCTGCGTATTACCTTCCCCAGGAACGCGCATTAAGTCTTCGGAAGCGCGCCCGAGAATCCACATGCCCACCTGGCTCACTACGAACGAGTCCCATTCAGAGAGGCAGAGACGTTCCCTTTCCTTTGTCGCGTTCATCTTCGCTAGGAAGAAAAATGGGAGTGGGCTCATATTTTTGACAAGGCGGGATTACGAAGGACTTTGACATGGAGTCTGGACGTTAAAAGAAAGCACCCCCCACGTGACCGTCTATTTTGGACGCGTAGATGACATATCCGAGGAATATAATATTACAATAGAACATTTTCGACAGGCGTAAAAATATTACAAGACAAGAATGACACTGGCCACTAGTACTCGGTCGTCTATGACGCACACACCGACTTGTCGACGAATCTATGACGCGTTCCGATCGTCATCTGCAGATCCCGACCTCCCGACCAGTAGTATAAAAGGCCGCGCTTCTCCAACTCGTCCCCTTCATCGCTTCTTTCCTTCCTTCTCTATATCTCACGCGCTCTCGTGGGCCATCCGCCAAGCACGTTCCAACTTTGGCCAACTAAGGCTGTACTAGGGCGTGTTGAGTGCCTCATCACATTACCAGTCCTTTCCTCAGTCCTTCCGCCCCCTTACCCCTGACCAACGTTTTGTCTGGTTGGTTCGGTGTCGACAGAGCCAAGATGAATCCAGCTTATGGATCATGCCATATAGGAAGTTAGACGCGCACAACTTCACTGCTGCCAGTGATCTCGAGCTCTGGAGAGTCCTTACTATGATTACCTGGTGATTGCAACACAAAAAAGGATTCCAGGGCGTCTCTTTCCCGGGCTTTGAATTGACGGATCTGGATAACAAACTCGCCTCAAGCATCGACAGAAGGAAGTCTCCGTCGCTCCACCAAGATATCTTAACGGATGTTTGGACTGTTTTGAAAACAAACTATCTTTGAAATTACAGCTGCTCCTGGCACCTGCTGATTGGTTACGCGGAATGTGTAGGAACTTTGGAGGGCAAAACAGCGCTATGACACGTTTCAGTGGGGCCAAAAGTTGTCGGGCAAGGTTCGCATCATGATCCCATCACTCCATCAAGTATAGCTTTGCCAATATCTTTTCATTACTTTGCTACAGACACATATACCTATGCGCAGATAATAATAATATATACGAGCGGAGAGATCAGAGGAATAAACCAATGGAGTCCACCAGCGGAGAAGAACGTAAATAATAGATAAACTGTAATAAATATCCTGAAGCAAAATAAGCAATACACAAGCAGAGTGAGGCACGTAGGTATTACGATGATATAAGGATATAAAGGTCTCATTAGCAAATCTAGGGTAGCATTAAAAGCAAATTAAATAAATCTCAGTCACGATTTTGAAGCTACTGAGGATGAAACATCAGCTATCTCAACGACAAGAAATAGTTAAAAATGAACTCACTGCTCTACATCGTGCTCACATGTTGCGGGTGTGCATATTGATACCCCTCCTGCGTCGTATACTGCTGCTGCTGGTCCACCATAAACATCCCATGCTTATCGAATTGCGCCGGAACCGTTGCCGCGTGTGTGGGCTGGTACGTCGTTTGCGGGAGATCCGTCACGTACGCGGCAGGACTATCCGTAATCCCTCCGCCGAATTGCGCTGGCGACTCTGTTCGATAGATATCGCCTCCGTACGAAGACCCGTGGTGGAGAGACAGAGATGATCCTGGACGTGACGAAGACCCCGTCGAATCAGAGCGCATCATCTGCCGCATCTGTTCCTCGACACCGTAACCAGATGAAGCCCGACTGGAACTGCGTCGCGTAATTCCGCTACTCCCGGGAAGACCGACGGGGTACACGGACGGGCTCGACTGCGCCGACGAGTATCCCGTGTGTGCATATGGGTGATATCCTCGAGGAACAGGAGATTCGCCCGAGGAAGTTCCGGGTCGTCGAACGGGCCCAGTGCTGTCCCCGCTCCCATTCCTCATTATTGAAGGTGTCATGCTCCGGTGTCTTCGTACGGCACCTGCACTGCTGTCCATGACGCCTGGAGGGTACAACGCTGACTGGTCGAAGGCCTGCTTGTGTGAGGGTGCACTCATGCTGACGTACGGTGCGTCATCTCCGTAGACGCTCCCGCTCCCAGATGAGTTCGACGAAATTGATTGTGGTCGGCCGTAAACATCGATAGGGTGCACTGGCAGGCACCCAAGGTTCCCCTGTTGAGGGACCGCTTGCACCTGATGGTGTATACCCAGATGCGTAATAACCCCCGGCAGCTCCTGGCTGCGCCTGTTGTTGAGGATACGGTCCAGCGCCTTGGTAGTCGTAAACGGTATCTGGTCCAACAACCAGCCCTTCTTCATCGCCCTGAACTTCCCTCACATCACCCGAGACCTCCATCTCGCACATTTCCACGTTCAGCCCGTAGTTGGCTATGTCACCGCTTGGTGCATTACCAGCCGCTGCTGCCCATTCGCCGTCTGCCCCGCTAGTGCCCATGCCCATACCCATGCCGAGAGGGCCATACATCCCCAGGCCAACGCCGATTCCCCCTTGGCGCGAGGCAAATTCATCTTCCGGCCCGCTTTCCTCCCCATCACTCTGAATCCATTCAACCCATTCCCCGCTCTGATTCGACCAATCACCACTGCTACCTGACGGGCCGGAAGCAGCGACATTCCACTGCCCATCACCCTGAGATCCAGACCCGTCAGCACGACCATGTACCCTTAGGTGTTGCCCGAGGTTATCGCTTCGACTAAACCTCTTCCCGCACTTGTCGCACACAAATGGCCTCTCCATTGTATGTGTCCGTAAATGCCGCTTCAGATGTTCCATTCGCTTGAACATCCTTCCACAGCTCAACAGTGGACAAACAAACACCTTGGTCTTGGGGCCAGAGGTAGTGCTTGTAGAATCGGTCATCTCGACGTTTGGGGAGGCTTGGAATGTCCCAAAAGCATCGTAGGATGCTGCCGGGTACGGTGCAGATCCCGAACTAGTCGGCATAGGCGGCGTGGTAATGTTCATCCCGGATCCAACACCTCCACCGCTGACTAACCGACCCTCGACATAGACGCCAACATCTCGTATGTCAACCTTCGGCAGTGAAGATGCCGAAGGCGCTGCAGCTGCTCCTAATTCTCCCCGAGCTTGCTTCATGAACATGTCGGCAGCACTGACAGACTCGCGCTTGATGTGGACACCACCAGACATCGGATCATCATGGCCTAAGTCGCTTGGATACCCAGTGCGACCCCTCTCTGTCTCCAGTCCTAGAGCAGAGGGTCCATGGTTACCCTTCTTCCGTCGTTGTTTGTAAGTTGGACTGCCCTCGAATAGAGAAAACATTGAGAAGAATGGTGATTGCGGGGCGCGACTCGATGATGAAGGACCGTCTTCGCCGTCAAAGTCGCTCTCTTCGGATCCACTGACGGCGACTGCACCAGAACCAAGCACGCCCTCTTCTTCCAGTCGTCTGACGTTCCATTCAAGCTCGCCTTCCCCGTCTCGCATCGATACACCGCCCATTCCTCGCGTAAGAGAGCCGCTGACACTTCGGCTTGATCTACTGGTCGTAGAAGCATTTCGGCCGCCTGATCCTGGGTTTTTGGAGCCAGTAAATTGCTCGTAAAGGCTACGCTTCTTGTCGTATACGAAGCTCATGGCAGGTTCCCCTGATATAACGGTGGTGGGTTCCATACCCATTTTTTCTCGTTTTAGGTCGCGCTCGAGGGCATCAAGAAATAGTCGGTCGTGTGGAACAGAGAACCTGAATAATTAGTGAATAAAATCAGAATACCTTACAAAAATAAAACCCACCAATAGAAGACTTTTTGCTTCTTTTGCGTGCGAATGCATTGGTATTTGAAGAGAAGATCCAGGAAGGGCGACTTTGGCAGAGAATCAGATGAGTTGGGGGTAACACAATTTCATTAAGCAAAAAACACACCTTTGGTTCCTCCAGACAAGCGTCCACACCAGGCTTGAGATTCCGGAGATCACTGAAGACACCCTCCTCGAATTTCTTCATATTTCGCACTGGACGACCAAAGGCCTCGAATCTAGCAGAGAGTTAGCCCAGTCCGACAAGGAAAGCGGATGATTACAATACCTGAACACCAGCGCCCTGACGATGTCTGTGCCCGTTATGTGGTAGAGCCCATTCCACAGTACACAGGTCACGAATTCCTGGCTCGGAAGCAGAAACCGGTTCAGTGCTGGGTTTGCTGGGTCGGGCAAATACGATGATGCTGAAGATCCAGCTACATTGCTGCTCTTCTCCCATCCACTCGGAGCGGTCGCAAGAAAGAACTTGAGTCTGTCGAGATGAGCAAGGCGATCTTGCTCCTGCTGATTGAGAGGCCTCGAGAGGCCTCTGCTCAGCCCTGGCGTCGAAGTCGTGTAGTCGTTGCTGGTCGTCTGTTCGTTATCGTCGTTGCTCTCGCCGTGATTGTCGAGTAACCACATAGCATGTCGCTGGGCATTCCCTGGCCGCGCCGTATGCTCTGAAGGGTCCTGTTCGTGAGGGACAGTGGGCTGAAGGGACAGTTTGTAACCGCTGCTGTGGTTGGCGTCCATTGGAGGACAAGGAAAGGGGAAGAGGAGAATTAAAGTAACCCAAGCTACCGTGCGAAAGTAACGGATCAGCCACGAGTTTCCGGACCGGTTCGGTTCGTCTGTACCGCTTTCAGGTCGGCTATTTTCAAATTCATTCATTGGTTTTCCCCCAAATCACAGTAAATATTTCATTTCAACCACTCAATTGGCGTATGTACTGTAGGCAGCATGAATGACCGTGCAATCCCAGCTTTCTGGCCGCAAACTCATCTTTCCAGAGGTCCTTTCTATTATTGAATGTACACGATCGTGACGCATTTTTACCTTTCATTCATATACTGAAAAGAAGCCTCAAGGTTTGACTGAACGCGTCAAGTGGCGCATCACAATAAATAGGTTCTAATTTGCGAGAGAGACAACCCGGCGAAAAAAGGAAGGGGACTGCTCAGGAACAGCTATCTCAATATACGCTGTCAACTCCCATGTGTACCATGATTATTACCTTCCACACTTTGGTAAATCCTACCGTTGCTTTGGTCGCATATATTCGAGGTTTGTTCCAAGGCGGTAAAGCTGGTAAACGTGACCACAAATGGTCGAAATACGCCACTCATCTAACGGACAAAAAGCATTAGAAAATCGACAAAAGACGCATATAAGACGTACGCCACAGAATGATGCTTGTACCTCGTGCAGGTAACCGGCTCCATTGCCGCGTACGGGACCGAAAGCGACGTCTAGCTCCTCGCAAACCTTCATAAAAGACAGCAATATTTGCGATGCACGGCGGGATGCGAGTATCCACCTTTTGAAATTCACTGGCTTAATGAACACTCGCAATCTAGTTTCGGAAGCATGCATTTGACTCGGATACCGCGTTCCGCGTCAAATCCGTGAGTGCCCCAGCCAAGCGAAATGGTATGGACAACTGTATCTTAAGCACTCCTGACCACTGTACTAGTCATTGTTGAGATATAGACCGAGTCAGCCCGCGCCTCGTCAGCTCCACAGAGCAAGAATGGAGCCAACGGCATCCCGGAACGAAGCGGTGCCATACCCGTTGTGGGTAAATAGGCCTTACACGAAATATTCGAGGACCTCGGGATTGAGCGCTAAACTCGCATCAGTGTCGGACGATCTTCCTGCGCTCTGGACGGTGCTACACGGTGTTATTATCCTCGACGAGAGAGCATGCCTTTCGGGGGCCGAAGAACCCGTGGCTGTGTGATCAATCAGGCTCTCAGGACCGACCAGCTCGATTCGCCTGGAAGTGGCGTCAATAGTACGGATCACATTTTCATGCGTGGACCGGACCTCGTTGCATCAGCCTTAGCCTAGAAAGAAAAAGATCCCACCATCAAGCCACAAGCTAAGGAGGAGTCGAGGAAAACGGAATAAAATTTGGTGTTCCGTCATGAACGGAGGAAATACCTAATCCCCAACTGAGAAAAAAGTTCAAAAGAATTAAGCAGCAACATTACTCTGTTCTCAGGGTCCGAACGCTGTGCCGTGAACCCACGAGTCAAAGAGGCGATGCTGCCTGGTCGACGGCCGTCACAGTGGTGATTCACCAGTGCCGGGTCAATGATGGGGTTTTCGATTGTGTTTGAGAGGGGATACACAAGCACCCTCCCCTTCTGCCACGAGGAAAAGATGATTCGGCATGTCAACGACAACCTATGAACAACTCCGACATCAATGACAGAAGATTTTGAAAGCGTAATGGGACAAAAATAACCCGTCATGTTCAAGGCTGAGCTGGGTCGCATCTACAAAGATAGACGCTACAGTTGTCCAGGCAACATGGATGTGATGGAACAGATGGCCGTTGAATATTGATGATAGTCAATCTCTGTCCCGGATCCGCTTTCGTTGAAGAAGCATTGAAAGGCAAATCTTAGGTGCAGGCAGTGCAAAGATCAGGTCGGTAGCAGAAGGAGGGACACACAACTTAGGCGCATCTCAATCCATTACTATTGAGAATGTGGCGCTAGTACAATGATGGAGCGTTCTGTTCGTCTCATTAGCGCTTCCGGAGTAGGGTAACAAGCACAGCACGTACCAAATACTAATCACATCACAAAGTCCGCCAGTACAGTTCGCACTAAGGGACTAGGGACAACGATGAATGACCCGAACAAGACGCAAAGTCAGGCGTAGAGGAATACGTACGGTTCAGGACCCGTCTATCACAACCTGTACAATGTCAATTTCAATGGATACGAACGCGGAAAGTTGGACTAACCGCAATCTAAATAACATTCAGCCTGTCACCCTCCCTTCTTCTTCTTTGGCTTCTTCTTTTTCACCCCTCCTCCGCTAGTCAACGGTGTTGGAGTAGTACTCGACGGTGATACCGCAGACGCCGCAGCGGTTTCAACCTTTTCTACGACATGCGACGATGATTGAGCAGGCGTGGGTTCCACAACCATTCGTCTATTTTGCATCTTTTCCATCAACGACAGATTCAAAGCTTCGAACCTATTGAGGAATATGGAGGAATAAGTTTTGAATTTGATACACTGGTTGGTAAACGTGGCACATCAGACAGATATTCATAAGCTTGGGATTTTAGTGTACGCACGCTTGTATTATCCGTTATTTTCAACACAAGCTTTCCTTCGGATGCCTTCCATTTCACGCAGTACCGCGTCTGCGAAAATGAGGTCATCAGTACAAGATCCGACATCCAAGGAAGAGCTACGACACACGGTCACAGGAGATTTTGCATACAGAGCCTCTGCTGCATCTTGATATTCTTGCCAGGACTGAATGTACACCATCGCACCATCCAGGCCGCGTCACCGTGCGCGATGAGGAAGACAGAGGTAAAGGAGGTTGTACGTCACGCGTCACGATGACAAAGAGATGATGCTAAATCGGTTCGTCACGGTCACAGCGGATTAAGTCGATTCACGCGGATACCGTCTTCCGTCTCTATTTCTACGTTCTTTTCTCCCATCACTGACGACGCTCGGGACCTCTTGTAGGCGCCCATATTTTACTGGCCTGTTAATATGTCGACAGAGCAGAAGAAGGGTGAGTATTAACTTTCTTTCTACGGGCAGACTAGCTAACAGCAGACAATAGCTTTACCTTTCGTGGCAAATTTCGCTGCAGGTGCTATCGCTGGTGTATCAGAGATCTTGACCTTCTATCCCCTCGGTATGCCATCTTTCTTCAAAATACTCATTTTTCTAAGCTCATCCATTCTGTTTTTAACTAGATGTCGTGAGTCATGACCCTATCTCCCCGTGTGGGGTAAATAATTTCCTGATCGGCGGTGACAGGTTAAAACACGTATGCAGCTGGAAACTGGGAAGTCACAACATGGTTTAGTAGGAACTTTCAAGAGCATTATCAAGGCAGAGGGGTGAGTCATAGTGACCGTTGGCACACGACCACTAACTGAGCTTTCCTTAGTGTCGGACGGTTGTACAGAGGTCAGTACCCCTAACTTCATATTCTTTTGCATTCACCTGATGTTCCTCAAGGTTTGGTACCGCCTCTACTCCTTGAGGCTCCCAAGCGTGCTGTGAAATTGTGCGTTGCATTTTACGGAAACTCTCTGGTTCTGGAGCGTCCGCGGAGACAGGCGCGAAGTATGGAGAAATGGATCAGTGTGCTTAAAGCGCCTCGGTCCTTGTCTCCACGACCACCTAGAGGCTTTCCGGTCTCTTACATCCACTCTAACACCTTATTTACAGCGCAGCTAATGATTTCTGGGGCAAGACCTACCTAGGGCTCACCGGGGAGACCAAAATGACACAACCTCTGTCGGTGTTAACCGGATGTAGCGCGGGTGCAACCGTAAGTCTTTTCGACGCGTCATTTGGCACCATTAATATGTCAATTTGTTGCCCATGCAGGAAAGTTTTGTTGTTGTACCCTTTGAGCTCGTCAAGATCAAGTAGGAGGCGCGTTCAAGGGTCCCGATCAATGCTAAAATTGGAACAGACTTCAAGATAAGACCAGCACCTTTAAGGGCCCAATGGATGTCGTCTCCCAAGTGATCAAGAAGGAGGGTGTTTTAGGATTGTACGCTGGCATGGAGGCAACTTTTTGGAGGCAAGTTTCTCTCAAATCCTACCAGAGAACATGGGAATGGAACGGAGTACGGAATCCCACCAAAAGCGGCCCGGTCTCGTAGCCGGGTGGTTTGTATTCTAATTCCGGGCCACCTGACCCTCTTGTACTCCGATACCGACCGATACTAACACTAATCGGTCTTCTAGGCATCTTTATTGGAACGGAGGCTATTTCGGTTGCATCTTCCAGGTGCGGGCATTATTGCCCAAGGCAGAGGTTCGTCACTTCCCTATGCCTTTCCCCCTGCATCTGTTCAATGTCCCGCGCAGAACCAACAATCTGAGCTCCTGAACAACTTTATCTCTGGCTCCATAGGAGGATTTGCTGGAACTGCTTTGAACACTCCGTATGTCTTCTTTCACCTGACATGCTCACTGCTCACCGCTCTTCCATAGATTCGACGTAATGATTTATCTCAGGATCAACTCCGGCTTCAGCTCATTAAATTTTTATTCATAGGTTGTTAAGTCCCGTATTCAAGGTGCTGCAAAGGTTCCTGGTGTTACTCCCAGATATAACTGGACATACCCTGCTCTGGTCACCATCTTCAGGGAAGAAGGTCCAGCAGCTCTGTACAAAGGTTTCGTCCCCAAAGTGCTCCGTTTGGCTCCCGGAGGAGGAGTACTACTGCTTGTCGTAGAATTCACGCTGGGGGTCTTTAGAAAAGGTAATCTTTTACATTGATCTAGAGTTCCGGGTTCTCACAACTGTCCTTCCTTTCCTAGCACTTGGACCGCCTTACATATAGGTATAGGAGAGTAGATGAATGATATTCACGTTCAAATTGATTTGATTCATCGAACAGTAATGTTATTATTATATAGGCATAGTACGTGTGGGCCTGAGGTTTCATACGGAGAAACTGAATGTCAATCCTGTGGTCTGTACGGGGAAGGAGGTACGGGGTGCACTGCCCTTAGGCGTTAGGCGTAGGGCTAACCCCTCCGTATAACCACCGGCACTGTTGTGGACCACATCAAAGTGCACTGCGTGTGATTGATCTAGCTTGTCTACAAGGAGCTACGTAGCAATAAATAACATGAAACTTCGGACTTCTTTGTGGATGATCTCTGTAGGAATTATAGCTACGGATCAAGGACTGTGTACTGTAAATGAAAGCGACGATCCGACCTCTGCTTCTCCTGCTCCGCGTTCCTGGTGACTAGCCGTAAAGTGAAACGAGCTTCAGTGGTCCTTGAGTTGCCGTGAATATTAAGTGGCCGGCTTGAAGGGCGCGTGCGGCGGAGGCTGTTTTTTTTTTTTGTACAGATTATGAACTTGATGCATGACTAGGATCGGATATTTTGTCATGATCGGTGAGAATTCGACGTCACTGTCGTAGCCAGTCTTTTCTCCAGCTCGGGCCTGTAAATAGTAAGTAATCAATAGCGGCGGACAGAATTTCTCGAAGAATACAGTACTCTTTAGTGAGCTTGATGGCCGCAGTCCGCCGTCAATGCGCCGCTCTTGCCACAACTGGAAAAGCGGGAAAGCGGTGCAGCAAGCGGTGAAACATTGACGTCTGTTGTGTCCGGTTATAGTTACGAGACGGTCACGTTTGACCAAAGTCGTTCAAGAGAAGTCGAGTCAAGGGTTTTGACTTACAGTTATACTCCCATAGTCTGATTGGGAGACTTCAGGTCGACAAATTTCTGTCGAAATCGTTTACGTTACTGCTGACAGTGACGACAGAAAGAAGCAAGAATAAGCCATATAAGAAATGTGTACCAATTCCTAGCGTTCATTATGTTCTTGGTGTACTCAGTGATGAGAAAACTTTACCTCGCACTATTGGTGATTGACAATTACAACGGAATAGTGAAAATCAATGCACTGCAACAACTCTCGTAACCCATGAACATCTAGAGAGAACAAAAGAGCGTGGTGGTAGTATTGGTATACAATGACAGTGGAGCTGTTACCTATCAAAAACAAGATGGATGCACTGCGGAACGAATGTGTATGAGTGTAGATCAGGTACCAGCTTGTCTGCGATTAGATGCATGGATATGATGAGCAAGCAGTGGGGGGGAGACCAAAAATACATGTACAGTATGACAAAACCTCGAAAACACCACAGTATCCCAATACAAACCTGTATGCCCCAGTCAGCACATCCATACGTAGGCTAATGAAAGGGACTTACGAAATAGTTCAAAACCGCAACGGCATGCGTCTACGCGGCAGCCCCTCTGGCAGTCTCGGGACAGGAGGAATCTCAGACCCAGGCAACTCCCTCCCGTTCTGATCAAACATGGCCTCAATTCTCTTGACGAACCTCTGTCTCGCCGCTTCGCTCTTCTCGAGATCCATGAGGCTGGCTCGACTGTCCCCACTCCATGTGCTGAGTCTCCCCATCGACGACGCTCCACGGTCCAACTGGTACATTGCTGACCGTCCCACACTCCTGTCCTCCTCTTGATACCGCGAGTAGTCGTCCGAATCATAATCATCAATTTGATTATTCCTGTGCATAGCTTCCGGGGACTGATTACGGTCGAGAGCAACGCGTATGTCTTCCCCAGAACTCGAATGATCCGATGTCCGCTTAAACCGAGCAATTACATCATACATAGGGTCTGTATCATCGTCGGCGGGCTGTTCCTCGCGCCATCCGTTACTGTTAGGTAGCGCGTACAAATCTCTGTACCGCCGCACCTTGACACGTGCTTCAAGCCCTGGTTGGTTGGCCGAGGTGTTGATAGGGCGCGAAGGGAACGGTGCCTCTTTCCCTCTCTTCGGGACGGACGGAGGTGAAACAACATACTGGCTGTTCTGACGCTGTTGCACGGCGAAATAACCCTGGTCTTGGTCCCTAGGGACTCTCGGCAAGGGAACCGTTGGGGGAGGGCTAGGCGGCGGAAGTTCGTGATGAGATAGTAGGTGAGTCGGCGGGGGCTGCAGTGGTAACGGGAGGGGGGACCGTGATCGTGGAGATGGAACAATGTAATGCATGGATGGTACCACCTCTCCGGAAGCACCAGAGCGACTACTTGGTGGTCTGGATTCTTCATTAACAGTCAGGTGGCCTGAATCTGAAACCGAGTATTTGGGCGTTGACGTTGGCCCAGTTCCCGGTACAGGAGAATTTACGCGTCGTGACAAAAAGTAAGGACGCGGTTTGCTCGGGGAAGGAGCAGGTAAAGGTTCAGCGACGGGGACAGGTGTCGGGATGGTAACGTATGGCGACCAACCTCCCGCAGATACCGGGGAAATATCCGGCGACTTAGACGCGCCGCGCCCAACGTTCTCGGGATAGAGAGGCTCGGGAATATGCTTGTTACCAGACTGGTGTCTTTGAATAAGCGTAGGTGACGGCGGAGATGGAGAACGAGTAAGTGGGTACGAAATAGGAGGATACTTATTCTGAGACGTGGAAGAGGCGGAGGAGGATGCAGTGAGCTTGGAAAAGATGGAATGGCTAGTACTTGAGCTTCCATGGTGATCACTGCTGTCACTGCTCGCGAAATTAACGCCGACCCGTCTCGTGGATTTGTGAGAGGTTGTGCTATGGGAAACGCTCGGAGCTACCACGTGGTCAGCAGTAGACTCCGGACCATCGATGGAGTCCCTGTCAAATTCTCTGTACCCGTTGAACGTAGCGATGGAAGGTGATGGCGTCGAAGAAATTGTAGAGGTATCATTGGAGGCATATGGTAGTACGGGTGGGGGCAACGGTGGGTCTATGTTTGCACCAGCATTAAGATCTCCAAGCGTAGTAGCAAAACGAGCAGCAATAGGAAGACGGAAAACAGGTAGCGGCTCAGGAAGAGGTGGTGGAGACGGCTCGTGGAGATTGGTCTTAGACCTCGTGCCCAGCCGAAAAATCCTGGACTTGGATTTTTTTTGGCGTCGTCGGCGCAGCAGATGCATACCCATCATCAGTTTCGTACCCCGTGCCAAATGATTTCTTCTTCTTCAGTAGCTTTGTGCGAGACCGTCGCCCGTTGGAAGGGGGGATGGAGTCGGTCTCGTAATGACTGGCGTAGCCTTGGTCGACATTGTCGACGGCTGCCTTATTTCGTCTCCGTTCATCGTCCCTCGACATGGAAAAGAAAGACGGGAAAAGAGTGTAGTGGAAACAGTGAAAACTGCCAAAGCCAGCCCGGGCAGTGAAGAAACGAAATTTAACCTTGTAAAGTGAGATACCTTCCATATTGACCAAACTGACGTCACAATTGTGACAGGTTCCAAATCGGAAAGCCATCGAAGGGTCGTAATACCATGACAACGTACAACATCTGTCTCCGCCTATTCCTTGCCGGTAAAGAATATGTAAAAAGTATAGACAGCAAGCTCCTCTCTCTGATATCCTCAGTTACTCCCTGAAAACAGAGCTATTGCACGGGGTTATATTCGGCGAATATCCGAAGGTATCAATTTCGAACGTTCTGGTGGAAGAATGCACGCTGCCAGTCGGCGCGGTTCTCTTCTTTCCTTATCTTTTCGTAATTTTCAGATGTGTTTCAAGCGCCTGTACGTTGTTTGTTTAACTTCGATACTGCGTTGCGCTCTTGGACAGTCCTTCTTAATGTAAGTACTCGTCTTCAGAACAACCTACTTTCTGACACGGCAGATACTTAACTGTTCCTGGATTACGGCAGAAGCATGGAATGAAATCACTTTTCATTGATATCTCTCATAACAAACGCTTCGCGTGGTAAGATTTCGCCTGCATTGCGTAGCTATAGGGCTCACTTCTCCAATTCAATACAGATGAAATTTCTTGTTCTTTATTGGGGATCATGAGGTAACTTCAAGTCGGTCCCGACAAACTCGACAGACGTCCGGTCATATATGTATACGGCGGTCGGGGGATTCGCCGCTTTATGCTCTAGTACGTAGACTCCAGTTCGAACGCAAAGTCATTTCGCAATTGCAAGCCGGGCCAGACTCGGCCTGTCACATTAAAGAAGCCCTTCGGGTGCAAAATATTGGTAAATGGTACTAACCGGTTGGTCGTGCATTGTCGCAGATATGTCACAACTGCGGTCTCTGCCCTAGTCTCTCGAGGGGAAGGGGGATTCGACGCAATGACAAGTAACATAGACTGATTCACACGTTGGTCTAAACCCCTTTTCCCCGTTCCTGCCGACACGAAGGCAACAGTGATGGCGGAGCGTAATCGTTGTGCCTTGGCGCCCTCAAAGTATTCTGCTCGATTCTTGCTACGCGCATCATCGATATCGTTACAGGGCTCTACGTGATACCACCACCGCAGTGCCACATATATATATATACCTTAACGCCAAATGCTCGTGGCTACGAACAGCCTCCCTGGATCTACTTCTCATCATGATCAAACACCGAGTTAGGCATATCTGTCTTTAGACCAAAAACATGCAATCCCCCGAACTTTAACAAAAGGAGGGGCTTCCAGCTGATCCGATATTATGTTCTAGGAACGCTTTCCATCCAGTTAACGTACGGTCAGTTTTAACAGTCTATTCATTAGAATTGTTCATCAACTGATGATTCTACGTATAGTAGCATTCAGATTTTGTGACACCGATTGGTGCGCAATAATGGTTGACGAGAAATTCAATGCGAAACAATTTCTGTGCACATTTTATCCATTCTTCCCAGCGTCGGCTCCTGCGCTCTCTCAGGTACAGTTTCCTCCAGTTCAACCTTACTTACCTGCCACGCTACTCGGCCGGGCTCTGTTTTTCCCAAGTCCAAAGCTCATCGTTCTCTTCGCACGGATGGCATTTGTAGAAGTGTGTTGACTCAGTCCATTTCTCCGGGGGAAAGGTACGGTGATAGCGATGATGGTTACTTTACGCTGATTTCCTTCCGCAACCATCGGTTAGCTAGCCGTGCAATTCTAAAACCCTGCATGAAACCTTTGCTACTGTTTTGACCACCTATCTGATTATTTGTGTCCGTCTCGACATCGGGAACATTCCTAACGCATCTCTTGACTTCAAGTCCACATCAATCAAGGTTCGGTTCAACATCACATGAGATTTTTTTTTTATCACTATCCGAATGTAGGAAAATCCGCAGCTGCATTGAGTTGAATACTAATAGTTCAGTAGTTCGGGATTAAGGTCCAAGGTCACCGTGGTTCTCGGTAAGTTCTCGGATACCTCCTAGAACCACGCGAGACTCGAAACTCAGCTACCTAGGCCCTGGCTCATGTTGGATCACTGCGAGAAGATTAATCCCAGACGGCGGTGTAGAGCACCGTTCCGACTTCATGCAGACTGCTGTTGTATATGCTCGCAGCCGGGAGCTTCAGGTCTGTAGATTTACACCACTTAATTTTGCAAGTCAGGGACAGTCCAGGGTGACGAAGATTGGCATCAGATGCTACATGTTTTTCCTGGTGCAAGTTGGCAAAGATTGTCCAACCCAGCGTTCCGAGGTCGAACTTAGGTCTATGCACATCTCCGCAGGGTGGGTGGATGCTTCCTTGGTCTATTTTGGTCGAAAATATTTACAGGCCTACTGCTGTAAGGCCGCGATAGACCATGTTACGGGTCTTGTGAGTATCGTTCCGAGCGATTCTCTTTAAGTCCGAGCTTTGCGGTGCGAGTGATCTTCCCACCTCTTTGAGTTCGCGGCGGTTCTGAAATTTCTGCAGTAGCAATCATCCCGATGGCGGTCCTCTTACAGACACCAACAACCTTTCCTCCGATTCCCAGGCAGCTTATGTCAAAAGCTGCTTGAACAGATACCCAGTCGGTTCAAAGAGCAATCTGACTTGGATGATTCAGAGAAGCACAAGCACCTACATACCCATTGGTTTTCACAAGGCTCCTTTGTCCGTTATCTTCCGGCCGAGTCACTCAAAGAAATATTACTTTACACACTCGACAACAACTTCGATATTCTACGATTCACGGATGGATTTTACGTGCTGTCGCACGTCTGCCGTAGCTGGCGAGCAGTGGCCCTGGCCTGTCCAGAGCTCTGGACAAATTTTGTGCTCCTATGAGCGGATCTGACCCACCCTCGCATCACCGGTCCGATCTAACGGTGTTAATCCGGTTAGCCCAGCACCCGGTATCCATCTTCCATACTTCACAGAAGGCTACAACGACAACGAATTTCTTTTACCGATGCTTGCTCCGGGAATGTCTCGCCAGAGGAGTGCCCAGTGCTTCATTACTTCCAACGTATATTCGCCCTTTATCGAGGTGAAGGGCCGTTTGCACCAATTGGAGTGTATTGACCTTATCTTGGATATCGATAGGACAGGCGGAGAATCCTACTCACTTGGGAACACTACCGGCCTCCGAGATGTCACAAAATCTGGGACACACGCGCAAAGTAATACCAAACTTGTTCCCCTGGTCCCTGTTGAGACATTTTGCACAGAAAATATATGCAGCATCGACCATTTCATCCAACTCTGGATTAACACCCCCAACCTTGAGGTCTTAGAGATCCTATGCATCGAGTGGCACTACCCCCAAGATGCAAAGAGTCTGGCTATCTATGATTTGCCGCTCATTGCGTCTGTGGGATCTAAGGTTACTTGACTACTTGATTCTCCCGGCTTTAGAGAGTCTGGATCCAAACCTAGATAACGGAGGTTTATATGCTTCCGCATTGGAAGGTTTCATTCAACGTTCGGAGTGCGGGCTTACACGATTGAGCAGTGCCGGGGGAGACCCCAAAGAACACTTCAATGCTCTCCTAGCCGCAAGCGCTATCACGGATCTGACCATTGAGGAACCATTCAGCGGACGAGAGAATAAAATCCATTGTTTAGAATGCTTACCCTTCACGTCCCGGAAAACGTGCTGCTTCCGCGCTGGGAACGTTTCACTTGGATTGCCGATATTTCATCGTTCTTATTTGATGGAGATTACAGAATCACTGCGAGTATCTGAGGGAGTTGGATCGCTATTGCGGTTTGTGAGAGTAACATGTCAGATGTGGAGATCAAAGTTGACTGACGCGGTGTTGGACTGGTTGGAGATGATGGGAGAGGAAGGATTAGATGTGCACATTACGCTGGATGGTAGGCAAAAGTAGACACTGTCTGCAGGCGGTTTACTGATGCGAGACTTAGATAACACTGTTGACAAGACATGGCTTCCGATTGGTCACTAGTAATCCAAATTTGCGTGGCTACCTTCATGATGCAAAAATCGAGCACGGCAACTGTCTGAGATACCAATCCGAGCATTGAGCTACTGAGTGCATAGGAATACTTAGGGCTTACAAACATTTTGAATTGCACAGAGCCTACCTAAGTGTATACCCTGGCAAAACTCGTTACGGACGATGCCTGTTGGACTTGGTAGTTAGATGTCAGTTTCTATTTTTAATGGATCATGTCCTGTGCCGAGTGAACTTTTGGCCCATGTGCTCCCATAACTTTTTTACAGGATACTTAGTGACGCGACAAAGGAGGGCACCGTATCGTGACCGAAATATGGCTGATCGACCTTCGAGTTAGACGAATTCTAGAAGTCGTAGTTCGTAATATGGACTTGGTTGGGAATGATTGTTAGGCGTCCTTCGCGCATCCTTTGCTTTCTGGAATAAAGTGAACTGACATCGTACGAGATATAACGTCAGGAGACCGACCTGGTACGATTACGCAAGTCATACAGCATATAACAACCGGCAAGGGTGCGCGAAGAGGAGTCTCGAGGCGAATCATCGATAAGAAACGCGTTCCTGTTAACGCCGCTGCTACCTCTAGGCAAGCAATAACAATCGGGGCGCGGTCATACGTGGGATTACGCTTGGCCTTGTGCTCGCTCCTGTCGGTCGAGAATCACCAATATGTCCTTTGCTCAATACTTGAAAATATCCGAGACTCTTCAAGTTTCGGCTGGGGTAGAAATTTCGGTAACGATACTTGATAGACATCTGAATTGTACTCCAGGTTGACTGGCTCCGAGCTTGGACAGAGTGGCGTAAATATGCCTTCCTTGCACATAAAGAGCATAACGTTAAGACGCTTCTGAGTCAGGTTGTGTAATATCTAAGCAGGCAAACCAAGTCGTGGCCACTTTAGATCGACAGAGCGGATATCAGTCACGACCAGTACCGTTGTTATAGAGACATGGAGCATTCGACACTGCGGGATGCGGTAAGCCCTGCTCAGTGTCGTACAGAAATTGAGCTTTCTGAATCCCAATCACTGGCAACTTAAGCACGTGTGCTCCAAATTGTTACCATCTTGCGCTAGCGTTCTGGTAACCGCCATTTCCAGCATTTTATCAGTATAGTAGCAACACCTGACACGTACCTGGTAGAGGAGATGAATGCAGGGTCGCGGAGCATGAGACTCTTGTCACTGGCTGTGAATATAATGGGATTCGCAGGAATATGATAAAATACTCACACCTCTAACAGCAGCATCGTAAGAATAGCCATCCTCTGAGATATATCGTAGGTGCATCGAAAAATTTATGGACTGTGATAGAAACCGTCGACACGTTGGTTGATGCGATCGTTTGAATCATTGAAATATGTCTGTCCGCCGAACCGTGACAGGCCTGCATCTAGGCTGGAAGAGCCATCAGGCTAAGTAAGATTGTTGAGTTACGTTGATGTAACGACGACGATTGAATACCTTGGCTTGTGTTGGTCTGTCCTCGAGATACTGATACCGAGTTGCAGTATTATGTGGACCCCTTTTATCTTTTCGAGTGAAACCGGATCTTCAATAATCATAGGCGCGGGACTAAAGGCATCAGCGTTGTTTGCGCTTCAAGGTCCATAAACCTTGGAGTTACGATGATAAAAGAAAGGAAACCAACCTAGCGTTCATGTTTGCTTCTTTGTGAGACAGGCAGGAAGGTATAATTGAACGTGATCGCCATTGAGCAAAGTTACGGTTGGATCATGGTTCTTGTTTGTCGGGCAAGAACCTAGGCTCAGCAAATTCTTCTTCATTAAGCATGACACGCTTATTGAACATCATCATCCTCGATAGCCGCTGGTGACCGGTGAAGCCTGAAAGTGAAGGGAGAAAAATAGCAGCGATGTTGGAACTTGAAGTGCAAGTTCGACTCCATCTGGGGCCGGCAGTTTCCGGCACGGACCTACTTTCTCTCTTGCCACTTAGACCTTGCTTGGACCATCCGACATTAATATTATTGAGTTCGTCAAATTTATTGGACAATACACCGAGCGGTGCTACAATATATTAGAGTACTAAATACCTACCGTCTCTTCTGCACCACTGCTTTTTACATCCATCAAAAAATACTCACTCACCCAAAACTCCCTAGCATATTTTGTCTCAGACTACAAAGCCGCCATGGCCATGTCAATCTTTGTTATTTGTTCCGTATGTCTCGCATTCGTTCTCTCTTTTTCATATAAAATGTCGCCTTTTGAAGTTCTTCTCAGCTGACACACTGCCGCATATCTGCATTATGTCTTCTTCAGGTTTCTCTTCCTCGCCTGCTGTTTTCCCCGCTTTTGACCTCTCGAAGCCTCAGGTCTCAGGACTGGGATGGTGAATTTGTTTCCGACGACAGTACAGTTCTCGACGTATGCTTTCTGACTGTCAATTGTGGACCTTTTCATTGACTTTTTCTTTCAGTCTTCCCTTTCCGATGATTCTCCGCCGCGCACCTCTAAAATTGCACGTCCTAGGGTTCGACGTCGCCTTCAATTTGTTCCTTGCGAGATGCGAGTCGCAGATGCAATTGTTGTTGTCCCGCCTCATACATCCCCGTTACCATCTGATGTCTGTACAACATCATTTCTCCTCATAGAGGATGCGATGCAGCGCGTGCTCAAGTTCGGCAAGGTCTCAGAGGGCACACGAATACTTCCCTACCGTAGGATTGAAATGACATCAAGACAGATACTTTAATCGCAAATCTTTATCTTTTTGTGGTCCAAATATAAGTGTAAGAAGGATAGTCGATACGTTACTACTTTGTCCATATGATCAATAAACTTCTGTCCCAACGGTTTCTCGACGTTGCCGATGTCAGCGAATTAGTTGGATGCCAATAAATGAAGTATAACAAGTGATTGCTTCCTTATAGATAGAACTTTGACGGTAAATCTGAATCCTCCCACTCAAGCGACCTGGGAACTTGAGATCACAGAGAGCGCTTTCGCTGACCGTGGCTTTAAACTATACTTGTACTCCTTAGGGTGGCTGACATAAATTCAGTGTATATCCTCATTTTTAAAGGGAATCCTTACCTTATGGTCCCGCTCGTATTCTCGTGTACAGGGACCAGCGGGACCCCGTCCTCAACCACATACGTAATATCAAAGAGAGCCAGGGACATCGCTATGCAGATATACAATGACGCGTCCGCGAGATGCATCCCAGGGCAGACACGACGCCCAAAACCAAAAGCGACGTGTCGAGGATCTCTCTGTGTCTCCTTGCCCATGTAACGGTTGGGATCAAAGGTGAATGGGTCGGGATAAACTTCCGGGTCGTGCAGCATGTTCCTTCACCAGGAAACATTAGAATGGCTGGTACGATCATAGGACAGATTGGAGACGAACCATAGATTCGCAATGATGATAGCTCCCTTGGGGACTAAGTATCCATCGATAAGGCCATCCTCTGTAGCACAATGGGGAACGCCGAGAGGCGCTACGTTGTGCCATCGAAGCGATTCTGTGACCACAGCATTGACGTAAGGAAGGTGCTCACGGTCCGCAAAGCCTGGCAGCCTGCCGGTTCCTACGACCGTGTCAATCTCTGCTTGGGCGATTTTTTGTACTTCTGCGGAGTGTTAAAACAGAGAGATCACAAGATTTGAGATTGAATTACGCACCGGGGTGCAGGATCATTGCTAAGAAAAAACCATGTTGGGCGGACGCCGTGGTATCCGCGCCGGCTGAGAAGATCAGGATACCAGAATATCAGGGAAAGCGGAAATGGCAAAATCAAAGGTCGAATTAAATCAGGAACTCACCGCCGTAGAGAGATCCTGCAGTGTGCTTGATTTCGTTTATGTAGTCCGGGGTGATTTTTTCCTCGTTCTCTAGTGCGGCTGAGACGAAAGAGCGGGGTGCTGTTCCTGTTAACTAGACATGGATAGTTTTCAGAAGGATGATGTTCACCGCGTAACGTAAACTTACTATCTGTTGCCATGCAAACTTATAGGGAACATCGATCATATCGTTGAACGCTTTGGCCCATTCCCGGGCTAAAGTCTTAAATCCACCGCCAGGAAACCATTCCGGTAAGAAACGAAGAGCGGGGAAGACGTCGACCAGAAAATTCCCTATTACCGTAGTTCATAAGTAACGGATGGAAATAAGATAGCTGAAACGTACCAGGAGTAGACGCAATATTGAAGTTGTCATTGGCATCTTCAATTAGCGTGATGAAGGGATCATTATTTTCCAGAACTTCAATACCGTAGGTCATCTTCATGATAAGTGAACCAGACAGCCTGCTGTAATTCAGACCAGGGGTTCTATAGTATACGAAACGACCTACTTTCGAAGTTGTAAACTCAGCTCACCCGGAGACGTGCTAAGTCGACGTAGAAACTTGCGCGTTTCCTCTTCCTCGATGTCAAAGTATTTCCCTACGGCACTAGCGGAGCCTATAAGCCGAGCGATATGTTTGCGGTAGTTCCTGAGTGCCGCTCCATATGGCATCAACACCACAGTCTTGGAGTAACCCACAAGCTCTCCACCCATCTCGAGTTTGGGGCGGTCTGAATATATGGCGCCCCTTCGGTCTAAGTCTTCCATTACCCGAGCAGAGTTGAGGATAACCAAAGGTTGTCCAAGAAGTGTGACGGAGCATATATCTCCTACGAAGATGAAGGGAAAGCAGTCAAGCTAAAATTTTGTTCAGGATATACCATAAATTACGGACCGTATTGACGGCCCCATTCAGCGTACGTGAGCCATTGCTTGCTGCTCGGCATGTCAAGTACATTCTAGTAAAAGGATTCAAGCAGATATTAGTCGTGGAGTGACAGTGAACAGATATGACTGTACCCCGATGATGGGCAATCCTCTTGGACCAGGAGGGAGGTTCGGGGCGGTGGACCTTCGATGAGAGACGATACGAGAGACCACCAAGAGAGCAACAGCTAAGCCCATAGCCGCGGGGCCTAAGACAGAGAGGGACAGCCTGAGAGACATAGAGTTAGGTTTTTGCTATCGATAGATGCCAAAGCGAGTTATGTGTGGTTCGATCGCCACAGGGCCGGGATACTACATACTTTTATCGTAAGTGAATGAATCATCCGTTACTAGTCCATCAGATCTCTGGGAGAGTGGCAACACCTTAGATGCCGAAGGGACGGATGGCAAAAGCAGCCCTAAGTAGGTCAGGAACGAATTGATAGGCGCCGAAGACCCAAAAACCTGTCCGGTGACCTTGAATAAACAACAGAAACATAGAGATAATCTCGACTCTGGAAGCTTTTTGTGTTATCATCCAATGAGGCATCGGTTGGTTATGTTGGTTTCACCTTGTTACAACTTGTTGGTCCAAACAAGTTGGTCGGCTCAGCCACGTGGTTTTCCTTCAGGGCCGACTCAGGTTCGGAATCGCATACTTTTCATTTTGATATGAACTACTCACTTCCCTCACATGGACCCTAAGTACTCACTAGAACCGACCAAAGTTTCTAGCACTCCATTATTATTCTTCGTCTTCGCAAAAACTTTTGTGAATGTATCCCGATTGCGGTCTAGGCGCGGTGTAATATATTTGCGACCTTTTCGTTAGCCACGCTCAAGGACTTACCCCCTTGGTTCAAGCGTGCCATCATCTTCTGGGGTATTCCGAGTATTCTGTCAACATGCTATCAGGCCCAACCAGTGATTCATTAAGTTGTTCTCGTCATCTTCGAAGGTCGTCGATAATAAAAGAGGAAGAATGCTTCCAATTCCCGTCGCTTCCTCTGGCCTAGGAAAAATACCCTTGCCTCTTTACCATGCCTGCTACCCTTCAGAGTCCTGGACAACATGTCCCATTGGACGACACGTACGTCTTCATCAAACAGACCTGGTCGTTGAAACTCATAGCTTGTATTGGATAGCATGGGCTCGATGCTAATAGGCGTCGTCGTCAGCGCGATTCTCTTTGGTATATCTGTTGTCCAGACCTTATACTACTACAGTCGTGAGTAGCGCGGTTTCCTCTGTGCGATGCAGTTTGTTGATGGTCCATCCATAGAGTACCCCAAAGACGTATGGTATCTCAAGTCATTGGTTAATAAGCCTCTGCTTGTAAAGGCGCATGTTGACTAACTTCGGCCCAGGTGGCGGCAACCATTATTTTTGATTTAATACACATGCTGTTCATCACCCACACAAGTACGCTTACAAAACGCATCTTCGGTGTTGTTCGTAACCGATGACCGCTCTTCCTGCAGTATACTACTATTTAATAACGGGTTATTAGTATGTTTTCTCTGCCGTATCAATGATTCTCCTCTCAATCATCGCTATATGTAGTGACCAGACTGTCCTTACTCGCATAGTGTGGTCAGTAACCTGGACTCCTGTGCCTCGAATTGTTTACTCACTAGTTTGATGATAGGAGTGTTATTGCAAGTGCTTCCTCTACGATCGACTATCATTTGTACTCAAAGCTTTCCAGGTGGAGGCCATTCCAACTGGTGTCACAGGATCTCTGGTTCAGTGGTGGGATCCTTCCACTTCCGCTCGGGGCAAAATAGACTAAAATAGCACCCGCCAGTTTTTATACCGTCCGCGTGTGGCGTCGTGAGTCGTACTTCCACTCTCCACGCCTTCACTCTGAGCTTGCTTTTAGTTAGCAGGAAAAGCGTTCTGCTAACGGGCACAATTTTGTTTTTGATAATAGCCGACTCGAGTGAGTATATCATTCCAGTTTCTCATGCTGCTTGAATTAATACGCTACTTCCAGTATGCGGCACTGGTTCGTGGTGATACTTCAAATTAAGATCTCTTTCTGACTACTTAGATCTCTTTAGTGTGGGTAGTGTTAGCGTAAGCACGATCAAATCATTCGAGTCACTCACCTCATAAACCCAACGATCAGGTTACTGAGACATACCTATACCGATCTCCTTCATATTTCGGTTCGTGCCACTGCACGTTATTTCAATGTACAGCAGCTCAACATAACATCAGCCCCTCACTATATCAATCAATGGCATTTCCGCCGCCGCCGACGTTCTTATTTCAGGCAAGTCTCTGTATAATTCTCCAAAGGATCAAAGACGGGATTTCGAACGTGAGTATTTCAATCAGCTCGGGGCCTCATCCTTATTTCGTGGGTACTCTTCTAGATCTGATACCATGATAACGAAGCTGGTGAGATCGTTTTGATATTCGAACGACGCACTGCTCACTCGCACTACTCACTCATCTCTATGAAGACCTTCTTTTTTGTGAACACTGGACTGTATGTGATTCTAACTCAATTCATGATGATATTTCTGACAGGTCTTCGACGTGCTTGACATGTAGTTTGACGAGGTAGTATCACAGCATATCTTCTGATCTCATAAATTCCGCTGATGTCAACTCCAGCCTTTGCGCAGTAGGCGCATTGCTATCGGTATGATTGCTGTTTCCCGGCTGATCAGACCTTCTCATCAACTTGCATCATTACTAGCTCGCAATATCTTCGCACACACTTATCTACGCGTCGTGGTATTTTTGCATCGGCCGTCGTGAGTTTGTCTGCTTGGAACAAATGCATCGACTTGACCACGATGCGTCTAGTGTACGCCAACTCGCTCTTAGCGTCCTTGAATGGGCGAAACACAATTCGTGGACAAACAGAAGACATTGACCATATGCTCCTTTCCATACCAAACGTTGTTTTCTCTCCGGGTAGCAATTCGGGGTCGAATGTGCAAAGACCTGACATTTCCATCAGGATTGAAACTTCCACCCAGAAGGATGTTGAAGCAAGCGATTCCAAGCAGGATGACGATTCACTCGTAAGTCCCTTGCGCAGCTTCACGTGCATGTCTGAAGATATTTAGGTCAACACGTTGGCTAATCCGTCGAAGTCATCTCTATCATAATCATATGAAGGCTGGACAACTTGATTGAATAGTGAATTCGACTCAGTTATCGGCTTACCAGGTCAGAATCAGATTTAACCTATATTATTCCTATATAGTCACGAGTAGCTTGTTCACGTAAATATATATCAGAGTTATGGTTTGCTCAACGTGGGCTAATAGGTTTGGGGGTGTGAATTAAGCCCGTTGTCACTAAACTAATAAAGCCCCGTCCGACTCTACGATAAAAGCATATGGAGCCCCTCGATCTCAGTGATGAACACATCCACTCGGGGCTGAAGGTGTAGCTAGTGGTGAGAGCGTGTGGCCGTAAAAATCGGATGATGCTAGGGTATCAGAGAGAACATAAAAGGTAAGAGATTCCGTTGACAGCAGTCAAACAATATCTGCTACATCTAAACCCATCGGCGATGTGAAGCATTTCTTGGCATCGACAAACTCGAATACGTAGAAGGGACAAAAGGTCCTACAGTGACATTTCGAAGACGAATTGGCTATTGATGTAGCGCCCTTTAATTCGTATCCTTCGATGACGAGGCATTGCACCAGAACTTCTCTGTCAGAGAACCACAAGTAGTATATGTCATTCAGGATGAGGTTACTGTAGGGTAGGTGCTCTAGCTCGGCTCGGCTCAGAGTCAATTGGCTCAGAAGCTTCAGATCTGTCTTGTACCTACAAGATCGTCATTGAGTACCTGAGTTGCCAGGGCAGTCGGGCCCCACACCATATGGTCGGTTGGATCATGCAAGCATGTGTGGGACAGCTTCATCTAATATCAACTTGTAGTCTGGCCCCTCTGTCGGTTGTTCCTGACTCCAAGCTGGCCAAAACTGGATGTTTGTAAATCATTCGAAAGATCGTATCTTGATGAATACTACAGATATCGACCTCAAGTTCCAGTCAGTGTTGATTGGAAAAACGACATATGCACGTCATTGGAGATAACGACTTGATAACGACAGCAAGTAGTCATAATTCTCCAAATAGGTCGTAGGATGGAAGACAAACCAAAATTTGCTTTTCACTCTTTTGTCGCATGAGCAACGGCAGAATGGGCAGAATTTAGCCTGCAAAAGTGTCACCAATAAAAGTTGATTAACAGGGCACATACCGGTACCGGCTTTGCAATCCGTATCCTTTCCGTGCTTTTCCGGCTACCAGGCTTTGTTTTCTCACTCCACTGCAGGTGACCTATATCGTGAGGAATGCTCAGCAAAGATGCGTTCGCATCTTGAATCCCACTATGTCTTCCCTCAGGGTCAAGGGAACGCAGCTCGTCGATTCTAATAATGATCAAGTTGTCCTCCGAGGAGCTGGTTTATGCGGATGGATGTGGTTTGTCTTTTCCTCTTCTATCTGATCTGCGTTCGCGCTCAGCGATGAAAATTTCCCAGTATGGAGAACTTTATCTCAGGTACATTATACCTTTTGCCCATTGTCGCGGCGTAAGTCACTAGAAGTCGAAACAAGGTTATCCTGGATGCGAATTCCAAATACGAGATGCTTTGAATGATGTTCTTGGCGAAAACAAGGCGAATTTCTTCTTTGACAAAGTACGCGATTACCCAGCTCCTCCAAAGGGTACATCTGAACCATGGATATCGTTTAGTTTTTAGAGTACTTTTTCACGGATTCAGATGCGATGTTCTTCCGCTCACTAGGTTTGAACTGTATTCGAATCGCTGTCAATTACAGACATTTTGAAGGTAAGCGCCAGTTTCTCTTGGATCTGTTGCGGTGCGATGTTGGCTTTCATAGATGACTCCAATCCTCGGATCCTCAAACAGGAGGGTTTTCGTCATCTCGACCGTGTCATATCCTTATGCGCGAAGCACTCTATCTACACGATCATTGATATACATACCGCTCCTGGTGCACAGAGCGGTGGATGGCATGCGGACGGGGGAACGCATATCGCCAATTTTTGGAATCACAGAGACTTCCAGGATCGTTTCGTCTGGTTATGGACAGAAATTGCATCCCATTATAAAGACAATGGATGGATCGCAGGGTATAATCTTATGAACGAGCCCGCTGATCCTCACCCGACAATTGCCCGTTTGGTGGAGGTCTACGACCGATTGTGCATCGCAATCAAATCCGTTGACCCGAATCACATTATCTTTTTAGATGGCAACACCTTTGCTTCAGATTTTACAAAGTTTCCGGAAAATGTGAAGGAGCGATGGGGAGAGAACGTGGCGTATGCGATCCACGATTATTCGTTGTATGGCTTTCCAAAGAGCAAAGAGGTCTATGTGGGGAGCGACGAACAAAAAGCGAAGCTACAAGCGGTGTACAAAAGGAAGCGGCGCTGGATGGATGAGCGGAGGCTGTGCGTATGGAACGGCGAATGGGGACCCGTGTATGCGAGGAGAGAGTACGATGGTGATGCAACAGACGAAATAAACAAGGCAAGGTACATGGTTCTGCGAGACCAGCTGGAGTTGTACAATAAGGTTTGTGAGGATATCCATTTGCTGTTTCTGAGTTTCGATCAATTGTTTGCTTCTCACAGGATATGCTGAGCTGGTCGATATGGCTGTATAAAGATATCGGATTCCAAGGTATGGTGTATGTAAACCCGGATACGCCCTATATGGAGCGACTGCGACCATTCTTACTCAAGAAGCATCGCTTAGCGGCTGATGCTTGGGGCGCAGACGATTCCGACGTCAAGCACATCTATGATCCCATCGTGAATCACATTGTAGACGCCGTTCCAGATGAGACGAGAAGGAAGCTATATCCCCCTCTTTGGACGTTAGAGGATAGGGTTACGCGCATAACACGTACTATGCTGGTTGCTGAGTTCCTGGTAGGAGAATGGGCAGAAATATTCCGCGGCTTGGATGAAGAAGAATTGGATCAGCTTGCCAAAAGCTTCCGTTTCGAGAGCTGTTTGAAGAGGGAGGGATTGAATGACGTGCTGAGGGAGAATGCCAGAGCAAGTCAAACAGCGGCATAACAATTCAGCTCAATTGCGTCTCGAGGGTCGAGGTAATTCGAAGTGACGTATCTGTACTTTTAATCGTAGTGATTTCATCAATCAAGAAGCTGTGCTTATTTCCATTGTAAAGGAGTGCTGAGATGAGAGGTAGTCGATGAAGGATCAAAATGCAGAACGGCGCAGGTTGGCCGAACCCGTTTAGCTTAGCACTGTGTATTGACTGCTTTGATCTGGCCTTCGAGTGCTGCCTTGATAAATCCGTACCAAAAGGATTCACCTCCTTGGTTTGAAGAACCATCGGATCTCGGCTTGCTGGGAGTGCGTGTTTCAAGACGCTATGGCGATGCATTCTCCATGACAGCTGTATCAACCCTCCCTGTGTAGCTCCCGCAGACGCCTACATCATCACAACAGGGGTTTGCGGCTACTGATCAGTTTTATACTGATCGATTTACGCTATACCTGGTGCCTCGCATTCAAAAGCTGCAGGCAGCTTTTCGACAGGACTTCAACTCGCACTTTCACCGATGTTCAAGGGAAGGCGCCGTTCATCAAACGCTGTCTATTTTCATTCAGCCTCGCGTAACGCGCCCGAGGGGAGAAGCGGTGGAGACAAGGAAGAAGAAGGAGATGGGGAAAGACATGGTCAGGGAGGTAAACAGACGAAGAGCGAATGGTTTGTGGATGACGTTGAGGACGGCGAGATCTCTCCCGGGTGGCATCCATCGGAGCCTGGTGGAGGAGGGTTCGAGTTCACAGTTAGACCGTTTACAAGCAGGCAAAGGCTGATGCCTAAATCAACGTCGCCCGCGGGGACCGAGTGGAAGAGCGTAGCGGACGAGGAAGAGGAAGGGAACTTGGACGAACAACGGTTCTCGCTTGTATCGATAATGGAGCCTTCGAAACGCGACTTGCCCATTGACCTCAAGCGGATGTCCATGCTCTGGACTCATGGAAACATATTCCGTGCTCTGCCTTCGCCAACAACGAATTCACCACCATCGACGCCAGACACTGAAGTCCCCCCCACTCAGAGTATCCCACTAACACCAGCAAGAGCTCCACGACTGGACATAACCACCACCACAATCACTGTGCATTCTCCGTCTCCCTCACCCATCTCGGCCGTCGTTTCAGCTTCAGCTACATGGAGTATTTTGGAAATGTACGGCGTCAGTCCTGAATCGCCCATGACCGAGCGAGTGCCGCCTGGTCAACAACATTTGGCGAAGCAAATTTCGTCGCCGTTTCTGCAGGTACCCGGTGCTTCAAATGCGCCAAGTCTCTCCATTGCCGCTCAACCGTCTTCGGATATACCGCCTGTCCCACCCATCCCTAAACATCTTCGTTCGGGGTCTCAACGGTCTATTCGTCCACTTCCCGCTGTCCCTTCTGCTTGTCCATCTTCCACCTCTAAACACGTTCCGTCGCGGGTCCAGATCGCTAGGACACCTGTCCTTCACGGGCCACGACCGCGGTCGAACACACTGCCCACGAATCGCCGACCGGTGATGGAGACCATCCAAATGCCGTCGCCTAGCATCTCTGATCCCGGTGGACACTACGCTGCGTGCACTCCGGAATCAGCAACGAGGAGACCACGCCTGCCGATCAGGAGAGGAGATCAGCGCGATTGATGTGACTTGAGCCAAACACAAAGAGCCTATTTTTCAACCCTTCAGGCTGAGCAGGGCTACTTCCCACTAGTATCGTATCACATAATTATGATGATGAATATATCACTCCTCTCGCTTTCCAGTAGATTTACTGTAGCGGATCGAGTACCGCGGTATAGGCTTGAGGAGCTTCCCCGTCAGTAAACGGCCTAACAACCGGAGAGGATTATAATGGGACGCCAAACGAGAGGACAAGCGAACTGAGACACGTGCTCTGTTAGATGTTCTTTGAAAATTAAAGAGGAGAGAATTACTATACTGGAAGAATATTGAAGAGAAAGGGACTGGCTGGCTTTTGATTACTAGGAAATGCTCATTTCTGTCGAGGATGAAATATATTCCACCTAAAGATATGTTGGTAACACGAACGAAGACGAAACCGAAGACAAACCTGGAAGTCGCCACGGATCTTTGACGCGGAGCATCAATGCAAACAAGGGAAAATGGTTCATGAATGCCAATTGAGTTTCCAGACATGCCTGCACTAGAATGATTGCCAATCGCAGCTAAGACCAGCATCAACACACGGTAGTCGCAAGAATGTCAAGACCGTACCAGAGCAAATAGGGAGTAGTACACTAACACCGTTGGGAATAAAAATGCCAAGAGTGTGAATAGAATTGTACCAAAGAGAAGTTGATCGATATCATACTCCCAGGTGTCGGTACGATTGCGTAGAGCGTTGTATCGTTTACCTATGAATGCATTTTTAACGAAACATCATTAATGATAAGAAGGAAGTACCTCGGAAAATATTCCACAATGATCCAGCAGTAGTCAAAAGTCTCGCATAGACAGCGTTGGATATGAAGTAACAGACATATATGTGGGCGGTTAAAATGGCTAGTAAATCTGAGAATAGCGAGATAGACAAAGTCGCGCCTCCCCAACTAGCAACGCCGAAGAGGTATATAATCGCCGGTAGATGGGGAGCTACCCATTGGAGGACACCTGCGGAGGAGGAAAGCTCCAAGAAGAAAAGAAAGATTGAATTCACGTACGACCCCACATGGCTATCAAATCGATAAAGGTTTGCGAATAAAAACGACTTAGCTCCGTATTGAGCTTGAGACCGGCAGGCCATGAGTCTAGCCAGTGTAAAACCCATTGAGTCCATTGAATGAGGATGTTCTAAGTATGGCGTTAACAAGGGGTGAGAAACCAGGCAGGAATTTAATTTACATCCACCATTGAGTTGAGCATGGAAGCAAGGACGACATGATTGTCGCATAGAAAGGAACCTATAGCTGATCCGATTGTGATATCGTTGAGCAGGAGCCACACGGTGTTGAAAAAGCTAGAACTATCAGAATGCAAACACGAGAGAAGAGAGAGAACAAACTTGATGTATCGCACTGAATACAGAGATGTGGGAGTCTTGCCACGGTTGCGCAACGGAGATACTTCTGCTGTAAAAAAGTCGGCTTGTTCTGTGCGAATATCTATTTGCTGAACTATACGCTATATCAGCCATCACTTTCTAGTGCCAGGGGCCAGTGATGACGCACAGATAGCCGAAAGATCCTTTAATATAAAGGATAAGAAGACAGGCGCATTGCAAACCACGGTTAGAAAGTTGGAGAAGAGCGCCAGTGATGGTGAAATCTTTTTCCAGGACAGATCAAAAAGAGTCCACAGGATGTCTGTTTTGAGCAATGGCTCTGAAGGGTAAAGATAGTTCTGCAGAAGATCTTCGACAGTATGGGCAGCATTGAACTAGGCAAATTGTGAGAAAAAAGGAGACCAGTAGTAATTCTCGCCTACCTGATCTACGACCATATCATTGATGCCTGAAGAGGACCCAGAAACGCGGAAAGCCGCGTAATTTAAGGCAGAAGCGTCGGCGGAAACAGAAGGACTGTACTGTTCCTGAGCATGATAGTCAAGTCTCAAAGCTTCCAGAGAATAGAAGCGGAGAGTAGTCGGAAGGTGGCGGTAATAGTAAACGACGATATAGTCCCTGTGCCATGTGAGAAATCAAAGCGCATATATTCCAAGTAGAGCTCACTTAGGAACCGGAAAATGGAAAATTGGGACCGTGATCTTTTTCTTTCGTTCACAGGTAAATTTGCCAAATATGACCGGATCCTCCCCACAGGCGTCACGCAAGGAACGGTACGCAGGCGAGACTGAAAGGATCTCGATCGCAGCCTTTGCTTCTGATATCTAAAAATTTGTCAGAAAGAAGTCGAAACACACGGCGATGATGCTTACCGTGTCTACAGCCAGACGCCCTGCAACACACCAAGCGGGCCTCCTCCAACCAAAACAAAATCCCGGCTTGACAAGATCTGTAGGCCAGAAGATGGTCGTTGGTGTCATCTCAGTATTGCCGTCCTATCGTCGTTTACAATGCTTATGGCCACATATTCATATCGAAATCGAAATGGCCGACGTCGGATGAGATGGTGATCAAGAAGGAAAACGGCCACGTGACATCGCATGTTGATTGTTCGACCCACTTTGGGGCCGCCTGTCAGTCGACGACCACCATCCCGCCTCAGCTCGCCTTCCCTCGTCTTCCCCATTCTAATCGCAGTGCTACACTGCCGGGCCCTGCTATGGATACCTCTTATCAATCATCACCGCCCTCTTTCCCTCCCCGAAGGCCTGATCTCAAGCGAAAGCTTGTAGTAGTGGGCGACGGTGCGCGCCAACATTGCTTCTGGATCATCAACAAGCTCACTTGCCATCAAAGGTGGATGTGGCAAAACATGTCTTCTAATTGTCTATGCAGAAAATCGATTTCCAGAGGTGCACTTATTCGGGTTATCTTTCTTTCTATCAATCAGTCTGATTCCTGCAGGCGTACATACCAACAGTGTTCGAGAATTACGTGACGCAGGTGCATTTCGAAGGAAAGGAAATCGAATTGGCGCTATGGGATACAGCGGGGCAAGAGGAGTATGATCGGTTGCGGCCACTCAGCTATCCAGAAAGCAATGTCATACTCATTGTTTTCTCTATCGATTTCCCAACAAGCCTAGGAAACGTCCTGGATAAGGTGCGTGGCTGATGTCTTTGATGCTAGGTTGATTCCTGACGGCCCAACTACCAGTGGTATCCAGAAGTGGCTCATTTCTGCGAGGGAACACCTTTGATTCTAGTCGGTACAAAGATCGATCTTCGCAAGGATGAGCAGACAAAACGGATGTTGGGCGCCCAAGGCCAGACACCTGTCAGCTGGGAGCAGGGATCCAGCGTGGCGAAAGAGATCGGCGCAAAATACATAGAATGCTCCGCGAAAACGGGAACTGGCGTCCACGATGTATTCAATCTGGCTTTGAAAGAAAGCATGAAGGGGAGATGGGGGAAGATTGTACGAGAACGGCGATGTGTTGTGACATAACTCAAACTCTCGGACAATAGGCAGGTCCGGACTACTCTACTGATACTCGTTTTCATCTCGTTCTCGAGCTGTTCTACTAATTATTTATTGTTTTTGCATCAGATATGTATCAATTTACACGCTCATGTTTGCGGAAGAAATGAACACTAGATCCGTACCCAACTCGTACTTTAGCTTCATCCCAATGGTTGGCTTACAATGAAATATTGGACCATGTCAAGAGTGTTGGACTGAAGTAACTATCGTCGACAAACAGGTGCTTACTAGACTCCAAACTCGTCACTTCGCGACTTTCTGAATGGCTGATGTCTTGGACATCTTATCATTAGGTTGTCGTGTCTCTGGCTGACTGCTGTACTTCTGATGAAAGAGTCTCTAGGAGCGGGACGTCCCGCCAAGTTGAGCAAAAGACAGCCGGTGCCGCTCTGTTCATTAAGGACGGATGCCACCTACAACTGTACTGCAACTCTTGTAACTCGACTACACCTCCGCAACTCACCACCTGTAAAGCACGCCGACGCTCCTGCGATGCTGTTAACAATGTGATAACTGCTCCCTTTACCATCATGTTGATGTGAGCTTTCGCTGATTCGTAAGCCTTAAATCCCACAACCGTCGAGCTGATGTATTGCCAAATACTACCACGAATATAAAGCTCAAGGATGTTAACAGCTCAACGCACAATCCTCCACTCTCACTACTGCTCATGAACATGGCTAGTATATTTACAATGAACTTTTAACAACATACTATATAAGTAATTTAATGCGATAAGATTAAGATATGTGATTCATAGCTTATGAAGTTAAATAATCGATGTGGTTGCACTTGGGGTAATAAGTTATGCATACGAAGTCCAAACATAGTGTCATAGGTCCCATGGGGTAGTCATATCCTACAGCAAGCAGGTTAGGAAATCAATCTATGGAGACGAAGAAGGCAAGAGAACACACCAGGGGTTGGTGACTGGAGAGCTATCGAAGCATACAAATGAGATTATCGAATAGAAAGGCAGTCCAGAACCCTTACCTGTGGATCTTGGAAATTGTCCATCTCCAGGACTGGCACGTCGTCCGACACAGATACGGCTGCTTTTTGGCCTCGCCTTTCTTTAGCTCTGCGCCACTCCTTCATGCGTTTCTTGTACGTCTTAACCTCCTTGTGCACATTTAAAGAAGCCTTATGTACTTCGTGGCTAAGACGACGCGATATTAATGCGGCGAACAAATAAGGTGAGATGTAGACGCCGCATACCTGACGTTCGTCATGAGGTCTTTCAACGATGGGTGAGGATCTTTCTCTGTGAAAACACAATCAGATACTACATTTCACGTCTTTTATGGCGACGTACTGAGGATCTCGATAAGAGCCTGAGGTTCAAATTCAGCGTAGGCACTTTGGAGGTAAGTGGATATCACTTACTCGAGTCATTGAAGCACCTCTGCTGTCTTCCCAAGATAACTGGTCATCTTTGCAAGCCCCCAGAGATATCTGCGACGACTGTGAGATACACTCTGTTCATGAAAGCGACAGGAGACAATCCTCACCACACGTGGAAATTCCGCGTCGGAAGGCTGGCAAAAGCCTTCGCAGGGCCATATTGCAATGGGAGAATCACATCGGGGAATAGGTGACAACTCTGTATCATCCAGCCATCTATCATCTTTCTCGAAAGTCGATTTGATTGACAGACGTCGGGTGGCTTTTATATGAACATCCACATTTGGGTCCGCAATTCTCCCGATGGAGGTTTTCTTGGACTTGACAACCTTCCTACTGACGCGTTTCGTCTGATACACCGACCTGTTTAGCATGGCTTGGCGTCGCACTGTGCGGTCGGTATTTAGAGGGCGGGACTGTAGATTGATATCAAGATTCATACCATTACGGTTCCAGATAGAGTCAGACCTGCGGCGGCCTTTGGATATCCAAGGGACATAAACTCTATTACAACGGAAATGGTCGAGATCTGCATTAGCAACGGTTAGGAACCTATATGCACACGTGTATAGAGTCGGTAATCGCACCCAAGAGCGACGCGGAGTGGCAGGAATCAAAAACGGCCTGGGATTTATGTCAGAACGGCAACGCTGGTGATAAGATGGAACTCAGCGTACAACCAAGCTACTTCCGATGGGTAAAGTATCCACGAGATGCCGCCGTAACTCCTGATATCCCGTTAACTTTGTGAACCTGATGGGACATGAGCGACGTACATTGTCCGTGATCATTCTCGGATTATGCTCGTTGTTATGATCACAGGGAATCAAGCCTACAAGTTTGAGGCACATGAGGAGAACTTCGATACAGAAAGATGGCACATACATTCATCCATCCCGTCCTCTTCGCTGTTGTTCTTATTCTCCACTTGTCCGACATGACCGGAGTCTGTATCCCAAAGTTAACAAACTTGAGTTGCGCAAAGCAGATTAACTGCCTACATTGAAAGAAGAAACGGTCGCCAGATTTTGCGTCTTTAACAAGTTTTTTGATTTCACGAATCTGATAAGGGTTCCTCGATCACTACTGACAGACAGGTATATATTGCGGAGGTTACACACGATGTTTGACTGCGTGGGTTGTTTCTCGGCGGATTTCCCGTCATCCAATAGCATGGTGATGTTCGCGTCGTCATAGCCATAATGTTCTGTGAGGGCGGGCAAACTTGAATGTCAGTGTTTTCTGATTGAATTATGGAAACGCACTGATGAGAAGATCCCTCATGTCATAAACATCGCGATGGGGCGTGTGCAGTTCGTACTGGCCGCTCCCAGAATCCTTGCCTGTCTTGTAATTGATACCGATCAGTAATGCTTTTTTGCATGGAGGCTCCTCGGCAATTGGTGATTGGTATGGGCGCCTTGGACCTCGATGTTTGATAATCTTCATGCCCACAGCGATGAGAGATAGAGAGGGGGAGGGGAAGGTTCAAACTTCACATTTGCCTGGTTCCTGGACCCGCGCTGATATAATGATTTCTGACACCGGTTTCTGAGATTGCTCGATCAGCGCTGATGCCGATGGGCTGTAACGTTGCATGAATATCAGAAAAAGATGGGCGCTGCAGTGCTAGGGCGGTAGATCAACAAGTTAGGATTTGTTAAATCATTGGAAGACCACAGGATGAGGATTGCACTGCAAAAGTCAGAAGGGAACCAAGGTGGAGAACTACCTAGAATTATACGTAAGGTTTGTAATAGCCGCGCGCGTCAACAGTAGTGCTGATGGCCCTTGGTGCGGCTGTTGCTGATTCAACCCGCGACTTACAAGTACGCCTATGCCGTCCAATACACCCCAGAACTTCGTATAGAATCATCCAGGATCCTTGTGCTTGATTGATTGCGAGTGGAACTGATACAACGGATATTCCAGTTGAAGCGCTGAGGCTAAGGTATCAGCTCTATCAAAAATTGGATCGACTTGTTGAGTTCTAACAGAGCAACGCGAGTGCACAGATATAGCTTTTGGCGTTTTGATTCACTGGACATAAGACGCCGCATCTAGGACAGCTACTTCACCATCGCGGACGTATGCAATCAATATGTAGATGGTCGACGGGAATCAGATTAGTAGAGGCAATAAGTGAGAACAAGACCTGAATCGGTTATTGCTTGAAAAAACGTTTGCACTTGGAAGATAAAAACAGTGTGAAAGATAGTACATGAACGCCGCCCCGTCAATGAGCAACGTATAAAGGTATTCATTCGCGAGATTTAGTGACACCTTTAACTGTGAGCTTGAGACGTCCAAAGGTGTTCGAGTCGGGTGATCATGATAGCAGGTAAAATAGTTCTAATTCGGAAGCGACGTGGATTCAGAATGCCGCGGCACATACCGCGGCATGCTTAGTCATCGTTCTTCCAGCGTTTAACGTTGAAAGTATCTCTTTCGGATTTCGTCGATTCCTTTGCCCTACAGTTTCCTGGCTCTACACAACAACCGCTTGCAAAAGAATACCCCCACGTGCCGTATCTCAAACTCTGGCTTTGTAAATGATTGTAACCCTCTCCGACTCTCCTGGATATCAGTGGATATCATATTAGATTTCAATCGTAACCATTGAATGGTGTGCAATCCTTAACGACGACCCTAATGGTATAGACTTTACATTTGCAACGCCCCAATATTCTTTGGAGCATGACTCTTGGTATAGCTGGAACCGTCTTTAAGCTTGCTTATGCCTTAAGAAGCTTGAGTTCTCTGATTTACTCGGGACCCTTTTCCGCTGTAGTATCCCTCGGAACTTGCAGTGAAATGAATGAATAAGTATATCGGATGTCTAACCTCATGTTTCTCCGAGTATATACACACAGTACCCGGGCCTGCCTCGCTCCTAGTCTATGTTTATCCTTGCTTCGTTGGGCACTTATCATGGATCATGATCATAGACTAGTAAGTATCATCTGCCTCGCTGGTGCCTGTGCCCTGTCAAATGGTCATGGCGTCATCTTTACCTTCGCTTAATGCCGTCCTGCTACTTGCGAGCTAGAACCCTAAACTCGGATGCGGATGTCTACGTTACCACAAGGCTTACAGCCGCGTTGAACCCCGAATAAGACACGTTCCGATGTCGTGGTAGCCGAAATTTTACTACGCAGCGGAGCCTAGTACGTGAATCAACTTGTGGTGCTCTGTTCATCGGCAGTTGACAACTGCCTGCTTCCGTTCCTTACACCGACTGTGCTTCTGATGGTGCTTCTGATGATCTCTGGCGCGGGATTTGGATGTTTGCAATGCCCTGAGATTGACATAGACTTTACTTCAAGGTACGCCCATGCGTATCCGTGTGATGAAATAGCAATCCCCTCATGTTCATGCATGGCAGGTGCTTCATTTTTCAACAGTGTGGTGTTCCTTTTAGGGTTTCCGGAAGCATTAGGCACAGTTTGACCGTGCCTCGGACAAAGGAGATAGCCACACGAGTCCATGACCTCACTGGGAAGGGATACGAAATTGGATGCCAGTATAAAAACAACTACTTCATCTTGAATTCCCCCAACTTTCAATCATGCGTCTCACAATAGCCCTCCCGGTGCTTTTCGCTTTTGTTTCTGCCGCCTTCGTCACCGCCTCACCTATTGTAAGTCCTCTACCTTTATAAGAACGTCTCGCATGCTTATATTGATTCAAGGTCGAAGAGGTATGCATCCAAATCGTCCGTTAGTATGTGCTTATGCTCACCGTTCGTTACAGCGAGTTGCAGTTCCCGGCGCTCCTGGATGGAAGGTTTTCAAGATTTTACTTCAGTATGAGTTCTCGGTCTCATCATTTGGCTGTTTTATAGCGAGTCATCACCCCCCCAACCCCTGCCCCAGGATGGCGCCGCACCGAAGCAGAGGTAAGTCATCGCTAGTCTTTCCGAATACACTCAAACCCGATGTTCTTTTAGAGAGCTATCCCTCCGCCTGACCCGGCCCCAGGCTGGTAAAGGACATGCTCCCACGTGAATATCGTAGATTACATTTCTAATCGATATAATCTGCGTTGGTCCCGGTATTCGACTATGGTCCGTTTTATGGATGTACGACTCCACACTTAATCGGTTGAAGGAAATTCTGCATGATGTAATTAAAGCTACCTATCTACCTATGAATTGTCATATTCATCAATTAAAAATCGGCGGTCATGAAATCCTGCGTGCACACGCAATGTATGCCTCCAGGCCAACGCAAGGCTCGACCCAGTTGCCTTGCGATGAGTACTTGCTCCGAAATGCACTTTCCCTGCAGCAGTCACACTGCAAGCTCCATATCGAGTAGGATCTCTTTAACTATTCTCCCAAACGGCTTTCGGAATCCTTCCTGAATCAGATGTGAGGAGCCCTTGTGACGGTCGTGAGACGAAGGAGAAGAAATAGAGACCGATGGTAGAATCTACAGAGTAGGCGAACAGTGTAATATCCACCGCTCATATTTGTATAAGCGCTTCCCCCGGAATGCAGCATATCGTAAAGCAACACTATGACCTACGCAGCCCGTGGCTACTCATTCCGTTAATACCCATTGCGTCCAAATTGCGTTGTAGATACCGAGAGTCGACTCTCGAAATAATTGATCGCATCATACTCTGTAAGAATCTAGAACGAGAATTTCCAGAATGTTTCCAAGAAAAGCAACAGAGTGACATTAAAAGATACCAGACGGTGATACAAACATTCTAAATGGCGGCGACGGCTACTGTGTACGGCGGCCTGGTGTAGATAAGAGGGAATGGCTTGTCGTTCTACGAAGCCGACCTACACGGAGAGCTCTGCAGATTTGGCGATGTTTAACACATGGCGATGATCAGGGCTTTACTACCAAGTTTGGCACACCTACTTACTTGCGGAGACGGGAGTCGACACCGAAATCATAATAGTGTCTTGATCTGCAAGACTGACGCCACGGTTAACGTTCAGCTGGTCGCCAAATCCTTCTTCCTGGTCACAGCAAGTATCCACCGGACCCGCCGATGTGTCCGATGTCACGGGTAGAAGAGCATTTCATCGCCAATAAGCAGATGTTCCTCGGTTGCGGAAAACTTGTATTTCAAAGACGTGTTCTGTGGTGCCTTTCAAGACTTAGAAACTCCAGAACCACGAAAGGTTACCGTCGGACTGTGTAGGCAAAAAATCGGCTGTCTCTGACGTTCTGGGCACAAAGTGTATGGTGATAACATTCCTGATGTCGAACATAAGGAATTCAATATCAGGTAAGGCGAACGTGTGCGGTGACAGACGGATAACTGAATCACAATTGCATGTAATTAAATGCGGATAAATATTACATGTGTGCACTCAGGTTCACACTGTTAATAAAAATGAGTGTTGAAATTCACAACAGTTGGTACGATACGTACCACGTAAAAGACCCAGAGCGCAACTCAGACACGAGCAACGTGTTTCGTCTACAAGGCGCTTCAATTCCGCAATCTCGCCGTCCCATCCACTGACACACAAAGGTGCCTCAATCAATCTCAACCGGCTCGGTCGAGACGTGGTTGCGAACGGTGGCTCTACCACCCCTCCACGGGTACTCGCTATCGCGATGAGATCCACAACCTGCACGTCGCCTTCGACGAAGAGCTGCATCAAAGACGGACAGAACCAATCTTCTCCATCAACCGGCGGAGAAGACAGCTTCTCGATTAAACTGGCTTCCTTGCACCGGAAGAGGGCGACGTCGTCTAGTATGAGTCGCACGACGCTCGGGAGAAGCGAAAGCCATTGAATGAATGTTGGTACATCGGTCTCGCGTAGAGAAGACCGGATCTCGAGGGTATGAAGATTCGCGGGAACAAAATTCGGCTGACTCCACTGCATGAAGACTAGATTCCAGTGCATATGGTCGTCGCTATAAGAGTAGCTTTCAATGAGACGGAACGTCTGCAACGAGGGTGCACGAATGCGAGAGACGTGGAGGGCGAAGCACCGAAGCGATTGGATGTGAAGATTGAGCAAACCTTCCATTAGCACCGACGTCCCCTCGCTGGAAGAATGGGGACTGTCCAGCAGGAAAAGGGACTCCAAATATATTGAGACCACGTTTGGTATGAAGGTGATCAACTCGAAAATTTGGGAGTTCGTGCACCTATTCCGGCGGTCAATATTGCGGAACTCAAATTGAGTCACACTGCGGCTCAACACGCTCTTCACCCACGAAGGAGAGACAGAATCGGCTCCCAGAACTCTCAACTTCGAAGGCGCCACGTCCCACAGCTTCTTTTTGGGTGAGCCTTTATCCCCACACGACGTGACATGCAGTTCCTCCAAGCTAGACAAATCTTCTCCCTTGAGAGTTTCCAACGTTCTGGTAGGAACCGAGGCATAAACCCAATTGTGAACCAATGATAAGAGATCCTTTTCGCATTCGTAGTATCTTCTTCGTTCTGTGGGAAGGGTGAGGTACAAAGGAGCCGACTTGGCTTTGGAGAGTTGGACGAGACCGTGTCGCTTGGAACGTGTAAAGTCAATGATCCCATATAAACGTGGAGTGGATATGACAATTTCATTCCAGTCGCTGCACGTTAAACACAGTGGAGGCAGGAAGCCAACTCCCCATTTGTGTACACCAACCTCGAATATATGCGCGTATATTTCTGGGGGCAGCTGAAGAGACATCTTGTCGGTAAGGCGGTTCACTGTCGTATTTTGCTTTCTCACAATGGAGCACCATGTCATATATACTCGACCCAGCTGCAAGTAATTTGTCAGTATGTTGACTGTTCAAGAGTCATTGAGCGTGTACCTTGCACAGCGGCACCGGAAAAACTGTCGGCTGCAGTCATTCATAGTTAACGGTGCCGACGGTGCCAATTGTGAGAGAATTCTTCGGCAATTAAACTTGGGAACTTCGAAAGAGCGTGGTCACTATCTGCTTGCGCCAATGACCTAGATGCTAATTGAGCCCGGGGGTCGTCGCGTTCGTCATGATGAGTCACGGTTGGCTGCTGCATTGTTCGTCGTGCTACACACTCCTCGTATGAACGTAAGACAAGATGGATGCCTCCACGCTGAGCTCGAGGATAGCGGTCGACGTGGTGGCCGTTGCTAAGGTGAGATTTGGTTGATCTTCAACTTCCCTGGGCTCATCACACACCTTGACTTTTAGTCGCGCTCGTTATCATGTTGCACAGGAATACAGCACGGTTGGCGGACCGAAAAGGACATTGGGCGGTGCTGAGCTGGACGCCGGCGGCATGATGGCGGTCGATTGCGAAGGAGCGGAACTGTTGACGGTTCCGGGTTACCGTACGAACTCACCAGCAATTGTAACGTACAATGCTCGATACGGAGTCGTTGTCGTTGTGATTAGGTTCATCGTCGTCGTTATTGTCGTACTCCAAGCGGTCATACTGGTGAGCAAGGATAAATGATCGCATCTGACCAGCATGCTGAACATTTGTTATCCTTTTTCCAGGTAGAATTACGACCGTGTGCTGATAGACGACACACATGACAAGAGCCAAGATTCCCCATTTGTTTCTGTCGTCGCGACAGTGCCACCTCGGGCGGATCTTGCAACTGAAGCTTTGTGGATGCAAGTAGGGCCACGGTCAACAACCGTTATCTATAACCATGAAGGCCGTTTCTCGTGTTCTCCGGCCATTGACTGTTGGTATTCGTCGAGAGGATCCCGGTAGGATATGGGAGAGACGCGCGCCTCTCACGCCGGAGGCCGTTCAGGACTTGGTAACGAAGCAGGGCGTTCAGGTGCAGGTCGAGTCTTGCGACAGGCGGATATTCACCGATGATGAATACCTAGAGGTGCGAGATATTCTACGTGTCCATTAGCTGGTAAAGTGCTGAGCAGCATACAGGCCGGTGCTAGCATCCGGAAGGACCTCTCCGCTGCGCACATTCTTCTCGGTATCAAAGAACCCCTCCTGAATTCGCTGCAGCTCTCGCCAGTTCCTTCCCCAATTTCCCCAGCCAATGTCACTCGTACTTACATGATGTTCTCGCACACTGCAAAGGGCCAGTCATACAACCTTCCACTCCTGTCATCATTCCTCGGGCACAAAGAATTATCCCGTCTCATCGACTTTGAACTACTCACTGATACCGTGACCGGTAAACGGACCGTCGGATTTGGGTGGTATGCCGGAGTGGCTGGCGTGTTCGAAGCGCTGTCCTCTATGGCCCACTCCCATCTTGAATTTGGGGTTGCTTCTCCGTTCCTGGTATGCCTCATTAAACTTTGTTTCAAACATAGACTCTATCTGCATTCCAGTTTACTCCAAGACCGCATACCCAGCCGTCTTTGGATCATCTGCGAGCAGCTCTACGCGCCATTGGAGCGCGAATTGCTACAGAGGGCACCCCGAAAGCATTGGGTCCGTTTGTCGTTGGTCTCACTGGGTAAGTTCCGTGTCAGTCTCAATCATTCAGACTCTCACATGATCTCTTAGGACAGGAAATGTCGCCGAAGGCTGCCTGTCGGCTCTTTCGGAACTGCCTATTGTTAAAGTCGCAGCGAGAGACCTTCCGGCCCTCGTCAAAGATCCAGAGATAGACTTACGAAAGGTAAGGCACGACGCCGGAGATTAGACAGCGGATTTTGAATCACCGTTTATTAGATATATCTCGTCCATGCTTTACCGTCTGACTACTTTACGCGTCTTGACGGCGGTAAATATACTCGGGATCACTATTACGCTCATCCCAACCTGTATTCATCAAATTTTGCCCAAACCGTGCGCCTTAGATATCTATGTCTCTTCTGAGCTAAGTTCTCGAACAGATTGCCCCTTACCTCACTCTTTTCCTGAATGGCGCAGGCTGGGCTCCCGGCTATCCACGAATCATGACAGATGAACAGCTGTCGACCTCACTTACACTCGCGCAAGAGGTTGGCGGCGCACGATTCACGAACATCGGCGACATCAGTTGTGATCCCGAGGTACACATTATCACACTGTCTCCCAAATCCCCATCCTGATGCCAAATTCACAGGGAGGTCTTCAATTTCTTACGCATGCAACTACGCTATCAGCACCCTCCTTCAAAGCCCGGCCCGCTTCTCTTCCTCAGCACTTACCTTCTGTAACAATGATGGCGGTAGATATCTTACCATCTTCCATTCCTTTGGATGCTTCACGGGGCTTTTCTCGAGCATTAGTCCCATACCTGGAAGCCCTGATCGCGTCGTATAAAGGCGACACCAGCGGTGATCGTATTGAAGCTTTAAATCGAGCGACTATCGCCAACAAAGGAGAGTTAGCTCCGCAACATCAGTGGCTGCAAGAACGCGTAGATGCATGGCGCGCATCGACAACGAGGTCTACAACATCTTCTCATGGTCATTTGAAGGCCAAACATGTTCTGATGTTTGGTAGTGGCATGGTAGCCGGCCCCACCGTGGACAAGCTTGCAGAAAGATCTGATGTTCGACTCGTAATTGGTTGCTTGTTTCTCCTTTCAGTTTTGTACCACGCGTTTCTAAACTTTGGTTCACAGTTAGCAACTCACGCTTGGAGATGAAGAAGCTACGTGGCAATCACTACAATGTACAGTACCGTGAAATCGATATGGGCAAACACGCCGATGTCTCGCGGCTTGTGGAGGAATCAGATGTCGTTATCAGGTATGCTTGTTTCGCCAGTGCTCTTCAATGAGGTGTCGACTATTAGGGCAGTCTTTTGCCGGCGCACTTTCACCCTATAGTCGCTGAGCACTGTATCCAACACAAGAAGCACATGATAACAGCGTCATACATCTCTGATTCAATGAAGGCTTTACACTTCCGGTATGACTGTCTTCTGTTACTCTAGTCTCGGTACTGAGGCTAATGCAGTGCACTGGATTCCAACGTTCTTCTTCTCAATGAGATTGGCCTTGACCCCGGAATTGATCACTGTTCAGCGATCTCCCTCATTTCTAGGCTTCAAGCTCAGAACAAGAAAGTCGTCTCTTTCATTTCGTTTTGCGGGGGCCTTCCTGCGCCAGATGTAGACGACATGGGTCCGCTGAAATACAAGTTTAGTTGGAGCCCGAGAGGGGTTTTGACTGCGGCGCTTAATTCTGCGAAATTTAAGCTCTTCGGCGAAGTACGCTCGCCTGGATTTGATTTTGGAAGCATCATGTCTTACTTATTTTCTTCAGGAAAAGAATATAACTGGAACCAATCTGTTGCGCTCCCACTTTCCTCAGGTACCTGTGATGCCCTCGGTGCATCTCGAAGGCTATGCGAACAGGGATAGTCTTCCGTACGCTGCCAGCTATCATCTGGGACCTGTTCCGAAACTTCGTACTCTAGTTCGGGGGACGTTAAGGTGAGCCTTAACTATCCTCAATGGTATTTAATTCACTATGGCCACAGATATCCCGGCTACTCAGAGCGACTCCAGTTCTTCAAAGATATCGGACTGCTTGAGCTGAACGGAACCATCGCCCTAAAGGATTGGATAGACTTTGTCCCTCTTTCGCAGAAACTGAAGCAGGAGCTTCATCCGGAAGACAAGCATATCAATTTGCAATATCTCGAGGATGATGCCGGGCACCTAGAAGCTCTGCGATGGCTCCTTGCGGGTCGCACGCCCCCTCTGCCCACTAAACCAATGGCACCGCTGGACGTATTCACGGTTCTCTTGGCGTACAAGCTCCAGTACGCGCCCCATGAGCACGATATGGTTGTCCTGTCCCACGAGTTTATCACCAAGTCAGTCTCAGAACCATTGGCCCCGGAAGAGGTGCACACGTCGTCATTAGTCGCATACGGTGATGACAAATATTCTGCTATGGCAAGGACAGTCGGGCTGCCTGTAGCACTAGCAGCGCTGGAGGTACTTGATGGCAAGGTGTCTGTGAGAGGCGTAGCGGGCCCTGGAGATGCAAGTATCCGCGAGCCCGTGCTTGCTGGAATGGAAAGTGTTGGATTGGGGATGGAGGAGATTTCTGGTGCTTCGGAGACGGTGGAGAAGGCTTTACAGATTGGCGTTTCGGACGCATGAAATTAGTGTATTAATACTCGTGTGTCATTACATTTCCATCCATTGCAGCTGTACTATAGCATGGTTATTCCTGCATACAATATGAAGATCTTTATCTCGAGGTGTTATCAAGGATCTCACGCGTGTCACATCCAACGACAATAGTGTTGATTAAGTTATAATATAATTAGCGCGGTGAGACCGCTAGCGCTGGACACGCTATAGAAATATCCAAGCTTACGATTTCACCCAATCGTACGCATTTTCCCGCTTGCGTCTTCAGGGATTCTGCGTCAGTAAATACTGAATTAACGATTTTTATTTTCATATTTTTGGCGTTTGCAACTATTACCAGAGCATACTTAGTAGACTAGACCATGGCTTAACCCTTCTCAGCCGATTCGATTGAACCAACATGAGAAAGAATGGGGGAAGTGACTGTGCATGTGTCCGAAGAGCACGAGAAGCAAACAGCATCATTCTAATCATGCGCAAAGATCATATGTTTCCATGAATAAGCGCCAATGTAGCTTACAGAGGCAAGCTCTACTAAAGTGACCAATGTTCTTCACTGGGAGAGTTCCAATTCTCGACGCGCATCTCCAGACCATTATCAGCTAAAGCTCGAATTTCCGCTGTCATGGCATCCTTGAACCCTGTGGAGCGTTGTGACCCCTCTGGGATTTTGAATTGCATTTCAATTATTTTTAGCCGTCCTGCACGGCGGCAGCGAATCATATTGAGTATGGCCTGCCAGTCAAATTGTTGGGGCAGAGACAAGTTGATGCAAAGTACAAGATGACCCAGGCGAGGGAGAAGTACTGGAACATCTGAGGAAGGGGTGAGGGATTGAACAATATGTTCACTGGCCGAAGAGAGCCCGGTTTGGTCCATATGTAACCGAACTTTGAGGAAGGAAAGTGTAGAAAATGCATCGTGAGGAAAAGGGTTATTATATGAGCGCTGTAGATATGTCAATACGTGCTGATCTGCGCTCAAGCTCTTGAGGTGACATCCAGATCGCTGGAGGAAATGGGTAATGCATGCTGAGACAGTGATATGATGGTCCTGGTGCTTGAAGAATCATTCCCATGTATTCACGGACAGGACCAGACTTTCCAGCCGTGGACAAGTCACCCAGTCCAACATAGCTAGCTTCTCAACAAAGAGGCATTGGATATGTGGCATGACCATCGGTGCCTGGATCGACGCCCGCTCGACAGGTGGCAATTCTAGCTCGAGGTGACATACTCTGAGCTTGGGTAGTTGACCAAGGAGCTGTTGATCGTCTGGAATAGTGATAAGCCCTGAGTAATGAGTGATACAGGGCGATAGCTTCATTTGCGAGATCCCTCGAGTTGAAAATATTGCTCGCCACAGCTGAGGAGCCTTTAACCATACATCCGAGTTGTAATTTTCATCGTAGTCATCGGCGATATGTATTTGTATCGTTTGAAGTGTAGGAAGGTGGGATATAGACACCTCTAGGCGGCGCATATGATGCGTGGTAGTGTCGATAATCACGTCCTTCCAGCGATGACATGATTCTCGCGCAAAAAGTGATAAAATTTCATCTTCTTCAGCATTCGGAGACTTTTCAATGTCGTTAACGACCTGTAGCGTGAGAGGATGCTCGCCCGTCCGCTTGAGATATGTTCGCAAGATCTCACGAGCATGCTTGGGAAAAGGTGTTCTCACTACGACATTCTGGGCCCAAGATGCAGGAGATGTGTGCAACGTTTCCCTCCAAAGCCCACAAACACGATCTAAAACCCAAAGAGGGCCATCTAGGCGCAAAACACTTTGGCGTTCTGAGATGGTCGGGTGCCAGCGACGGTCATCGTCTATGTCTTGCCACCATGAGTGGCGTACGAAGTGGAAGACTTCGATGAGAAGATCTCGGGGAAGACGACGAATAGGGGCACGAATCGATCTGCGAGCTTCCAAGGCCTCCATTACTGCACGTCGATGCAACTGGACTTGTTGAAGTTGGGCATCGTAAAAGGATTGGTGCCGTTCCAAGGCTTCCATTACTGCACGTTGGTGTAACTGGACTTCGTGAAGCTGGGCATCGTAAAACGATTGACGCTGTTCTAACTCCAGGATGTCAGCACTAATCAACGCATCTTCATTGGAGTCAAGAATCGTTCGTGGCTGGCGTAAAATTTGTGCAACAAGGTTGTTCGAGCCTTGGAAGACTTTCAAGGAAGCCTGTAGTGTCTCCTCGCCATCTGAAGGAAGGACATTGACGAATCCGCAATTGCGACAGGTACAGCAGAGCATGATTTAGGTCCCTGTAAGGCATCTCATAGAACTGTTGCAAAAACTTATTCAGACACGTACTGTGCAACCGGTTCGAGGTTACGGCGCCAACTCCGAATTACAGTACTTACGCGGTCAGCGCGGTCACGGTGGTTCGTTTCCAAGAAGTAGACACACGTGACATAGATGCACCCTGCCCGAGCTTCCTCTTTAACCTTTTCCCCTATTTGTACCCTTGTCGCTAGTGTCGCTATCCCGACGGTCCTACTCCCACCGTCATCGGTGAACGTTTGAACTCTGGAGCAGCAAGAAAAAACTACGAATTCGAGAAGCTTGATAACAAGGAGAACAAGACGCAAAGGTCGCTGTGTGTCGCTGTGTGGTGATCAGACAGTTGCATGACGATAGGAAAGTGTGTTGTCCAGAGACGCGTTTTGGAGCTCAGTGAAGAAGTTTTGAAGGACCCAAATTGGTGAGGTGCAAAGGGAATGGAACGCTTTTATAGTGACGCGACCATCTGGGAATGAAAATGAATCTTAAAGGGTAATGTAAAGGCGAGCTTTCTTCTACATCTTTATTCCCTTGCTTACTGCAATATCATTAGGCGGTAGATGTCGGACTAGGCAAAGTGACCAGCGAGCCTTTGTCATCTAGTCGGTGGCACCCTGTGACCCTCTCAATATCGGAGAAATAAAAGAGCAGCTTGCTCATGAAAAGGCCGTGGGACCATCGTGACCATTGATCTCCTTTCAATGAACCCTAAATCGGGTGGATTACGGTCCTCTTGGAATCCGGCTCTCAACCCATAATATTTTGCTCGGAGGAGTATTATGGATGGGATTATTTTTATGTCTGCCCCCCATATTTCAGAGCTTGGGTTGCTACTATTCGTTTCTGCCGATATCGTCAAAATCTTGGTCTATCTCGAAATGTAACGCGGTATGAGACCGTTTGACTCTTGACGTGATGTTTTTTGTCAGGTGTTTGTCTCATACTGGTATAATACATATATGTGAGTTCTGTGTCGCTATGTTGACTGAATAATTCTAATCTTCAAAGTGGTACTGCCACGCACATAGTTCCCCTGAAAAATACCTACTGTTCCTGGATATTTCCAATCGATGATCTGCATTGGATTGCCCCACAACTGAGCAGTGCTATCGAAAATCGCAGTGTCGGTACCGTACTTTTATATTCATGATCGACAGGTACAAGCGCATATCTAAGAATAATCTGGTCCCGCGTCTCAGCTTCAATCGTGCCCTGTGCGGTGCACGTCTTGTATACATATAGTAACCTCTCTAGCGACCAGAGTCGAATGTTGCTAGATGGACGGATATCGTCACGAAGTCGAACTCTACAACCCGTATGAACCACAGCCAGAAGCAGGACCTTCGACGACAGAGTACAAAGTGCGTTCATGAGTTCCGTTGTCTCACTCGTAACTCACCGCCATCAGAATGAAGCACGAACAGGATTGTTGACTCAGAGTCCCCAGCAACGGCCAGATAAGTCCTGGCTACAACACGGGCTCTGCTTCACTCTTCATGGCCTCCTTGTTTGTGTGCACTTCCTCATCTTGCTGATATGGATAACCCGCGCTGAACACGATGTCACCGTGCCAATTGGAAGACGGAGCAGCATAATATCTACCGCCATCGTCCAAGTATCACAGATCATAGGGACAGTAAGTCGTCAGAATGACCTTAAACATGTTTGCTTCTTACGCGCTTTTTGTACAGCTCTACTTGGCAGGACTCATTTTTGTCAGCCAACAGCTTGGTGGACGTCGCAATGCTCGTACGAGGCAGACGTTGACGGCCACGAGCGATAACATGGCGGCGTGGTTCGGATTAGGAGCGGCGTTAGCATCGCTTGTCCCCTCTCTTCTCGTTGTAGGATATTTTGTCTGTATCGCGATCTTGAACACCACTACCCCCGCTATATTCAGCCTCCAACCATTCAATCAAACACGAAGCACAGTCATTGCTACTACGCTTGGAAAGCCGAATATCTCGGTGAATAGTCTGTATGTTCATGTCTCTTCTTTTTGCGCATATATTGATGTGTTTTATCTTCGCTTAGTGCTGTGTCCAACCCTCCTATGAACTTCTGGCTTGATTCTACGTCCGTTGTCCCGTACCTCGCGCATAGTGACCGAGCATCAAGGATAGGATTGGAGAACGGTACATTATATGATGTGATCTCAAACAATGGTGGGAAAGGGACAGTGTCTATGAATGCGACAACATTCAATGTCTCTTGTGGTTATATTGATAATGCCTCGGTCACCGACAACGGGCATTCGGGGAACTGGAGTGTAAGTACGTCTTACCAAGATACTGCCAACTCAATACCTGTTCTCGGTGAGTTTCACTAACATTTTTCAATTCCTAACTCATATTCTGGCTATCTGCAGCTCCTAATGCGTTCAAATGGCTGCCTTTATATCCTCATACACTTAAGGATCCCGTGAGTTCGTTGCTTCAACTGTTATGATCCCAGGACTGACAACATCTCTAGTGGCGACATGCAGCATTCTACACGTCTGCGAACATAACAGATTCAAACGGTTCTAATGGTGTTCGTGTCTCATTAAACCCACCAATGCAGCCCAGTGCACATATCGACCAGTCAAGGAGTGAGTCCTCTCTCATCATCTTAGTGTTTGTTTTATCTGATGGATCCAAACAGTGAACGCCAGCAATTTTAGCGAGAGTGCGGTCTACTCTATGCAGATCATTGGATGTACAATTTCCCTCATCAATCAGTCCGCAGCCATTGATGCGGAGTCGCATCTTCTTCAGCACGTCTCACCTTCGGGCGTGAAGAATACATCGCAATGGTCGTCCTGGCAGCCCGGCTCCATTCCTGCGAAAGTGAGTACAGTCTCTGCGTTATCGCAGAGTACGAAAATCACTGGGCGCGCTGAAGAGACCGCTCCCCCCGCACCCCCAGGCTCTAACTCTCCTCCTGCATCGAGAGACGGCAATGGAGGAGTGGGAGGAGCGGCGCCGCAAGGTCCCAATCCCAATCCAGTACCTCCAAACAACGGAGGTGGAGGCGAAGAAAATCCAGGAGAAGGAAATCGCACACCACAAGTTGCAGCGCCTCAAGATCCCACCCCCAATCCCGCGCCTCCGAGCAATAGTGGAGGTTCGGGAAATGGTGACGGGGGAGTGGGAGGAGCGGCACCCCAAGACTCTAGTCCAAAACCGGCACCTCCAAGTAATGACGGAGGTGGTGGTGGTGGTGGTGGAGGTCAGCCGCTGAATCAGAACCCGGGAGCACCAGCACCAACACCACAGGACTCAAACCCAAATCCTGCGCCTCCAAGTGACGGAGGAACTTCAGGAGGAGATAGACCACAGTTCGCATCACCTCAAGATCCCAGCCCCAACCCTGCACCTCCCAACAATGGCGGTAACCCGCCGCAGCCTCCAAATCCGAATCCAACACCAGCTCCAGAAAATCCACCGAATCCCAACGCTGCGCCCTCAAACAATGACGGTGATACACCACCGCAGAATTCAAACCCGAACCCTGCACCTGATGGAGGAAGAGGAGATCTGCATCCATTTCCAGCACCTCAGAATCCGAAAGCCAACCCTCCACCTCCCACCAACGGTGGTGGTAGTAGCTCGGGCAATGGAGGTGACGGAAATGGGAATGGGAATGGAGGTGGTGGAAACGGGGGCGGTGGCGGTGGTGGGAATAGTGGTCAGGGGACGAATGCACCAGGACAAGGGCAAGAACAGTCGAATCCTCCAACGGCTCAGTCGGATTCGTCAGGGCAAGGCCAGTCGAATTCCGGACAAGGAGCTACATCTCCACAGGGTGGTGGCGGGCAAGGAGACGGACAGCAGAACTCGAATTTCAGCACTGCCGGACAACCTCCCTCCGACAATTCGAACACCTCACCACAAAATTCTCCTTCTGCACAAGGCCAAGATACCACTGGTGGTCAGCAAAATCCCCCCGGGACGGGAAATCCTGCCCCGGCTGGTAATGGCGACACAAGTAACGGTAATACTCCTGGTCAGTCAAATAGCAGCGATGGGGCTGGTCAGAATGGAGGGGGGGCTGGAGATGGGTCACAGGGTATGGGAGGGGCAGGAGGTACGAGCGGACAAGACTCGGGAGGCCAGCCGGGAACAGGAGATACGAACAGACAAGGTGGAGGAGGCCAAAATGGAGGAGGTGCTGGGGATAATAGCGACGGGTCGCGGGATGGTGGAGGGACAGGAGATACAAGCGGACAAGGTGGAGGAGGTCAAAACGGAGGTGCAGAAAGCACTGGTAATAATGGAAGTAACTCTGGTGCAGGAGGACAAGGTAGTGTCACTGGTCAACCAACAAGTCACGGCGCCGAACAACCAACTGGTACTTCGAATTCTGCAGCGATGATTACTGTAACATCGATGAAAATAGTCAACGCTACGATGACGGCTACAGCAGTGAGAAACAGTGGTACACCTGCAACGGTTTCGTATTATGATTCATCCGATGTTTTCCTTGGAGTTGTACGTGAATTTTCCCCTTGTTCTGCCTTCTCTCACATTGACGCTTGTCAGTGGTGGGAACTCTTCAATCAAGCCGCGCTGTCTCGCTTCCCTTCTACGGACGACTGCCCTGGACAGCCATGGCAGAATCCAGATGCATGTAACCCATTTACTGTCATAGAACAGTATGGTATTGCTTCGTTTGTGGATCTGAGCTGACACTTTTCTTGTAGGTTCGTTATGGAAGATCTGGGCTTCTATCCGGTTTTGTTGGACAGCCCTGTTAGGACGGACTCAAAGGTCACTCTTCACGATTTGGAGAATTCACTCGCTAGTGCGACGGCAGCATCATATTGGGCTGGTTCGTGTTTCCCTGATTCCTTCTTCGGTATGATGATTCAATCTTATTTTAGCTCTGTACACAAAGAGTGGTGGTATGAAGGACAGCGATCCTTCTAATGCTGCAAATGGTAATTATAAAGTCGCTGCGGCGGCAGGGAATGCTACGATGGAGTATCAACACACCGTAATGAGATTAACAGTGCGTGGTTATTACCCTGTTACATTATTATATCCCTGATATCATTCTACCCTTGCTCAGATCAACCTCACACCGGTCAGTCTCTTCCCTTTTCAGTTCCGCTCCCGGAAGTTGATTCATCTTTCTTAGCTGCTCATGGGCCAAGTTGCTTCCATCCTCCTCTTCATCCTTGTCTGGTGCCTGATTGGGCGGCCGGTGAGGAGTGATTCTGGGATCGAAACAGTGGGCCTGCTCCAGATTGTATGGTTCATTCACCAGCGGCCGGAGTTGCAGAGGATCATCGCAGATGTGGATAGGCCGACGATAGAGAATCTAAGGAAGGCAGGGATGGTTAATATGTCGTTGGACGGGGCGGGAGAAGAGGCGAGACCACTTGCTGGGGTCGGAGAGTAGGGCGATGGCTATAGAATGGCTATTTGGGTTCCGTTCAAATTCCTGCTACGTTAGTAGAAGGTCTTATAGGGGATGGATGGTAGCCGAGTTTTTGACAGCTCCCCGAGCCGAATGTCATCGGACTTTCTATGTATGTGTGATAAATTTGAACGGCGTGCCACACATAAATTTCTGTTAAAGTCAGATTCTCGGTGTGGCAGTTTCTTTGTTTGTCACTTTGTTTACTGTGACTCATGTTACTATCACGCTCTCCACGGAGTTGCTCGGCCGAACTTCCATTCAGCTCTCCAAACAGCGATTCTGAGAGAAAATGCGAGCTGGTGGCGGCATCTGCCGCCACCGAGCGAGGCTTTTTCGAGCAGCACCCTTATTACTGTTAGTTTTTGAAGTCCTGATCATAACTATTTACTAACTGATTCAATTCACCCACAATCACCAATGGCATCGGCTCTGATTCCAACTCTTAGGTTCAATCGTGTATAAGTGAGGTAGTTTTTGGACAATGGATACTTTCATGAGGAGCGAACGTAGCAGGCTTTGCCCCAGAGCGGGCCTTACAGGAGTTATTCTGTATTAGTACTCGTTTCTTTCATCTCATAATATCATTGTTAGTTTACTGCTCGGAAAGGTCAGTGGGTCTAGACTGACGGAGATTCGGTCCGAGTACTGCCAAAAAGGGACATGACAGATGCTCAATAGTTGACCCTTCAGGACCCCTATCCATCTTTCTCAAGCATGCGCTCTTTTTCTCCTTCAGTCTAACACTAGTCGTCACCAACGCGTCGCATTCAAGGTGCAGATTTCATTTACCTTCATGGTTACTTTTGTTTCTCCTCCCTGCAACCATGACAACTCGGCTGATGTCGTTAAATGAAAAGGAGAGCCAGCCTTCGACCTCACCTCATCTCCCCATGTCAGACCCGACAGGAAGCACTTCGTCCTCTACTTCGGCTTTTCTCGAAGAAGTGGAGCTTTGGTTATCAAATATCGGGAAACAGGTCAAGGCACTGGAGGAGCGACACCGCAAATGGTATGATGAGGATGTGGAAAGTACGTGCTTCACATAAGTATTTGCTTGAGTAGCCGTTGATCCTTGGCGATAGGTGCGAGCGACGCATCTATCACATCCACCGATACCAACAGTAAAAAGGATGATTCATAGTCCTTAAGTACTTGCGATCGTCCCACAAGTGTAATTCTAGAGAAGAGAGATACCATGCCCCATCGCTCCCATCGCCTGTTGTATTATGCGCCTATACCGTTACTTACATGCGCACGAAAGGCCTCTCTGTATTCAATATAATGACATTCACGCTTAGGAATGTGATGCCCTAGGTTTAACCGTTAACGGTCTGAGAAAGAAAAAAAGGACAGAAAGCATCATACCCAGCAGCCCACGTTCCATCCAAGCCCGTACAAAGACCCTCCGAGGAGAAAGGCTGCACGGGTGGGAAACACGCCTTACCGGCCAACACGCTCGAATAAGCCTGAGAATTGACGCGTGTTAGAAGAAACCGCGTAAGGAGAACTTGACCCACAAAGTCAGACCAACAGTATTCCACGTCTCCAGTCCCAGAGTTAGCGAAAAAGTAGTTGCAGCTTTCGTACGTGAGCGTCAACGTGTGGTCGGCTTTCACAGTGAAGTTGTTTGGCGCATTGGTGGAGAAAATCTACAATCAAAAGAAATATCAATATCAATATCAGAGACAAAGTCCGTGATGAAAATCACGACGAACATTGATGGCATCCACGATAGTCGCACAATCTTCTCCGATGGGAGAAAGAACGCCTGCAACATGATTACAGCTGGTGGTACCTAAACAACCCACGCTAGGTTACGATCAGATACACAGGATTTTTTCGATTTGGAGCTTACAACGCTTTTCACACGCACTGGTAATAGGGCATCTCTCTGTCAACGCTCTCTTCTCGGTGGAGGCGCAGGAGACGGTTGCCAGTTCTACAGCCTTTATGCCTACCCAGATTAGACTGCTGTCGACCTTGGAACAGCCATCCAAGCGCGTAGCTAGAGAAATACGTGAGAATCAAGCCTAGGCGGGGGAAAAGACGACGAACAATTCGTTGAGAGAAACGAGGTGACTGCTGAAGATACCACAGCTACTTGGATGGCAGCGACTATAAGGAGGAAGGTTTGCATGTTGGTTGCCTCTTCATAGTAGAAGAGGCCAGCTTATATTATGGTGGAGCGTCCAAACAGGAAGCCTTACTGGGCTGTTTGAATGCGGATACGGCGAAGAAAGTACCTGCGCTACGTAGCATATACGGCTTCTGATAGCAGTGTCGGCGTGTGGCCAAGGGCCTCACCTACTACAGATCGGCTCAAGAAGGTCGTCGAGGGGAGCAGCAATAGCGTGTAATCGTGGTTATGTCTCAAAGATTTCCTTTCCCAGATAGACGATGTAGGAACGAAACAAGGATGGCATAAAAATTGAGTCAAAGAGAGCAAAAGATAAGTGTTTTTTGACGTGTAGTTTGTGTAAAGGATCTTCGATTTTCTTCAAATAAATTGTCCTTGTGTACTTGGAGAGTCATCAGGCTACTGTTCGAATGCTAAAGACAGAAGGATTGTGATCCTCGAATATCGTGGTTCCGAGTTCATAGAATTGAGCAGCGCACGGTTTTCCGGGGTTGACGGGTGAGCGCCGTTCTAATTTCCGAGGAACGAACACGACTTGGTTCACTTCGTCTTACCTTTGGCTAGTTCTAGGGCTTGAGGGGGGCACCAAAGTACAGGTAAAAGGGACAATGAACTGGCGCCATGAAAGGGGGAGAGGCTGGACTGATTTGGGGGAGCTCCATCGGTCCGAGTATCCGGTTACTGAGCTACCGGAGATCCGAGGAGGATGACTCAGCGAGCTACTGTCAGCCTGTGATTCTTTCCCGCCTTTCCCGTATTCCTTACTCTTCCTTATTGCCCATATCCTACAATCCATACGGTATACCTAGGCGATACCCAGCGGTCAGCACACCGTATACAATCTTTTAAACGCGTAGAAAATGTCTTCAGCTCTGCTCGGTGAGCGCCTTTTGATAATTCACTCGGTTCTGGCTCACAATGTTTAGATATGATAACCTCGAGGACGAGGACTCTCGACCCTAACTTTACTGCAAATCCGCCATTGAGTAGAAACTCTGACGACGATCTAACCCCATGGGCGACGCCCTCCGACTCGGACGAAGATGAGGTCGTGCCATCACAGGCCCCTCTTTCTGCTATCAATCGCCTTCCACCGGAGGTTCTCATGCATATATTCTCGCTGATGAGCCGGGGTTACACTACAGGCACTTGCTACGATGTTCTCGACATCACCCAGGGACCCTGGCTCATCGGGAGGGTATGCGGTCAATGGAGGGATGTCATCCATTCATTCCCTTCTGCATGGGCGTCCATAAGTATTGTTTCCCCCCAAATCATCAACCATGACTCCGTATTACTTCTTGAGACGGCTCTCAGGCTGTCACGTCCCTTAAAGCTGTCCCTCTGGGTCAATCTACAAACAAATGGCCTCAATGAGTGTTCGATAATGAATGCTCTGGTCAGGGAGTGCCGCAGATGGAAGAGTGCAGAGCTCATTGTAGAGGCAGATATATGCGCCTCCTTCGCTGATCTACCAGGGCAGCTGGAGTTGCTGGAGCGACTAGATCTGTATGCTGGAAAGCATCCCGGCCCAAATGATCCGGGAACACTTAACCACATTTTGAAGCGCGCGCCATTGTTAAAAGACGTGAGGCTTCCCATTGTCGTGGACCCTACGGTCCTCGAGCTGAAATGGGACCAGCTAACGAGATTATGCACATTTCCCGGCCAAACGAGGGACTACCTTGACATCCTCCGTCAGGCGGACAAACTCGTCGACTTGGACAGCATAACCTATCTCTCGGGCGCAAGAACTATCAGAAATGAAGAAGAACCTGTCGTACACACTTCCCTTCGTAGCATCCGTTCCAACGATCTCCACCTACTGGACAAACTTGTCCTTCCTTCCCTCCAATCGCTAAACTTCTTCTTCCCCAACGTCATTGCCTACGCCAGACCGCTATGTGACCTCCTAGTTCGCTCCCAGTGCCAGCTTCGAACACTCAAATTAGAAATTCGAAATTACTTTGGGGGCGTTCACGACATTTGTAGGGTCACCCCGGAGCTGACCGAGTTGGATATCGCTATACCGAGCAATGGCGAATCAGATACGCTCTTTCGAGGTTTGATATACTCAGAGAAAGATGAGAATCTTCTGCTGCCGCATCTGAAGAGCTTGGTGGTTCCTATCAACTATACGGTGATTAACGTGGCAGACGTGGTGCAAACGCTTATCAGGTTTGTGGAGTCAAGATGGTACCTGAAGGAAGGATCTCCCATTTCCAGACTTTGTGCTATCACCATTCGTATTCAGAGGCCCCCCACACCCAGCGATGCGCAGCTGGAGACATTGAAGCAGTTCCAGCGAGAGGGGTTGAATGTGTTTCTTTCTGTGCAAGGTTTGTATACAAGCTTTTCGAATTTTGTATGCTAGAACTGACGAAGAATCAGATAAACGAATTTTATGAACTAAACGTGCTTTGGTTATTCATCACTAAAGATTTAAAGAACACCGTACACTCGTGGCAGGTGACTAACTCGCGCCGGTCAAAATGCGACGGAAACGATTGGAATATAGATGGAAATTCGACAGAGTCTTTTGACCACAGCAAAATACGTCGGCTTTACCATTGAAGGGAATTCCGACTCATTTGATTTTGGCAAAAGCTTAAAGTGTGGTCAAAATATCATATATTATCCACCCATTTTCGCCGCTTTTTGCCTGTCTGAACATAGCTGCTTACCAGAAGTGGTAGAAATGTCAATTGCATGATATCTTTACAATATCATCTAAAGAAGCAACAAAAACGAACACAAACCTCCCTTGATGTGACGACAACCCTTCATTAACATTCACAATAGGTAGTAGGCAGGCAGTGTTAGTGTTACATGGCATGGTCCAACCGGGAACGCCGGGCGCAGTAAAAGGCTGACGAACGGGGGAGGTATCAGGTAGGTGACGTAGGACCCTGTCATTCGTAAGTACAACCCAAACTAGCTTTGAATGAAGCTGTCAACTGCAGCTAGTAGAAGGACTCAGATACTCAAGTACTCATATACATACCCCAAGCATGTGTGTGCACACTCCCTCCACATGTATCTATCTCTTCAATCTGCCTATGTGCATAGGATGTAGAGAGATTGAAAGCAAAGATAGGAAGCATTATGTAAGACAGTCGCAGCAGGCTGAAGAGCTCTCGAAGTCAGACTAGAAATAGAGAAGGGCGACGAAAGCAAGTTCATATACATCGTTCGTCATAGATGTGCAGTAGCTAGGCAATCAACATACTATACAAACAATACACTCATCATCAAGGATCATGACCGGGAAACATTTTGATACTGCAAACTTGCAGGCTGATATTCCAGCAGAAACAGATCTGACTTGTTGGCCGCCAAGAAGCTGAAGAATTCTGTGAGCAGCGCGAGCGGGATCAATAGCAAGAAGCGTACTTCAGCAATTCGTTGACATAATCTCGTATGAGTCCCACCGACTCTGCATCCAAAGGGGACGCAGAGACCATTTGTGGCAACGAAACTGAAGACTTTTCAGTGAAAATAAAGGATGACTCAAGCGCACACACCAAGCATCCTCAGTAAATGCTCCGCTCCGTAAATAGCGCTCATCTCAGGTATCTTACTGACATCGACATCAGCACCAGTAACGTACGTCTGCCTGACCACGGCATATTGCGGTCTCTCAAATCGATACAGCAGTTGTGAGCCCAACGAGCGGTCAAAGTAGACTTGGAGGCCAGAGATGATCGTGTGTATCAGGACCTCCGGCTGCCTCAACCTGTCAAAATGTGAGAAATTCATCGGTTGCGATTAGGCGGTGGTACTGACTCGGGTGGTCTGGTCTCTAGGACATGTTTCTCAAACAGGGCTAGTATCTGCACAACGTTAGGTTTCCGCGGAAGGTCGACGAGCTTTTGACGAGTGTAAGCCGGTAAGAGACATGTAGCAGACCAGAGCGCGTACTTGGTTGTTCTTCGTGACTGCTTCCCAGTCGTCAACAAGTGTAGCCTTGAGGAGTTCCGGCACAGTCAGCTTCATTTCGGGTTTTCTCGTGCTTTCATCCTGTCGGATTCAAAAGTCGGTATGCAACTTGATACGGAAGAATTACGCACATCATCTCGACCTCGTTTTGTCCCACGCGTGCCATCTTTCCGAGCTGTCCTTGAAGGCCCAGTTGTGCCTGCACCATCTCGGGCTGCACTAATGTCTGAGAAATGGGAGGTATGTAGAGACGAAGATAGAGCGAACTTTTTGCTTTGCTGGCAGCGGCTTGGTTGGCAGGAGTGTTCGTTTTTTGTAAGGCTTTCTGCTTCGCGAGGTTTTCTTCTGTATATTTGAGGGCGCGACTCAGAGGAACCCATTCGTCCCACCTGCACCGTGATGAGCACACTACAGACCAGCAGAAAGTTGGGCGACGCACGTTTGTTTCCATCCTTTGTAATGTACGAAATAGTGTAACCCCGTGAACGTTGGCTCCGTTGTCGAGGCCTTGAGAATCTTGGCTTCGTAGATGAGTGGGCCGTGGTAGCATAGAATCCTTTCGCCGATTGTGAATGTAACCTGCGAAGAGGATGGATCGGAGGCCATGCTAGCTCGAGCAAGTCAGGGAAGGTATTGGCTAGACGCGAGGTCGGAGGTGGTGGTGGTCCGTGCTGAGCTGTGTATTAGTGGCTGTGCGCGTTATTTGCGCTCATCTACGCTGGTGGGCGCAGGGGCCGCTTCAATTTAATTCAACTCAGCGACGTCAACAAATTTCACGGGACTATTCGAGGTATCAACTTGAATTTGAGTGCTATACTATAAGGGAATTTGAGGATGAACACTCGGGGTTATCAGTACTCGTACTAGTAACCCGTGCATTCTGTAGCGAGACTCGGCATATTATCCTTCCATAGAAAAGCACCAAATGGAGCGGTAGGTCGCTGTCCGGCTGCAATGAAGGAACGACTTCACTGACAGGGTTCAATAGGGCAGTTATATCAGAACGAAGATTGCAATACAGCATTCGATTCCGGCAATCCTACCTATTTTTAACTTCACAGAGATGAAACGGAAAAAGAAAACATCAATGTAATCCGAGTAATCACGCGCACGACTCGATCTTCCCTCTTGACAGTCCTGGAAAGGAAACGAAGATTAAGCCAACGTAGCGCTGAAACGTTTTGCGTCTAAATCATGGCGCCCGATTCAAAGATTGGAAAAGCGGCGCTATATCTTGCGAGAATTTCATCTCCGTCAATTCGGATTTCGTCGAAAATGAGACCTAGTGCGCGAGTACGTTCACGTAGAAGATTGCCGTCGAAAGGTAGATTTCCTGGAGCGACTGTTGCCGGTGTGATTTTCGCATGGTGGTATTCTAGTTTAAATGAGTGATCACAAAGCTAACCCCGGAGAGACATAAACTCATCAACAAAGTACGTCACTCATTGACCTTGAGGTAGTCTCTTCAGGGGACCGTACTATCAATCACCGCCAACTATAATTGCACCCATGACAATTACGGCAAATTGTTATCTGGAATGGGAAATAAATGCTGCTGCGGCACTACCAATAGGCGAAGTTACGAACTCGCCTAACATCAGGACATAAGGAAACGGAATTATCCAAAACATCATGCACCGGCGGATATCCGAAGAACATGGAAGCTGTGACTTCATTTCTCGGAAACTTATCAATTACTTGCGCGGCGCATCGGTACATCGAAATGAGTCTATGAACGGGCTCTTCGGGAAATGACATCGCCGATCGGCGGTCTTCAAACGCTTAGCTTCAACCACCACCATCTCTATTGATTTCCCTCCAAGAGACAAGTTAATTCCGTGAGTTGTCAAGTGCTGCGCTTACCTCTAAATATGCAGATGATATGCTGTCCAATAGATCTTTTGGAGCGTTCATTGATGCTGTAATTAGTGAATGATCTACCAGGGTCGTTATGGCAGAAGTCGGTTGAATCCGCGTTGATTTTTCTAGGTGTGCCAGGTCGCATACTCCCACGCAATACGGGGATCTTCCGCACTTTAAGCGTAGACACGTTGGAACTACTTAAATGTAGAACGACGGGGAGTTTCCAGCTCTATACTCCCCCCATGCCCACGTTACCCAGTGCTCTCGCAGAAAATATCAGTATAGCACCCTCAGATGTGTATAGGATGTGCGTGACGCCTTCACGCTCTTGGACTATACTGATTTTAATGCTACAGAGCAGGACCTCTGGTACGACTTCAATCCTGGATCCCGGAAAGCGCGGTTGCTCATTTTTCATGAGAAGTTGATTGGCTGTTTCCTGAATTGTACATTATATGGCGTTCTGTGCAATCAAGTCTGTTAGTAGTCCTATCACTGTACGCACTATCTTTATTACCCTTTACTCACCCTATTCAAAGACATATACTACATCTCCTTTCCAAAGGACCGTCTGGTGTCGAAGATCGTTGTATATGTGCTCTGGCTGACAGAGACCGTTCAGACTATTATCAACATCGCCGATACTTTCAAAGTCTTCTGTTACGATTTTGGGAACCTTTCTGAACTTGATGACGTCCATCTCTCATGGTTCAGCGTTCCTATTCTCTCCGGATTTGGTGCGCAATTTTTACGTATACGGTTTACACTTCGAGTTACTGAACAGAAATAGTTGGCTGTGTCTCCCAATTATTTTACGCCTGGCGGATGTATAAATTCAGTAAGAAGGCGCGATGGATGAGCGTTACCCTTTCGATGGTAAGCCTTGCGCCTAAACGTTTGGTGTCTGCTCCCTAAAACTCCGATGCTTTCTTCAAAGATCGCTTTTATTCAATTTGCGGCTGCGATTGCTTGCGGCATCGAGGGACGGAGATATGATCACTACTCAGACCTTCGGATGGATCCGAAGGACAGGATGGACACAATGGTGAGCCTGAGGTCGTCGTTGGGTCACCCTCTTTATTTATCTACGATTCACAGATATGGTTGGGTGGGAGCGCTTTGTGCGATACTGCCATTGCTTTGTGTATGACCTACCTTGTAAGTGAAGTATGGGTATACATACCACTTAAGTCTTGACTGATCATTCCCGTTTACAGTTAAGTCGAGCTCATACGGGTTTCAAATCTACTCGGATACTTCTTTCCAGGCTGATACGTCTGACCATCGAAACCGGGACAGTAACAGGTTAGTCATGTATTGCTAAAATGTACGCTACTGGTTTATGTTCCACCTTTGCAGCTACGCTTGCTGTCATTGACATCGCGCTCTTTCAAGCATATCCCAACCATACGTATCACACTGTCCCGGCGATCTGCTTGGTAAAGGTCTATTCGAATACCGTCCTTGCTGTTTGCAATAGCCGTATGACGAGGCGGATTCGCGGAGGGAGGGAAGATGCAACCATTGACGTATGCAAGTCTTTTGATTTGTCAAGTGGCGGATTGAACATTGCCGAGTTTCAAGGCATGCAGACCGACACAAATGCAGAGTCTTTGCAATTTGAGTGTCCCCAGGGAGACGAAAGAAAGAAGAAGGCTATTGGGCTGCTTCCTGCCGACGGAAATAGCCCAACGGTGAATGTGCTAAGCGCAAAGGTGATACTTTCCCTCATGTCAGGAAAATAATCTCATGCAATTCTATTAGCCAACGTGAATGGTCTGGCTTTCGATATGCATTGATTAGTACTCGCGCGGACAATTTTGTATATAACTATAATCATCATGCGGACCATCAACCGGTATACGGCGGGAGAAGACTTGGAAGTGGACTTGAGTGATACTCGTGAAGATTTTGTTTCCCAAATAAAGTTTCCTGAAACCGCTGAATCACATCTTCTCTTTGACTTGTTTGAGATTCCTTTACGAGGTATCGTTCTCCGTAAAGAAACTCTTGTTGAACTGTCAAGTACCTTTTTATCTTGCCACAAGCTTTGTAAAGTATTGCCCCTAGCAGAAACGTTGGATTCACATCTCAGTAGATCTTTGACATGCCAAAGGGTGTCAATGGCCAGTATTGCTCGCGCAATTGGCAAGGAGGTCACGATTTCTGAATTATCGGACTCAGAAATTCTGGTCAACAACGCGCGACTGTTGTCGGTCTCTAAGCTGGGTTCTCGTTGAATGCAGGTGTACCAAGTCGGTCGTAACAGCGCACATCCAAAATACTGCAAAGGTAGTGCAGGGCGAATGTACATGTGACTGGTAAGGAGTCGAGATAATTGCCGAGCCTTCGCAGGCTTCAATGCATCACTTGCTGTTCAAGACTTTGAATCATCATCCCTCAACTGAATTCGAAATGTAGAACCGGATCCCTTCTTCTAATAGTGTTACATTCGTGATGTACACGGTACTTCTATATTTTCTTCTCCAACCTCAAAACATGAAGCTCAAAGCGGTCAGAATCATCTTCGCACTCGTAACAGTGACTTTGTTCGGGTCGTCCTCTACTGCTAGAGACACGACATGATTGTCGTTGACAATCATGACATAGCGCTGGCATATTCATAAGACTTGGAAGCGGATGAAGCCATGCAGCCATACCTTGGATCGAGGCCCGCCCAGCAATGGCGTCGCATCGAAGATAAGGCCCGTCTCACTGGTGAATGTGCCTTGATCATCAGCCAGGAAGTGAATAGCTGTGAAATACAATCAGTATACACTTCAACTACAAGCGAAATTTACTTACGAGTACCATTCGGAGCGAGCTTCTCCTTCCAGCCGCTACACGTCAAGAAAAAGGTCATTTCCCTCAAGTATCATGGAAACAGAAAGAATTTACTTCATCACAAACTGGTCATTGACCGCCACGACGTATATCCCTTCTACTCCTTTAGCCTTGAATGCTTCGTACTCCTCAATATACCCCGAAATTTGGCCGCTGCATGTTCCAGTGAACGCTCCCGGTACACCAATCTACTTCACTTAGTTAAGTACTATAACAAGGAATTTTCTGTGCTCACGATGATGTTCCTTCCAGTCAAAACCACAGTTTCTGGGCGTTCCGCGGATGTCTCCTTAACAGTCAAAGGTGGAAGAGGTTTGCCTGGGTTGATCTGAGAGGCGCCAAGGAGGGAAACGGCCGTTGATGGGATGCCGCCTGTAGTCAGAGACGACATGATGGTGGTAGACGGAAAGGTCTCAAAAACGGAATGCGGGAGAATGGGGGGGTTTTCTTATATGAAAAAGGCGGGGAAATGCGTCCGGGTCTCCTATGTGTTCAAGTTCTTTGGAAATTACTCATTTATATTAATTATAATTGCCAGTGTACATAAAATCTTCCGCGCGAGTACTATTCAAGGCTACGGAAAGCCAAATCTATGTTGGCTATATAGAAACTTGCATGAGGTTATCTGTTTGACTTGAGGAAAAGTACTACCTTTGTGCCGAGCACGTCTTTGGCATCCGAAAAACTCCCGTAGGGAATCTTCCTGTTGCCTTCGCTTCCTTGAGGACACTCCAACGGCAGAGGAGATTCCGCATTCATGTTGGTCTGTACGTTTTGAAGCTCAACATCCAACTCACCATTCGACAGATCGAACAAATCGAACTCGTAGGTATGAAGAGTGACGTCTTCCCTCCCTCCGCGTATCCTCCTTGTCATACGGCTATTACAGACAGCAAGGACGGTATTCGAATACACCTTTACCAAGCAGACCGCCGGGGAAGTGTAGTAGTTGTCATTGGGGTAAGCAAGAAAGAGTGCGATGCAAACGACAGCAAGCGTAGCTGAAAAGGTAGTAAATAAGTTAATGTGCCTATTTTTGTGGAATATGATCAACCTGTTATACTTCCAGTTTCGATGCTCAGACGTATAAGTCTGGAAATAAGTATCCGGGTGGATTTGAGACCGGTATTAGCTCGACTTAACTATGGTTGACAATGATCAGCTGTTGAAGGGAGGAGTTTCTTGGCTTCACTCACAATGTAGGTCATGCATAAGGCAATGGCAACATCACACAAAGCGCTCCCACCCAGCCATATCTATGATTCGGAGATGATAAGATGGGGAGTCACAACGATGACCTGCTCACCGCTGTAGCCACCTTGACCTTTAAATCGGTCTGAAGTTCAAGGGAGTGGTCATATCTGCGTGCTCCGACACCGGAAATAATCGCACCCGAAAATTGCATACAAGCGATCTTAGATGAAAATAGTTTTCAAAATGTTAGGGAATGGTAACCATACATTCATGCGAGAAGCTTACCATTGAAAGTGTAATACTTAACCATTGTGCCTTCTTACTGAAATTATACATTCTCCAGGCATAAAATAGTTGACAGACACAGCCAACTACGACTGTTTCAGTATCTCAAAGCGTAATTAGGTATAAAAACACACCAAACCCAGAGAGGATGGGAACGCCGAACCATGAGAGGCCGATGTCATTGAGTGCAGAAAGGTTCCCAAATTTGTAACAAAAGGTGTCGAAAATGCCAGTGATGTTGATAATAGTCTGGACTGTCTCGGTGAGCCAAAGAACACGTACAATGCTCTTCGACATGAGACGGTCCTTTGGAAAGGAGATGTAGTATATGTCTTTGAACGAGGTGAGTAAAGGGCAGCCAAGAACGCGGGTAAGCTGATAGGACGACTAACAGACTTGATTACAAAGAACGCCATATAACATGAAGTTGAGGAAGGAGCCGACCAACTGCACGAAAACTGAGCAGCAGCCGCTTTTCAGTATCTAGGATCGGATCCGTACCAGAGGTCCTGCTCTGTAGCATTGAAATTAGTATAGCACTGAATCGGCGTGAGAGCGTCACCGACGTCTTATATACATCTGATGGTGGCATACTAGCGTCCTCCATTAGAGGATTAGGTAGCATGGACATCGAAGAGTAGAGAAGGGGTATTCCCCAAGTTCTACGTTTAAGTAGCTCCAAAGCGTCTACGTTCAAAGTGCGGCTGACGATCGCGTCTTGTGGGAACATGCGACGGAGCACATTACCGAAGATTTCACGGATTCCAGTGATTTCCGAAACGACCCTAAATCAATCCCTATGGATGAAAACTGTGTATTTATAGGTAAGCACCGTACACGGAATTAAACCAATGATCTTGCCTCTCAGAAGAGAACCGACGGCAATGGGGGTAGTCAGAGTGTGAGACCCCCGGTGACATTTACCGAGAAGCAAGTGAATTCACCGCTGATGCCTCGCGTAAATTGTAGAACGAACCCACAGATTCTCTGTTCTTCATATATCCGTCAGCACACGGTGTGTTAAGTGGTTTCGTTCCTTCGACGTATGCTGACTCCTGACAACGAATAAGTGGATGAGTGGTTAAGTTCGAATGCTGTGCAGCATATATTTTCCTCGACGTATCCCGCCGCTTGTATTGTCATGGCAATTGTAGTTGGCGATCCGGCACTTGGTGGCGGTGATTACAGCCTGCTGAAAAGTAGCCCAAGCGAATTAGAGCGAGGTGCACTGTTGAACTTATGTTTCCGGGTGCAGCTTTCTGATCGCTCGATTCCCTTCAATATCATTTGACCTGCCAGGAAAAGATACACTAACAATAGTCGTCTCGGGCCCGGACAAATGTGCCTGTTGACGGCGATCTGCTGCATATAAATTGCTTCGTGCAACTGGTTCTATTTTCGACAAGATGCGACTTGTCGGAAATATTCTAGTAGACTTAAGGCTGTCCCGTTTGTATGAACACGTGAACCTGTGGAACGGAAGAAGAAAAAGAAAGCTTACCCTAACTTGCCACTAAAATAACTATTAAGCAACCTAACAAGGCCTTCGCTCTTGACGGTTTTAAGAACGAGACAAGGAATATGTCGTCGTATAGAATAATACTCTGGGATGGTTAAGGAATACAGTAGATGTCTGTAACCTTTTTGCGTTTGGCTACCGCTCTTATGACGAGCTGTAACCACCTATTGGCATGGGACACGGTTGGGGCGCCTTTGACACAAGATTGGTTCTGCGGGAGAGTCTCGCCATAGAATATTATACCGTTGAATGTTCATACTTACACGTAAGGCTCCTTCTCTACATCGTTGACCGTACGCGATTCGTCGAGTCTGGCTCTGTCTGGTTTACGAGGTCCCTGCTGGCTCGCAGCATTACCATTGCGTTCGAAACGGGATCTAGGTGGCGTCAAGGGCAGACACGAGGGACACTCTCGCAGCACGATACGTTATGTCACACTGGTGCAAGAGGAAAAATCTGGAAAAAACATAAGAGATCTCAGACGGACCGGAGGGAGTAACAGATTGGGTCCGATGGCGCAAGAATGTAGTTCGTCGGCGGTAGACATCGACCTGGCATTGACCGCAAGAGAAAAGTGAAATCGGAAGCCACAAGGTGTGCAACAAAGGTGCGCTACATAATCATTAGAACGTTGAAAGAGAAGAGCACATGCTCGGCCCACCAGTACATGTTATACAAGCATCACCACTTTAAACGGTAGTATGAATATTCCGTAGGTAATAACGGTTTTCTGAGGATTCATCTGATCTTCGAAATTGGTTGGAGGTTACATTCAAGACAGAACATACTTTGGAGCTACTCACTTACCTTCAAGGAGAATTAGATAGCATAATAGTCATCTGGAATGACCCCCCCCTTCTTGTACACCGACGTGGTGAGGGAACGAGATACGACCTTGCATTTCAACACAGAAGTCGCTTTTCCTTGGCTGTGCCCTGCCTTTCAAGTTGTACTTTTCGATTTAGATACCCGCCACCACTGTGTAGGCTACTGGGTTGTTATCAGGAAGGCGTCTATTGGCATAGTAAGACGGTGAAACCTCAGTGAAAAGGTATCGAGGAAAGACTAACAACAAGTTATTCGATAAGGAACGGTTCAACGGTTCGACATATCCATTTTCTGGGTCTAACATAGCGAATATATTCTTTAGAGTAGTCGTCACCTGTTCGGAATTGGTCACTTGAAGTTGGTGGTATGTATCCAAGCTAAAACAAATTGTAAGCACGCGTTGTTTATTGCACAAACAAAAGGCCCTTCTCTGGCCGTCTTGCATGTCCTTCCATCCGACCCTCGCCGCCCTCTCCAAAAAATCATCTACACAATGGATAGCTCGACAGCGTCGTGACCACTACGTCAAACAACGAGCATCCTCGGCGTACAAGTCCCGTTCTGCATTCAAACTCCTCGAACTCGACAGCCAGCTTAGTTTCCTCGACCACGATGATGTGAACGTCGTCGTCGACCTAGGTGCGGCACCTGGAGGGTGGAGCCAAGTCGTATCACAGCGTTTGGGGTACGGATCCGAGGAGGACAGCGAGCCATTACCGTCCACCCTTCCCCGGGTACGCTCCAAACGAAGACCTGCCGAGTCGTCGCGTCCTGGTAGCGACTACGACCCCCTCAATATCGACAGAATGGAAGAGGAGATTGCTCGTAGTGAAAGCAAAGGTCGTGGGACCGTCGTTGCTGTTGACCTCCTTCCAATGAACCCGATCCCTGGTGTTCGGTCTCTCCAGAAAGATTTTCTCGATCCTAAAACAGACGCGGCGATTACGGACCTGTTGCATTCATCCATACCTGGGCTCAGACAACGGAAGATGGGTAAAGCATTGGTGGACGTTGTGCTCTCCGATATGGCCCCGAATATCTCTGGGAATGCTTTGCATGATTCGGAGGAATCGTATCGACTTTGTCTGGCGGTGCAAGCGTTTGCGGCGCGTCATTTGCGGACTGAGGAGCAGATTGGTAGACGGTACGGAGGCGTGTTGGTGTACGTGTTTTTTTTTGTTCTCGTTCATCCTTAATAAGCTCACGCGCTGCAGGCTGAAGCATTTTTCTTTCGATGCTATGAATGCGTTCCGGAAAGAGAAATTGGAACCCCATTTCAGCAATGTACAATATATCAAGCCCCCGGCGAGTAGGTCAGAGTCGTCTGAAAGCTACTTTGTCTGTCGCGGTTGGAACCCAGTCAGGGAAGTTCCTATGTACGGGATACTTCCTGAGAGACATTAGCGTTCACGACACTCGTTCTGAGCCATCGTCGCGGTCTGAGCCTGCATGATCCCACGTTGGACCCTGGAGCTATGCGGCGATGGATGCATCTACCAATCCGGACTTTACCCTTCACATTCACCGCTCGTACAATCTTTCACCCAGTCTAGCCCCGACTGATAGACGTGGCTGTTAGTCCGTTCGTCTATAAGATGGAGGTGACCCGCTCTCAATCCCGACGAAGAAGCACCCATTTCGTATTTCTATATTCATATCGCCTTGAATAACGAAATGACTTCTCACTCAGGGGTATGAGGAGTACGATATATGATTCCATGAGAGAAGCCAGTCAATATTTACCCGCTCCCGCACTGGCGCCGAATTCATGTCTCGAGCAAGGGCCTCAGCACCCTAGCTACTGCATCAAGAAAGCTTAAGCGGTAGCAACTGGCCTCGCTTCTTATGACGATATGAATATCGAGAGTGCAGTTGCTTCGCCGTATCACAATTATCATCAAGCTGTCTGTCAATGCACTTGGTTCTCTTCTCTTCTATCAGGCCACTGCAAGTCATTTACTGAGACAAGTGATTGTCCTTAATTCATTGCCGGTTGCGTAGGCATGAACTCCTTGCCATCCTTTCAGCAGCCAAGTTACAAACTTCGGCATTCAATCTACCTATCGGCGTCTAAGGTCTCGCGAATTTCATACACGCAAAGACCGGATCTGTAGGTGCTTCCGAGTCTGATGTCGACTAGACAATGTAGAAGATGCGTAGTACGTACACTCGTATCGTTGGTATGTTTTTCTTTCTTCCATACCCTGTTTTCGGGCTTTGTGTGTGCGTCTGTGAAACAGAATCGAGTAAATTTAGATCTTAAAACCGCCTGAGGAGTTTGGTTTTGAAATAAATTCTACGGCCGCACAATAGTAGTCCTCGTAAACTCCAGCGTCGGTGCCCGTGCGACTCAAGAGCGGACCGAACACGCCACGGGGGATAAACAGAGTCAAATAGAAGGGTCCTCAAACGACATCAGCTTAATTTTTGCCTCTGAACCACACTCACGCAATGGCTGCCCCCGTTCCCTTCCTCGATGGCATCGGTATTGCCAACCTTCCCAACCAGGTATTGCTGCTGCGTGAATTTTTGCTGGATCATTGTACTGACTGGTGGAAATAGAAACACAAGATCGTCGCCAAGCGCGGGGCGCATTTTACGATAATGGTTGTCGGTGCGTAGCATTGCCGTTTACTGTTCGGACTGTTGCTAACTGTGTAATTATTGCAGGTGAATCTGGACTTGGCAAGACCACCCTTATCAACACGCTCTTTTCGACCGAGCTTTCGCCTGCCAAAAACTACAACAAGCGTCACCACAAGCAGCTCGACAAGCTCACTGAGGTCGAGATCATCAAGGCTGAGCTGGAGGAGAAGCAGTTCAAGGTCAAGCTCACCGTCATTGACACTCCTGGCTTTGGAGACTATGTCAACAACCGCGACTCCTGGTCGCCGATCGTTGACTTTATCGACGACCAGCATGAAGCCTACATGCGCCAGGAGCAGCAGCCTCAGCGTCATGAAAAGACTGATCTGAGGGTACATGCCTGTCTGTACTTCATCCGACCCACTGGTCATACGTGCGTAGTCACTATTACGTGCACGCAGTGCTTTTGACTCTAACTTTGCACTTTTTTGGTAGTTTGAAGCCTCTGGATATCGAGATCATGAAGCGCCTCGGTACCCGCGTCAACCTGATCCCCGTTGTTGCAAAGGCGGATACATTGACGCAGAATGACTTGTTCCTGTTCAAGCAGCGCGTACGTTTTCTGCTGTGTTTCCTGCTGTAGACGGGCGCTTACGTCGGTCTAGATTCGGGAGGTCATTACCGCGCAAGGCATCCGCATCTATACTCCCCCTGTGGAGGCTGATGACGACAGTGCGGACCACGCACGTATTCTCACTGATGCTATTCCTTTCTCTATCATTGGCTCCACCGAGGATGTGAAAACTCCGGATGGTCGTATTGTCAAGGGTCGTGAATACCTTTGGGGTGTTGCCGAAGGTGAGTTTGTTTGCTGTTCGATTTCCTCGAGTGCCAGTTAGGCTTCTAGGGCGCCGAGATTCGTCGGCTTTCGTGGTGTGTGAATGCTTTACTAACTAATGATTTCTGTTATAGTTGAGAACGAGAACCACTGTGACTTCAAGAAGCTTCGGTCTCTGCTCATCCGAACGCATATGCTGGATCTTATCTCTACGACGGAAGATTCCCACTATGAGAACTACCGTCAACAACAGATGGAGACACGTAAATTCGGTGAACCCAAGGTGAAGAAGCTGGACAACCCCAAGTTCAAGGAAGAAGAAGAACAGTTACGCAAGAGGTTCACCGAGCAGGTTAAGGCCGAGGAGTCCCGTTTCAGGCAATGGGAACAACACGTTAGTTCTTCCTATCAAAATACCGGCCCTATAACTGATCCCATGATTCCTAGCTTATTGCCGAACGCGACCGTCTCAATAAGGATTTGGAGCTGGCTCATGGAGCCATCAAGCAACTGGAAGCCGAATTGGACAACCTCCAGGTCGGTTACGGACGGGGCACCAGCCGGAGATAGTGGCTGGATTCATCTTACATTCCTACGGCTCTTATTTTGTTACCATGTGTTCTCGCTGTCTCCTTCTTACTTATACCCCAAGAACGTTCATACGTACATTCCTTTTGAGCAGGTTGGAATACCAGGTCGCCAAAATTGCCCATCCTTTGTCGGACATAGTTTTTCGTACCGGAATATATTCAGGATCTTTTTTTGCTCTTCGGAGAATGGAATCTGTGCCCGAGAACGGACAAACTTACGTAAACACGGCGAAAATTCCTCTTTTAAGACCCTCATCATTGGAGCTTGGACCGTTGCTTCCTTCCTTGTGATACATGAATCGCCCTCCAACACAAGCACCATGAAGGCTACAATTGCTCGTTCTGCGCGTCTTGGGCGCAAGGGCCATATATTCGGTCAAGTTCTCAACGATTCTCCCTCCGTTCCAGACAAGGAGTTGGCAAAGCAAATGTCTCGACGCATTAAAAAGGCCGAGAAGGATGAGCGTATGGATATAACAATGGCACTGACGCCCGTGAAAACGTGTGTAGACTTGCCTGTTCCATCTGGTGCTTGATTTTTACCAAATTAATTAGCTATATGGGTGGTTTCACGAGGCCCAAAGAATTCCGAATGGGCAACTGGCTTAGCGGTGGACGCTACCTATCCAACTCGAAGATGTATGAGACTCCTCACCAGGCAGCATACGAGCCCCATACTGTCTTTCTCCTCGAATCTCGCTACCCTGTCAAATACGGAGTCGGCCGCACCGAATGTGTAGACCATATCGTTGCTTTCTGTCGAGCTGCCGATTTTGAGGCCGTCCTGAAACGCTACAACTCACCTCGAGCGCCTTCCGAAGCTCTAGAGTCGATGGACAATGCCCGCTGGCCTTGGACGCCGCAGAAGAAACTCAAGCGTGTTTTGTATCACCTCAATGACGAGCTGAAGGACAGCTTCGAGAACAGCGAGGACGATCTATTGCAGGAGCCTGTTGTTTCGCCCAACGCAGCTGCTGACCTTGCAACGTCCCCGACACCGCCTCGTCGGGAACGTCCTGAACGTCCAGAGGATAAACTGAAGCAGACGCAAGCAGTTGTTCAGCGGCATAGAGAGGCTGATCTTGGCACAGTCAGCACGGAGATGAAATCGAGGCAGGAAAAGGTCCCTTTCGAGGTCGAGCACACCGACGGTACCTTCCATCATCCAAGTGGTTTCCAGCCTCCAACGTCTGCGAATGGCTTTGCTCAGTCTCCTCTTCCTCCCCCCGACGCAGTCGATATGCGTCCCGTTCGTCAAGGATCCAATAATCCTGACGCCGCAGTGGATGCCGAGCAGTGGAAAGCTATTCGAGAGATGGAGGGTAAGGGCGGCGCACTCATGGCAGACTTGACAGCTAGCGCGATGGCTGGTGGACTCGTCGCACACACGGAACCACGGGACGAGAAAATACCTACAGAAGTCAGTGGTGTCGTCACACAGGGTTCTTCCCAGCCTCCACAGCACGCATCTGGATTCATACCTCCCACTCCTGCTATGGCTCGAGGAGAAACGGAGGCTTTGACACACACTGTCATATCTGACTGCGTCGGACAAGGATGCTGTTGAAAAACACCAAATTGCCGTCGCTACGCTAAGACGGCAGTACCAGAAGGTGATCAAAGAGGAGCCCTTCTGGCGTCCACTGCTTGCATTGACGTTCGCCACGCGCCCGATGGGGGCGTCTATTGTGCGTCTATCAAAGTCCTTGTCGCGTGGATTGCCCTTCCATGCTACGCTCGATAACCATGACAGAAAGTCGGCTGCGACGTTGGGCAACCGATTCCGTTGTCTCCGCCTGCAGAGAATGGAAGATCTTGCAGTTGAAATGTCGCAACTCCTTGCTGGTGCAAGGGGTGGATTGGTTGGGATACGGTTCAGCCCGGAGGAGAGAGGGCGGGGTCTCAACGGTGAAGGTCTGGATGCTCCGATACCTTGGGAAAAGAGGGTTATTGGTGTTGGTATCGGTTCGTGGTATGAGCGCGCTGAGGAGCTGAAAGAAACATACCGTATCGAAGGAGAGGAGGAAGTGAAGCAAAAGTACCTTCCCGAGGACAAAAACGACACATTCTTGGTCTATGACATCGACGAGAAGGGCCGAACGGATAGAAAGGACCTGCCTTGGCAAGTACAAATCGATTCCGACGCATTAAAGATTCCCGGAGAGCTCCAGGATGTCCTAGATGAGATCGACGAGCTCGAGAACGCTTTGGACGAGGAGCGCGATCTTATTGCGGATCCTATACATGTGTTGGTTCCTGCGAGAGAGGAAGTGAGGGATGCGCAGGGGTATCTCGTGGAATCCCATGATGTCGCTCCGGTGGTTTTGGTGAAGAGTGCTAGTCGAGAGACGCCGCCGGGATTCCATCTCTTGTATGGTGGTCAGGCGAGAAAGCATATGAAGGATAGGATCGAGTACCTGAACAAGCTTCATAAAGGAGAGCTGGCTAGGCATTTTGCGAGTAGACTGAACCAAGTTGTGTACCCGTAGAGCAGATCTTAGACCCCCTACTTACTTGAATATTCATTGTAATATAACAATATTTTACAGCCAGGTTTGCGAAGCACAACAAAAGAAACCTGAAAAGGCCGTCTGTAAAATGGTGTGAAAACCCCTTCCCCCCTATAGAACAATGGGACTAAGATAATGTTTTATTGAACAGCACTCCAAACGCAGGCGTAAAAACTGACGCTGAAATCGAAACCTTCTAAAATCCCGTTTTACGCCATCAAAAACGCACCAGCCACTGCAGTGAAGCCGCAATGCCTCCCTCTTGTTCCTCCCACGTCCGTTTGTTTGTTCAGACGTTCCTCATAGTGAATCCTCCGTTTTCTCGAAGTCTATAGCTATATTAGGCACGTTAAAATGCCCGTCGCTCGTGAATCTTGTGCTTCCAAGGTACAATGGGTATATATTCCCAAATATGCGTCGTGCTAACGCACGAGGTCATTCCGTGCGCATTGTATCCACTAGTAATAAAGCCCATTCTCCGGCTCCTGGGGTATGCGCAACGTTAGCGTTTTTCGAGTCGCAAGTGCGGCTGGTTCTCGTCAGGGCTAACATGATGAACGGATATTCGATTCCGCTTGAATTTCCGAGTCTGAACGTGTTTGGGCGAAGCATTCAGACACTTCGAAGTCATCCGTATACAGCTCTTCTGCAGGTCGACGTATCCCTCTCTGCTCGAGAATGAGTAGCATGACGCGGCTGCTCAGGATGGAATGGAGGATGCGCTGAAAATAACCGAGGAAGGGCGTGAGGGCATAGGTCCACATGGGAATAAGGATATTGGCGAGAGAAATGAGGAAGAGGCACACATAAAAGAGCATTCCAGAGGCATAAAGCTCTGTGACAAAAGGATGAGACGAACGGCGGAGGTGCTGTACGCCCTTGAAGAGTGTAAGCGACGCAATGATCGTCTCTGAAACGAGCACTGGGATGTAGAGCAACTTTGACAAGCTTGGAGAGACATGAAAACAGCCAGGATTGTTGGACGACTGTGCGGCTGTAAGGTATTGAACTCTCTGCTTGTTTTGAAAGCGCAGATGACAAGTAACTCACATTGAAGGTCCTTGAGTTCTATAGCAAGGCCGACTACCCCCGGTGTAAAACAGAAGACCCCAGTCCCAATAAAACACCAGAATACCGCTCGGTGTCTATCCCATATTGCATACGTGCGGATCATGAGGATCACCTGCGATGTGAAAATCCCGAAGGCTACGAGTGGGCCTGTAATGAAGGAATACAGGCCGCAGTGCATCGAGCTGCTCCTGTGCAGGAGCCAGTTAATGTTCAACGTCATGTCCACCAAGGGTAAGTAGCGGTTCAATGCGAACAGCAATAGGAGTGGGTGTACAGGTCGTGGAAGCCAAATATAATCAATCTCAGTAGGGAGGAGGAGGATCAGATCATAGAGGAGCACAGTCGCGCCCGCAGTGAAAGAGATGGATGAAAGACTCAAGAATGCCTATACGTGGAAAGTTAAAAAAAAGGTGACTGAATACAACAGATGAGGGAAATAGGACGAAGAATAACTCACAGATGACATCCTCATATCGAAATAGTTGAGAACAAAATTCCGCTGGTCACCGCCTATTCTCAAGTCTACTTCATTGTGCGCAGAGGAGAAAAAGGGACTATTAAAGAGAGACCGCGAAAAGCGTGCGGTCTCATGTCGGTCCTTTTAGCGCTTGTGGCCCTGAGATGGTTCACAGACGACGGTCTAGTGCTGTAACCTCACCGATAGCAGTTCTTGAGTACCGGGTGGTAACATTTACGTCAAGCAAGATAGAATTGAAACCATTCGGAGATAAACGTGTTTTACGGCCACCATATTTCCTATGCCGGGAATGCCGAAGCCTCTAGAACAGGTCAGAACGCGCTCACCCCGAAGTAGTCACCGCGTTCTCACTGTGCCTATCTCTATATCTGTTTGCAAGATTTCAGTGAGCAGTAAGCATTAGTTCAAGCGGCTTACTTAGACATACAACAAAGATAATAATATGCGACAGTTACCGCCAAAGTGGAAATTAGTAAGGAGGGTGATGAGTGGAAATTATTGCTGTCTAGATAGGATTCGCAGTGTTAGGATGTTTGTGGATCAACCAAATAAGAGGACTTACAACCAAAAGCAGCATCCCACTACCACCACCAGAGCAGACACAGAGACAAGAAGTTAACGAAGTAATGATACTTGCCAGACCTCTGGTACCTTCCCAGTGCCCGCAGCAACGCCCAACCGTCACAAGGATATTCTCTCCGTGACCTGACCATAGAACAATGGACCACATGCTTCGCAAATATGCCAGGACTGTGTAGCGTAGAACCCATCAATGAGCAAGGAGATCACCCGTCGCACCATGCCAACATTGCAACAAGCCTCGCCCTTCGACGAAGATTTGTGAGATGGTCGAAAGAAAAGTAATAATGCCGAGGAGCCTCAAGGGACTTTGTTCGTTCGGCAAAACGTCATCGAAACACAACGTGACCTGTCTTTACCCTCCAACTCGCCTCTCGCACCAGCCCCGCTATAATGATCATGGAGATAATATATATAGAGGGAATTTCCTTCACTTCGACATTCTTGTCCAATGGTTCACCTCGACCCTCGCCTAAATCCTGAATCAGATTGGTTGGGTTGGTCACATCACCTGTATCTCCGTTCGAACCTTCGATATCGGAGATGGTACTCTTTGGAGGTTGGTTTTTGCCGCGTCTATTGGTCTCCTCAGGGTGGGCAGGCGACAGCTTCCTCTTCTTAGACAGCTTTGGAGGACCGCTTCTCCCGGTGACTATGAGCATAGCCAACGCGAAATTTCCTCAGAAACCATGCTAAAGGCCAAAATCTTCAGTAGTATCGTCCGTGCGGCGTCCCGTCAACAAGGGTCACGGCATAAGATTGTAGATGGTAGTAAGCCTTGTGGTTTCAGATGCATTTGGCGTGAAGGAAAGTTTCGAAGCGTTGTCCAAGTTGACTCTCTTGTATCCGTCCGTTACGTTGCATGCGATCATTAATTTCGGGACATCCGTATCGTAATTATAGCTGTACATAAGAGCATCCGTGCGAGGGCTAACCAATTGCCATACCATTCATGCTGGCTGCACAGAAGTCGCATGAGATTAATTGCCTGATCTGAGGGAAAGTATCACCTTCGCGTCTAGCATGTCTTGAGCATGTCCCGTGTTGAGTCATTTCCGTCAGCAGGAAGGGGCGCGATGGGCTCCTTGCTTTCGCCTCCTTTGGTACCCTCAAGTCGCACAGAAGATTCCGCATTTGTGTTGGTCTGCGTTTCTCGAAGCTCGATATTCAATCCACCATGTAACAAATCGAAAGACTCATATGAGTGAAGAGTTGAATCTTCCCTCCCTCCACGAATTCGCGTAGTCATACGACTGTTGCAAACAGCAAGGATGGTATTCGAATAAACCTTTACCAAGCAGATTGCCGGGACAGTGTGGTAGTTGTTATTAGGATATGCGAGAAAGAGTGCGATGTCAATGACAGCGAGTGTAGCTGCAAAGGCGACAAATAAGCCAATTGATCCAGATTTGTGGTATATGATTGACCTGTTGCTGTCCCCGTTTCAATGGTTAGTCGTATCAGCCTGGAAATAAGTACACGAGTAGATTTGAGGCCGGTATGAGCTTGACTTAACTATAGGCAACAATGATCAGTCGAGACCTAAATGCTATTCCCATACTTCACTTACAAGATAAGTCATACATATAGCAATGGCAGCATCGCACAAAACGCTCCCACCCAACCATATCTGCGAATCGTCAATGGTTAAAGGGGGGACACAACAACGACCCTGCTCACCATTGTAGCCACTTTGATCGTCAAATCTGTCTGAAGGTCTGAGTAGTGGTCATGACTCTCTGCTGTAATGCCACAACCAATAGCACCCGCAAATTGAATAAAAGCGATCTTTGATGAGGATCGAGATTTGGTTCATTAGAGAGCGGCGACCATACATTTACGAACAAAGCTTACCATTGACAGAGTAAGACTTATCCATCGCGTCTTCTTACTGAATTTATACATTCGCCAGGCATAAAATAATTGACAGACACAACCAACTGCGACTGTTTCAGTAACTCAAAGCGTAATCCAGCGTAAAGAAAAGTGCGCACCAAATCCAGAGAGAATGGGAACGTTGAACCATGTGAGATGTACATCGTCAAGCTCGGAAAGGTTCCCAAAATCGTAACAGAAGATATCGAAGATATCAGAGATATTGATAACAGTCTGAACAGTCTCGACAAGCCAGAGAACATATACAATGCTCTTTGTCACCAGACGGTCCTTTGGAAAGGAGATATAGTATATGTCTAAAAGAACAGTCAAGAACATGCGTACGATGATAGGGATATGTCCACTAACAGACTTGATCACACAGAACGCCATATAATGCGAGATTCAGAAAGGTGCCGATTAACTGCATGAAAGATGAGCGACCACCGCTTTTCCTGTATCAAGGATTGAATGCGTACCAAAGGACCTGTTCTGAGGTATTGGAGTCAGGACAGACCAGCCTGCAAACGTGAAAGCGTTACCGACATCTTATATAAATCTGGGGGTGCTGTACCAGCCCCGTTCGCCAGAGTACTAGGTAACGCACTGGCAGGCATTGGGGAGTACAGAGGTGGGAAATTCCTGCCGTTCTACGTTTAAGTAGCTCCAAAGTGTCGACGCTCGAAATGCGGCGGACGTTGAGTGGGAGCATGTGGGGCTTAGACTAGGAAAATTCTGCCCAGATTCCACTTCCATGATGACCCTAGATCAATCAAATAGGCGAGCTATCGTACAGCATTGAACACTCCAGACAGTGAGCCTCCTCTGGGTATTATTCAAGTACAGCCATTAATAAATCACAGAAGTAAATCAATACACTCGCCTTTGACAGACACGGACTCAGAGGAAATCGATGAGGGTGGTCGACATCAGACGGTCCGATGTCGAAACTATAAATTGGTTGACTCCGCTAGTACAAACTCAGGTAAACAACCCTCATCGCTGCGGTTACGTAAGCTCCCGAAAAGGCAATCATTGAACCTGGACTTCAGCTGCAGACGCGTCGCGTAGGCCGGATAGGAACGAAGTCACGGGTGCTTCTATTAATTTCCATGCTTTTTGTGTCCTCTAGCACACAGTGCGCTATTCCAAAGGTATCGCTCCGTTTGTGATTCTTTCATTTAATATATTGAGCTCTGACAAGTTCATGTGTTGCGCGGCATTTCTATTCCTTCTCCTAGATATAAGCCACGATACTCGTCATGTATACAATTGTAGTCAGCGGCCCGTCTGTTGGAAGCGGCGATTACAATCTTCTGACTGAAAAGGCCCCTACGGGATTTGAGTGAGGTACCTTATCACGTCTGTCCAGGGCCAGTTTTCTGATCGTCCATTTCTGAACTCGTTTGGCGTACTGCGACCACTAACATGAGAAAACTACACTAGCGACGGTCGTCCAGGGCAATGCACCTGTCGACGGCGACCTTCTGTATTCAATTGTATGAATGTATTCCAGCACCTGAATCGGCTGCCATTCAGGTGCAAAACGTGTCCACGGTCGGCTGTATTCTTCCATCAGTCCGGGATGCTGTTCCCTATGCTGGCATATTCTTCACGTCATTTCCAGGTCCGCCGGGAGAAAAATCTCGTTAGATTGAGCTGGTATCTTATAATGATTTTTAGTGCATTTGCATGTAGTTTACAGCGTGGTATGAGATAATTCAACATCACCCGTGGACGGCTCTTCATCAGGATAGCGTCAACGCATCTCTCTCTGCTTGAGAATAAGCAACATGATGCGGCTGCTCAGGATGGAGTGAAGGATAAGCTGAACATAACTAAGGAAGGGTGCGAGGCTGTCAGCCCACATGGGGACAAGGATATTTGCAACGGTCATGAGGAGGAGACACACGTAAAAGAACATCCCTGAGACATAAAACTCGATGAGAAAAGGATGGGAAGAACGGCGGAGGTGTTGCACGCCCTTGAAGAGTGTGAGCGAAGCAATGATCGTCTCTGAAACGAGTACAGGGATATAGAACGTCTCGGCCATGTTTGAAGAGACGTTGAAGCAGCCAGGATAGTTGGACGACGGTTCGATGACTACAAATTAAGCCCTAAGCCCTCTGCTAGCTTCGAAAGCACGAATGACAAAAGACTTACATCGAATTGTCTTGAGTTCTATAACAATGCAAACTAACTCCGGTATAAAACAGAAGACACCAGTCCCAATAAAACACCAGAATACCGCTCTGTGTCGATCCCATATTGCATACGTGCGGATCATGAGAATCACCTGCGACGTCAAAATCCCAATGACCATGAGCGGGCTCATGATGGACGCAAACTGGTGACACTGGGTCGGAGTGGGCTTGTGCAGGAGCCAGTTGATGGTCACCGCCATATCGATCAAGGGTAAGTAGCGATTCAATGCGAACAGCAATAAGAGTGGATGTACGGGCCGGGAAAGCCATACATAATCGATTTCAGTGGGGAGGAGGAGGAGCAGGTCATAAAAGAGCACAGTCGTGCATGCGGTGAAGGAGTAGGACGTGAAGGATGCCTGTAAGGAGGGAAATCAAAAAAAGTGATTGAATACAGCGGATGAGGAAAATAGGACGAAACATGACTTACTGTCAAGGGCATCCTAGCGCTAGAAACACTTGAAGTCCCGCTGGTCACCGCCTATCCTCAGTTCTTATTCAATGTGTACGAATGAGAGGAGAACATGAAGGAGAGGGAGAGAGAAGATTATGTGGTCTCAAGCGGGGTGCCGGTCCTTTTAGTGCCATGGGCCTGAGATGGTTTACAGGCGACGGCCCGAACTATGCTGTAAAGTCGAGGTCAGCATTTCTTAGCTACTGCTGTGGCGACCAAGCAAAACAGAAACAGAAACGTTCGGAAACAGACGTGTTTTCTGATCACAGTTCACGTCTTCTACTCCGGAAATGCCGAACCATTTTTGTTGTAGTCAAAATGTAAGACCGAGTTTTGTTGCTCATCGCGAAGTACTTCCTGTCGGTGCCCGCTGCTAGGATCCCAAAACTAGGAATGTTCACTTCATGAGACCAACATTTCAGTCCTGAGAAGCAGTAAACATCAGTTCCCCTAGCCCCCTTATACATAAAACGAAGACACTAACATGCGACGAGCTAGCCCATTCTGGAAAAAAGTGAAAAAGCGATGAACGGAAACTGCCGACCCTAGATGATTCGGAGCGTTAGTATGTTTGTAGATCAATCAACTCGGAGGACTAATGACCAAGAACAGAGCAGGCGCAGAGACAAGAAGCCAACGAGGTAATGATACTTGCGGGTTCCCGAGTTTTTCCGTGCCCGCAGCAACATCCAGTGATGTGGGGGTATCCTCTCCGAGTTCATGATGACTATGGAACGACAGACCCGGGACGACATGCTTTGCAAACGTACTTTGGCTGCGTAGCGCGGTAGAAACCACTGATGCACAAGATTACTTGTCACACCATGCCACCATTATACAAGCTTCTTTCGCCCTTAAACTCTACGTAAATTTGCCGGAGCCAAAGGTAGTGGACGAACGTTCCGTATATGAAGGGATCAAGGATATCCTGAGTGTACTGTCGGTTTTATACATAAAACGGAGATACTAGCATGCGACAAGTTAGAGAATATCCGATGACCTTGATTTGGTTTATATATTATTAATAAGGATGAACGAGGATGAAAAAAACCACGTACACCGACACGCCGCCGTACCGTCGACCAATCTGCTCCTCAGTTCGCATATAGCGCGCCGCAAATGCTTGCACCGCCAGACAAGGCCGATATCATTTCTCACAGTCATGCAAAGCGTTCTCAGAAATATTCAGGGCCACACCGAGAGCACGACATCCACCAACGCTTTATCCATCTTCCGCCGTCTTAACCCAGGTATGGACGAATGCAAGAGGTCCGTGATGGCTGCGTCCGTTTTAGGGTCGAGAAAGTCCTTCTGGAGAGACCGAACGCCAGGAATGGGGTTCATTGGAAGGAGGTCAACTGCAACGATGGCACCACGACCTTTGCTTTCACTACGAGCAATCTCCTCTTCCATTCTGTCGATATTGAGGGGTCGTAGTCACTACCAGGACGCGGCAATTCTACGGGTCTTCGTTTGGATCGTACCCGGGGAAGGGTGGACGGTAATGGCTCACTGTCCTCCTCGGATCCGTACCCTAAACGCTACAATACTACCTGGATCCACCCTCCAGGTGCCGCACCGAGGTTGACGACGATGTTCACATCATCGTTCGTCGAGGAAATTAAGCTGGCTGTTGAGTTCGAGGAGTTTGAATGCAGAACGGGACTTGTACGCTGAAGATGCCCGTTGCTTGACGTAGTGGTCACGATGCTGGTGAGCTATCCATTGTGTGGATGATTTTTTGGATAGAGCGACGAGGGAGGGAAAGAGAGAAGGACACTTTTGTTTGCGCAATAAACAACGTGTGCTTGCGGTTTGTTTTCGCTTGGATACATACCACCACTTAAGTGACCGATTCTGAACAGGTGACGGCGCCCAGAACGAAGAGTTATTTGTTATACTAGACCCAGAATATGGACACCTTGAACCGTTGAACTGTTCCTTATTGAATGTAGCATCAGCAAATTTTCTTGACTGTTGTCCGGATACTGTTCCCTATGCTGGCATATTCTTCACGTTGTTTCCAGGTTCGTCAGGAGAAGACATCTCGTTAGAATGAGCTAGTATCTTTTAATGATTTTTAGTGCATTTGCATGTAGTTTACAGCGTGGTATGAGATAGTTCAACATCACCCGTGTACGGCTCTTCATCAAGATAGCGTCGATGTTTTCGTCTCTGCTTGACAATGAGCAGCATGATGCGGCTGCTCAGGATGGAATGAAGGATGCGCAGAAAATAAGTAAGGAAGGGTGTGATGCCGTCGGTCCACACGGGGACAAGGATATTTGCAACGGTCATGAGGAGGAGGCACACATAGAAGAACATCCCAGAGACATAAAACTCGATGAGAAAAGGATGAGAAGAATGGCGGAGGTGTTGTACGCCTTTAAAGAGCGTGAGCGAAGCAATGATGGTCTCTGAAACGAGTACAGGGATATAGAACGTCTCGGCCATGTTTGAAGAGATGTTTAAGCAGTCAGGGTAGTTGGACGACGGTTCGATGACTACGAATTAAGCCCTAAGCTCTCTGCTAGCTTCGAAAGCACGAATGACAAGCAACCTACATCGCATCGTCTTGAGCTGTATAACAAGGCAAACTACCTCCGGTATAAAACAGAATACTCCAGTCCCAATAAAACACCAGAATACTGCTCTGTGTCGGTCCCATATTGCATACGTGCGGATCATGAGAATCACTTGCGATGTGAAAACCCCAGCGACCGCAAGCGGGCCCGTGATGAAGAAAAACTGGCAACACAGAGTTCCAGAAGGCTGGTGTGAGAGCCAGTGGATAGTGAACGCCATATCGACCAAGGGCAAGTAGCGGTTCAATGCGAACAGCAGCAGGAGAGGATGTCTGGGCCGGGGAAGCCATACATAATCAATTTCGGTCGGGAGGAGGAGGATCAGGTCATAGAGGATCACAGTCGCGCATGCGGTGAAGGAGTAGGACGCGAAGGATGCCTGTAAGGAGGGAAGTCAGAAAAAGTGACTGGATACAGCGGATGAGGGAAATAGGACGAAGCAGGACTCACCGTTAAAGACATTCTGCTGCCAGAAATGCTTGAAGTCCCGCTAGTCGCTGCCGATTCTCAGTTCTCGTTCAACGCATACAAATAAGAAGAGAACATGAAGGAGAAGAGAAGATTATATGGGCTCAAGTGGGTACCGGTCTTTTTAGTGCCGTGGGACCCTGATATGATTTACAGACGACGGCCCGAACTATGCTGTAAAGTCGAGCTCAGCATTTCTTAGCTACTGCGCGACGACCAAGCAAAACGGAATCAGATCGTTCGGAGACAGACGTGTTTTCTGATCATAGTTCAAGTCTTCTACTCTGGAAACGCCGAGCCATTTTTGTTGTAGTTGAGATACGAGACCAATTTTGTCACTTACCACGGAGTACTTCCTGTCGGTGCTCGGTGCTAGCACTCCAAAACGAGGAATGTTCATTTTTGTATGTGTTTGCAATGTTTCAGTCCTGAGCATTGAGCAGTAAACATTTGTTCCCCTTAGACCACTTATATATAAAACGGAGATACTACCATGCAACAAGCTAGAGAATATTCGATACTCGCTCCGAGGCCTTGATTTGGTTTATTATTAATAAGGATGAACGAGTATGAAAAAAACCACGTACACCGACACGCCGCTGTACCGTCTACCAATCTGCCCCTCAGTTCGCAAATGACGCGCAGCAAATGCTTGCACCGCCAGACAACGCCGATATCATTTCTCAGAGTCATGCAAAGCATTACCAGAGATATTCGGCGCCATATCCGAAAGTACGACGTCCACCAATGCTTTACCCATTTTCCACTGTCTGAGCCCAGGTATGGACGAATGCAAGAGGTCCGTAATCGCCACGTCCGTTTTAGGGTCAAGAAAGTCCTTCTGGAGAGACCGAACGCCAGGAATGGGGTTCATTGGAAGGAGGTCAACTGCAACGATGGCACCACGACCTTTGCTTTCACTACGAGCAATCTCCTCTTCCATTCTATCGATATTGAGGGGGTCATAGTCGCTACCAGGACGCGACGATTCTACGGGTCTTCGTTTGGATCGCACCCGGGGAAGGGTGGACGGTAATGGCTCGCTGTCCTCCTCGGACCCGTACCCCAAACGCCCGCCACGATATGACCTGGCTCCACCCTCCAGGCGCCGCACCGAGGTCGACGACGACATTCACATCCTCGTGGTCGAGGAAATTGAGCTGGATGTCGAGTTCGAGGAGTTTGAATGCAAGATGGGATGCTGAAAATTCTCGTTGTTTGACGTAGCAATCACGACGCTGGCGAGCTGTCCTTTGTGTATGGAGAAGGTGGCGAGGGTCGGACGGAAGGACATGCAAGACGGCCGGAAAAGGGCTTTTTGTTTGTGCGGTAAACAACGCGTGCTTATGGTTTGTTTTAGCTTGGACATATACCACCAAGTGATCGATTCCGAACAGGCGACGACTACTAGAAAGGAGAGTTATTTGTTGTATGCTAGACCTAGGACATTTGAAGTAATATGTTTTGTTTTACTGGTGGAATGTCTACTGCCAGTGAACATCGCACTAGTTCGGGGTCGCTTCCTTCACGATACGCGCCATTTTGATAAGATCTGAACTCGCAGGTGAAAACCTGTCTCTCCATTGGCGATGAGGATAGGGCTATATGCTGCTTAGAGCTTGATACTGGACTGGTGAGTCAAAGTCATAGGCTGTCTTCAAGTATTACTGATCAGCTACTCTTCGATCTCCCTCCCGCCCAAAGCATTATATTGCGTCTAGTGCATAATTGCAAGATCTCCCAACTTTTCCTCTCAATGGGTGTCGCATTGGGAATAGCGGTATCATTCCTGTGTTTAACGATCCAGCAAGCTCTGTCTCCGCAAAACCGGCGTTATCATCTTCTTCGCTGCTGTCTAGACATACCAGTCAGGCAGTGAGCCTCCCCTGGGAAAGCGCAGTCTTTGTCAATTCACAGAATTAAACCAGTATACTCGCCTTTGACGGACTCATGGGAGAACCGATGAGGGTGGTGGTTGACAGACACTGAACCTGGACTTCATCTCAGATGCGTGGCGCAAGCTTGGTATCCGAGGGACGAAGTCGAGTGCTTCTACTGGTTTCCATCTTCTTTGTATCCGTCGGTACATGATGTGCTAAGCCAAATTTAAAGGTGTCGTTTGTTTTCGATTTTTTCATTTATACTGAGCCCTGACAATGAACAAGTTCATCTGTTGCCCAGCATTTTTTTTTCCTTCTCCTAGATATAAGCCACGATACTCATCATAGGTGCAATTATAGTGGGCGGCTTGCCGCCTGGAAGCGGTGATCAAAATCCGCTGAATAGACTTGCTCGAGGGGATTTGAGTCAGGTACCGTGTTACGTCTCTCTAGGACTAGTTTTCTGATCGTTCAATGTCTAGAATTCATTTGACCTACCATGAATGCCACCATGAGAAAAAAAAACTGGCGACGGTAGTCCCTGACAATATACTTACCTGTCGACGGGGATCTCCTGCATTCAATTGTGTGAATTTATTCCTGCACTCTCCCGGTCTTATTTTTGATGAAGTCCGATTCATCGGACCGTAGGACGCTGTTTTTCCAATCATTATTGGCGGTACCTGAATCGGTTGCTATCCAGGCGCAAAGCGTTTCTACCATCGGTTGGAGTTCATCGGTCCAGAATGCTGTTCCCTATGCTAGCATATTCTTCACGTCGTTTCCAGGACCGTCAAGAGCAAAGATCTCGTTGAACTGACAACTACTAGCCTTTCTACAGCATTCGTATCTGTTAATGATTTTCAGCGCATTTTGATGTAGTTTACTGTGTGGTATGAGATAGTTCAATATCACCCGTATATAGCTCTTCTGTAGGATAGCTTCGACGTATCTGTCTCTGCTTAAGAATGAGCAGCATGATGCGGCTGCTCAGGATGGAATGAAGGATAAGCTGAAAATAACTAAGGAAGGGTGCGATGCTGTTGGCCCACATGGGGACAAGGATATTTGCAAGGGTTATGAGGAGGAGACACACGTAGAAGAACATCCCTGAGACATACAACTCGATGAGAAAAGGATGGGAAGAACGGCGGAGGTGCTGTATGCCTTTGAAGAGTGTGAGCGAAGCAATGGTCGTCTCTGAAACGACTATAGGGATATAGAAAGCTTTGGCCAAGTTTGAAGAGACGTTCAAGCAACCAGGATGGTTGGACGACGATTCAATGGCTACGAGTTATTAGAAGGTTCTGAGATCTCTGCTAGCGTCGAAAACACGGATGATAAGCAACCCACCTCGAATCGTCTTGAGTTCTATAGCAAGGCAAACTAACTCTGGTATAAAACAGAAGACACCAGTCCCAATAAAACACCAGAATACCGCTCGGTGTCGGTCCCATATTGCATACGTGCGGATCATGAGGATCACTTGCGACGTCAAAGTCCCAATGACCGTGAGCGGGGCCATGATGAACACAAACCGGTGACACTGGGTCGGAGTGGGCTTGTGCAGGAGCCAGTTGATGGTCACCGCCATATTGACCAAGGGTAAGTAGCGGTTCAGTGCGAACAGCAATAGGAGCGGATGTATGGGTCGGGGAAGCCATACATAATCAATTTCAGTAGGAAGGAAGAGGAGCAGGTCATAGAGGATCACAGTCGCGCATGCGGTAAAGGAATAGGACGTGAAGGATGCCTGTAAGGAGGGAAATCAAAAAGTGATTGAATACAGCGGATGAGGAAGATAGGACGAAACATGACTTACCGTCAAGGGCATCCTGCCGCTAGAAACACTTGAAGTCCCGCTGGTCACCGCCTATTCTCAGTTCTTATTCAATGTGTACGAATGAGAGGAGAACATGAAGGAGAGGGAGAGAGAAGATTATGTGGTCTCAAGCGGGGTGCCGGTCCTTTTAGTGCCGTGGCCCTGAGATGGTTTACAGACGACGGTCCGAATCATGCTGTAAACTCGACGTCAGCATTTCCTGGCTACCGGACGGCGATCAAGTAAAATAGAGTCGGAATAGTTCGGAAACAAATGTGTTTCATGATCACAGCTCAAGTCTTCTACACTGGGAACGAGGCATTTTTGTTGTAGTCAAAATGTGAGACCGAGTTTTGTTGCTCACCGCGAAGTACTTCCTGTCGGTGCCCGCTGCTAGCATTCCAAAACTAGGAACGTTCACTTCATGAGACCAACGTTTCAGTCCTGAGAAGCAGTGAACATCAGTTCCCCTTAACCCCCTTATACATAAAACGAAGACACTAACATGCAACGAGCTAGCCCATTCTGGAAAAAAGTGATGAACGGAAACCGCCGACACCCTGGATGATTCGGAGCGTTAGTATGTTTGTAGATCAATCAACTCGGAGGACTAATGAACAAGTTAACAGAGCAGGCGCAGAGACAAGAAGCCAACAAGGTAATGATACTTGCTAGATCCCGAGTTTCTCCGTGCCCGCAGCAATATCCAGTGATGTGGGGGTATCCTCTCCGAGTTCCTGACGACCATGGAACGACGGACCTGGGACGACATGCTTTTCAAACGTACTTTGGCTGCGTAGCGCGGTAGAAACCACCAATGCACAAGAAGATCACTTGTCACACCATGCCACCATTATACAAGCTTCTTTCGTCCTTAAACAGTTCTACGTAAATTTGTCGGAGCCAAAAGTAGTGGACGAACGTTCCGTATATGAAGGGATCAAGGATATCCTGAGTGTACTGTCGGTTTTGACAAGCTCAGCTAGCATGGCGGAGAGTAAGCCTAATCGGCCCGGAAGCAGATTCGAGCCTGTACTTGTTGAACTGACCACCTACCACGACCACAACAATTACTTACTACGACTTATCACAGGCTAATTCAAGGTAAGAAAAGGCATATTTCGTTTATTTCAATATTTATATATGTTTGAAGTGCAGTCATGCATCCGGTAGCCCAAAAGTCCAAGATTCTGCCCATCCCACTGCCTACCAACACGTATAAGCCCTCCCGTGAGGCAGCAGAATGCGTCATCCCCTGGCTACAACAACACGACGCCACCACAACGCTAGTCAACGTCCCGTCTATGTAGACGGGCCCCATCCCCACCCAGATCCAACCAGCGCTTGCCGCTTCACCCATTGGCATCGGTGTCAATCGCGCATACAACCTATGTGCATACCGACAACATTGACCTTTCCTAGGATCCGATACCAGGACTCACTATTTCATGGCGGATCATAGAGCACAAAGCCAGTTCTTGGGATATGGAGATGTATGCACGCTCGGAAACCCAACGGAGAGCTCGACAATGATAATGGCGGCAGTGACGGCGGCATGTGTATGAGCTAAGGAGGCTTGTTTGAGAAGAGGGGGGTGTATGAAGGTAGTGTCAGAGCCTTGGAGGGTTCACGAAAGGCTGGTGGGGCGAGAAAAGGCAGGAAAGTGCGAGCGGGAAGGCGGGGACAGGGCGTTGAAAAAGACCAGGGCGAGAATCGGCAATTGGGTAGCCATTTCCGGGGCTGGCCAGTGGCGGTAGACTGGGTGATCTGGGTATGTAAACTACATTCAATACAATTACTTTAGTGCATATTTAAACAGACATCCTTAGCCAACAGGCAACAGCAGACATATACGGTTACAGCAACCTAGTTGCCGCCATCATTTTCACCATCGCCTACGTGCACGTAGTGTTATCTATCTTCTGCGCAAGTAATATGTTCTGTTTTACTAATGGAATGTCTACTGAACATCGCACCAGTTCGTGTCGCTGCATTCACGATACGCGCCATTTTGATAGGATCTGAACTGGCAGGTGAGAACCTCGGTCTCTTCATTGGTGATGAGGTTTTGTTCGGGATAGGGTTGTACGCTGATTAGACCTTGATACTGGACTGGTGAGTCGAATTCATAGGCTGTCGCTGAGCATTACTGATTAGCTACTCTCCGATCTCCCTCCTGCCAAAAGCATTATATCGTGCCTAGTGTGTAATTGCAGGATCTTCCGACTTTTCCTCTTAGTGAGCGTCGCACTGAGAATAGCGGAGTCGAATGATCCAGCAAGCTCTGTCCCGCAAAGCTAGCGTTATCATCTTCTTGGTCCTCACCGTTGTCCAGATGGTGGAGAGAGATGGATGACGGTCAGTGCATTCTTTGCCGGACTATCTGCCCGACTTGACTGACCCGATCTTGTTTTTAGATTGCTGCTAAAGAAGCATGGATCATTCTTTCTTTGTGTCATCTCGATCTTACTCCTCATGCGTGAAGCTTTCTTGAAGGCTACGATAACCTTAGATTACGCCAAAGACGATTCAACCCTAATTCGTCGTTCCCAGAAAGTACTAGACACGAATGAAAAATCTCAATGATATCGTCCGTGTCTTTAATGACGCTGTCAATGTGCGCACATTCTCCTTTGCCTACGACTCAATTCGTGGGTAGTTAACAAATGTATCTGCTCGTCTATGGGGCATCTTTTTTAACTGTAAATTATACTACCTCGGCCTCAGGCTTGAGAGCGCACATATAATCTGATTCTTTAGTTGGTCAGTTATGTTTTAACGAGTCAGCAGTGGTTCAATAGAATGACCACGGTAGACCTCGTATGCTTGGAGGGTCGGAGGGAACTCTCCCAAAACTGCTCCTAGGCTATCCGCCGATGATCTACTCAGGCTGCGATGCAAACCTAATGGTTATTCCTGCCAGCGGCTGGTCTTTACAAGACTTGTTACGGGACGGACAGGTTCACCGAGGGCAGTCAATGTGTTTTCTTATTGAGAGCAATGCCTCGCAGAGGGACTCAGACTCTCAGTCAAGCCAAAGAGAAGACCTGATCCAGCGGTTTAAGGAAGCATTATATATGAAGGGAAAGTTTCTTGGGTATCGTCCAAGTCCACTGAGACCGGTCTCTTGCTGTTGTATCCGACGGTTGATGTCGCGTCATCCGCATTTTAATTATAGTTGTACATAGAATCGTCCATGCGAGTGCTAATCAATGCATATCGAAGGCCAGAACATTCATATTGGCTACATAGAACATGCATGAGATCATCTGCTTGACCTGAGGGAGAGGATCACCTTTGCGTCCAGCACGTCCACTGTTGGGCCATTACCGTCGGCAGGTAGAAGCCCGGATAGCCTTCTTGTTGCGTTCACCTCCTTCGCGACACTCCAATCGCAGAGAAGATTCCACATCTGTGTTGGTCTGTGTATTTTGAAGCTCAATATTCAATCCACCATTCAACAAATCGAAAGACTCATATGAGGGAAGAGTTGTGTCTTCCCTCCCTCCACGAATCTGCCTTGTCATACGGCTATTGCAAACTGCAAGGACGGTATTCGAATACATCATTACCAAGCAGTTCGCCAGGACAGTGTCGTAGTTGTTATTGGGATAGGCGAGGAAGAGTGCGATGTCAATGACAGCAAGCGTAGCTGAAAAGCGGCCAATAAGCCAATGTGATCTATTTCGCGGTATACAACTAACCCGTTACAGTCCCGGTTTCAATGGTCAGACGTATTAGCCTGGAAATAAGTATCCGAGTAGATTTGAGACCGGTATGAGCTCGACTTAACTATAGACGAAAGTGGTCAGTCGAGACCTAAGTGCTATTCCCATGCTTCACTTACAAGGTAGGTCATGCATAAAGCAATGGCAGCATCACATAAAGCGCTCCCACCCAACCATATCTGCAAATAGTAGACGATTAAATGAGAGCCACAACAACGACCTGCTCACCATTGCAGCGACCTTGTTATTCAAATCCGCCTGAAGATCTGAGTAGTGATAATATCTGCCTGCTTCAATGCTACAAGCCATCGCACCCAAAAATTGACTAAAAGCAATCTTGGATGAAAATCGGGCTTTAAGGGAGCAGTCACTGGATGTTTAGGCACAAAGCTTACCATTGAAAGAGTAATACTTATCCACCGTGCCTTCTTACTGAATCTATACATTCGCCAGGCATAAAATAATTGACAGACACAGCCAACTACTGCTGTTTCAGTAACTTAAAGCGCAAACATACGTAAAAAAACGCGCACCGAATCCAGAGAGAATGGGAACAATGAACCATGTGAGACGGATGTCATCAAGTTTGGAAAGGTTCCCAAAATTATAGCAGAATATGTCGAAAATGTTGCAGACGTTGGTAACAATCAGAACTGTCTCTATCAGCCAGAGAACATATACAATGATCTTCGACACCAGATGGTCCTTTGGAAAGGAGATGTAGTATATGTCTTTGAATGAGATCAGTGAAGAACGTGCGTACAATGATAGGACCACTAACAGACTTGATGACACAGAACGCCATATAATGCAAGACTCAGGAAGGAGCTGATCAACTGCCAGTGTATGAAAATGAACGACCGCCGCTTTCCAGTACGATTGAACTCATACCAGAGAACCTGTTCTGAGGTATTAAAATTAGGACAGTGACCAGTCTGAGAGCGTGAAAGCATCACCGACATCTTATACGAATCTGAGGGTATTGTACCCGTCTCTTCCGCCAGAATACTAGATAACGTGGGCATTGAGGAGTGCAGAGGTGGAATATCCCCGCCGTTCTACGTTTAAGTAGCTCCAAAGTGTCTACGCTCAAAATGCGGCGGACTGTCACATTGCGTGGGAGCATGCAGCCCTCTATAACTAAGCAGAACGCACCTAGAAAAGGTCAGCGCGGATTTTTCAGTGACGACCCTAGATCAATCACACTGTACGGCATTAGATGAACACCCCAAATCCATTGGCCAGAGCCTCATCTGTGTATTTAGAGATGAGCGGAGTACTTCATACAATACGCAATTAAACCAACCCTCTTACCTCTGACATACAGGGTCGGAGAACCGGTACGAGACTGTGGTCGAAGCGTTAACACTTGTAGATAAGATAATCAGGGTGACGTCGACTCTGCCGCAGACGCGTCGCGCAAGCCGTCGGTGTCTGAGGAATGAAGCCACGGGAGCTCCTACTAGTTTACTTGCTCTTCGTATCCTCCAGTGTACAGTGCGCTAGGCCAAAGGTGTGGTTCTGTTTGCGATTCTTTCGTTTAATTTACTGAGTCCTGACAATAAAGAAGTCCTGACAATAAAGAAGTTCATCTGTTACCCGGAATTTCCTTTCCTTTTCCTAGATATAGGTCACGATACTCGTCATGGGTACAATTATAGTCAGCGGCCTGCCGCCTAGAAGCAGCGATCACAATCCACTGATAGACTTGCTCAAGGGGATTTGAGTGACTCGTACCTGGTTACGTCTCTCCGGGATTAGTTTTCGGATCGCTCAACATCTGAAATTCATCTGACCTACAGTGATCGCCACCATGAGAAAAGTACACTGGCGACGGTCATCCAGTGCAACGTACCTGTCGACGGCGACCTTCTGTGTGAATGTATTCTTGCACTCGGTCCCATTTTCGATGGAATCCGGTTTGTCATTATTGGCGGTACCTGAATCGGCTGCCATTCAGCCGCAAAGCGTGTCCGCTATCGGCTGGAGTCTATATCGGTGTAGGAGGACACCCCAAAACAGCTGGGGGAGCCATGTGGGGAAGCCCAACATTTGGCCCAAAAGATTCGGACACCCAAACTGAAATGCAGTCATTTTCGTCTGGATGAAACCTAGCATCAGCAAATTTTCTTGACTGTTGTCCGGATGCTGTTCCCTATGCTGGCATATTTTTCTTCACGTCGTTTCCAGGACCGGGAGCAAACATCGTTAGACTGAGTTGGTATTTTTGGATGGTTTTTAGCGTGTTTGGATGAAGTTTACAGCGTGGTATGAGACAGTTCAATATCACCTGTGTACGGCTCTTCACTAGAATAACGTCGACGTATTCGTCTCTGCTTGAGAATGAGCAACATGATGCGGTTAGTCAGGATGGAATGAAGGGCAAGCTGAAAATAACCAAGGAAGGGTGTGATGCTTTCGGCCCACATAGGGACAAGAATATTTGTGAGAGTCATAAAGAGGAGGCACGCATAGAAGAATATCCCAGAGACATAAAACTCGATGAGAAAAGGATGAGAAGAATGGCGGAGGTGTTGTACGCCCTTAAAGAGCGTGAGAGAAGCAATGATCGTTTCTGAAACAACTACAGGGATGTAGAACGTCTTGGCCAAGTTTGAAGAGACGTTTAAGCAGCCAGGGTAATTGGACGACGGTGCGATGACTACGAATTAAATCCTGAGCTCTCTGCTAGCCTCGAAAGCACGAATGACATGTAACCTACATTGCATCGTCTTGAGCTGTATAACAAGGCAAACTACCTCCGGTATGAAACAGAATACTCCAGTCACAATAAAACACCAGAATACTGCACTGTGTCGGTCCCATATTGCATACGTGCGGATCATGAGAATCACTTGCGATGTGAAAACCCCAGTGACCGCGAGCGGGCTCATGATGAAGAAAAACTGTCGACACTGGGTTCCAGAGGGCTGGTGTGAGAGCCAGTGGATGGTGAACGCCATACCGACCAAGGGTAGGTAGCGATTCAATGCGAACAGCAGGAGGAAAGGATGTACGGGCCGGGGAAGCCATACATAATCAATTTCGGTGGGGAGGAGGAGGATCAGGTCATAGAGGATCACAGTCGCACATGTGGTGAAGGAGTAGGACGCGAAGGATGCCTGTAAGGAGGGAAGTCAAAAAAGTGACTGGATACAGCGGATGAGGGAAATAGGATGAAACACGACTCACCGTTGAAGACATCCTGCCGCCAGAAGTGTTTGGAGTCCCGCTGGTCGTTGCCGATTCTTAGTTCTGATTCAGCGTATGCAAATAAGAAGAGAACATGAAGGAGAAGGAGAGAGGATTATGTGGGCTCAAATGGGTACTGGTCCTTTTAGTGCCGTGGCCCTGAGATGGTTTACAGACGACGGCCCGAACTATGCTGTAAACTCGAGCTCAGCTACTGCGCGGCGACCAAGCAAAACAGAATCAGAATCGTTCGGAAACAGACGTGTTTTCCGATCACAGTTCAAGTCTTCTACTCTGGAAACGCCAAGCCATTTTTGTTGTAGTCAAGATGCAAGACCAATTTTGTCACTCACCACGGAGTACTTCCTGTCGGTGCTCGGTGCTAGCACTCCAAAACGAGGAACATTCATTTTCTGTATCTGTTCGCAATGTTTCAGTCCTGAGCAGTGAGCAGTAAACATTTGTTCCCCTTAGCCCACTTATACATAAAGCGGAGATACTAGCATGCGACAAACTAGAGAATATCTGATATTCTGTTCGAGGCCTTGATTTGGTTTATTATAAATAAGGATGAACGAGAATGAAAAAAAAACCACGTACACCAACACGCCGTACCGTCTACCAATCTGCTTCTCAATTCGCATATGACGCGCCGCAAATGCCCCGCCAGACAAAGCCGATATCATTTCTCAGAGTCATGCAAAGCATTCCCAGAGATATTCGGGGCCATACCCGAGAGCACGACATCCGCCAATGCTTTACCCATCTTCCGCTGTCTGAGTCCAGGTATGGGAGGTTCGTGATTCCTGCATCCATTTTAGGTCGAGATAGTCCTTCTGGGGGGCGTACACCAGGAATGGGGTTCATTGGAAGGACGGTCAATAGCAACGATGGTTCCACGACCTTTGCTTTCACTACGAGCAAGCTCCTCTTCCATCTTGTCGATATTGAGGGGGTCGTAGTAGCTACCAGGACGCAACGATTCTGCGGGTCTTCGTTTAGATCGCACCCCGGGGAAGGGTAGACGATAATGGCTCGCTGTCTTCGTCGGACCCGTATCCCAAACGCTGTGATACAACCTAGCTCCACCCTCCAGACGCCGCACCTAGGTCGACAATGATGTGAACATCGTCGTCGTCGAGGAAATTGAGCTGGCTGTCAAGTTCCAGGAGTTTGAATGCGGAACGGGACTTGCACGCTTGTTGCTTGACGCAGTGGTCATGACGCTGGCGAGCCATCCATTGTGTAGATGATTTTTTGGAGAGGGCGGCTAGGGTCGGACGGAAGGACATGCAAGACGGCCAGAAAAGGGCCTTTTGTTTGGGCAATAAACAACGCGTGCTTATGATTTGCTTTGGCTTGGATAGTACATACCATCAAGTGACCGATTCCGAACAAGCGACGACTACTAGAAAGAAGAGTTGTTCGTTATGCTAGGCCCAGGACACTTGAAGTAATATGTTTTGTTTTACTGATGGAATGTCTACTAAACATCGCAACAGTTCGTGTCGCCATTTTGATAAGATCTGAACTGGCAGGTGAGAACCTCGGTCTCTTCATTGGCAATGAGGATAGGGTCATTACGGTGTCTAATGATACGGCAAGCTCTGTCTCCGCAAAGCCAACGTTATTATCTTCTTGGTCCTCACCGTCGTCTAGACATACCAGTACTTGTCAGAATGGAGATGGATGACGGCCAGTGCATTCTTTGTCGGACTATCTACCCGACTTGACTGACTCAATCTTGTTTTTAGATTAATGCTAAAGCACAGATCATTTATTCTTTGTATTATCTCGATTCTACTCCTCGTGCGTGAGGCTTTCTTGACGGCTACGATCAATAATACCAAAGCAGCTACAATCGGTACCCTTTAGTCGCGCTGTCAGAGATCTCAGCAGTCATACTGTATTGCGCGCCAGATCTTGTTCCTCTGCGATCTGAGTGGGAGAAAATGCCATCTGGGGCTTTTCTTCTGGGAACTAATGCGAAATGAGAAACTTTAGATCACGAAACTCTTATCGTTTCCAGAAAGTGCTAGCCGCGAATGAAAGACCTCAATAGTATCGTCCGTGTCCATTTTAATGGCACTGTCGACTTCCGACGTACGTCTCTACGCACACTTTATCCTTTATATGCGGCTCAATCCGTAGGTAGTTAACCGATGTATCTGACATAGACGGACAGATAATATGTATCTTTTTAAATTATACATTTTACCTCGGCATTAGGCTTCAGAACGTGCATATTATAATACAGTTCTTGATTGGTTGGTCCCAATTGGTGGTCTGTGTATTTTGAAACTCGATATTCAATCCACCATTCAACAAATCGAAAGACTCATATGAGGGAAGAGTTGCGTATCTTCCCTCCCTCCACGAATCTGCCTTGTCATACGGCTATTGCAAATAGCAAGGACGATATTCGAGTACATTATTACAAAGCAATTCGCTGGGACAACGTCGTAGTTGTTATTGGGGTAGGCGAGGAAGAGTGCGATGTCGATGACAGCAAGCGCTGCTGTGCAGGTGGTAAATGAGTCAATGCGATCTATTTTCGCGGTATAACTAACCTATTGCTGTTCCGGTTTCGATGGTCAGACGTATTAGCCTAGGAAATAAGTACCTGAGTAGATCTGAGACCGGTATGAGCTCGCATTAACTATAGGCAACAATAATCAGTCGAGACCTAAATGCTATTCTGCTTCTCTTACAAGGTAGGTCATGCATAAAGCAATGGCAGCATCACAAAAAGCACTCCCACCCAACCATATCTGCGAATCGTAGATGATTAAACGAGGGACACAACAACAACCTACTCACTATTGTAACCACCTCGACCGTCAAATCTGTCTGGAGTTCTGGGTAGTGGTCATACCTTCCTGCTTGGATGCCGCAAGCAATCGCACCCGCACATTGAATAAATGCGATCTTGGATGAAAATAAGGTTCCAAATGAGTGACTTGGCAACATACGTTTAGGCATAAGGCTTACCATCGAAAGGGTAATACTTATCCACCGAGTCTTTTTACTGAATCGATACATCCGCCATGCATAAAATAATTGACAGACACAGCCAACTACCGTACTGTTTCAGCAACTCGAAGCGTAGACATACGTAAAAAATGCGCACCGAATCCAGAGAGAATGGGAACGGTGAACCATGAGAGGCGGACACCATCAAGTTCAGAAAGGTTCCCAAAATGATAACAGAAGATGTCGGAAATGTCGGAGATATGGATAACAGTCTGAACAGTCTCGGTGAGCCAGAGAACATATACAATGATCTTCGACAATGGACGGTCCTTCGGAAAGGACATGTAGTATATATCTTTAAACTTGAAAATGAGTAAAGAAAAGTCAACAACACGCGTACAGTGGTGGGACCACTAACAGACTTGATCACAAAGAATGCCGTATAATGTAAGATTCACTGGAAGGTGCCGAGCAACTGCACGAAAATAAGCGATCATCGCCTTCCGGTACTGTCCACGATTGGACTCATACCAGAGGTGTTATTCTGAGATATTAAAATCAGGACAGAGACTAGTCTGAGAGCACGAAAGCGTCACTGACATCTTGTATGAATCTGAGGATGCTGTACTCGCCTCTTCCACTGGAGTACTAGATAACGTGGGCATTGGGGAGTACAGAAGCGGAATATTCCCGCCGTTGTATGTTTAAGCAGATCCAAAGTGTCTACGCTCAAAATGCGGCGGACTGTCACATTGCATGGAAGTATGGAGCCCTATAACTAAGCAGAACTTCGCGCCCAGAAAAGGTCGGCGCGGATTTCGGTGACGACCCTGGATCAATCACTACGTACATTAAATGAACCCCAAATCCACTGACCAGAGGCCCAGAGCCTCATCACTGTGTATTTAGAGATGAGCAGAGTGCTTCATACAACGCGTAATTAAACCAACCCTCTTACCTCTGACGTACAGACTCAGGAGAACTGGATAAGGGTTGTGGTCGAAGCGTTAACATTTCTAGATAAGGCGATCAAGACACTGTCCGCAGACGCGTCGCGCAAGCCCTCGGTGTCCGACTTGGAGGAACGAAGCCATGGGCGATTCTACTAATTTCCATGCTCTTCGTATCTTCGGGTACACAGTGCACTAGGCCAAAGGTGTCGTTCTGTTTGCGATTCTTTCATGTGATTTACCGAGTCCTGACAAAGAACAAGTTCATCTGTTACGCGGGATTTCCTATCCTTTTCCTAGATGTAAGCCACGATACTCGTCATGGGTGCAATTATAGTGGGCGGCGTGCCGCCCGGAAGCGGTGATCAAAATCCGCTGAATAGACTTGCTCAAGGGGATTTGAGTGAGGTACCTGGTTACGTCTCTCCGGGGTTATTTAGTTTTTCTGATCGCTCAACATCTGAAATTCATTGGACCTACAGCGACCGCCACCATGAGAAAACTACGCTGGAGACGGACAGTCCAGTGCAACGTACCTGTCGACGGCGACCTTCTGTATTCAATTGTGTGAATGTATTCTTGCACTGGGCCTCATATTCGATGGAATCCGATTCGTCAGAGATGTTCTCGTAAGACGCTATTTTTCCAATCAATATTGGCGTCCCTGAATCGGCTACCATTCAGGCGCAAAACGTTTCTGCCGTCGGCTGTGCTTTCCGTCGGTCTATAGGATGCTGTTCCCTACGCTGGCATCTTTTTCCTCACGTCATTTCTAAGTCCGTCAGGAGCAAACATCTCGTCAGACTGAGTTGGTGTCTTTTAATGATTTTTAGCGCGTCTGGTTGTAGTTTACAGCGTGGTATGAGACAATTCAACACCACCTGTGTACGGCTCTTCATCAAGATAGCGTCGATGTATTCGTCTTTGCTTGAGAATGATGAGCATGATGCGGCTGCTCAGGATGGAATGGAGGATGCGCTGAAAATAACCAAGGAAGGGCGTGATGCTGTCGGCCCACATGGGGATAAGGATATTTGTAAGGGTGATGAGGAAGAGGCACACATAGAAGATCATCCCAGAGACATAAAACTCGATGAGAAAAGGATGAGAAGAATGGCGGAGGTGTTGTATGCCCTTGAAGAGTGTGAGTGAAGCAATGATTGTCTCTGAAATGAGTACAGGGATATAGAACGCCTTGGCCTGGTTTGAAGGGACGTTGAAGCAGCCAGTGGAGTTGGACGACGTTTCGATGACTACGAATTAAGCCCTAAGCTCTCTGCTAGCTTCGAAAGCACGAATGACAAGCAACCTACATTGCATCCTCTTGAACTGTATAACAAGAGAAACTACTTCCGTTATAAAACAGAAGACTCCAGTCACAATAAAACACCAGAATACCGCTCTGTGTCGGTCCCATATTGCATACGTGCGGATCATGAGGATCACTTGCGATGTGAAAATCCCAGTGACCGCGAATGGGCTCGCGACGAAGGCAAACTGGCGACATTGGACAGGAGAGGGCTCATGCAGAAGCCAGTTGATGGTCATCGCCATATCGACCAAGGGTAGGTAGCGGTTCAGTGCGAACAACAGTAAGAGGGGATATACGGGCCGGGAAAGCCAGACATTGTCAATTTCAGTAGGAAGGTAGAGGAGTAGGTCATAGATGATCACAATCACGCATGCGGTGAAAGAGTAGGACGTGAAGGATGCCTGTAAGGAGGGAAGTCAGAAAAGTGACTGGATAGAGCGGATGAAGGAAATAGGGCGAAAGATGATTCACCGTTGAGTACATCCTGCTGCCAGAAACACTTGAAATCCCGCTGCCAATTCTCAGTTCTGGTTCAGCGCATACAAATAAGAAAAGAACGTAAAGAAGGAGAGAGAAGATTATGTGGTCTCAAGTGGGTGCCGGTCCTTTTAGCGCCCGTGACCCTGAGATGGTTTACAGATGACGGCCTGTAACCTCAACGTCAGCATTTCCTGGCACCAGGCGGTGATCAAGTAAAATAGAATCGGGATAGTTCGGAAAACAAATGTGTTTTATGATCACGGCTGAAGTTTTCGAGAATTCCTACACTGGAAACATGGAGGCATTTTTGTTGTAGTCAACATGTCAAAATTTTCGCTCACCGTGAAGTTCCCTGCTGGTGCTCGGTGCTAACACTCCAGAACGAGGAGCGTTCATTTTCTGTATCTGTTCGCAATGTTTTAGTCCTAAGCAGTGAGCAGCAAACATTAGTTCCCCTCAGCTCACTTATACATAAAACGAAGATAGTAACATGCGACAAACTACCGCCTTTCTAGAAAGAGTAAAAAAGCGATGAACGGAAACCTTGCCGTCCTGGATGATTCGCAGTGTTAGTTGTTAGCATGTTTGCAGGTCAATCAAACTGGAAGATTTACACCCAAGAACGGAGCAGACAGAGACACAAGTTAATGATAGTTACCAGATTCCAAGCACAGACCTCGTGCTTTCTTCGTGCCCGCAGCAAGATCCAGTGACGCCGGGGTAATTTCTCCGAGGAGTCCCTGATCTAACCATGAAATGACGAACCACATGCCTCGCAAACACACTTTGGCTGCGTAGTGCGGTAGAAATCACCGATGCAAAACGACCCGGAGATCCCTCGCCGTGTCACGCCAGCACTGCATAAGATTCCCTGCCCTTACACAGTTCTACGTAAAACTGACAGGGCCAAAGGTAGCAGACGAACGTTCCGTATGTGATGCAGGGAGATGGAATAATGCAAAGGAGCATTGGGGGCATGATTATCTGGTACAAGGACGGACTGAAAGCATACAAGTATCCACTACCGCGGCTGCGTTTTTCTACAGCATTGGCATCTTTGATGGTTTTCGAGGGTGGAACAAGGGCAAGTACACTCCCTACGACCACAAGGATGTCAAGAAGGACACCTACAGCACATTTGGATGTAATTTAGTCCTGCGTAGTATGAGACAGTTCAACATCATCCATGTATAGCTCTTCTGTAGGACAACGTCGACGGATCCGTCTCTGCTTGAGAATGAGTAGCATGACGCGGCTGCTCAGAATGGAATGGAGGATGCGCTGGAAACAACTGAGGGGTGCGATGGCATCGGTCCACATGGGAACAAGGATATTTGCGAGAGAAATGAGGAAGAGGCACACATAAAAGAGCATTCCAGAGGCATAAAATTCGATGAGAAAGGGGTGGGAAGAACGCCGCAGGTGCTGAACGCCCTTGAAGAGTGTGAGCGAAGCAATGATCGTCTCTGAAACGAGTACAGGGATATAGAACACGTTAGCCATAGGTTGGAGAAATGCTCAAGCAGTTAAGGTGATCGAACGGCAGTTCAATGACTACAAATTGGAAGGTATTGAGTACTTCGAAAGCATGGATGATAAACAACGTACATTGCAACGTCTTGAGTTCTATAGCAAGGCAAACTACCCCTGGTATAAAGCAGAAGATCCCCGTCCCAATAAAACACCAGAATACCACTCTGTGTCGATCCCATATTGCATACGTGCGGATCATGAGGATCACCTGTGATGTGAAAATCCCGAGGGCCATGAGTGGGCCTGCGACAAAGGCAAACTGACGACACTGGGTCGGAGTGGGTTTATGTAGGAGCTGGTTGATATTCACCACCATATCGATCAAGGGTAAGTAGCAGTTCAGCGCGAACAACAGCAGATGTGGATGCAAGGGTCGGGGAAGCCATACATAGTCAATTTCAGTGGGAAGGAGGAGGAGCAGGTCATAGAGGAGCACAGTCGCGCTCGTGGTGAAAGCGTAGGACGAGGAAGAACTCAAGGCTGCCTGTAGGAAAGTCAGACAAGACTGGATACAGCTGGCGAGGTAAATAGGATGAGATACAACTTACCGTCAAAGGCATGCTGAAACACCTGAAAATCTGTTGGTCAGCAGTAGGACGCTGGCTTCTGCTTCGACACGTGCAAATGGGGGAAAGAGAGCGTGTAAAGGAGAGACTGAAGGTCGCGAAGGTCCTTTTAGTACGTGTAGTGCCAAGGCGGTTCATACTGAAAAAAGAAACATTGCCTGAGTATCGAGTGTGTCCCATTTAGCCAAGAAAATGAAATAGAGTTCGAAAACAGGTGTGTTTCCTTAGCTTAAAATTTCCTTATTAGAAGCTCTTGTTGGAATTAAAATGCGACACCGATTACGACTACCTCGAAGTAGTCCCCGCGTTCTGTCAGTATCGACTAGCATAAGCAGTAGGAATGTTCATTTCCGTATCTATCCGCAAGATTTTAGTTTTGTACAGTGGATAATAATCCAGCTCACCTTCAAATGAGACGGCAGTACTAATAGCGCAGGTTACCGTCAAAATTCTGGAAGAGTGAACAAGCGATGAGCGGAAACCGCGTCCGGATGTTTTTGCAATACATTAGGTCGGAAAACTTGCATCCGAGAACAGGGCTGGAACAGGGACTGAAACCAACGAGGTAAGGAGGTCTGCCAGGTCCCAAGCTTGGTCCTCGTACCTTCTCTTTCGTCCCCGCAGCAACATCCAGTGATACCGTGGTACACTTCCCCCGGTTTGTTCACGGAACGAAGATCCACGTCTTGACCGCGTATCGGGGTCGAACCCACCAATGCGCAGCGAGATCTCGTTACGCCATGCCCAACACTGCATATATAGGCTTCACTCGGGATTAAACAGTCCTCCATGGGACTGTCGGAGACAAAAAATGGACGATGAACGTTCCGTGTATGATGCAGAGAAATATAACAGTAAGACATGGCGCACAGACCATGGGCAAGTGTGAGAAGGAACAGACCGAAACCTACAGTGGCATCACGAGTGATCCACCAACGAACGGAGAACTAGTCCATCTAACCACGCTGGGAAGGAAGCGCAACTGTCAAGACAACGTGGCTAACGAAGCCTGCCATTCAAACAGCATGTTTGTAGCTATACTCAAGCTTTTCTCTATGAAGGTCACGAAACGTAGGTGTCGGGCAACCGCAATCGACCAAGTCTGCTGTGTTGTGACGAACAGTACACCTGTAGCGGTGTTCTAGCCGACAGCTTCAAGAAGCACGACGAGCAACGAAATTTCACTGTAAGCGGTGCGCGTGAAAAATAAGACAGGGTGGTGGCAGGTGGTACAGGTTGTGTAGTACAGGATAACCAACGGCGCTAAGCCGAAAACTGCCGCGGCAAGCATCGTGGGAATAGTTCTATAACGGTGTATTTTGATGACCAATCATTATTTGCTATCCTTCTCTACTCCCATCTCTCGAAAAAATCATGGACAACCCTTACCTCGCTCATCTACCCCCCTCTCAGCGTGGCGCCGGGCCATCCAAAGCCAAAATTGATACCTCGAAAGAGCCACTATGTGGTTTTTTGCCCAGAAAAGTCACCGGTAAACAGGCGCGGCAAGCTCTGGTTCGTTCTATCACTTGCAGAGCCGAAAGCTTTATCTGACAGTATACCTAGGAACATGATATTAATCCGTTCACGAAGCAGCCACATTCGGCGCAGTACAAGAAAATCCTTGCCTTCGCGAGAAAAGCTACCCGTGTATTCCCAGATGGATGACTTTTTCAAGATGGTAAGTTATATGCGCGTTAGATCTGAGGAGGGGTTTGAGTTCTGTTGCCCTTAGGAATAGGCCGACCCCTCTTCAAATGCGCCCTTTCTCTTCAAGTAACGATTCGGCTGATCTTTGCAATAGTTCAATGAGAATCAGATCATTGTAATGGTTGGCGAGACTGGATCAGGAAAAACGACACAGTATGTGTTGCACATTTCCTTCTTATCAGATTGACACTCATTGCTGCCAAAGAATACCTCAATTCGTCGCGTACTCAGATCTACCGCATACAAAAGGCAAACTCGTAGCATGTACCCAACCTCGTCGTGTTGCAGCGATGTCAGTAGCAAAACGGGTGGCGGATGAAATGGATGGTGAGTACTGTTGACGTACTTGGATCCAGAAGGCTTACCTTGTTTCTAGTCCAGCTTGGTCGACACGTCGGTTATTCAATTCGATTCGAAGACATGACAGAGCCTGGTACAACTTTCCTCAAATACATGACCGACGGCATGCTTCTCCGGGAAGCAATGAACGATCCCAATCTCGAGCGATATTCCACTATCATCTTAGATGAAGCGCACGAGCGGACACTTGCCACTGACATCCTCATGGGTCTCCTGAAAGACCTCGCAAAACGCCGGTCCGACCTCAAGATCATTATAATGTCCGCAACTCTTGATGCTCTCAAATTCCAAAAATACTTTGGCCTTACCGCTGGTACACCGGCACCTCTATTCAAAGTACCCGGCCGTACACATCCTGTAGAGGTGTTCTACACTCAAGAACCCGAGCCCGATTACGTGGAAGCTGCTATCCGAACTGTCCTTATGATCCATCGAGCCGAAGACCCTGGTGACATCTTACTCTTCCTCACCGGTGAAGAGGAAATAGAGGATGCGTGCCGAAAAATCAAGCTTGAAGCAGGACGATCTAGTAAACCAGGACCCAGACTCCGTCGGCCCTCTAGTTTGTATACCTCTCTATTCTTCCCTACCCCCTCAACAGCAACAGCGCATCTTCGACCCTGCACCTACTCCTCGAACACCCGACGGTCCCCCAGGCCGAAAGGTCGTTGTCTCCACCAATATTGCTGAGACGTCCTTGACAATAGATGGAATCGTTTACGTCGTTGATCCTGGCTTCTCCAAACAGAAAGTCTACAACCCCCGGATACGAGTTGAAAGTCTACTCGTAAGCCCTATATCTAAGGCCTCCGCCCAGCAAAGAGCGGGTCGTGCGGGTCGTACGAGGCCAGGGAAGTGCTTCCGGCTTTATACGGAGAAGGACTTCATGAACGAGCTCGAAGAGCAAACCCATCCAGAGATTTTGAGGTGTAATTTGAGTAATACTGTCCTGGAGCTTGTCAAATTGGGCATCAAGGTAAGAATCTCACGCATGAATACAAACACCTATTAATTGGTTCCAGGATCTCGTACGGTTTGACTACGTTGATGCTCCGGCTCCCGAGACGCTGATGCGAGCTTTGGAGTTACTGAACTTCCTCTCTGCGTTGGATGATGACGGTAACCTAACGACCTTGGGTAGTGTGATGGCAGAGTTCCCGCTCGATCCTCAGGTACGTCTGAAACTCCCTTTGCAGATGTATCTATGACTAACTCCTTCTTTGCTTTAGCTTGCAAAAATGCTTATCGTCAGCCCAGAATTCAAGTGCAGCAACGAAATCCTCACCATCACCGCTATGCTTTCCGGTTAGCGTTCTCGTTACCTATCTATCTATCACTCAACTAACGATAACTACTAGTACCGAACGTGTGGATACGACCGCCAAATGCACGTAACCAAGCCGATGCAGCAAAAGCCCTACTCACTGTCCCCGATGGCGATCATCTTACCATGTTGAATGCCTATAATCAATATGTTCAAAGTATGTTCCCGTCTACTTCGCCGCCCAAAACAAAATGCTCACTCAGCCTCACAGATAAGTATGACAAGACCTGGCTGTACAACCACTTCCTCTCCGCTCGAGCTCTCGCCCAGGCGGACAACGTCCGTGCACAGTTGGAGCGAACCATGGCCAAATACGAAGTAGAACTGCTTTCACTCTCGGACGAGAAGAAACTGTACCAGAACATTCGTCAAGTACTTGTTTGTGGGTTCTTCATGCAAGTGGCGCATAAAGAGGGAGAAAAGGGAAATTATCTCACGGTCAAGGATAATCAGGTTCGTAACGATTCTTACTTGCCTTCAAGGCCTCGTGATTGATGGCATATGCAGGTCGTGGCACTTCACCCGTCCTGTGGCCTTGACACTCAACCAGAATGGGTTATCTTCAACGAATTTGTGTTGACGAAGAGACCTTACATTCGTACGGTATCCGAGGTTCGCCCTGAATGGTACGTTTGGTTCTTCTGTTTTGAGCTTCTTGGACTGATGACCGTCGTCTTTCTAGGCTATTAGAGTTTGCGACGAACTACTTTGACCTATCAACATTTACCGACGGCGAGACCAAGCGGGCGTTGCAACGAGTGGTGAATAAGAAAGCAGGCAAGGTTGGAAAGAGGAGTGACATTGCAAATGGAGACACGAGAGAAACGAAGAAGCGCAAAAAGAATTGATTACTGTCTTCAGTTGATGAATTATGTTCGCGACATTATCTTGCTACTTTTTGGCGACTCGCTTATAATTTGTGTTAGATTTAGATAGTGTCATCCTTGTCTATAACCTTGATACTGGGATGTTTTCCCTAGAATGTGCTCTTGTGATCGTTTTGCCCTCTGAGAAGAATCCGGACCGCCCGCGAGTGATGGAAGTCGGTTCACATGGGCACTCGATGTTCGGCATGTAATTCGAGTTCTGAGGCTACCATAAAACCGTGCATGAATGCGTTCTTGTGATCCTTCTGCTCTCTGAGAAGAATCCGGACCGCCCGCGAGCGATGGAAGTCAGTTCACATGGGCATTCAACGTTCGACATTCAACTCGGGTTCTGATGCTACCATAAAACCATGCATGTGTGCTGCAAGGAAGCCAAGTTCTCATATTCTCGATGAAACTCTTCTTGTCGATTGTCCTGGCTACTCTAGCTCATGCTGGATACGTGGTTCAGCGAGGTTCCGTGTGCCATGTCCATGCCAGTGATGACTCTTCCGACGATGCCCCTGCGATCCTGTCTGCTTTTGATCGATGCGGACAAGGAGGAACAGTCGTGTTGAATGATGAACTCTACCATATCGAGTCGGTGATGAATACCACTGGACTTCGGGATGTCTTAGTCGATCTGAGCGGTACCATGCTTGTTAGTGCTTCCATTGATTCGAGGATGCAGTTAGTTGCTGACAACCCTGGTATTTTAGTGGGGAACTAATATCACGTATTGGCGCTCGAACGGGTTACCGCTGGGGTATCAGAATCAGACTACGGCGTGGATGTTCGGAGGGGATAGGGTCGTTTTCCGTGGACATGGGGTAGGGACGTTTGATGGTAATGGACAGCTTTGGTGTGTCGATTTTTTGGGCTGACCATTGTGGTGGCTGAGGGGAATGTTGCAGGTACGACTTTACAAAGGGCGTATCTAATTTAGCAGGCCGGCCTATCAGCCTTATGATCACGAATACTACCAATTCGCTCTTTTCTGGTATCCGATTTGTACAATCTCAGTTCTGGACGATGGCTATCAAGAACTCGGAGGATGTTTTGTTGGAAGGGATATATGTGAATTCCACTAGCAATAGTTCGGTTAGTTCTCTCGATCTTCCTGGCCTGAAGCGCGCGCCCTAATGACTCACAGGAACCAGCGCGCAACACGGACGGTGTGGATACGTTCTACTCAAATCGGATCACGTTTCGTAATTGGACCGTCACTGGAGGGGACGACGATATATCCTTGAAAGCAAACTCGACTAATATCTTGATCCAAGACTCGGTGTTCCATGCCGGTTTCGGTCTTTCTATTGGGTAAGTGCGGACGCTTTCTAGCCCCGGATTCTTAAATTTGATTTGGACTTTTTTTTGGTTGGGTATAGATCTATTGGACAATATCCCGGTGTGTTTGAGCGGATAGAAAACGTTACCGCTGAAAGGGTTGCGTGCCTTGGAACCAGCTACGCCGGATGGATCAAAACATGGACGGGCATCCAGCAGGGTTATCCGCCGAATGGTTTGTAAACATTCTATCGTTTCGCAGCCCTAGCAGGATTGAATTATTTGATTTTAATTGTATAGGTGGAGGCGGCGGTCTCGGATATGCCAGAAATATCAGTGCGTTTGAGGTGATTCTATGTAGCGTAGTAGCACTAATATCTGCAAAGCTTTCCGGGATTTCGTCGTCCAAGATATTACCGACTCGGTAGCGTACATCACCCAGTGCACGTCCTACATCGGCGCTACGGGAGGGTGCGATACGTCCCTGTTCCAGATTTCCGACATCACTTGGGAGTCGTCCGTGGGCAATGTCGCTTCCGAGTATCTGGCGGAGCTGCAGTGCAGTGGGGCCGCTCCGTGCACCGGCATACGGTTTGGAGAATTCGACGACATAGCAACGAGTGGAAGTCGCACCATTTCGTGTAGTAATGTTTTAGATCCTGTGGGATTTAATTGTACGACATGACGCGGCATGCACCGACTTTATGTATTACTACTCAATTTGCCAAAGGAGGACTAGAGGCTTTATCCGCTGTGCCTAGGAACGTCGAATGAAAACATCTTGTACTTTTTTTTACATTCCATTAAACTATTTTACTGTGCTCTGAATAAGTTTGGGTTTGACTTGGGGAAATCACTTTATCTTATCTTATCTTTGATAGATCTTATCATACGGATTACATAAGCCAAGTACGCGTCCTGCTTGCGCGTCAGGCAAGAACCATTCTTTCACTCTCACCATGGATCATTTCCCTACAAACTGGGGCCGTCCAGTACGTTCTTATCTGTCGTCTTATTACTGCGTATTGATGATTCTTTCCAGAGAAACGACGCTGTTGACCTCTACGGAACGTACCCAATCGCACAACGACCTTATAATGGACCCAAAGCTTCAGCTGGTATTCAGCACACACAGTACGTCTCTTGTTTGTATTGTTAACATTTCGCTAGAGTAATTGTCTTCAGACAGCCAATAGTGACAGGAACGAGTGTCCTCGCTATCAAGTACAAGGACGGGATAATGATGGCTGCTGACAACCTCGGTGCGTATGAACCGCTTCCTTACCTTTTCGCTGTCTAATAAACACGCCATTATAGCCTCCTATGGTTCGCTCGCCCGCTTCAAGGATGTCCAACGTCTGCAAGCAGTGGGAGACTATACCATTATTGGCGCCAGCGGTGACATGTCCGACTTTCAATACATCCAAACTATACTCGACGAACTCATGGTGGACGAATTCACCGCTGCCGATGGTCACAGCCTTGGACCAGCTGAGATCCACGAGTACTTGTCTCAGGTCATGTACGCCCGGAGGTCCAAGATGAACCCTCTATGGAATTCACTGCTTGTCGGTGGATTCAAAGATGGAAAGCGGTATGATTGAAATCAGCGTCCTTCCGCCGATCTTGTCTGACTGCCTCTGGCAGATTTTTGGCATACGTCGACTTGCTAGGTACCACTTACTCTGCGTCAACGTTGGCGACTGGATATGGCTCCTACATCGCCCAGCCCCTCCTACGTAAAGCGGTCGAGGGCTACGAGGATGTCCTTACCGAGGAGGAGGCGCTCAAGATCATCGAGGATAGTATGAAAGTCCTGTATTACAGAGATGCGAGGAGTTTGAATAAGGTACATCCCTGTTCTGGCTCTTTTCAGTTTGAAATGTGGTTGCTCACCTGACTGAACCTAGTACCAAATTGCTAAAATCACGGCTGCTGGCACCTCTATCTCAGAGTCGCGTAGCGCGGATACGACATGGTCCTTCGCCGAAGGCATCAGAGGATATGGCGCACAGACGCAGTGATTCAATTCTTTTCATTTTGTTGCCGTTGTGTCGTTCAGAATCAGTCGTTTGTTCCTGGGTTGCTACGTACGTAGCGGAACGAGTTGGACAGGCACGTAGAGTATTATATATCAATGGATGTTATATTGCTCTTGCCGGTAACCAAGGCAGGGATGTGAAAATGCTCGAATGGCTGATAAACAAACTGTCGCGAGAAGATTCCTTCAGTTTAGCGGTACTTTTATGAGCGCATGATGCTTGATAGCTACTTTTTTGTACCACCAGATTATGCGCAATACTGCGTAGTCAAAAGGCTTGGAAAGTGCGTCGGGGGATCGACAGGGTTACACAGTAATGATTCCCACGATACGAACATGTACCGGAACCATTTCCATTGATTTGCCAACGTCTCCCTAGTTCTCCTTAGCCGCCTCCTAAATGAACGCTCCATCATCATGAATAAAGATGTGGCCTCATGCATCGCTCATATCAGACGACTGTATAGAAAACACCGCCCTGATGGTGATGGACATCAGCACACAGCGCCCAACCTACGACGGACAGGGATGATCGCCCAATCCAGCACAGGCAATCGGCGATGCCGACCTGGGTTATGATATTCCTCAGAGTTGTGGGGTGCCGGGTAAAGCTCATCAAGTATCAGAATTAGAAGCAACAGTTGATTGTGAAAAAGTACGGTCGGCCTCTCGAAACAATCAATTGATCTACTACATACATACTCACTTTCGTTTATTCCTATTCTCAAGGATTCACCGCTCCTTTATCTCTTCTGCGAAGAGGAATAACACACTCGTTTATAATTCGGTGGGCTGCCGTTTGTATTTGCCAGGGGCCGAACTAGTCGGCACTGACATAGCCTCCAGACAAACCGTGTCAGATCTAGGAGGATCTAGGGTGGAGGTCCCCACTAAACCGTGGCGCCGCATTAGAGGCCAGGTGCCTGTTTCTTCCTCCCACCTTCACCATCGTCGGGCGTCTTTTCGTCTTCCTTCGTCCTGCGAAGATGTTTCTTCGTTTTTCGCCTTCGCTTTCGCTACCGGCTCTCGCACTTCTCTTTCTGTTGGGGTTTACAGATCCGTGTCGCGCCGAGGCGACCTCGGAAATATTTCAGTGGGCTTTCGATAGCAACGTATGTGTATTTGGGTTTTCATCACTTTCTTCAGTACTTATCATCCTGTCTAGTCTGTGTCATCAACGTTGGAATCATGCCATGAATTCGGTATCCTCGTCAAGCCTTACGATCCTAATAACGATACCCATGGTGTACCACCATTTTATATGAGAGCTTATGAGAAGGGCGGTGGATTGATAACTTCGCTATTGGGACAGAATGAAAGCAATCTAACGTGGACGGTCAACAACCCCGTTGGTAAGCCCTTTAACATTTGCACCGCCGTACCGACGCTGAAACATGAAAAACCAGGTTCCGAGATACTGCTTAATGTCATCGATTCTGAAGGATCTTCTGGAGGAAATGCGCCCAAATTATTCACGGTCGGCAGTAAGCTTTGTGTTTAGTTCTCTCATAACGCATTACTTAACAGCTATCGTAGCGGGCACAACAACGAACTGCATTACCGAAACAAATTCTACTACATTCACGGTCACTTCTAACGTTACGGCAACCGAATTGCAGCCTTGCCAGCCATGGGGGCTGCGAATAAAAGGCGGCATTCCTCCCTATAATATTTCTTTAGTACAGACCGATTCTCCTGTGGTCACGAATGTGACCACGGGAGGAGATGATGATGCTTACACCTACATCAATCGAGCGACGAGCGGTCAAATCATGTTAGGTATGCCCCTTCATTTCATCTGTCATAAATCAAGATTCTCACCTACGCCTGACAGCTGGTGTTTCTGATTCGTGAGTTTGTATCATCCCTAATGATAGATGTTATCAGCTGACGACGAATTAGCGCCGGTGCTGTAGCTTGGGGGACACCATCCATTACGCCAACTGGTAAGTCGACTGGTAGTCATCGAATCGAGTATGATTGAGACTGATTAACTCACGCTAGGCAATACTGACATTGATTGCGGTTCGCTTCAGAGCGGGAGCGGGAACGCCACTGCCTTGGACGCCGCCGCTGCAGCAGCGGCAAACGCGGGCAAAAACAAGAACCATGCGGGACTTATCGCTGGGGTTGTCGTAGGCGTCTTGGCCTTCCTGCTGTTAGTTACAGCAGGCTGGTTCTTCTGGCGCCGAAGACGACAAGCCCAAAAGACGAACACAGAGATTGATCCTGACGTCACTCCGTATATGCCAGTGAGCCCTATGTCCGATAACAGCAGCCAAGCTATGACCATCAACGCCTTTGTTGGACATACCCCCGTCTTGCCCCACACGCCAAAATCACCTTCTTACAGTAACGGGTCAACTACCATGTCCGATGTGTCCAGGTCTCCGTCCTCCGGTGTCAGTTCCCTGCCTCCCTTTGATCCTCGTCGTTTGATGGAAGATGGAACTGAGGGAACCTATCAAACCGCGTCCCTGTCGTCATCTGCCTCAGTTCGACCCGGTTTCACCAACTTCCCCCAATCGTCCATCCGCCGACCGAGTAAAACTGCGGAAGGAGGGTTGACTACCGCAGAGCCGGATTCGTCGGTTTCTGAGTCGATTGGGTCAGCGGGAGGCGTACAGCGTTCACAGTCGGCTATGCCTCCTTCGTCGAACGGAGCGTATGACCCATGGCCTGCGCGGCCTGCGTCGTACGGTACACGCGAGAATGTCACTTCGACAGGCGAAGGAGAATTGATCATCCAGCATCGGGATGGAGGTACTGTGCGGGAGCTGCCTCCTCCCTATGCAGATCGCTTTTCACAGAACCGCGTAGAAGAAACCCCTTCATGACCAGTCTGGTGGATTCGAGTATTTTCGTTTGTAAACATTCTACGATCATTACCATCATGTACTTATGGGGTGTTTCATCGACTGTAGTTTTATCTATTTTTTCGATCCCAGTATACCTGTAAAATCGTTATAAAGGTAGTACTGCGATCACCACTTCGTTTTTCTTTAGCATACGCATACTATTATACGATTTTTTTACTTACCGAGTCAGACTGCGGGTATCTGTAGCTACATATCGACACCTTTCATAGATTGAATTGTTTGATTGAATATAATGATGATTCGCCCGAACGGTGGTGAAACAATAATCGTTTGTAGACTCAAGGAGGCGTCTGTCTGTCTGATTAAATAAATAAAGGTCGGGTGTCGATCGTTTCCGTAGTCCAGAAGGGGAAAAATCCCGCTCGGCAAGCTCTCTTCGTTCACTCATGTCCTGCACGCATTACTGCACGGACCACTATTCTGCTCAGCTACGCTCGGAATGTCTTCGGGAATATATCTTGCCGCTTTTTGTCCGATTCCGATTCCGACTCTCATGTTTATTTTTTTTGGGTTCAGATCCAGTTGTGCAGCACAATCTTCGCATAATATCGCTTCTGTTCTACTCGATGTGAGAAGCACTGTTAGGCGACCTGGACGGTGATACAAAGGGAGTGGCCAGGAATCATGTATGTATATGGCAAGTTCTGGCAGAATGTGCCATACGTCCCCGCGTTGACAGCTTAAAAAATGCCGCATCGGACCTCTGGGCCGTAGGGCCTTTGCCAAATTCTAGACGACTGTGCAACGCCAATCGCAACTTTGTCTCTTTCCATCACAAGTGCTTGACTTTAAGACTGCCCATTGCCATGCCTAGGGCTGAAAAAGTAAAGAGTACGCGCTCCGCCCGCCCTCATCCGTATGCTCGAGACATTTCCCCGCCTGCTGATGTCGGCAACTTTGGTGAGAACCATGGTAGGTCTTATTACGCGTATCAAATCTGGCTGTGAAAATTTAACTTAGCCTTCGCAGTAGAGACTCGTAGGCCCGTAAAACACGTTTACCAGCTCTTGAATCCTGAGCCTCGTCAGGCCATGCCTAGCCCAGGTATAGTTGAGCGCGAGTTGTCTTTTTCCCCGTCGCCGTCGCCTGTTCCTGTGAGCAGCTCTTCAGAGGAGGAATCCGATGATGAAGAAGGGCACGATCAATATGACGACGTCGAAGATGACTTTTCCGGGTACGAAGAGCATCTTGGTGAACCCGGCGTGTGGCCTCGCCCTTCATTCGACCGTTGGAGAGGCGAGGTCGACGTTCGACGAACAAGCGCATCATTGCGACGTTCTGTCGCAAATGGCTTACAGTCTTTTCTGGATGAAAGGATAGCCCCGCTTATTCGAGCGCCTAGTAGCCCAGTCTATGGTGTCTCTGAGTCGACGTCGTCGTCGGTCTTGAGTCAACAAGGACGGGTCCGAGATTCTCGGTCACGTAATGATTTCTGCAGGGACCCTTATCTTGTCCTCTTCTACGGGGAAGGGGATGACTCTGACCAAAATAGCAACCTGGCGGAGAAGGTCAGGGATGAATTTCTGGAGATTCAGGATAATCAGGTAATGCTTCGTATGGGTGAGATTTTCGTATACAATTGCGTTCTAAAGCTGATGATTACCGCAATAGACCAACTGCTAGACTGGTGGTTGGCCCGGTTCACCCTGGAAGGGACGGCTCCATTCTCTGGAAGGATGGGCGATTTCTTGCGTTTCGTTCGCCGACATGAAACGATCAAATTTTCCACCAACTCTTTTCCCGCGTTTTACAAGGACTGCCAGAGCGAACTTCGGCCGCTAGGTATGCATTTCGCGTACTCCAACGGAGTTATACCCTCTCGAACTGGCAGTCCTTGGAACATACTCCCTGCAAATCCTACACATATCGCTACTCTCGATGCATGCCGCCAATTGGACTTAGATGCGGATACAAGCAATATTTTTGTGGTCTTTGCAATGGCCGAGATGTCGGTGAGTGAAAAAGAAGACTCGATCGTGTTCGAACGCTTGCTTACATAGTGAGTATTCAGTCTCCTCTTATTCCGCCGAACCAAGCGCCAGCGATATCAGTGAGTTGTTGCATCAGTCTTTAAATAGTATACTGATGATACCTTCCAGACCAGTCAAGATAGTCCTCATAGCGCGTTTTACGTAGTGCCCACAGAAACTCGCTCTTTTCTGTATACCTCAACTTCACTGCGACCTCCAGCGACGGCGTCGTGGATACGCAGCTACCACAATCCCCCGCCCCGCCAAACATGGGACACAGAGTTCGCCGACGTGGCTCAGCTTTTGCGCAAGCTTCAACGGCGTCCATATACGACTTGCTACAAACATTATGCCATTGTGTGGTTCCAGCACGAGATGTGCAAAGCGATGGGTCTGCAGGCGGCCTATGGATCCCAAGGCGGCATGGACGATGTCGCTGATTGGCTTACGGAACAGAAACAGACGCCATCAAGGCTCTTGACCGTCAAGCGATCAACAATTCAAAACTGGAAAGCGAAGGTCTATTCCAACACCGAGAGCTTGTACGTGAAGTTCAAGTCTTTCATTGAAAAGGGAGGTCGGATACCACGTAAGTGCGACCCTCTGCAACCCAAAACGTCTCACTTATAGATGCTTTAGCTGAGAGCGAGAGGCTCTACATTACCGTGAAGGTCTGGGTAACCAACGATCCTGGTGCTATGATTGAGCGCGGTGGTTTCTATACAAACGAAGAGTCTATTGCGATGAGTGCAAAGGGTTCGGGACACCTTGGTGCTCTGACGGATGAACATTTTGCTGCGCAAGTCGCAGCTCATCTCAGAGCTGATTCGACGTGGTGGAGGACGGTATGAGGACGTGTTATGATTGGTATTTAGAGTAGTAATGTCGAGTAGCAATAGGTTTGGCTCTCCAGCAGGTCTGGTAGCGTACCTAACTGCGAATAATCAGGTGCACCTTAGTTGTATCGTTTGGAAGGAAGATCAGAAAAGGTCGATTTCACGCGGTCGATGGCGTTCCCCACAGAGCGGATTCAGGCGTGTATCACAGACACATTCACATTAGTTCTTACTCTGTATCGGCAGGAGCGGCTGGACCAAGAAGTTTGAAGGCCAGCTTCTGCGATTGAATGAGAACTGCACACGTAATCCAACAAAGGCTCGTGCACAACGTAACGCAATGCAATGATAGCCACTGAGATCACACCTAGTATATTATCCAGCAGGTGTGGCAATTCTTGTCTGAACAGCCCTGGTACAACGAAGGCTTTGAGTACGCCCTCAGATACAGTCAAGCGCGGCATGGCCAATCTGATATGTAGCAGGTAGGAGCTATACACTCGTGTACACTAACATACACCCAGTGCCCAGCCTATTCAACGACCGCATGTGAAGGACTTAACGGGATCATCCGCACCAAAGTGGATCCAAAAAAGCAACGGGACCGCGATGAATCATAAATTCTGAAGCCTGAGTCATATTACATCGTGTTACAAATCGGGAGTAGACATAAATTATAACAGAACTAACTGAGAACAGTTCAGATAATGAACTGGTGATGAAAAGAAACTTGACTCACTGACAGGCACATGGTTTAGGCGCCGAAACCGTACAAAGTACGGCCAGAGCGCTTCAAGGCGTACACAACATCAAGGGCAGTAACCGTCTTGCGCTGGATCCGAACTCTCGTCAGCATAATGCATTGGGTGATAGAGAAAGTGACGCACCTTAGCGTGTTCCGTGTATGTGACAGAGTCTCGGATGACGTTTTCGAGGAAGATTTTCAAGACACCACGGGTCTCCTCATAGATAAGACCAGAGATACGCTTTACTCCACCACGGCGGGCGAGACGACGAATGGCGGGCTTGGTGATGCCTGGAGGACTGTTAAGAGAATATAAGACTTGGATAATAGAATCGCCTTACCCTGGATGTTGTCACGAAGAATCTTGCGGTGGCGTTTGGCGCCGCCCTTTCCGAGTCCCTGAGGGCATCGTCAGTACAAAAGCCGCAGCACAAGCATCGTTAGCTCGCACCTTTCCACCTTTGCCACGTCCAGACATTGTTGATATAAGGTAGTGAGGTGATAGATGTTCTTGCTGGAGGAGACGACTCTGCTTGTAGAGCGAGGTCGAGATTTGATGATGGAGTGAAAAGACAAGAAGCTAGGCCGTTTGAATCCCACGCTTATATAGGGAAGAGGCACGTGCTTGACGCGATCGGACCTCAACAATCAACAACATCGTGTACTACACACAGCCTCCAGCTTTTTTAGCCTTCTTGAAGCATCATTTGTAGAAAGCCAGGTAAGTAATGCGCAGTTTTCTTCTTCGATAACAGACCGTTAATACTGCTAACAGGTCTGTGCACCGCAAAAAAGTCAGGGTTTCAATCTGTTGGCAATCAGAACTTATCAGATTCATAATAACCCCCCGTCAGTTCTTCATTCTTTCGCAAGGAATCCAGTGTTCACGTGCGTCCACTTCTTAGGGAAAAAACCACATAAGTACTTGTGTCGTTCCATGAACGAGCGTGCAATTGTACCAGTCGCACAGTAGGTATCGGAATAAGTCTTTTTGCGACGAATTTATAAGATACCTTACAGAATTCCAAACCATGCTCCAATCCTGTACTTGCCGGAATTGTGGATTCGTCAGTCTCCTCTCTCCGGATTGCGAACGTCAGCCGCAGGCTCCCTTGAAAGCCTTCCAAAATTCCAACATTGTGGCTCAAATTTTACGTCAGTCACGAACAATGCTCCACCCCAGTGAAGATGCATCAATTAGCGCCGATATCCTAGAGTTGGAACGTCTCCAATCCTTTTATGAGGCCCAGCTTCAAGAAGTGCAGTTGCACCGTCGCGCGGTGATAGATGCCTTGGAAGCTCGCAGATCGATTTATGCCCCCATTCGCCGTCTTCCCCGAGACATTCTCATCGAAATATTCCACTTGGTGCGCCACTCGTGGTGGCAACACATAAACGATGGTCGTCGCTGGAGCCCGGTTACCCCAGAACGCCAGAGTAGTTTGCGCCTAGATGGGCCCCTTTGGGTTTTGGGACGTGTTTGCGGGCTTTGGAGGGATACGTTACACACATCTCCTGCATCTTGGGCCCAGAATGTCGTAGTGAGAACGCCTTTCCCCAAGCATGCCCGTGAGATCTGGAAGACATATCTCAAGCGGACGGGTGAACATCCTCTCACTGTACAGGTCGTTGGCGACATTGAAAGGTCTTCGAGTGTTGAAGATGATGAAATATTGTCACTCTTTGTCCAAGAGTCATGCCATCGCTGGAAAGATGTCATTATCGATGTTACTATGCATCATATGGACTGCCTGGAGGAGTCTATATCCCGCCTTCCTATGCTTCAAACGATCGACATATATGTCAATCACCCCGATGAAAATTATTGCTCAAATATATGCTTAAAGGCTCCTCAGCTATGGCGAGCGATGTTTTCAAGCCTAGGGATCTCACAGGTGAAGCTACCGCCTTGTATCACTCATTATTCAGGCCGTATCACTCGTCCGAATGATCTACAGCTTCTTTCTCACCAATCCAAGCTCAGGGTGTGCCACCTCCAGCTGCGATTGCGATACGTAACACCACCGTTAATCCCGGTGCCAGTGATCATGCCGCATATCCAACGCCTCTTTGTTGAGGAAACAGGTATACTAGACCTGGTGACTTTGCCGCGTCTCGAAAGTTTGGTCTTGGCCATGTCTTCACGTGAACGGTTCGTCGAACGCAGGGACCGTACCACCATCTCAGCATGGATTAACCATTTCCTCCAGCGATCTGGATGTCACCTTCAGAGCTTGAGCATGGGTCAGCATATCTTGTTCGTCTTAGGGCTTTCAATCCATAATCTCCTTGCTTCCGATGCATTTTCTACGCTTTCGTTCCTCAAGGTTGAGCTTCAGATTGATGCAGATTGGGCTGATCACGTTGTTCAGTCGCTCACCCCTTGCTCAGGTGCACCAGCGCCCCTACCTAATCTATTCCATCTTGTTCTTTGCATACAGCCAGCATGCTTTCACTCACATCCTGTTCAATGGCATAGTATAGTGAACATGATACGTGCCCGCCGTGATGCGGGGTTGCTGAAAATAATCGAAGTACAATTCGTGGTATGGGACAACGGGTTCACGGATAGGAATCATAGAATAGAAGCGGATATTCGAGCTCTCACTAGTGACAGTTTGACGATGCTCGTCGAGGAATGGAATCCTCCCGATGAAGAACATTGGCCAGTTTGGGGCTCGCTTCAGTAAACTACATAGATGCTTTCTCTTGAATACATGAAATATATGATCTTGTGGCATACAGTCAGTTTCCTTCCCATACTCTTTGGACATAATCACCATCACTTTCCCCGCTCCCTCTGATGCTGGTCCCACCGAATCGGCTGACACACATCCCGAAGGGTTGAATCAACCTCAGTCCAACCCGACCCTCCTTCAACCCGCACCAAGAACGGAAAGATCCTATCCAGGAACCTTGCGATGAGAGCCGGCTTTTTTGCTATCGTATTCACCGACTTCAATATCTGCAGCCGATGTGAAAGCACCTCCTCTACCGCTGGTATGTCAGGAAATCCGATAGGCATGGTCAGCGACACAAGTCTTGGACAACATTTGGCCAAAGCGGGGAGCATAGCATATGAAGGAGGGTCTCCAGGCAACTGAGGCATCGAAATCGATTCAATGTCAGGCCATGACGGTGCGAGATGAGTTTTGATAGTCTCATCGTCCAATACCAGTTCGCCCACAAAATGGATGGATCTCAAGAGATGCAGTTCATATAACGGCTCAAACACCACTCTTGAGGAGGCCCAGAGTGTTCTATCGAACTGTGCGGACCGGTAGGTTATGGAGAGATGGCGGAGGGGGAAGCGCACTACTAGTTCACGGTAAAAGTCCATCATGAACTCTGAGCTGGTGCGGAATGCCTCGCCGGAGGTATCGACAAAGGTGAGCGTCTCCAGTGTACCTTGATGGAAAAGCCGGAGAATGCGTGACATCTCCGATACCTTGGCAGTGATATGGAGAGATTTGAGGGAAGGGAAGCCGTCCTGGATTTGACGGCTGCCGCTAGGAATGTTCGATGTAGTTTTCACGTGAAGGTGCTCGAGGTTGTCAAATGTAGAGAGGGCGATGAGGAAATCGTAGTCTACCAAGTGGGATTTGATAGTTAAAGAACGAAGATCTCCGAGGCCCACAAAATTGGTGATGGAGTATAGATTGGTGAAGAGAACGGCTTGATATTGGCCATTGTCGAACTCTGGACAATAAATGTGGAGTGTTTGCAGGGCAGGTACTTGCCATTTGATGGCCCGCATACACGTTGACGACGTGGTGACGTCCGTCGAACCTCGGAACGTCAACTGTATCTCGTTCAGTGGTTTCGCAGGGAGAAAGAGAAGAATGGAAGGAGAAGCCGCAAAAGATGCGTCACTTTTCAGATATTGCAGTCTGGGAAATATGGGAGTTTGATACTCAGCTAGGCGGAGAAATACAGTCGAAGAGAAGCGGCCACAACTAGTGGGATCAAATGCGATGCATCGAATACGACTAGCATACTGCCGGAAACGGACCCATGTCTTGTCAGGGATATCTTCTGGCAGTACCTACACACAATGAAGAGAATAAAATAAGAATCAGATTAGGAAGCCTAGACCAATTACGGACCTGCAGATTCCCTGAAGACGCAGGGGAAAATGCGTAGGATTGGCTGAAACCCATAAGCTTGGATATCTCTCCATAGTGTGTCCAGCGCTAGCGATGACACAGTCTGGCACGTCAAAGCTAGAGATACAAGGGGATGGACGCGATTGCCGTTGGGAGCGACTGGACAGCCACCCGTTTTCACAGTATCCCAGAGGTTTTGGCAGATTATAGCCAGAAGGTCGGTATTGAAAAGAACATCTGAGGCGATGTTTTCAGTTAGGTCGCTTTCCATAATCATAGAGTGTATGGTAAAGAAGTGGACAAGTACAACAAACACGCTATGACCACGTTGTTTGACATATGTTACGAATGATGGGACAAATAAAATGCTGATGGTGAGGGGGTGCCGTTCTCACACGACGAGGAATGCAGATATTTAGGAGCGTCTGATTTACCTGCTTGTATATAAGCATGAAAAGGGCTTCAATTGTGTCCAGAATATAAGATATGGCACTCGAATCCAGTCTGCCGTCAAAGGTTTTTGAAAGCAAAGATTTAGGAATACTTAGTTTCCGCTTGAGTACAGGTGCTCGTGATCGATTCCTTGTTTCTTTTCGATTTTACCGCTTCTCGGAATCTTTGGTATCGGACAGAATTCCAGTGAGTTTTATTCTTCTTTCGAAAATTTAAGTATGGGTACCATAGTCAGGACGCCTTAAAATTTTGGCATCTGAAAACTCTGTCCCTGGTGCATCGGCAGATATATTAATATGCAGAAAAGCAACGATGAAGCCACAGCGACATCGACGGTGTATGGGAGTAAACAGAAAGGCGACATACACGTTTATCGCTGCAGAGCTATAATGGCGCGGAGCAAGGAAATCCGTCGCAATCCAACACAATCGCCAAGATCCCTCGAGCTTTATAGTACCCTTTGATTTGCTGGATAGCCCTTGTATCAGTCCGTGTAAAATTGTGAAGTACAAAAGACTTACCATAGATTATCATGAGGTCCAGACCTTCTCCCCGCATCTTCTTAATCCTCACCGCGTCGTCATCAGCAATCTGCCAATCTATGGAAGGCGCAGAGATATAACAGGATCGCATTGCGGATCCCCACCGCCTCTCCATTGCGTCGACCAATACGGTGTTTGCTTCTAGAGAAGGAATAAAGTTGCCGACGGTGAACGACACCTTCTGTAGGGATGACAAAAAGTCCTTGGCTTGAAAGAAATCCTTCACGAACCCTTCCTCCATCTCTAGTGCTTCAACGGTGAGTTCCGTCAACTTGGGCGTTGCTCTCAACACATTCATGAGACCGTGCAACGATGTGCCACAAACAATCTTGAACTTTCGTAACGTGCTCTTCGACCAGGAAAGAAGACTGCAGATGATATCTGCGCGTCCCTGCTCATTGGTAGCGCCAACGAGATCGAGGTCGCTAAGCGTGGGTAGGATAAGATGCTGAAGGATTGTTATATCGGATACCTGCAGCCTGCAGAGGGAGGGGTGGGATATGGGTTCGAGTGGGACTGTCCAGCTCTGCTGAACTTGTGTGCCAAGAGCCTCCAGTACTTGAAGGCATGGAGAAAGACGGAGAAGATGGATTACTTCAGGGAGGGTACCGCGGCTGAGGAGAGCAAGGTGCGTGAGCTGGTGCCATGGAAGGTCTGCAGTCATCACAGACCCGCCGTCGTTGATCAAGGTGAGGTTCGTCAGACGCGGGGAAGCGTTAAGAGCCTCGCAAGCATGGTCATGCTGAGAGTATGCTTCTCGAGGGCAGGAAGGCCGCCGTTTGGCACTGCACCGAGAGGTGCGAAGGAGTCTGCCATCCCGAGACGGATGTCCCTTCCAGCGATAAGAATGCAAAGAAAGATATTTCCAGATATCTGCCGACGCGTATATATCGGTGTGAACGGAGATGCTGCGCTGGCCTGAGAGTCGGAGAGCGGTGTCGAGCAGCGAGACGGGATCGCTGAAGAGGCGAGGATTAGGAAAAAGCCAGACCATAGCTCTGGAGTGGAAAGGACGATTTGTTTCCACCCGTAGTAGTACCCACGGCCCTCGTTTAAGCCAGAACAGGGTGAAGTTCCCTCCTATGCTATGGAGGAAGATATTTCAGTGGGGAGGCGTCGTATCGCAGCGAGGATGTTCTTGGTTTTGACGAGCTCTTCCAAGACCTTGTCAAGCGCCGAGCAACGGTTTCGTGGAAATGGTCAGACAAATGCTGTTGATAACCGGTAACCACTCGTCCATTTGTGATAGTAGAGAGGCAATTCTTGTCGCATCGTCGTTGGTCGGAGTTGATGAGGTTGGCCAAGGTAATTTTCCTGGTGAGATGTATAGTCTATGAGTGGTACAAATGCAGGGAGTAGTACGCACCATGGTTGCTTGAGTATGGTCGTGGGAGACATCAGCCTCAGTTCACCAACGTTTATCAAGCGAGATTATGCGTACTTGGTCATCGTGGCCAGGAAGAGACCCGTTGTTTGGCATAGTAAACAACGCGTTCTCTCCCTCTTACCGCGATGGCGTTTTGCTCAAGTCAACCAATTCGGACCAGAAAGCAAATATGAGGAAAAAGAAGAGAGATATCCTAGAATTTGGACACGTCGAGCCACCTCTCATCCCCAGTTACGAACCGATTGTCAGTTACTAACTTCCTCCGTAGAACTGTCATTTACTTTATTCTAGGGCCTGGATACCCCGACGCCATTCCTGCAGTTTCTACATTCCCGTATGCATCGAACGACTACAACGAATCCAACGTCTTTCCTTGTCCGACTCCGACACGACAGAGACAAGCTACGACCCTATCAATCTGCGTTGAAGCCTCCGGCCCTCTCAAGTATGAAGCCGTATGCGCCATTACCTCGCTCATCTTCTTCCACTCGTCCAAATACACTCCCTCGGCGCCGTGGAGAACGTTGAACCGGAAGTACACACCATCACCACTGTATTCTTTGGCCAGTTCGTCCGCTACGCTCTCACAGTCTGTCGTGATACGCTGCAAGACCCGGATGAGCTCCAACGGGAGGACCTTCTCTATCCCTTTGGGCTGCTGGAACCCGCTAGGGCCTGGATGGCCTGTCCCGATGCTGAGGAACACGCCGATACGTCGGTTGCTGCCGAATAGCTCCTTAGCTTCGTCACGGACCTCCTTTGTGGGATTGTTGAACCCCAGGCCTGCATCGACATAATCGGGCCCGAAACCGCCTGGTCCGACAATCTTGATGGCTTTGAAGAAGGTTGGTGCTGCTGTGGTGGCACGTGCAGCTTCCCATATTTTGCAGTCGGGACCTTGGTTGGGGAGTCCTTGATATGTGCGGAAGCGTTGAGGAGACCGGAGGTTGATTCCGGTCATGGAGCATACGAAGCTGTCGGAACTGGTGAGGGCGATATTTTGTGAGAAGAGAATAGGAACGTACGCGTTTCCTTTCGAGTTTCTCCCCGCGTTGGGATCCAACAGCTTCTGATCGTCGCTGTACCCAGCCCGGCGGACGACGTTCTTGACCTCCTTCTCCAATGTAGTTGCTTTGAACTTTCCGTCGCTGTAGAAAGGTTTCCTGTTCTCGGCGCTGAACACCGCGCTGGAGATTCTGTTGTAATTTTGGAGGGCGTCTTCGGTGGACATTTTTAGCCTTCCTAGCATGATTGCGATTAGTCTAGAGAACGGCGCCAATTCATTATCATTACCGTGACTTGATTATCTGTGCTTACCCTCCGGTGCTGGTTCCGCCGATGAGATCAAAGTATTCGCAAGGCTTGGGGGTTTGAGGGAGGTTTTGGTAGATCTGGATGCGCCTCATAATCTCGTCGAGGATGAAGAGTTCGGATACGCCACGGATACCGCCGCCATCTACCGTGAGAGTCAGTTGAGTGACTTATGACAAGATGGAGTGCTCACCGAGAGATAGCAAGTTCACAGGAAGATCTGGTGCAGAGGGCCTCGTGTTGATAGCCATCGATAACTGCAGTGGTACTGGAAGAACAGAAGAACTTGCGTCGTATACAGCACGAACATGGGGTTGATGGTGAAGCTGCTTCGCGTGAATCTACTTCCGGATCGTTCGCATTCGTGTGCTCTGACGACGAGTCTCCTCCCAGTACCTGGCACAGCCCCCAGACCAGGACAGTGTCTTCCAATGCTATGGATTAATAACGCCGTACCGGAGCAAGGATGCGAGTGTATTTTACGCAGAGTCGAGGCCTTGTCAAGTGCTTTGGGAGGAAGTAGTGATAGCCGCTCGTCCGTTTAGACTCGGAGTCAGAGGCAATTCTTGTCGCATCGGACATTGGTTGGGTATTTTTCTATAAATGCAGGGAGTAGCACACGCCTGATAGTGGGAATCCGAGGAGGTGGTGGCTGGGAAGGAGGACGACTTGTTTGGCACCGTAAACAACGCGTACTCTTTCCCTCTTACTGCGATGTCCAAATCAACAAATTCAGACCAGACAGTGAATACAACAAAGGAGAAGGGAATATTAGCTAGGACGTTCTATCTACGTCCTCACAATGCAGGAATTTACTCGACTTGGTATCAGTATGCTTTAGTACCATTTCTTTATGTAAATACTTGACTGACTCGGACATCAAGAAATTTACATAGAGACGCGAATGTAGTTTCCTGCCTTTTCCACATCCCGCTTTTGATACTACCGCCGCCATGTCGTCGAGCCCTCAGCCTCCCACCTCAGTGCAAACCCCTTCCATCAAGGAGAACGTTTAACTGGGAAGGGAAGAACATCATCGTGAGTGTAGGATTTCCTTGTTGTCATACTTGACTCTAAGAGATGTACCAGGAATGTTCACTGGAACCCAGGTCCCGGGGTATATCAAGGAGTACGAGCTAAAGCGATGGAAGGGATATATACGTCGTGGCGGTCAGTGAACAGTTCGTGGATCTTTCCCCCTCCATATATGCACCAGAATTGATCCTTTTTGATGCATAAGGCTTGGAAGGAGAAGCTCGTTCCGAATGGCACCCGTGTGTATTTGTTCGACTATAGATGGGGTGTCAACTAATTGTGGTTCGCAGCTATACATTTCCTGGCTGATGATAAGGGCACGTTCACCAGTTCAACGGGCCTTGAGTCGTTTTCGATGCGGTATCCTTGCTACGCGTGCCTCGAGTCAAGGTATGTCTTTCCACCTGTATCCAGCTTCTGCGCTCATGAGGACGGCCTAGCACTACGTCAACGACATCTAGGTTCTGCCCCTTGCGTCAGAGGAAGGCCCAAGGGAGGTCACTGTGATGAGCGCAAAGACGATTCTGGCCGCACTGAGCTTCGTGTTCTGAAGCTGTGGAAAGAGGAACGACAAAAGCCTTGTGTACGTCATGAAGAGGTGCAACTGGGAGAGATGCTGTAACACTTAGAGAGAATCCTGTTTTAATTGAAGAACTCGATATTCAAAGTAGGACCTCGAGCGACGACGAGTGACGTGGCATCCAGGCTTCATCCAAAAGGTAGCAATCATATCTCAACTCATGCGGTGATCGTTAGCTCTGGTTCACCCCCATAGAATCGTAACGACGACGTTGGGACATGACGAGGCATCTGATTCTTCTGTGTCGACAATGAAGGCCTTTTCTAGGACAAACAGCAGCGATGGACTGCCGAGTAACGGAGTTGAGGGTGGATGAGATGGGCTCGGAAGGACGACATGTCAAATCAGGATGTGAACATCATTGACACAGGATGGGGTTGTAGCAGGGAAATGAGAGGTGATGCCAGAAGAGCATACTACCTTTCGCTCCTGCCGGTGGTCCTCCCTCGCGCGGCTTGACGGGTATGACTTGCTAACGACGAGGACTCATAGACATGTGCTTGCTCAGCGTACATCCACGTCTCGTGTTAGAAGGGAGCCTGGACTCTGAAGGGTTGTTCCGGTATAATGTCAGGGTACGGGATACGGGCAAGGCAGAATAATATCGCGCAAGGAAAAGGTTTTCGCGACTTTTTCTTGACATGAAGGGAACTACGACCTCTGTCTGGAACTTGGATATATAGCTAGCGCGGATAACGTCGACTAAAATAAAGCGTCAGGTGTGAGAGAAATATCGAATGTAGTAGCCACATACTGCTCCAGAACTCCTCCCGTGAACTGTCTCCCCAGCCTTTTCGTCAAGATTTGCACTTCAAAGGCCTGGTGATATCCCTCCTTCGACGATCCAGGCGGCCTCAGCTTGGCGGCCTTAATGCATATGGGGTTTGTTTCAAGGGATCGGTGGTCTTGAACGGAGGCAATTCGTTCTATTCAGAGTTAATAATGAAGGCCTTCTGGGAAAAGGACCCGGTGACTTGTAGACAGACCTTCAAGCTGGTTCAAGTTGAGAATCCGTGATAGAACACATATTGGACTTACCTTCGATGGGCACTGCCTCACCGGAAATCAATAGTCGTCTCGACGACACCGACACGGTGTAGGATTAGGTTTGTCAGTGATTCGGCGCGTGTAGATTTCAGCGCAAAGGTTGCGCGTCTTGGACTTTGTCCTGCTCTTCGAGTCGCACCTCTTTGAAACAAACCCATTGTCGATATGTATGCTCGTCACGTAGGCTACTGTGCTCTTACTGTGATCAGTAGACGTTCTGTTGGTATGCTAAGATACTGTAGCTTCAAGAGGATGAGTCAACGCACCTGAGAAGATCTACCCAAGTCAAGCTTCATAGCACTGTGCTAGCCAGCTGCAGAAATGGCGTTGGGGTGTCCAAACTCTCGACCCGAGTAGACGGCAGCCCTGTGAACAGTCAATCGATAACTCTCACAACTCGGGATGAAGGTTGGCGCGACGTGTCCCAGTTCGAGCCCAACATAGAAGTTTCTTTCGTCGTCACCGTCTGGTCCGAACGGCAAATTAGCCGACTTGTTGATATCCCGAGCAAAGCGACATCTTGGTAAGAGAGAGAGCGGGGGCTGTTTACTACACCAAACAAAAGGCCCTCTTCCTGGCCATCTATATCATTTTGTCCTTCCTTCGCCTCGCTCTTGGTCTCCGCAACTGATGGCATGGCGGCGCCGTGACCACAATGCACCTCTGTCGTTCAAACTTCTCGAACTCGACAGCCAGCTAGATTTTCTCTGCCGGGAGGATGTCAATGTCGTTGTCGACGTCGCTACAACACCCAAGGAACCAGTTGCATCATGCGTTTCGGGGTACCGCCCAGACAAGGATTCGCAGAGCTCTCGCCCTGGCAGCGACTATGTTCCTTACAACATCAACGAAATAGAAGAGGTGCTTACTCGTTGTGAAAGTCAGAATTGCGGGACTGGGGCTATCATTGTTGTCGACTTTCTTAATGTATCTCATTCCTGACGCTCGGTTTCTTCAGTAGGACTGTTTCGATCACAGAACGGATGTAGCAATAATGGACCTCAGACAACGGAGGAAGGGTGAGGCTTGGTGGATGTCGTGCTCTCAGACCTGGCCCCCACCGTCTCTGGGAGTGCTGTGATGTTTCTTGCCACTATCTGGCCGTGTATGTGTTTTCGGTGCACCATTTCTGGAGGGAAGAAGTAGATTGATAGACGATATAGAGTTGCGTCTGTGCGTGCATGCCGTTCTCCTTTCTCCAACATGACTTACATGCGTCGTAGGCTGGGCACATTTCTCCTTCGATGTGATGAATGTGTTTCAGAAGGGCAAACTAGAACCCAGCGTCAGATATATCAAGCCGCCGATGAACATATCTGAAAGCTACTTGGTCTGGCACACGCCTATACGCATGGTGCGTCTTCTTGGCCTACTCGTTCATTGGCATCCTTGCATTCATGTTTCCAGTGTTAATCTCAAGCAGGTATGACCCGCTGCCGTCCCCATGAGGTGCCCATTAACCGAGACCGGGGCTGTTGCACAACTCGATGCCGTCAATTCAGTCTCATCATTCTCGAGCCATCACGAAGCTGGTATAAGTTCCACTACTTCGTGGTCATTCTTTCCATTTATCATTGAGCAATGTAGAGAATTTCAGACTGGCATCGGGGACTATACTGGCTTATGCTCGTATCTTTTTATGTCTTCTATACTTGGAATACTATTTCTTTATCTCTTGTATATCATTCGCGGCGCCAATTGAGACCATCACAGATCAAGCCACCATCAAGATGAACTTACCGGTGCGTAGATTCCTCCGTGATCTTCTTCAGCAATGCACAAATCACCACGCCTTTCCCACGACAACTTGTCCTCTTACCACTCGTCTGCGTTCTCATCTGAAAGCATCTAGCTATCCATCCTCTATCGAAAGGTACGGCGGTCTTCAGTTAGTGCATACCGTGTTCGCTGACCCAAAATCTCTAGAATCTCGTTCATCGATGGCCAATAATACTTCTAACAGCAGCCCCGTGAACTTGCTGTCGCTTGGTGCATTCTTCGTGTTCTTTGCATGGTCGGTGTTAACTAATGTATGAGATAGACGGCGGCGGGATACGTGGGGTGTCTCAGCTCATCATTCTCGATGAAATCATGAAGCGCATCCAAGCAAAGAAGCAATTGACTGAGGTACCGAAACCTTGTGAGTATTTCCACCTCATGGGAGGTTCTGGTACTGGAGGGTGAGTTGCTTGCTCTAATGTAGGTTCCATCAAGGCTAATATTAGTCTTGTAGTCTCAATGCAATCATGCTGGGTCGACTGAAAATGTCAACTGAAGATGCACTGTGAAGCTATAACAAACTTGCAGCTGTGGTATTCAGCCCTGACAACCGTAAACCATTCTACAAGGATGAAAAGTTTAAGGCTAGTACCTTGAAAGCAGAGATTAAGGAGATTGTCAAGCATAGCCATGGGGGGTATACTGGTGATGAGAGTTTGCTTGATCCAAATGCAGGAAAGGACTCAATTGGCAATGTGTATGTTGATTATGGCTGTATTCCTCTGTTCTTATACTCATCTCTACATTAGGTTTGTCTGTGCTAAAACTACTGCCAATCTGGAATCTCCACAGTGATTTCGGACATATGCAGGACTCCCCAACCAAGGCCCAGATTGCAAGGTCTGGGAGGCTGTCCGAGCTACAGCTGCTACTCAAAAGATTTTTAAATCTATCATGATTGCTGGTCCAGGAGGGATCAGTTCTTTATATATTGATGCTGGTTTTGGTCATAACAATCCTTCAAAAGAAGTCAGAGAGGAGGCAATGCAACTATTTGGCAGTGATTGTTCTATTGGAGTATTTCTCAGTGTTGGAACAGGTCATCCAGGACCTAATGGATTTCAGCAACCAAGAGGCATGGGGAAGTTCTTACCTCTTCTGCTATTACAAACTGTCACAAAGATTGCTACTGATTGCAAGTCTGTCTCTTCTGACTTCACAAAACAGTATGATAATAGTCCAAGAATATATTTTAGGTTGAATGTTACACATGGAACTGAAGTATTGGAAGTAGATGATTGGCAGGAAGGAGGAGCTGTTGTACTAGCTCATACAAGTGCCTATCTGAGAGAATCCAGTACATCTAAAATAGTTGAAGGAGTTGTAGAATGTCTCTGTTCCAGCCCTAATATGAAGAGAACCCATACATTAGGGACATTTGGTAGGATTTATTTGTTTAGGATTTATAGGTTAAAAGCTAATATGATTATAGCTGGACATATAACTTCAGTTTCAAAGCCTTCCATGACATTTTTGCCAGGTTCTGTGCTACCTTTGTTTACAGGACGTCAGCAATATCTGTCTGAGCTTGAAAAATATTTTGCTCCTTGTGAAAAACCATGGAAAAGACGTCTTTTTCTACTTCATGGAATGGGAGGAATTGGTAAAAGTCAGATTGCTTTAAAGTTTGTGGAAAATATGATTGAGTCAAAAGGGTAAGTCAGTTTAAAATGCTTTTTCAATAAACTTATATAAATATTTGAACTTTATTAGTTTTTCTATTATATTTTGGATTGATGCATCATCAGAAAGCACAATTGTTCAAAGTCTCAAGAATATTTATATTAAATATATACCACAAAAAACATTAAACTCCCAGACATACAATGAAAGTTTAACACTTGATTGGATTTCAGAAATTCATGAACAAGAATGGCTTTTGATATATGATAATGCAGACTATTATAACATTGGTCTATTACAAAAGTATTTACCTTCTGGACAAAAAGGAAATATTTTGATTACAAGTCATAATCCTAATTTGATTCGCATTACTGGAAATGCTGGAATAGCTATATCTGAAATGGAATCTGAAGAAGCTATAAACTTGCTTTTTAATGGTAGTAATCTTAAAGAAATAAATAATGAAATTAATAGATATGCTAAAGCTATAATATTTGAGCTTGGTTATATACCATTAGCAATTGATCTTGCTGGATCATCTATTCAATATGGCTATTATACAATTTATGATTATCTTGAGTTGTTTGATAAAAATCGTAAAGAGAGATTAACAGAAATAGGTCTCTCTGAAAAAGAGCAAAATATATATGGAGCATGGAATCTATCATTAAAAGCAATACAATCTCAAGCACAAAAAAATGACTCATCAGCAATTGATGCACAATATGCATTGAAAATATTAGAACTATTTGCATTTTTCTACAATAAAAATATATCTGAAGAAATATTTAATCGTGCAGCTACAACAAATAATTCTGATAATAATTGTATTATAGAAGACAGCTATAATAAATTGTTAGAGACAACTGAAAGTAATAAGTGGAATTTTAAACCATTTCGAAAAGGCACATCAATTTTATTAGCATGCTCACTTATTAAAAAAACAGAAAAAAACAGAACTCCTATATATTTTATACATTCATTAGTACACAAATGGTGTCTTGATAGATTACAAGAGGTAGAAAAACAAAGTGCTTTTAATACTGCAATAATTATAATAGCAAAATCAGTACCAAATAAATGGAATAAAGAGGATTATATTTTTCTTCAAACTCTGAGTTTACATTTAAAAGATAACATACTGGATAAAGATATTTATATAATTAAACAGTTTGCAAAAGCATTTTTTCATAATGGTAAATGGAAAGATGTAGAGAGGTTAGAATTAAAAGTATTATCAGCAACAAAGCATGCTTTAGGAGAGGATCATCTAGACACATGGACATCTATGGGTAATTTAGTCTCAACATACCGAAATCAAGGTCGATGGAAAGAGGCAGAAGAGCTGCAATTAAAAGCGTTATCAGAAAGAAAGCATGCTTTAGGAGAAGATCATTCAGACACATTGACATTGTTGTATTTTGGACTGTATCCTAGTACAATGTTATTGAGACCTCTAGTCTCTGGGTTACAAACTCGTGAGGAGTTTACCCATTTACTTCACATATTTATACTAAACTACACCTATTCTAGTAATTTCTATACAATCATTCTCTTACCAATCTCTTACTCAGCATGCCGGAATGCCGGATTGCCAGAATTATCTTGCATTTTCCAACAGACATCTATGAGTAATTTAGCCTCAACATATAGAAAACAAGGTCAATAGAAAGAGGCCAAAGAGCTGGATATATAGGTGTTATTAAGAAGAAAGCATGCTTAATAAGAAGATCATCTCAAGACATTGATTTGTCTACTCTGGAAAACTTGATAGATGTGACAAGTTTGCATGTATCAAGCAATGTTGAATTTCATATCTGGTTATTAATAATCATGTTTTATTCACTCATGAGTAATGTCCAAACCCTTATCAGCTGCTTCATCATAGCAGGCTATTATCACTTCAATTTACTGTGGCTGAGACAGTACTAGATGTTTCCCTTGTGAATATTTACACCAGTGCTTTTCATCTTTCTCAAAGAAGTTTAATGTATATTTCGTGAAGTTTGTATATTTTTTATCATTATATCTTGGCAGCTGTCTGAACTCTAAGTTCTAAGATAATATATAACCTAATCACTTATTTTAGCAAATTTTGTTGCCTGCTTTGAGGAATATCATTATAGGAAAAAAGTTTTCTTCTTCTTGCAAACTTTTAACTTCACAAAACATAAGCAATAAGACAGGCAGTTTGTAAAAGTGAATTATATTTATAAATCTGTAATGTGTGTGTAAGAAATTATCTAATCCATCTTCTGATGGTGGTGAATCTCCTTTTTAGAGTGATTGTCTTGATAATTTATTTGAATTATGTCTAATTCCAGAGATGTGAATAAAAATAAAATGCAAGAAGAGAATTTTGATAATCCAGCAGTTTATGGCTGCAGATAATATAATGTCTGTATTTTTAAGCATTTTCTTAATTGCATTTATACCCACTTTTACCATGAAAGTAGGTAAGTCTATTAGATAAAGTTTACAATCTTTTAATATTTAATAGAGACTGTATATTTCTCTTTTGGCTTGAGAATATGTGCACTCTCTAACATTAAACATTATAGATCCAAGTCATATGTATAAAGTATCTGATAGACAGATCTTCAGAATTATATTGGGTAAGAAAATATCCAACAGCCACAGGTCCAGTATCAACAGCTAGAATTACTGCACTTTTCAAACTATAGTTCAGTGGCTTTCTTTCTGTTGGCATTCTAGCAGTGGAAGGCTTGCAGTAGGAAATATACCTAATTGTTAACTATTAGAGCTTGGGATGAGCTCCTTATATATTACAGAATGTATGTAGAATATTCTACCAAAAGTATTAAATATATTTAAGTATCGTGACAAAATGAGTAAGTTAAAGGTTTGGGAATCTTTTAGCATAAGTTTAAAGTTGCAAATTCTAACACCTTTAAATCTTCTTAGGCTTTTATTTCCTCTTCACTAAACTGAAACTCCACTCTTTTGTGAAATAATTTGGTTAATAGTAGAGATTGATCTATGAAAATTTCAATATAATTTTTACAATACTCTAGCTATTCCTACAAAAACTTGTATGTTTAAGAGGTCTTTGTAAGGTCTCTAGTGAAGTATTGAATCTATAATGCTTGAGAGGTAGTTGACCTTGATAGGTATAATGATGCTTAATGATTATAATTTCTGAACAATATAAGTACACTTTCTTTTCAGAAAAGATCCCTCCACAATATTTCATACATTGAACAACTTTATTTAAGTTCACAAAGTGTTCTCAGATGAATCTTTGAATACTTAAATTTTCAGGTATAGTTTTATAACTGTTAAAGGTCTTGTAACAGGTGGCTGGTCCTCTGACAGGAACATTATCAATGTAGGATAATATATTTAGGAATTTAAAGTTGTAGAATAAAAGTAACATTATCATAGAATATTAGAACTGAGTTAGTTCATCTCATATGTTACAAGTCTCAAGGCACTATAAGGAGTTTGGAAAGTATTGAGATTTTAGGACAACTCAGAAAGTATGCACTTATTGTATCTTATAAATAAATCTAAAGTCACTCTACAAGCTCTGTCTGTGAAGTTTTCTGATAGCTGATTTATAGTAGGAGGCAGACCTGAATGTGTAATTGTGTCTTTATTGAGAGGTTTCAAGCTGTGTATGATTCATAAGCTTTTCTCATTCTTTCTCAGGACAGTAAACCATCATGAACAATATAAGAAATTAGAGAGTTTGTAGACTCCTGCTTCAATTTTGGTTTTAATAATTTTGCAAACTTTGCTATAGATTTCTGGTGATATAGGCATATTTTACAACATCCAAGATGTATGTTCAACTACTGAAATATTAATGAGAGGGAAGAAATCTTTTCTAAAACTTTCTCTTTCTAAATCCTCTCAAGCAAAGACCTTGTACATAAGGATACTTTGAACTTCAAGATGTGAACAATGACATCCAGACCATGAGGGTGCATGTATTGAGTCTATATATTTAGAGATCTGCACTATACCTGTAATTATAATATTATAGGATGGTTAATATAGATATTATAACTAGCCTATATGTGATCTCAAAGCTCACTTTATAATGTAGTATACAGTACAGATTTCACCTATACTATCTGTATGATAAATAGCCATATACAGCTGTCTGTATGGGTCTTCTAGCACTATTCTAGCATCATTATCAATCAGTTTATAGAGAATTCTCACATTCTCTTTTTGTTCTATGCTGCTATATTGACAGCAGCATTTGTGCTTGCTCACTGCTTTCTGCTGCTTTTTCTCATTTCTTGGTAGCTCTATGCTAATAAACTATCTTTTTCATGTCTATCAATATCTTGTATTTATTTAACCAGCACACAATATACTCTGAAAAATTATGAGTATCTTTAAAGTGGCAGATGTTTCAGTCAAACATTTTCTATGGCATCTCACACTACAGGAATGGTATGACCAGATAGTCCTTTATAATGTCAAGTCAACTCTGATGTGATAGTTTTTTTTGCCTCAAATTGATGGTCTCTGATATTGTGTACAAATTTTGTACTTCTTCAGGTATCAAGCAATAGTTTTCTGCTGCTCTTATATTGTGTTTATAGATTAAACAGATTCACATTCAGCTTGGTGAGTCTATAGTAAAGTAGTTTTGAGTGACATTTAAAAGAAGCCATAAAATCCCTGATAATAATAATCTAGTGAAAGAAAAAAAGCAATCAAGATCTTCCTAATGATATTATGCTGAGGATCTTTAGAAGTTAAACAGAACATTTTAATTCTGAAAGATCTAAGTGAATGCTAATTATTATTTATTTTATCTCATGACATACATAAGGATAGTTTTATGCTAAAGCCTGAAAAAATTAAAAATGAACTTGTATATTTCCAGAAGGTAAAAATGTGAATAATATATATACAGTCAAGGACTGGTCAATGAGACACTCAAATATAGAAGGGCTTCAGAAGGGTGAAAAATGCAGTTTCTTACCTTAGCTGTTAGTAGTAGAAGGAAAGCTATGATAAGAATATAATGACAAGAAATTTAGGTGAGATAAGAGCAAAAACTCTATATGCCAGAGGACATTAGTGCAAAATTGTCTTATTGTATAGTTACTACTCAATGAGACACATTACATCATGCTGGCAATCTATTAGCAAATCTAAATATAGCAATTATATGTAACTATGATCTAATCAGATTGCTTATTATCAAAGCCAATTTTCTCTTTTTTTTTCTTTCTTGCTATCATTAGTATTACTAGAGTGTGTCTAAACCTTAGCCTTGTAAAGTAGAATACATGTGATATGAATATCATTTAATTAGCAATGTGTGATAGAAAAAATACAAAGAGGTTTTCTAACTGTGACTAATATGGTAATCTATGATGTGACATGATAAACTGTCTCCAAAATAATTATGGTCATAGTATGTTCTCAACTGCTTCAGAAGTTTATTACAACTATGTGTATATATCTTATTATGATTTCTACATAAAGTCTGAGCCTAATTTGACCCTAAAAGAAGCACCCAGGCCAAGTGTCTGATTGATTGATCCTTGACTGTATTATCTTAGTGCTTTCCTGGCAAGTATATCCTATATCAAACTTGTTGAATATTTAGTATTTATTAAGTGATAAGTTTAAAATGTTCTATGAAGAATTTAAACACAAGAATACTAGAAATGGTATATAGACTTAGGGATACCCACCATACCATATACAGTTACAGCCATACAAGTTACAGCCATAAGCCATATGGTAAAAGGGTCTCAATGGTACGGTGATGAGCCTCCAGGCTCTGTATGCTCAGAATTCGCGGATTTTACCAGATATTTAATTTCCCAGCCACCACACAAACCTACTATTTCAATCCCAGCAATATTGCTTAATGCCGCCAATTATCCTTCCCCACTTGTACCCCACATCAATTACATGCCCCTTTCACTAATTCCACCAGTCTTCTTTTATTAAATCTGCCAGGCATCTGATTGTTGATCTCACGGATTTAGAATCCCATCTGATTGCCTAGCACAGCCACAATTCCGCAGCACAGCCACAATTCTGCAGCTCAAATAGCAATTCCATGGCATTAGCTCTAATACCGTGACCTTTCCTCAGTCTTTACTAAGGCTGTTATACCGCCAAGATATTGCCGCAAGCATCTACTTCAGTACACTTGCTTCAATGTACTTTGCCACAGCAACACAGCAGCACAAAATTCCGGAGATCAGTGGCATTCTTGCTAATCACTTCATCTATATGTGGTAAAAGCCATATGGGTGCTGTTACTTTCGAACCACAGTACACAGTAAAACCGTGTGAGTGCTGTTACTTTAGAACTCTGGGAGCATGCGTTTTGTATCATTTCTTACCAATCTATGTACTACAGACTTACTAAGGACTCACTTCAAGTATTCTAAATTTATTCCAGCCTTGTAGTATGAAAGCTAGTATACACCATGGAAAATAGTTAGTTGCGGGACACACAGATTATCAACGACAAGTAACTAAGTTGCTACAACTGCTATCTCTTGTACCCACTAGGAGACAGACAATAACAGCATAGTCACTCCGAGTTATACTCTCTGGCATGGCTTTTCTTCTAATGGTATTGGTATATGCTCATATTGCGCCAATACACGGAATTTGGTGTCCACAACTCGCTTTTATCTTTTATTCTGCCAGCATCGTTTCACTTTCACCAGCCAGCATCATTTTACCAGTCTTCACTTTCTACGTCGCCATCGTTTCACCCCAGTTCAGCTCAGTACAGTTATGTCCCCGTGTGGACACAGATTAGGATCGTTATTGCCGCCAGCAGTGTCTGTCATGGAATTTCGGTCAACAGTTTCAGTATAGGACCTTCAGTCACGGTATTTGTTATCTTGCCGTTAGTTTC